GATTTTTGTCGCCGAGAGAGCACGCTAAATGTGGAGAGCGGTCAGAGAGAAAACCGCTTTTTGGCCATAACGTTGGCAGTTTCGTGCGGAAAATTTTGATTTTTTGTAGAAACATTCTCCTTTGCAGTTGAAATAGGCATGAAACTTTTCGTGCCGAAATTCGGCAAAAAGAGCTAAATTTTGGCCGACTTTCGATCTAAAAATCTCGGTTGTTTCTGCAAAGTACAAGCTAGGATTCCCACATATATCTTAGAAAAAACTATTTCAAATTTGTGCGAAATTTCATCAAAATCTAAGCGTCGCACTTGGAGTACTTTCCCTGTAAGTTTACTTCCTGATAAACTTTTAAGGAAAGTGCTCCAAGTGCGACGCTCAGATTTTCTTTAAATTTTGAACACGCATTGGGTATAGGCATATATAAATTCCTGAAAGTTTTAGCTCGCGCTTTCCAAGGAGATCCGAGATATTCAACGATCTTTGAGGCCGAGAGAGTACGCGGACCGCGGAGAGCGGAGAGAAAAAACACTTTTTGGCCGTATCTCTGCCAGTTGCGCGCCAAAAAATGATTTTCTGTGGGAACATTACCCTCTACGGTAGAAATTAAAGTTAAACTTTTCATGATAAAGAACAACAAAAAACGGCCAGTTGGAGCCAAAAAATGTTGCGATTTTTACTAACTCTCACGAGTTATTGCGACTGAAGGAGTAACTATGATTTAAGCGGTCGGAAAGAAAATTTTTTATTTTGCTGCATGATGACTTCAAACCCCATGTTGAAAAACCGGTCGAAAACACCCTAGAACCGCCGAGGTGGGAGGTGTTCCCGCACCCGCTATACTCTCCGGACACCATACTTTCGGACTAACACTTGTTTCGATCGATGGCACCCGATCTGACGCCGCAACGCTTCGCTGAATACATAAATGTCAAAAATTGGCCCGTTGACTAAATCGCCTCAAACAAAAAAACGTTTTCACTGATGGTGTTCATAAGTTGGTCAAATTGTTGGAAAATGTCATAGCTAGAAGTGGTAATAGTAACTAAATATGCTATAGTGTAAAGTTTTTTGTTTTGGTTTAAATTATGAGCAGCAAAAAACGACAAAGTCATACTTCTAAACCTAATAGAAAACGCCGCGGATATCTTTTAAAAACTTTTTTCTAAATTTATACCAAGTTTTTTCAAAATTTGCCCGTCGAACTTTGGGCCTTCCTTCGTCAGCCTAGAATTGACTTCTAAAGCCTACAAAATTACATTTCACAAATTGTCATCAAAGTAAAAAAAACGGCTTTTTTAGCCTACCATCTTCGCTCAAGTCCGTGATTTTCCAATTTCAATTTACAGTCCATTACCAACAAATTAAAACAACTTGTTACTTCCGAACACCACTTTTACCATGTAACGTTAATTTGCAAAAAAAAATCATTTGCGTTTCCAAGAAGTGCAAAGTAAATACAAGTGTGACCTCCAAACTGTTTTAAAATTGCCGGTAATTTAACGAAAATTCAATGGAAATTCAAGAGCCCATGTTTGGAGGGGTTTTATTTGTTTTCCGATAAAAAAATGGTAAAACAAACATATTAAATTATCGAAAAAATATCATTTGAAGCGAAGGCGGCAGCAAAAGGAAGTATAAAATGGCAAAGTCAATTGAATTTTGAAAAATGAAATCTCAAATTTCAAAATTTTTATTTTTGCAAAAAAAGGTCCTAATTGTAAATACGACGCACAGATTTTCTTTAAATTTTGCACATACGTTGGACATAGGCCACATATCAATTCTTGAAAATTTCAGGTCGCGCTTTGCAGGGAGAGCCGAGATATTCAATGATCCTTGGGGCCAAGAGAGTACGCGAAACGCGGAGAGCGGTCAGAGAAAACACTCTTTCTTGGCCGTATCTTTGTCAATTTGGTGCGGAGAAAATTTATTTTTTGTGGAAACATTACACTCTACGGTAGAAATAGATAAGAAATGTTTCATGCCAAAATTTGGCAAAAAAAGTGCCTCATTTTTTAAAGCTTTGACACAAAAATCTTGGTTGTTTCTGCAAAGCGCGAGCTAGAAATCTCTTATTTGTTGCAGAAAAAATTGAGCTAAATTTGTGCCAGGGTTTTTTACGTCTCAAATAAAATATTGGATGACGTGCTTTTCTGGTTCTGAGGTGCGTTGTGAGTAATGATAAGAGGATTTATTGGAAAGAATTTCCTTGAAATTGTTCAAACAAAGAGATTAGTTTAAACAATTTTTTCAGCAGATTAGAAGCTTAACATAACAAGAGAAAGGATGTAAGTAAGCTACTGATAACATTGAAATAATTGCGAACGAATCGACTGTTCTGGCGGAAGATTTTAAGCCACGTTTTGCAAGTGATAGACTTGGCTCTCGGGCCGGCCCGGGCCGAAAATCGCGGCCCGGCCCGCGGGCCGGAAGAGGTCGGCCCGGCCCGGCCCGTTTCAATTTTTCTTCGGCCCGGCCCGGCCCAGCCCGCGGCCCGGCCCGGGCCGGCCCGAAAATTGAGAAGAAGTAAAAAAACCATAATTCGCTATTAGATGTGACATATTTTTCTTTACTATAACAACTAACAGTACATTTTTAAAGCAAAAAATTACTTACCAACTTTTTAAAAATTAATCAAAAAATTCCCGAGATCCGTTTTCAGACTATTAAAAATTGCCCCAAGACCAATTTTACAGATTCAGCAAGGATGGAACCACGTTTAACAAGGTGTTCAACTTCAAGATGATAGTGTTGCTTCACACGACTTCTTAATTGTGTTTTTAAGGATGTCGGTTATGTTTATTTTGAGTTTTTGTTCAAAAAATTACTACAAACACTAATATACATTAGTACTTAATAGATTTTACTAGTAAAATTACTTATTATTAGCCATTTTTCAGTACTTCCGTGCTTTATTTTTATAAAATTACGCTTACTGTGAAAAAAATATAAACCCCCTTCTTGGCTTTGCGTTTTAATTTTATTGGCAACCCAACTTTTCGCTTTGAAATTCAGAATTTTAATTTTGCCGGGCCGGCCCGGGCCGAAAGTTGCGGCCCGGCCCGCGGGCCGGAACAGGTCGGCCCGGCCCGGCCCGTTTCAATTTTGCTTTGGCCCGGCCCAGCCCGGCAGCCAAGTCTAGCAAGTGAGAGAGTATGGAAAGTTCGGAGAGACGGGCAGAGAAAAAGTTTATTTTTTGGGGAAAAAGGGTCTTTGTGCACAGACCGAGACGAAAAGGATACGCAATTTTTAAAAAGCATAGCAATTTTAATCCCAAAAAACCTAAAAATCCCGGGGGATTTCAGCAAGACGTGGGTTAAAAATTTTGAATATGTCTTGGCATGTCCCATTCTCACCAACTTTTGACCCAAAAACCCAAAAATTTCGGTTGTTTTTGCAAAGCACCAGCTAAAACTTACAGGAATTTGGCTATGTGGCTTGTTTATAACCAGAGATTGCCACGGTCAAAATTTCGGCTCCGGCTCTTAGCTCCCAGAGCCGGAGCCGAGGCCAAATTTGCAGCTCCGGCTCCGACTCTTATCTCCGTGCAAAATTTAAAAAGGCCTCCGGCTCCGAATCCCGGCTCCCGTGCAAAAAATTTCTTAAAAAAATTTTTCCAAAAATAAAAGTTATTAGTGCCGGAGATCATACAGCCAACGTTTTTGCAGTCAAGTCGCATCCTCCGCAGTGTTTTTCAAGCAATTTGGAATAACAAGATCACGAAATTTTTACTTTTCTGACCGCTGGGAAGCCTGGCTCCGACTTCGGGCTCGGGAGCCGGTGCCGAGGCTAAATTTGCAGCTCCGGAGCCGTGGCAATCTCTGTTTATAACTCTCAAAATAAAAAAAAACCAAGACATAAGATTTCCTTGTCTCCTAAAACCCTCAAAAATCAACCTCCCAAACTTTCAAGATCCCAAATCTCTCAAATTCCAGATAGAAAATTAAAAATCCCATCTTATTTCTCATCAAAAACGCTTTCACGTAGCGACAAAGCAACGTCCACTTGTGCCGTGCGTTCGGAACCGATGAACCTCAAGTCTTAATAGGCTCGTTTAACGACTTCCACGGACGTCAGGAATTGGATAAAAGAAGAGTTATAACTCAATTATGAAAGCGGAAATTTTTGGCAAAAAATTTTTAAAATGAAATCATCAGAATTTTTTGAAAAAGAGTTCAAAATTGAATTTGTAAAGGTTAAAAAATATTTTTTTAAAATGTTACAATTATTTTTTCAGCAAAATAATCGCTCTAAAAATTCGGAATTTTTGATTTTTTTTTTCAAAATTTCTCTTTCAGATATTGATGAAACTTGATAAAAATTACGGACAAAACTTTCTAGAACCATTCCTGAGATTTTTTGCTTGTGTTTTTCAGTCTCAATCGAAATTTTTAGGTCGGAAATCACCTAAAAATTCGCAATTTTTTTTGGATTTTCAAAATGGCAACCTCTTCAGCGACCATAACAAAACACTTCTACAAAAAATCAAATTTTTCAATCCACAACTAGCAAAGATATAGCTGAAAAAAAACAATTTTTCTCTGACCGTCTCCACTGAAAAGATCGCTGAATATCCCGGTAGAGCCCGCAAAGAATAAGCTAAAAATTTCAGGGATCAAGCTACAGATTATGCCGGTTCATACGCCAAAATTTAAAAAAAAAAAAATTTTTTAAAAATGACAAAATGAGGTAAAAAATTTTCAAATTTCAAAAAAAATCATCAAAAAATAACGGTAAATTTTATTACTCAAACTGTGAATGTGAAACTGTTATTAAAATGTATAGTTAATAATGAAAAATAATGGTTAAAACTGTTATTAATAATGAAAAATAATGGTTAATATTAGTCGCATAGCTGCTTTAGAGATCATATACAAATATTAAAATTGTCTAATTAAGGCTTGGAGGAGATATAGTAACAATCAAGTTAGACTTGAGGGAGGTTAAGAATACGTTAAAATACATTTGGTAATTGGATAAAAATAAAATCTGATTAAATTGCCTTAGGCGTTTACTCGCCGCTTCCTGAGCTCAGGGCAACGTTCGTAGCTGAGGTCTTCTGTCAACTTTTCCAGGTCCAGGTCTCCATCCGGCCGTCGGGGTAGTCGGTATTGACTCTTCTTGTCTTCGTATTCACTAAAAAATTCAAGATTAATCTCAAGTGCAATACAAAAATTGAAAAATTTTGTTCAAAATATAATCTCCCCTTGCCATACACTACTCTATTTCGCCTGTTATTCTCTAATAAGTGTATATTAATACCTCCGGACTTTAAATTTCCGATTTTTCACCACTTTATTTCCAACCTACCTACTACAATATAATTTGCCAAAAAATCCCAAAATTTTACTTTTCCTCTGGCCAAAAACAATTCCAAACTTTATTTTCTACCTTTCAAGAGCCCATAGCATCACCAAACACTTCACATTTTTTCCCTTCTACCTTTTCTACATCAATCTGCCTAGTACAATATAACCCAAAAAATATCAAAATCTATAATCTCCTCTCGTCCTAGCCTCTTCTAAATCCTTTTTTCTTAACTATTACACCTTTTTCTCACTCTTTACCCCAAAAAATGCTCAAATTTCCCCTTCCACCCAATTGCCATCTACTATTAGGTTTAGAAGTATGACTTTGTCGTTTTTTGCGGCTCATAAATTAAACCAAAACAAAAAACTTTGCACTAAAGCTTATTTAGTTACTATTACCACTACTAACTATGACATTTTCCAACAATTTGACCAACTTTTGAACACCATCAGTGAAAACGTTTTTTTGTTTTGAGGCGATTTAGCCAAGGGGCCAATTTTTGACATTTTTGTATTCAGCGAAGCGTTGCCGCCTCAGATCGGGTGCCATGGATGGAAACAAGTGTTAGTCTGAAAGCATGGTGTCCGGAGAGTATAGCGGGTGCGGGAACACCTCCCACCCCGCCGGTTCTAGGGTGTTTTCGACCGTTTTTCAACATGGGGTTTCACGTCATCATGCAGCAAAATAAAAAAATTTCTTTCCGACCGCTTTAATCATAGCTATTCCTTCAGTTGCATCAGTTATTGTTGATAACGGATGCCAGTAACCGTTCTACCGGTTTTCAAGAGCTCTCAGTAAAGAACATCTTGTTTATGTCATATTATACAGAGCAAAGCTTTCTCCCCGGTAATGATAGACAGCACGGTCGCTTGCGCTCCGGGTTGTCAAAATCGATTGATTGTGCGTCCCGGATCACTAAATGAAACAAAAATGACTTTCTCCCCGTCTGCCTGTCAAAATTTCGCATGTTCTCCATGTTGCGTTAGGTCAGTCCGTATGAGACTCAAGTCTCTTCTGTTTGGTTCATCCCCATTTGATGTAAACTGAGTGAAACTCCTTTCTGCGTCACGTGCAGCTTTTCGGCTAACTTTTACTGCATCCGGCCGTCGGCTTTAACCAATATTCTCCATCTACCAACTTTTTAGGTGGGTTTGGAAATCTCCGGTTTTGAACCGTTGAAGCCATTCCCAACTGATTTTTTAATCAAAGCGCGATTAACTCAAGCTATCATGAGCGTTCAATGCATCATCGGCGTTTTTGCTCACATTACACGTGCAGAATAAAGTTCCCCGCAAACGACACTTTCTTAAGGCGAAGTTGGTCATGTTTGAAGTCTTATAAAGGTCTTGATATAAAGCCCTGCCATATGAGACATATATCAGTAGATAGCGTTTTCAGCGTTCTTTCAGATGCTCTAAACAAAAATTGCGAAATTGTATTTAAACCTGCGAAAAACGCAAAATAAAAAAACGACAAAGTCATACTTCTAGACCTAATACAACATACCCTATGCCCAGAACCTCCCAAAAATGTCTTTCAACCCCTCCAAAGCCCCCAAAACCACTTACGCAGCCAAGAACACATGTCGTCCTCGGTTGGCATAGTCTTCGGCGACCATTAGGGGTGTTGGCAAGGCCGTGGCGCGGCCCACAATCTGATGTTCGTAGCACAAAGCATGTGAGAATCCTTCGATGGTATCCAGTGTAAAGGCCGGCTCATTCAAGAGTACAGTGAACCTTGGAGCTCTGGCGGATCCCTTGATGGCTGTGTGTGGTACCAGGAAGAACTGTGTGTAGATTGGATGCACAACTTTGGTGTCGACCACGGTGCCAGGCGGCACATTAAATTGATGGTCTCTGGAGTCGGGACGCGGCCTTGGGAACTCCAACGGGAACAGCGACAAGTTGTTGGCTTTTTGCACTGAGATCACACACAGCGGGATCTCCACGTCGTTGTTGGCTTCTCGAATTCCCTCCTTCATCAGCGGCACCGACAGCTTCAGGAGGTTGTCGAATTGGCCTTCCGCCACGCCGGAATAGTAGAATACAACACTCTCCGGGGCATGTCCGCGGTTCTCCTTGAAGTGGGCCACGCATCGCTTCGTCAACAAGATCAATCGGTTGTAGATTTCCAGTCTAAAAAAATTTTTATTCATCACCTTGATATCTAAAACAATGTCCGAAAACACTCTTCAAAATGGAAATTCAGCAAAAACGCACTAGATATGATAAAAAGAGATCAGTAAATGTGCAAAAAGAAACAAAAAAAAATTTTTCAAAAAAAAAATATGATCAGGGGGGACCAAGACCAAAAATTAGCAAAATTTCCAAAAAAAAGTTGCGTAAAAGCCAACCAAAGTTACAAATAAAAAACATAAATCTTTAAAACACCCTCTATCGTACCTCAGCTAACTTCTACAAACTCTTTTTTTGCTATTTTTTCCAAAAAATCAAAAAAAAATATGATAAGGGGGGACCAAGACCAAAAATTGGCGAAATTTCCAAAAAAAAGTTGCGTAAAAGCCAACCAAATTTAAAAATAAAAGACAAAAATCATTTAAACAATCCTCCATCGTACATCAGTTAACTTTTTCAAACTCCTTTTTGCCACTTTTCCAAAAAAAAAATTTTTTAATTTTCCCTTGGTCCCCCTTACCCAATTTTTCCCAAAATTCAACTTCCCAAAACTCCCAAACTCTCCATTCCTTACCTATAGGCATCAATGTACATGAAATCACCAGCAAAAGTGTCCTTGTCCTCGCATATGTTCGCACAATACCCAAGGACTCCGGGCTTTTCGTTCTTTTTGGCGCCTTTTCCTTGCGCCTTATCCACGGCGGTCTTGGATCCGGGCTGTGAGTTGGAGATGCCGATGAACAACGTTTTTCCGAGTTGTTCTTGGACTTCGGCGGTTCCGGCTCTAACACTGTAGTTGACGCCCCCCAATTTGAGGTTCGTTTTTGCGATCAAATTCTCCAGTGTGGCTCCGGCGCGTTGGATCACCTTTCGCACGGTGTTTTCGCGGATGTCTTGGGTGACGACCGTCTTGAACTTGTGTTCGGCGTGCTTCATGGAGTCTGAAATTTTATAAAACTTAGAAAAAATTCACAAAATCCAATGATATCAAATCTCAAAATCATCGTATAAAATGTCTCCTAGATAAAAATGAATGCCAAAATAAAGAAAAATACCGCTAAAAGCCTAAAAGTAAGCTCAAAAAGGTGTGCGGACTAAGCAAAAATTGAAATTTTTCAAAAAATTTTAAAATTTCAAAAATTAAAAATCATCGTATAAAATGTCTCCTAGATAAAAATGAATGCCAAAATAAAGAAAAATACCGCTAAAAGCCTAAAAGTAAGCTCAAAAAGGTGTGCGGACTAAGCAAAAATTGAAATTTTTCAAAAAATTTTAAAATTTCAAAAATTAAAAATCATCGTATAAAACGTCCCCTGTGCCAAAACCAACTCCAAAATCAATAAAAACAGTTCTCCAAGGGTCCAACACTAAACTCAACAAAGTATGTTAACGGGGGAGCAAGCAAAAACAGAAAATTTCAAAAAGTAAAAATCATCGTATAAAATGTCCCCTATGCCAAAACGAACTCCAAAACCAAGAAAAACAGTTCTCCCAGGGTCCAACACTAAACCCAAAAAGGGTATGGTAAGACGGGCTCCACCAAAAATATAAAATTTTCAAAAATTAAAAATCATCGTATAAAATGTCGCCAAAAAATTCAATTTTTCCCAAACCCTACCATGAGCAGTCTTGATGGACTCCGGACTGATGAAATAGACCAAATCCACTCCATGTTCGGCATTCTGGGCGATGACGTCATCCACTTCATAGTCAAAGATCCACCTGGTGTCGGCCAACTGTCCAATATCCATTCCGAACCTGTTGGCGGCGGTTTTCAGGTGCTGTTGGAGGCGTTTCTGGTCCGCTTCGCAGATCGCGGGCTCCATCTGGCCTTCGGTTCCGATCACATACAAGCTGTAATTCTTGATTCTGGCGCCTCGAACAAATGGGAGCTGGTCCCAGGCGGCCTCGCCGTTTTTGAGATGGCTCACTCCCGAGCTGTACTCCATGACTGGGGCCGGGAGTTGGCGGGCTTGGACCTTCATCACGTCTTTGGAGAACTTCACACCAGACGCCTCCGTATAGGGCGAGTCTCTGAGCTTGATTGCGGCCGCGCCCGCTCGCGACTCATTCACCAACACATCCGGGCGGACCGCAGCAATCTGAAACATAGCAATCACACATCGGACACCAAAAAATTTCAAAATTATTATATTACACTAGGCAAAAAAATCCTCAATTTCACCCCAAAACTAGCAAAACTAAAACAAAACGACCTAATTTAGACAGTTTAGGTCAAAATAAGACCATCAAAATTCTATATTACACATTTTCATAAAAAAATTATATTGTACTAGGCAAAAAATTTATACAAACTTAAGAAAAAAGCACATCTTAAATCCAAAAACAGCTAAAAAATGGTCTAATAAAAGCGAATAAACCATGAAATTTTACAAAATTCAAGAAAAAAAATCAAAATTTTTATCAAAAAACCGACTCAAAGCCTCAAAAAATTTTCCAAAAAACTGCCAAAACAATTTTTCAAAGGCCAAGCGTAGCTCAAAATTCCTTCTGCTACTCTACAAAAGTTCCATCTCAACCAAAAAAATTCCTAAAAACCAAAAAAAATCTCAAAAATTTACCTTGATCATGGCCGCCTTCTCTCTGGCTTCCATTTGTTTCTCCAAAACCAACTGATTATCAGCGACGACAAGCATTTCCGGTGGATAATAAATGTGTTGGCCCTTGTTTTTCACCAAAACAGCGTGACAGCGGGGCATTTCCAGTTTGATGCCTTGTTTGTAGAAGTACTCCTCCAAACTGCAGCCAATCGACGGGTTCATGGTGGTGCAGTTGGATCGATGGAAGCCGGACACCTCGATTCTTCTGGACTTGTTGTGGGTTACATTGAAGACAATCTTTCGCAGGACCGCAGTGATGTGTCCCAGGTCTCGATCCGAGGCTTGGCCTCGAATAAAATCGTTGTAATAACGCCGGAGACTGGCATGTTGATGGATGTAGTCGATCAGGTTCAAGCATGAGTGGAAAGGCGATCGGCGAGCTTAAAAAAATCAAAAAATTTTAAAAAAATTGATATTGTACTATAAAACAACGTCAAAATTTACTATAAAAAGGTCGATTTCTAAACAATTGTGTTTCTAAATAACACCATGAGGGCCTATTCCATCACCTAGCAGAAAAAAATCCCAAAAATTCCTTTGATTTCCCTAATTTATGACCAAAAACGTAAAAATTATGGATCAAAAACGTAAATTTCCAAATCCACCTTGTTTTAGCCCAACTTTCCTAAAATTTCCAACAAAAATATTCCAAAACACTTACTTTCCAACAACATTCCGACTGCATTTTGGCCTTCAGACCAACCCTCAATGTAGCATCCACTTCTTTTGACTCCAGCGGCCAAATATTTCGTTTGCCCTTCATCCAGCGGCACTTCCTCGAGGCCGTACTTGGCGGCATCGACCACATAGGCAGTTGATCCCCTTAGGGAGAGGAATTGCTTTCTAAAATTCGAAAATAAATGCATTTTTACGCGAAATTTTGCAACTGTTTTGGAGCAGATGTCTAAAACAATATAAAAAATTTCACAACTCACTCCGAGAACATTGGTGTCTGATTGACGATGAGCTCGATGATGTTGAGGATGCTTCGGTCCTTCTTGCCCGTTTCCGGGTTGTGAATGGTGGACAGGTCGCCCAATTCAATCACATTGGACTTGGCCTTCTTGATCAGGATGTCGATCCGTCGGATTCCCTTGAAAACCGCTCTTTCCTCTTCGCTGTTGATGTCGGCAATGTCGATGGTCAAGGTTAGCGTATCATCGGGCATTGGGAGGGGTTGAAGTGAGTACAATGTGGATTGGAGATCATAGTAAACGGCGTGGGGATCCCTTCCGAAAAAGTCGGGATGGTTGTGGAAAATAACTCGCCATGTTGTCCGGCAAACATTCACTCTGTCTGCGATAACCAACCTATAAAGCGCTCAGTAGAATATATTTTCTATCCGCAGCCTCCACAGCCATCAAAACATTGTTTTAGCTCAAAAATTTCTCAAAATTTAGCTACAACAACATCAGCTGATATTATCCATGACCAAAAGTCTACCAGCACTCTATTCATCCCGATCCATACATCATTAGAGACCTAAAGACGCAAGCAACAATATTCAAAACAACTTACGATTCCTCGGACTTCTTTGTGAACTCAACAGTCTTATCCTTGGGAGTCACACCGGAAATTGTCATATCGTACCGATAAATCTTTCTGTCGGGAACTTTGACCGCATACATGTTTGTGGCCACCGTGAAGGGCTTTCCAACCGTTCCTGGAGCTGGTTTGGGCATCACACTCGTGTCACCTTCCTTCAAACTGAGTGACTTGAGAAGCTCAACGGCTTCATTTTCGATTTTTGTCTTCTCTGTGAGCGTGTTTTTGTTGGGGTTCAGAGTAGTCTTTGGCCCAGAAGACATGGTGTTAGAGACCTTTGATGACAGAAGACCTGAAAAAAATTATAATCCAACCTAGTGCAATATAAAAAAATGTTTTAAATTCGCGGCAAAATCGCTTGAGAAGGTCATCTCCAGAATACAAACGGGAAATTGAGCAGTGCTGCACAGTAGAAAGCCCTCAGATCTGAATAAGAGATCTCTTTGTCTAGTGTAATATAACGAATGCAAAAAAAAAGAAAAATCACGCCACAGACTTGGGCAACAATAACACATAAGAAGCGCGGGCAATAAAAGCCCGATTAGAATGCCTAATACGAACATAAAAGAGGGAAATCATACCCCCGGACATCTGGACCTTGTGCAATATAAAAGTTGCGCAAATCCGGAATAAAAACGCCTCAAATTCGATTTGACAGATATAATTAGACGCGCTATAATTTTTAAACAATAATTTAGCGGTCTTAAAATAAAATTCCTCCTATATTTTAGTAATACCTAGTACAACATCGACACCTCCCTAAAACAATATTCTCGCTGCGGCACTTTCCGTCAATCCGTTTTTTACCTTCCATAACTCATAAAAACCACATATAAAAAATCCTGATAACAAAAATGACCAAGAACATGCCAAACGAACACTTTTTTTCGAACAGGCCAAGGATAACAGAAGCACGTTCCGAAAGACCGAAAAAAGAGACTCGGCAGCCATGTTGCAAATAGGAAAGAGGGAAAAAGCCTCCTCGCAAACACACAAAAGGTCACTTCGTTCGGGGTGGAGTGGCGAATGGCAAGGCCGGCCATAAAATTTCCACAAAAAAGAAGGAGACGATCGGGCCCCGGAAAATGTGTTGGCCGATCGTTTTGTAAGACAGAACGCCGACTCCAAGACGAATTCAAAGCGAATCAACACTGTGGAGAAGCTGGATGAATAAAGGCCGGGTGTTTATTTGGGAAAATAAGCGGGGAACAGCGGAATTTCGGAGCAAGAGGAGAGGACCTAAAGTAATATCGAAAAACGCGGGAAAATTGGGGAAAATGACGGAGAAAGCGCATGCACTGCTGTCAGACTATCTGAAAGAGCCAAATAGCTGAGGATCAGACCGTTTTTCCGTCAAAATTAGGTAGGACAATACAAAACTTTGGATGCCATGGATAAGATCTAAAATAATGTCAAAAAACAAGTAAAAACATCAAAAAAACTGTTGCGAAAACAAATATTACGGTGTAAAAAAGAATTTACGACTGATTTCCACCTACCAAAACCCTCTAATTACCTTCTGGCAGCTGCAAAAACCCAGAAACCTCCGCAATTTCCTCACTGACACATTTTCTGGACAACTCGGGAAAATGCGTCATCACAATTACAAAAGCCAACCTTCCGGTGTATTTTATGACGAAATAAATTTTAGTCAACGTCTATGAGACATCATCACGCGATTTTGGCATGGTTTACATGAACTATCAGAAGAATTAAAGGTGTCATTATGACGGATTTTCTGGAATTCCGAATTAAACGGAAATTTGGTGATTCCTGCGAATGTCCTCGAGCGAAACCTATCGTATGTGTTACGTGAAGAGCAATACATGCCAGATAAACAAGATAAGATCTGTTTTTGCGCGAGCTGATCGGGAAATTCACCTAAAACAATGTTGCTGTTGTCAGCAAACAGAAAAATTTGAAATTACAAAGCTACAATTGAACCTGAACATGTTGAAATGGGATTAATAGACCTTCACCGTCTTCTAATCGAAAAAATAGATATAAAAAACGAGTCCTCCCATTAATCATCAGATAATTTATATTGCACATGGTATCCTGCGGAGTCGCAAAAAGTGCACATAAAAAGTCTCAATACAGCTGTCGCACTACCGATTATATCTCAGAGAGTCTCATCGCGACTTTGACAGAAATTTTTAGCGGTATCTCGGAAAGAGAGAGGCTTTACGATCTTGTTTTAGCTAAAGTAATATAATTTAAGGTAATGTTGGCTGTAAATATTGACACAAAAACAGACTCTTCATATTTTTGACGCTTCTTCTGCCTCTATGATTTCTTGGACATTTCTTAACATTCGGCATGCAGCGTAACAATATTACGTACATATAATGTACGTCATTAAAGCTTTTTCGGAATTTTCGACCTGGCGGCGTTATAGAAAAAGAAAATCGCCCAAAATCTCGCGTATGTACGTTTTCGACTACTGGAAATCCAATTTTCTAAAAATTAAGTTTCTCCGATAACGGTAACATAGGTATATTGCAATCCGGTCGATAAAAATTGACCGTAACACCTTCGTAACAAAAAACCGACAGAATTTTATTTCAGATTCGGAATCAGCATAAAATTCTGCATATTATACACATAATGTGATGCCGTAACTCTAGGGGGGAGATTGCGTAGTATATTGGATTTTGGCAAAAATTACGTTCAAAAGGTCGCGGGTTCGATCCCCGATTGGTGAAAATAGTGCAAACACGACGGAAATCGCATTTAACGGAATAAAAACTCGCTTTCTTTGTTTTTGCCCAAAATTACCGTACGACGACATACTGTAACATCTTTTTTTTTAAGAAAAGATATGCCCTAATCGAGAAAATTAAGCATTATTTTAGCGCAAATCGAGTTCAGGTGTATGTTTTCGACTATGTAGAACATTTCTGTAATTATCGCTAAAGACAAAAAATCACATCTAAGCTATATTACACTTGAGGAACATACCATTTCGAGCATAAAACGGGCTACTGTAACCAGAAGCACTTTTAAATACGCTAAAAATAAACCTCAACTTTCATCCAATAAACCACAGAAACTTCAAAAAAAAAATCAAATTAACAACTTTTGAGATACGGCGCATTCAATCTCTCATGTACAAAGTCATCAGAACCCCAGAAGCTGAAATTATTGGGGTTTGAATGGGAAGTACTTTTTCATAGTTTCCAGTACATTCTTAGCTTTGTCAACGATGATGCTGCAAGTTTCAGATGAAAAAAGTGCACAACCTTTTAGTCCTTTTACTCTCAAGGGAAGTACCCCAAGTGCAACGCTCGGATTTTCTTTAAATTTTGAACACACGTCGGGCATGAACTATATAACAATTCCTGAAAGTTTTAGCTCGCGCCTTTCAAGCGCCGCCGAAATATTGAACGATCTTTGCCGGCGAGAGAGTACGCTAAACATGGAGAGCGGACAGAGGGAAAACATCTTTTGGCCATAACGTTGCCAGTTTCGTGCGGCAAAAATTGATTTTTTGTGGAAACATTACCCTGTATGGTAGAAATAGGCATAAAACTTTTCGTGCCGAAATTCAGCAAAAAGTGTTAAAATTTCGCCAACTTTCGATCAAAAAATCTCGGTTGTTTCTGCAAAGCGCGAGCTTGGATTCTCGCATATTTTTGAGAAAAAAATATTCTAAATTTGAGCCAAGTTTCATCAAAATCTGAGCATTGCACTTGGGTACTTCCCTTGTCAATAAAAAGCTGAAAAAGGAGGCTATTTTTCGTATAAAATGTCTCCCAGAAACCGCAGTTTGAAAATCCGCGCATTGCGCCCAAATTCTCGGCCAAAGAGGAAAGAATCTCGGAAGTGGAAGGTTCCGCAAGAACGGCCGATTTTTCGAACATTTTCACTTGAAAATCAACCGCTTTTCGAAAAAAACGAAGATCAATTTTCAAAAAGTTCATTTTCCCACAAAGTTTACAGAATTTGCATAAAGTTTTTCAGAATTTGCATAAAAATGCGTGTCGTCCGTGGAAAAAGTTTTCTTTCGTCGTGTTGTCGCCACGCGGTCAGTTTCTTCAAATTCTGTCCTGCTGAACGGTCGAACGTGACCTATTCTACACGGCCATGGATCTTGGCAAAGTCGCAACGATCATCCAGGCTCTGAACGCCTGCGAGGTGCTGTTCGGCGATGTCAAGCCGAACCGCTTCGAAGTGAAGTCGTTCAAGATGACGGAAGGCCAGATCGAGCTGTTCGCCACAAAGGATAACGCGGCTTCATTTGAAACGTAAGCGATTTTTTTATTATTTTTTGTAATAGTATAATCTTTTCTATTTTATCTGTTTTCAGTGTCCCAATCAATTACACTGGTCCTGCTTTCAAAGAAATTCAATTGCAAATGTCGATCCAAGGAAACAAGACAATTGTCGGAGGTCAAGTGGTCAATGGTATTTTGTAAGTTTGCGGCCTGGCCCGTTTGAGGAGGAACCGTTTAGACTTTTTTGGGCGCATTTAGCGCACTCATCTGGGGGAAAAACGAAAATGGGGTTAGTTTAAGAAGCAACTTTTGAACATCGCTTTTGGGCTAATTCTAAAAAGGGGATTTTTACCGATTTGGGCACGGATATTGTCGCTTCTAGTTGAGTTAGTATGATCGTGCCGACCCATCATTTCAATCAAAAAAAGATCAATCTTATATCAGTCTGTCGGGAAAATAACGGCGGGTCGTCGCAGCAAAATGTCTCGCCTCGCCGCTATCGCAGCCCAAATCCCAAGCCGCCGCTTGCAGTCGCAAAGCGTTGATGAGGGATTCCGAGGCGCGACGATCCGCCGTTATTTTTCCGAAAGACTGATAGCTGCTTATGTTTCCGTTATTTTTTAGAAATTGTGCGGTGATTGGAGACGACAAGGAATTGATACAGGTCGCCAATTGTAATAATGACTACTGCGCATATCTGTTTGAAGACGCGGTGTATGTGATCTTCAATTCTCCTTCAATGCATTCTCAAGTGTACAAGGGTCCAGGGCAACTAGATATGGAAAAAAAACAGCCTAACATCAGTTGCGCCCATCGATTTGGAGTGGATGACGTGAAGCGTGCGTTTTACTTCAAGAAGAACGGCACATGCATGCATGAGTTCTTTGACGGCTTCAAAAATCCTTGGAGTCCAGCGGAATGTGATAGCTTCGTCCCTATCACTTTGGAGCCGGACACTCCCACGCAATTTTATCATCTGGTGAGTCTGTGGGAAAGTTTTATAGATTTTTTGGCGCTATGAGATACTATATAATTGTTGTATAAATTTTTTGTTTCAGCGACACCTCATGATTGTAACCGGCTGCCAGATGCCCCGATTGATCACGGAGAACATGATTGATAACACCTTTATACAGTTCACCTTCATCGATCCGACTGTGACAACAACGTGAGTTTTTGTGTTCATAATATATATTATCTCTGACTTTTCCAGCATCTCCACGAGTACAACCATTGATGAGGCCGCGGAAATGAGACTCCTTGCGCTGGTAGCCGGATGTGTGGGAGGTGGAACTCTGCTTGTTTTGGTAGCTACCCTAATCGCCGTTTTTTTGGTGAGTTTCCTGGAGTTTTTATCTATGCACACTTTAATTTTTGTATTTGATTTAAAAAATTTTTGACTTTTAATTTTTTTTTGTTTCAGAAATGCCTTGGGATAAACATTTGCTGCTGCAAGAAGAAGAAGAAGGTGGCCCCCAAGAAAGCGCCCCCCGTGCCCGTCCGAAGACCCCCACAGCCCTATGACCTGTATCCGGAGTACAGTATGGACGAGAAGACGAAAAGCATCAAAGCGGAGCCGAAGGTGGAAAAGAAAGTGGCAAAGAAGCCGCGAAAGAAGAAGGTGAAGCCGGAAGAGAAGCCGAAGGTGGTGCAGGGAATTGACAGCAAAGAAGTGGACTGCGCTCAGGATTCGATGGGGTAAGTTTCTGCAGTTCAAATTTTTTGAAATTTAGGCTTGGACTGGAGATTAAAATCAATTTGAAATTTTTGAATTTTTGTTCGAAAAGATCTCCCCTTTTCTGAACTCTCCCCCTCATTTTGAAAATTGAAAAATTGGGTGTGACATGTTATACGATGGAATTTTTTTCCAATTGAAAAGAATAAGATGTGACATGTTATACGATGGATTTTTTTTTCAAATTGAGAAAGAAATTTCATTATATAACATGTCACACCTAATTTTTTCAATTTGACAAGGAAAGTACTTCTATGGGGTGTGGAGTTACAGGTCGAGATATACATCAAAAAATTCGCAAAAATTTTCTGATTCAGAATATATAAAAATTAGCTGCCTAATTTTGGTCTGATGACATGTTTTTGTCCTCAGAAGTTTTCTCGCGACACCATGCAAGTGTCTTTTTGACCGTGTTTTTACCAATAAAAAATTTTTGTTTTGTGCTAAAATAAATTCTGAGGCCTTGACAAGCCTTAAAATATCAAATTAGATTACAACTACACCTTAGAAGTAGTTCCAACGTAAAAAATAGGTTCTAGTGTGGCAAAAGGAATCGAACCCGTCCCCTTCGGATTCCCAATCTAGCGCTCTAACCACTCGGCCACACCGCTCTCTTCCGAAGGAAGAGACCGAGCTCGCTTTTGTTGCCGCAGATTTTTTTCCTCGAGAAATACATTTATTGATAAAACTCGTTGACAAACCAAAATTAGGCAGCTAATTTTTATATATTCTGAATCAGAAAATTTTTGCGAATTTTTTGATATATATCTTGACCGGTAATTCCACACCCCATAGAAGTACTTTCCTTGTGAAAAAAATTTTCATCGTATGACCGTAAGGGGGAGAGTTCAGGCTCAACCGAAAATTTTTGCAGAAAAAAGTGATTTGCGGTCTTTTTTTGACCACTTGCTTTTCAGAAACGTCGACGAGAACCTGAAATCCATGAATCCATTGGACCACATGCCTATCGACGATTTGGAGAATGTCAAGTTGGTCAATGATCCCGAGTTTGACGGGAAGGTCCCCGAGGTCTTGGAGAACGTCCGAACCTACGTGTACGTGAGGAAGCTGGGCCAGGGCGGTTTCGGCGCGGTCTACAAGTACCGCGTGGGACACATTGGCGATGAATTTGTGGCCATCAAGTTTGTGAAGGCGTCGAATGTCGAAGAACTCCGCTACGCCAAAAAGGAATTCATGCAGGCCCGGCAGATCGAGCGGCTCTTGGGAGAGTGAGTTTGGGCGGGGAATTGGTCTTATACAGTGTGAAAAGGCTATTTTTTGCACAGCAATTCTTTATTATGCAATTTTTGGAGACTTTTGAGTTTTAAAATCTTGGAAAGTTTGATATTACCTTGTTTTATTAGCCATTTTGGATTCTTTTCAGCCAAGACACCTTGATCGTGACGATCTTGGGAATAGGCCGCAACGTGAGCGCCATGTACATGGTCATGCCCTTCTACTACCGGACCTTGACCTTCCTTATGTACGAGGATGAGCCGCTTCAGCTCCAGAAGAAATTGATCATCGCCTACCATTTGTTGCGGCCAATTTTGCAGCTCCAAAAGGTGAAGTACGCTCACTTGGACTTGAAACCGGATAATTACATGCAAAGGAGTCCCTATTCGAATGCGGTAAGGACTTGGTGTTTTTGTTGCGTTATTGCCATTTGTTATTCATTCTTTTGTGATGTCATTTTCAGTGTATTCTTTGCGACTTTGGACTGGCCAGACGTTTCGGTTGTAAGCGCGGCGGCGCCGAAGGCAGCGCCGACTACATGTCAGTGGCGTCCCATACCCATCAACGCGTCACCCTGTTGGACGATATGCAGTCGTGGCTGATCACGCTGATAGCCATCTTTCGGCAAGACCTTCCGTGGAGACTTGAAGGGAACCCGAGGGTGAGACCAACCTTTTTTGGCCATGATTGTTTTGCTTTTAGATCAACTCAAAAGGGGAGGAGTCGGAGACGGGGTTGCACACCGATCAGGCCGATTACAGGGACAAGTTGTTCTTGAAGAACTTGTACTTTGAGAGTGTTGGGCGAAGTTCTGTCCAGGACACGGTTATCTGCGATTTGGCCGAAATGATCTGGTTCAAGGACAGGAGAGATATGATCAGCATGAAGCAGGTGCTGGCCTATATGGACAAGGTGAGTAGATGCAAAAAAATGGGAAATTTGCATATTCAAAACTTTATGCAAATTATTTTGTATATACGAAACTTGTCTTTCTTTTTACTCTCCGAATTTTCAGCTCCCAGAGAAGTACAATTTCAAGTACACGGATTATTGGTTCGACGAAAGGGTCAAGTACAAAGACGTCAAATTAAGTCAAGCCGATGACGTTACCCAGAAGTCTTCCGGAGAATCTAAACCCTCTAAATGAAACAGGAGTTTTTAAAAAAAAATATAGGTTTTACAGTAGAGTTTTTTAAAAATAAAGTTTTTGTAAGATTTACTGTTGCGTTCGTAAAAGGTAGGGGTGGTTGGTAAACATGAACGCTTTCCCATGAACGTGAGAATGAAAATAGAAGAAAAAGGAAATTTTATTCGGGCCTGGGCGCAACACTGCTGGTCGGGTCAGGTTTTCTCATGGGGTGGTCAAGTCTTCCCACCAAATATTATTTTTTCCTCGAACTTCAGTCAGTTATCGGAGATAAGTCATGGGAAATCTGGCCAGTTCTTGTTTATTATTTCAAGAACAAGTTCTAATTTATTTTTAGAAACCAACTTTGATGGGATTACGTTGTGATTTTCATACAAATTTTGGCATTCTATCTATCAAAACATAATTGGGCAGGCTTTTAGACATTTTCTTCATGTCCAGATTTGATGCAGACTTTAGGTAGTGATGAAATATAACGCTCAAACTATGCGAAATATTTATAAAAATCAAGGGCAATACTTTGAAGGATCATCGAACACGTAGTTTTAACTATTCGTATAAAATGTCTCTCGCAGACTGCAGTTTGAAAATACGAAGACTGCGCCCAAATTGTTGGCCAAAAAGGGAAGAAACTTGGAAATGGCCAAAAGAAACGTGGACAGCTCGCCAATAAAGCCATTTACGGGCGTTTTTGTTGTTTCCAGACCTCAGTTTTCTTTGTTTTCAACACTTTTGTCGTTCGGGATCAATTATTGTATATTACACTAAGTTTTTCCAACGAAAAAGCCTATTTTCAACACCCGGAGTAAGGCTATGTTATGTTGAATGACCTTGTGTCGCTGGTTGACCACTGACGACCTCCATAAGCGGTCAATTACACGGCTCTTGTTGTTTTTTCCCCGTTTTATGAGCGGCTTATCGGGAAGTGATGCTTTTTCGTATAATTCTGCTGTGTTGTGTGCGAAAATGGCTGCTAAGCGCTCTTTACCAGCTGCTTTAGGTTATCAATCGGTTTTTACGAGAATTTTTGACCATCTTTCTTGATTCTTTAGAATTTTTATATTATTTTAGACGAATTTTGTGGAAGAATTTGTTTAGGTCAATGTGCAAAGTAGACGGTGTTTTGGGTGGAGTGTTATACATCATTTAAAAGCCCGTGAAGAGTAGAATGAATGAGTATGTTCGTATTTGGCTGAGTGGATTCATTGTGGTAGAAATTTTCGCCTGAAATATGCTTGCTCGTCCATGTGTAAGATAATGTAAACTTGATGGGTTTATGAATTTTTGAACGTTTCTTTCTTTGAAATAATATCCGCATTTAGTTTTAGGCTTACAAGAATATATCCCTGGGTTTTTAGAAGGCGGAGAAATCATAAATTTCTTTATCTTGCACATGTACCAACATCTGATATTTCGACAGCTATTTCTGGAATCCTAAGAGCGTTTGACGAAAATGCCGGCGAATGTTCGAAACTATGCTTCGCGAGGTTTCGATTGATATATAAACCTTGTTGTTTCAAACTATGCTTCATACAGATTTCTTCAGTTCTCTCGGTTAGTCATGTACAATATCCAAGCTTTGTTCTGTACTCGTTCCGACTATAAAAATTGGTAATTTTTTTCGCCTCACCGCCAATTCGATTGTTTTCCGTCGTTAAAAACAATTAGTATCAACGCAGTAACGTGGAATGTCCTGTTTACACGGACGAATTATACAGTCGAGCGGAGGGATTTTTGTGTTTTAGGAAGGCAGAACTCTTGCCCATTGTACAACAGGGGATGCAAATTGGCGCTTTGCGATTTATGATGACAATTGGAAGCGATTCTTTGGGGCGGCGATTACACTGGGCGCTTGTGTTTTGTGCTTGCAGGGTTTCGCGGGCCTTTTTGTGGCGATTTCTCTTTATAAAAGGCGGGGTTGGAATAGATTATAATCCGTAAGATGCTATAAATAGCATAGTGAAGGTGTTGGAAACTGTGTTAGTCAGATGTGCTTGGAGTTTTGCCAGTTTGACAAAAATTTTGGGATTACTTGATGTCTAGTATAATATTGGAATTTGTACTGTAAATCGGTTGAGAAATGTGGAGTAATACCTGTCGGTTGAAAGCCAGTGAAAGTTACTATTATAAGATACCTTTTATTTTTTCCTGAGGTTCTTGGAATTTGGGTTTGAAGTATTGTCAACAAACGTCAAGGTGAATATATTTCGAGGCTGAATTTCTCGAGTAGCAAAAGCATTCGGCAAAAATTGAAAGGATTTTCTAGTAGTACCTTTCATGGACTTTTTTATGAACTATACTGCTTTTTCTTTGGCTCTCCGCATCTTAGTGAATTTCGTATATTACACAAGATAAGCTTTGAGTAAAAAAAGTATCAATGGATATCATTACAGACCTTTTGGTTGGTTCAGAATAAATTTTAGAGTTGTTAGAGATGCCATGAGAGTTATTTTGACCCCAAACTTTTTTTTGATTCATCCAATTTTGACCTTGTTTAGCCGAAATCACCTAAGGTTCCAATTTCTTCGAAAAAGTTTTAAGCAGTTCCCTTAAAGTTGATGTAATTACTAATTTTTCCCTGGGAATCATCAATTACGTTTAACTCGATTAAACACCAAACACGCGCTGTAAACAAAAATATTGACGTAAAAAGTGGCTTGAAAGTTTCATTTTCACGGAAATCATTTTTTGAAGAGGGCATGGAAGAGAAACAATTTCATAAATCGGAACGTTGGAGTTGAAAGTGATGGACGAGAAATCATTTCCGGCCCTCTTATTACTTTTTCTTTTCGATTTTACTTGGGAGGTTTGGAATTGGGAGCTTTTTATGCAGAATGAAGTCTAAAATGATTATTTTTGAGATTTTTTTGATTATTTGTGGATAGAGAAGGTTGGGAATGCTGTAAAATGACTGAATCTTTTGATGTAAGGGCTTTTCAGTTTGTTTTGATCAACTTTTGAATAAAATGACCTGAAATCGTCTAACATTAGGAGCAAAATGGTGTGTTTTATCAAAATTCGGATGATTTCTTTTGATTTATGGACAGACTAAGTCAGGGTCGACTGTAAACTTAAAGAATCTTTGATTTTGAAGTTTGTCTGACTTTGTTTTTGGGATTTTTTTGACAAGGAAAGTACTTCTATGGGGTATGGAGTGACGGGTCGACACATACATCAAAAAAATCGCAAAATTTTTCTGATTCAGAATATGTAAAAATTAGCTGCCCAAGTTTGGTTTGTAAGGGCGAAAAAGCTTCAGAAATTTTCTCGCAATATCACGAATGCCTTTTTGATCAAGTTTTTATCAACTCAAAAGTTTTTGTTTTGAGCTTTTTTTTACATTCTGCTATTAAGGTGCAGTCTTAATTTAATTTGATATTTTAAGGCTTGTCAAGAAGCCAGGGTTTACCTTAGCTCAAAACAAAGCTTTAGATTTGGTAAAAACTTGGTCAAAAAGGCATTTGCGTAGTGTTGCGTGAAAAGTTCTGGGGTTTTTTCGCCCTTACAGACCAAAATTGGGCAACTAATTTTTACATATTCTGAGTCAGAAAAATTCTGCGATTTTTTTGATGTATGTCTCGACCTGTAACTCCATACCTCATAGAAGTATTTTCCTTGTGATTAAAATTACTTAGCATCTACCGTAATATCATAAAATTGCAAAGCTGATGATTTTCCTACAGTTTATTCGCAAATCTATCGTGTAATCGAATTAGACGCCTTTTCACACTAAACAGTTTTGTAAAAATCAGTCCGTTTTTTTATTGTAACACCTGTAATCGGCTAATTAACTCCTCCTCCCCTCTAATTTTGTATGCTCCCAAACACAACTCCCCAAATCACTGTATACGGTGAAAACACCTTTCATTTTGAACTTGAGCGTATGTAGTGTGAGTCTGTTTACGTTTCGGTCCATTTTCGCGAACCCAGCGGAGTTTGCTCCATTCAAAAACAAGGTACATTCAAAAAGAAGGGTAAAATTTGGTTTCTAATGTAAATATTGGAAGAGATGGGATTATACCCGAGCCCTGGGCGGAACAATAGACACGTACTGTAGAAAAGGTCTGGATCACTGATCATTACATACTATTTTTAAAATTTTTTGTCGAGAAATCAGTGAGGGGTCCAAGGGAAAATTTTTTGAAAAAATGGCCTTCTCTTGCCATAGTTTTAATTTTCTTCAACTGTTATGTTGTATTTGACTTCTCATTATTTATTCTAGCGATCCAGATGAATCCCGCTTTTTGCCAACCAGTTTGATGATTATTTTTGACCTTTCGTATAAAATGTCACCTTCTAAAATTCGTGGTGAAATCGAAAATTTTGACTGATTTTATCGCGAGAGGACCATTCATAGGCTATCAGGAGACGAATTTTTATTTATCTTCTCATTTCAGTGACCATTCAATACACTACCTGATACTAACGTCTACTACAATATCAATATGAATTATAAACAGGTAAGGAAAACTTTGTGGTAAATAATGAATTTTAAAGCTGTTTTTGTGGTAGTATTATAGCTATAGAATCAAAAGGAAAAAAATTGTAGGGGAAAAAATTGTCGACCAGTCGAAAAATTTTTTTTGACCGTCTAAAGTAATGTCAAAAATTTTCAGATAATCTCAATTCAACGCCAACACGTCCTCACCGGCATTCCAGCCCAACTGTCGACTCGCCGCGACCAGCTTCATCGGCTTGCGAAGCTCCTCAAAGAAGAGGAGGCCGCACTGTGCGAGGCCGTCTACAAAGACCTCCGCCGAACCCCGACGCACACAAAATTCATGGAATTTGGCATGGCCATAAACGAAGTTCAAGTGTGTTTGCGACATCTGAACGAATGGGCGCAGCCCGAGCATGTGGAAAAAGGGCCGGCGCAGATTCTGGACACCGCCATGATCGTCAAAGAGCCGTTCGGAACTTGTCTGCTGATCGCACCTTGGAATTACCCATTGTTGATGGTATTCTTGCCTCTGGCGACTATGCTGGCTGCTGGTAAGAGCTGTCTTGGAGTTTATTCTGAAAGAAAATTGAGATTTTTTGAAGGGGTTTGAGGGTTTATGGAGAGAAAACGTAAAAATTAGGGAGGAAAAACGTAAAATTTCTTAAAGGATTTTTTCAACCGACAATTTGCAGGATTTCTTCAAATTTTGTGGAAATAGTCTGTAAGACCTACTAATGAATTGCTGAAAATATCAGCTCTGATTTTGCGGGCAGAGTTAAGATACGTAAAAATTCTAAAAATTGAATTTTTAGGATTTTTTATCGGAAAATCTCGGTTATTTTTGCAAAAAGCAAGCTAATAATCCCCAGTATGTCATAGGAAATTGTGATCTTAACTTACTAGGGAAGTGTACAAACGAACCCTCACCAAATCGCAAGTGGTATACACCATTGGAAAGCCCTTGAAAAATGGTGCAAGGTACCATTTTCATTTTTTGCAGAATGCCTTTCCGCGACGACATACTGTAAATTGTACTATTTTTAGGTCATTTCGCAACAAAAATCTTTCTTTCTCTTGAGCGGATAAAAATCCTCGAAGAGGGTTGCTTCAATAGTGCAGTGGTTGCGGAGCAGGCTGATAAGCCAAACCAAGCTAGGTTCGATTCCCAGCTTGGGGAAAAACGTTTTGCGTTCTTACAGTTAGGATAATATTTGAGTTAAATTTTTACAAACGCTTTAATTTTTCTTGAAAACGGTAGATTACGGTTATAATCATCAAACTTACATGTTTTTCAAGATTAAACAAAGTGAAAAGTGTTTTTTCACGTTATGGGTATCTAAAACCAGTAAATATCATATGTAAAATGGTTTTACTGGCAAGCGCCAAACTTCATAATAATTCTTAGGCCAACCTAGTAGCAATACGTATCATTTAACGTTTTGAAATAAGATTTATTTTGCCCTACAGCAGATATTGTAACTACTTAAGGGACAAATCAGCCGTTTATAATTTTTTGCCCTAAGGCATTCTGCAAAAAATGAAAATGGTACCCTTCACCATTTTTCAAGGGCTTTCCAATGGTGTATAACACTTGCCATTTGGTGAGGGTTCGTTTGTACACTTCCCTAGTTAGGTCAAGTTTCATCCAAATTTTCCGACATTTATTTTCATATTTTTCATTATTTTAGGCAACACTGTCATAATCAAGCCTTCGGAAGTGTCGCCAAATGTCGCCGAAGCCCTCAAAGACGCGTTCGCCAAGCACTTCGACCCACGTCAGATCTCCGTCGTCCTTGCTGATGCCGAAGGTACCGGAGAACTGCTGAAGGAACGCTTCGATCTTATCCTTTACACTGGAAGCACCGCAGTTGGCCGTGTAATCATGAGAGCTGCTGCGGAACATTTAACTCCTGTGGTTTTGGAGTTGGGAGGGAAATGGTAAGAACTTTTTGAATGTTTTTTTTTGAGTTTTAGGCAGAGAATATCAGATATTACAAAAAAAAATTTGAAATTTTTGATAGGTAAGGGGGGACCAAGGGGATTTTTGAGGAAAAAAACATTTTTATGAACTTGAACATTTAGTTAAAAAACTGTTTTTAATGGACGGCTTCCATAGCGTAGACGGTAATTTTTGAAACGAAATTTATGTTGGCCATCAAAAATCACTTTTTCAAAACTATTCAGATCCTCATGAATAATATAAATTTCAGCCCGGTAATCGTCGACTCCACCGCTGATATTGCCTGCACAGCTCGAAGATTGGCCTGGGGAAAGTTCATGAACAACGGTCAGACCTGTGTTGCCCCTGATTACGTCTTGGTGAATAAAAATGTAAAAGACAAACTGCTCATCGAATTGAAGAAAACTCTTGAAGAATTCTACCCAGAAGTCGAGTCATCCAAAGATTATTGTCGAATCATCAATCAACGGCATTTTGAGTAAGTTTGAGGGATCTTGGAATGATTTTTTTTGGGTTGAGATGTCTAGTGTAATATAATTTTTGACAAAAAATACAGGATTGGGCGTTGCGAAACTTTGTGGATAGTCAAAGGAGTGCATAGCCAATAGCTGTGCCAATTTTCGCCAAAATCGGGTGATGATTTTTTGAGAATTTACTATTTTTGGTCAGCTGAACCTACTAAAATATAATTTTTTTAATTTATAGCCGTCTAAACTCTCTCCTTGACCGATCCCGTGGAAATGTGGCCATCCAACCGGCCAAACCCAACCGAGACGACCTATTCATCCCACCAACGGTCGTTGAAGTGGACCCCGACGACGCCTTGATGGAAAGCGAAATTTTCGGCCCAATTTTGCCGGTCGTAACGGTTAATTCGGTGGATGAAGCGGTCGAATTTGTCCTAGACAGAGAGAAACCACTCGCTCTGTACCTATTTTCGACCGACGAAAAGGCCGTGGACAAGGTGGTGAAGGAGAGTCGGAGCGGCGCGGTTACTGTAAATGACGTTGTACTTCATATGACCTGTAAGTGATGAATTTGAAATTTATTTGTGTTGGTTTTTAGTGGACACCCTACCATTCGGAGGCGTCGGCCAAAGCGGATTCGGCCGCTATCGAAGCCGACATGGCTTCGACCAGTTCAGTCATCATAAGGCCGTCCTCAAACGAACCTTTTTCGGCGAACAGCTTGGAGCGTAAGTGCATTTTTGGTACTTGATTTTTAGTTTTGAAGCGATTTTTTTGAGAATTTTTCGATTTTTTTCGAAATTTGCGAAAAAATCGCCTTGCTCCCCCCTTTACCAATTTTTCGGATTAAAAAAATTTTTTTTTTCTTAGATTTGGAAGAAAATCGGCATAGGTTTAGAGGAGATTTTTAGAAGACGTTGTGGTGAGTTTTAGCTCACCCTTTTGCATAAATGGTCGAGATTTTTAAGTGAAAAGTTGGAAAAATTCTAAATTTTTTTTTGATTTTCTTGTCGAAAATTTTAGGTCACAGTAAACAAGAGGTATGTAATATTTTTGCAAAATTTTTATTTTTTTAATCCAGAATTGGGAAGGTTATAGTCGAAACATGCCTTTTGTCTGACCGACTCTCCTCATTTCGCGTGCTCTCTCGTGAAAAAAAGAATGTTGAATATTGTGGTTCAGTTTGCAAAGTGAGCTAAGATTTCTAGCGATTCGTTTATGGCCTGTTTACAGTGACGATTGATCCAGTGGCAAAAACCCTATCAGTATGCATCCGAGAAGTATCAAAAAATGTGGCAAAATGCCTCCGTCTCCAAGTGAAAAAAACTTTGTTTTGAAGGGCGCGCAAAAAACCCCGCCACAAAAATTGCGGGCGCGCTTTTGAAATCGGTGTTTTTTACACTTGGAGAGGGAGATATTTTGCTTCATTTTTTGATGCATGCCCGATGCAAAATGGTAAGTTTTTGCCACTGGTTCAGGTCCGCCACTGTAGAAGGCATATGAAAAATTTTCGAAAAAATGAAGTCGATTTTTCATGTTTGGGGACCTTTTAATCCGGCCTTCTAATTTATTCAATTCCCCCGAACTTCTTTGCCATCCCGCCACGAAGTCGGGGCACAAAAACTGTCAGTTCGGTTGTTTATGGCCCCCAAAACAATCGCCGGCCCTGATGATATCGCATGTGGCCGAATGTCTTGTTTTCAGCGCCCGATACCCGCCGCTCACCGAAAAGAAGCTGAGGGCCCTGAAGATGGTGGGAAATAGATGGATCCTGCCGCGGATTATTCGCCGTCTCCTCGCCCACACCGATGTCTTCGCGTTGGGCGTGGGTCTGGCCGTCATTGTCGGCCTCATCGGACAGTTTATCTTCAACAAAAATTAAGATATTACACATTATATTACACTTGATAGAGGAAAAATCAATGGTTTTTTAATGTGACATTTCGTCTGCAAAACATGTATATAGATAAATGAGGGAGTGTAGAATGGATTGAAATAGTATTTAGCTCGCTTTGAGCTGACTTTTTTGCATTAGATTTGATTAAATTACACTAGATTGATATAAAATCAATAATTCGAAAAAGTGACATTTCGTCTAAAAATTTAAATTTTGGGGAGTGAAATAATTTATACGGAATCAGAATGTATTCAAGGGCACTATGAACAAGCTTGAGACAATTCCAAGAAATCAAAATTTGAAAATTAAATTTTTCAAAAATTTGTGGACGAAATGTCATTTTTAATCTATTTTTGTTCTGAAACTGTCTTGGCATCCCGTAACATCACATTTGTTTTATAGAATAGCAATTGTAACTTCATATAATCTCGAGTTTTTACCGATCATTTCATTGCAAACGCCATTTTTAACCGTATCTTTATTGTACATGTCATTAATGTTGATATTTTTTTGTATTTCTTGAAAATACTGTTGAGATTTGTATAGCATATATTTTTGAGATATTTGATATCAATTTTAATTTGATTTTTACTGTTTTTTGCAGCAATAAATTTTATGAATATTTGGAGGAAATTTGAATATTTAAATTTTTTCATGGATTTTTTGGTTTAAAAATCGTTAAAATGACTTGCAGGCAAGCTTTGAATGTTTCGATTTTTCGGAATATCCAAATTTTTAATTTTGCATAAATTTGCATAATTTTTTTAAGAACAAATATTTTTGGATTTTGGCTCGCAGTGGCCATGATTTAATGTCTTCTCCATTGTTTCTCTCCAAAAGATGTTTTTTCTTATCGTTTTTTGAGCAAAGAAGAGATCGGAAGAGAAGCCCAGAAAATGTATACAGTCATCCTTTTCGGACTGTTCCCCCCACCTTTCTTTCTCAGGCAGGTGTTTGCCGTATCAGATATTTTTTCTCTCCGTTTTAGAGTAGTCAATCTATTTTTGGGAGGGGAAAAAAGATAATTTTTATCGGAAATTAATTTGAAACCATTTTTTTTGCAAAATAAGTAAACTCGTAAGTGAAGCCCTTAGGGCATTAAGAATTCCTTCAAATTTTGCACATGTGCTCTGAAGCAGCTATACCAAAAATCCGCAAAGTTTTAGCTCGCTCTTTTCAGTGGAGGCCGGGATATTCAATTGTTTTGTTTTCGAGAGAGCACGTGAAATGAGGAGAGTCGCAGAGAAAAAAAAGATTTTCGTCCATAACTTTTTTGTTCCTGCAGGGGAAAACCTGGTTTTTTGTAGAAAAATCATACAACGCACTGGAAGTTTATCCTGAAATTTGCATACTTAAAATCGCAAAAAAATTTATGTATTTTTTCAATTTTTTATTAAAAAATTTCGACAATTTCAGCATAGTGGAATCTCGCTTATATTGTCGAAATTTTTGCTTTGGCCTAACAATTTTTCAGAGAAAAAAAATTTGGGATTTTTCGAATTGTTTTTTTCGCAAAAAATGCTTGCTAACAGGGGAAGTAAGTACCCCAAGTGCAGATTTTGATGAAACTTGGCACAGATTTAGAAAAACATTTTCTGCGACATATGCTAGATTCTTAGCTCACGATTTGCAAAAACGACCGAGATTTTTAGGTCGAAAGTTGGAAAAAATGTGACATTTTTTTGCGATTTTTACCATGAAAAGTTTCATGTCTATTTCTACCATAAAGAGTAATGTTTCAACAAAAAATAAATTTTTTCCGCACGAAACTGGCCAAATTATGGCTAAAAAGCGTTTTTTTTTCTCTGATCGCTCTCCACTTCGCGTACTCTCTCGACCCAAAAGATCGTTGAATATCTCGGCTCTCTTTGCAAAATGCGATCTGAAATTTCCGGTGATTGATCTGTGACCCATGCCCAAACTGTATGCAAAATTTGAAGAAAATCTGCAGCTTTGCACTTGCGCTACTTCCCTTGCAAAACGCCCCGTAAAAGCTGACCGCTGATGCTGGTAAACAGCTCGCTTTCCTCTTTTCTCCCAGGAAAACAAAGCGCATGTCGAATGGAGAGAGCGGCGAGAGAAAAAGAGGAAATTAATGGTTGGGAAAGGGAAACAAAAAAGCGGGAAGAAATTCTTCCCCGGCGCTTTTTTCGCTGGTTATTCCGCTGAGAGGAGAGCCAATTTTCGGGGTTTTATTTGTGACATCGAGGGAATGGGCTATCGATATCTTTGTACAGTAAAATCATATCAAAACGAATTATAGCGGAGCAAAAAATAAGATTTATCATATCATTCTGTCGGGAAAGTAATGAGCATTCTGTCGCATCGAAAAGCAAATGAATTATCATGTTTTATCATAATATAAACACCTACGTCCCAGAAGTCTATAAAAATTTTTATTTAAATGGTGAAAGAAAAATTATTGCACCTCATTTCTTCCCGGTAATTTATTTTCAAGTGTGACCAGAGGTGCTATATACATATTATATAATATTTATTACGTATTAAAAGATAAGCCCATCTCGGCTCTTCACCTAACGCTGAGTGTGCCGTTGCGAGATAAAGATTACTGAAACGCGTTTTCCCCCTCTTCATTTTGCATAGTCCAGCGTCGGAGGAAGATTTTCTAATACCTTGACCCTCTATGCAAGCCGCGCGATTAATTTTTCATAGATCATTTTTTGGCCTACACAGATTATTTGTGCAAACTTTGAGGAAAGTCGGAGCGCCAAAAGTAAAAAAATTCCCTTTTTATTTTTGCAGGAGAAGTACCCCAAATGCGACGCTCAGATTTTGATGGAACTTGGCATAGATTTATAATTATTTTTGCATAGGTCTATGCTGAGAATCCTAGTTCACATTTTACAGAAATAACCGAGATTTTTAGATTGAAAGTTGTGAAAAATTTCCATTTTTTCCCGAATTTTTACATGAAAAGTTGTTTGTCTGTTTCTACGGTAGAGAGAAATGTTTCCCCAAAAAATCAAGTTTTTCCGCACAAAACTGGCAAAGATATGGCTAAAAACCTTTTCTCTGGCCGCTCTCCACGTTTCGTGTGCTCTCTCGGCCCCAAAAATCGTTGAAAATCTTGGCTGTGCCTACAAAGCGCGAGTCAAAACTTTCAGCAATACTTTTTAAAAATAATTTTTGGACTTGCCAAAAAATTTTATGGTAAGGGGGGACCAAGGCGGATTATGAATAAAACTCTGAAGAAAAGATTAAAATTTATTTTCATTTTTTGGCATAGCTAAAAAATCGTTGTTAAAAAATGCAGCTTGATGTTGCTGTACATTTAAAATCAAAAAAAAATCCACCCTGGTCCCCCCTTACCGCATCTTTTTTTTCATCAAAAACAACCTTTATTTTGACGGACAATGTTATGTCTTTCCTTTTGAGGTCACTTGTTTCTCCTTGTAATTAATGAGACCTCTAAAGGGCAACGCTTTTTATTTGGATAAAAATCAAGAACCCGAGAAAAGAGCCGCTTAACTTGGCGTTTTCGGAAAGAAAAGGGTGATGTTGCGAGGTGTCGACGGGGGATTTGTATTTTTACAACAGTCATAACAGCAGAAGACGAGTTTGTCTTGCGTTTTCAGGAAAAACATTGTGCACTTTAGTTGAATTGGTTTAGTTTTTATCCAATTTTAGGGGCAATATCAATCTGTCGGGAAAATAATGTGGATTGGAATCGCGGATCATCGCTTTGCGACGTACTGGCGGTTCCGACTAGACAAGACATTTTGCTGTGAAAAATCCACATTACTTTCCAGACAGACTGATTTTTTTTTGAAAAGACGGTAAGGGGGGACCAAGGCAAGATTTTCAAAAAATGAAAAAATTGAAACGCTCAGATTTTGATGAAATTTGGCACAAATCCAGGCCAGCATTTTGTAAAACATATGGATGGTTTTTTAGCTCATGCTTTCCGAAAGAAAACGTGATTTTAACGTCGAAAATGGACCAAATTTCAAAAAATGTTTTGCCAATTTCCGGAGGGAGTTGCTCAAAGAGCGACGCTCAGAATTTTGTACATAGTTTGTGCTTAAGACACATATCAATTCCTGAAAATTTCAGCTCGATCTTTGCCGCCACGACCGAGATATTCAACGATCCTTGACAACGAGAGAGCACTGAAAATGAAGAGACGGTTAGAGAAAAGCAAAGATTTTTGGGCGTATCTTTTTGAACGTTGCGGGGAAAAATTTGAATTTTTATGGGAATACTGAACTCTGCTTCTGAGACAGAATGCCAATTTTTTATTTTAAAAAATTTAAAAATTTTGAAAATTTTGCCTGATTTTCGACTTTTACGTTTTTAAAAAAATCTCAGTGGTGACTGCAAAGGGTGAGCTTAAAGTTTCACAATTTTATTAGCAAACCATGATGATTATTTTCACCAAGTTTTAGTAAAATCCGAGGGTCGAAATTTTCAAAAATTCTCGGAAATTTTCGCCTTGGTCCCCCCTGACAATTTTTTCCGAGAATTTTTGTTATATTTTTTTTTATTTGTTTTCAGTCGAAAAAATCACTCTTTTCAGAAGGAAGGCCTCCAATCCAGGCCAGACATGGCGTCTTCTTCACGGGTCCCACCCCAACGCAACCTGATAACGGAACGCACCAAGGTGGAGAGCGATGTGTTGGAGAAATTGGCTGGCCTGAATCTCCAGCCCGGCGACACAACGCTTCCGGAGAAGTTGCCTCCAGGCACGTACGGGAAAAGGTTCACGGTGAAGAGCAATATTTATCAAGTTAAGATCGAACCAAGTGTAATATACAGATACGATGTGAACGTGGTTGGGAAAAGCAGAAGCGGAAAGGAGATTGAGTTCACAAAGAGGAGCCAAGAGAGGTAAATTTTCAGTTGGAGCGATTTTTTGGAGGAAACACGAGGGATTTTGGATGATTTTGAGGGTTTATGGAGAGAAAACGTAAAAATTAGGGAGGAAAAACGTAAATTTTTGAAAAAGGGTTAGAAAACGTAAATTTCCGTTGATTTTTAAAAATGATTGTCTAGGTAGTGTCTATATAAGAGCCTCTGACATATTCTTCGAAAGGAAAAACGAGATTTTTTGGATGATTTTGAGGGTTTATGGGCAAAAACGTAAAAATTAGGGAGGAAAAACGTAAATTTGTGATAAAAAATTGCACAGTGTAAACTTTGACCAATTTTTGATGGTTAAAGTGTGTTGAATTGGCTTAACAGCGGCTAAAGACAATATTTTCGATGAAAAATTAGATTTTTTTGGATGATTTTGAGAGTTTATGGAGGGAAAACGTAAAAATTAGGTAAGAAAAACGTAAATTCAAAAAAGGGTTAGAAATGGTAAATTCCAAATGATTGTTGGTAATTACAGTTTGTTAACTTGGCCTATGAAGGTGTCAGAGCAATCTTATGCAAGAAAAACGAGATTCTTTGGGTGATTTTAAGGGTTTATGGACAAAAAACGTAAAAATTATGGAGGAAAACGTAAATTTTTACCCTTCTCTGTTTCAGTGTTGTAATCGCCGACCGTCGCCAAGAATGCCGCGCCTGTTTCCGTCTGGCCTACCGCAAATATCAGGAATTTTTCGGCTCCTCCAGAGAGACCCTCTACTACGATTTGCAGAGCATTTTGTTCTCCAAGAACGAACTCCCAATCCCGGATTCGCAGATTGATCTGGAGCTGGATTCGGTGGAGGATGCGGATCCCACCTTCCCAAAGGGCATTTCTCGAGTCTTGTTGAGCATCAAGAAGGCCAAAAGTCATGAGATTGATATGAAAAATTTGGACTCCATTCACGATCCGGAGACTGGAAAAAGAGACCGAAGTTTGTTGAATATCATCGAATTAATCGCCAATCAACTGCCAATGTTTAATGAGTGAGTTGACTTTTGATTTTTTGGCGACATTTTATACGATGAAAAAAAAATTTTTTAATTCAAAAATTTTTTTGTTTTTGATAAAAAAAGTTTTGAAGATAATCTCAAAAAATACGTTTTTTATCCCTAACATAAATTAACAAATCTAAAAAATTAACGTTTTTCCTCCCTAAAATTTACGTTTCCTTCCATAAACCCTCAAAACTCTCCAAAAAATCGCGTTCTTCTTTCAGAAACGAGTTCCTAACTCTTCACGGCTCCACTTCCTACATTATAAACGGTGCCGATCATCAATTGCCCGAGATCCCACTCGATGAAGGAGGAACCAAATATTTGGCTGCTGGCGTCAAGAAAAGCGCCGTTTACATCGAGGGCTATGACACTGGAAAGATGGCGAGAGAGTGCAAAAGTGTCGGCCTTATGGTCGAAAGTAAGTTATTTTGGGGCTGAAATAAAATATTTACGTTTTTTGTCCCTAATTTTAACGTTTTTCTCCATAAACCGTGAAAATCATCCAAAAAATACCGTTTTTCTTTCAAAATTTTTTCACAGTTCCTCTCAGGTTCATTTCTGTCCTTAATGATTGTAAACGTCAATGGAAATTTACATTTTTAACACTATTTTCAAAAATTTACGCTTTTCCTCCATAATTTTTACGTTTTTTGTCCATAAACCCTCAAAATCAACCAAAAAATCTCGTTTTTCTTCCAGTAAGTTTTTCACAGTTCTTTTTAGACTTACTTCCGTACGGAATAGTTTTTAAAAATCAATGAAAATTTACATTTTCGAACACTTTTTTCAAAAATTTACGTTTTTCCTCCCTAAAATTTACGTTTTCTTTCCATAACCCTCAAAATACTTCAAAAATCACCGTTTTTCTTTCAAAATTTTATCACAGTCCCTTATAGGCTTACTTCTGTGCACAATAATTATAATTAATCAACGGAAGTTTACATTTTCCCACCTTTTTCAAAAATTTACGTTCTTCTTCCCTAAAATTTACGTTTCCTCTCCATAAACCCTCAAAATGCTTCAAAAATCACCGTTTTTCTTCGGATAAAACAAACATTTTTCAGCCCGACGCTCTCCCTTCCACACCTGCAAAGCGCTGGTCGATTACATCCGCGATCATCCCGGCTTTCGGCGCTATTACGAGAACTTTATCCATGGCCAAAGCTCGGAGAACGATCTGCGCTCCATGACCAAATTCTTGCGCCCCATCACGTTCGGGACCAGCTACAACAAGCGCAAAATGAAGATCTCGTTGTTCTCGCAGCAGACCGCGCGCACGCAGAGCGCCGAAAACATGAGTATCTACGAATATTTTATGCAGAAATACGACATGAAATTGGAATATCCGGACGCACATTTGGTCGGGGTAAAGCACGGAGGCGCGTTGATCTATTTCCCACCGGAGGTGCTGATTGTGGCGGATAATCAGCTGGTTTCGGTTCAACAAATGGACATGAGGACCAAAGCAAGAATGGTGGAGGTAAGGAGAGGAAATTAGCTTGGTCCCCCCTTAGTAACCGAAAAAATGTTGTGATTCAGATTTTGATGAAACGTGGTACAAATTAAGAGCAGGGATCTTTATGACATATGTGAGATTTTTAGCCCGCAGTTTGCAAAAACTTTCGAGATATTTTAGATTTTTGGGCGGATGAGAAGAAATCTGACCTTGGTCCCCCCTTACTGATCGAAAAAATTTTGTCCCTCAGCTTTTGATGACACTCGGTGAAGATTAACAGATGAATCCTGTAAGACATATACCAGATTTTTAGCCCGCGGTTTGCAGAAATTATCGAGATTTTTGGACCAATAAGGACAAAAATTACCTTGGTCCCCCCTCACAAAGCAAAAAAATTTTTTTATGAATGCCTCGTATTGCTAGATTTTGATAAAACTTGACAGGATAATCAATAGAATTCCATAAGACATACGCATGATTTTAGCTCGCGGTTTACAAAAAAACTTTTTTTGGCCGTGACTAAAAATCGAAGGTAAGGGGGGACCAAGGCAAAAAATTTTTTTCAAAATTTTCAAAATTTTTTTCCAGATGACCGCTGTTCGTCCGGACGTTTTTCAACGCGAATCACAGGCGGGAGCCGCCGCCATTCGCCTACACGATAGTCCTTTCACCACCGAAGCCGGAATCAAATTTTCTCGGGGAGTTTTGCAAATCCCGGCGCGAAAACTTCCATTCCCATCAATGGAATACAAAGATCTGAAGACGAATCGACCCAAGCTGAGTTCGCCGTTCGGTCAAGAGGCCGCCTGGATGCAGATGCCGTTCCTTCGTGGCGCGCGGATCCCGAAATACAGCGCTTATTTGATCGGGACCGAGAGCGACAGCAATATGCCCGTCTCGAAGGAGGACCTCGCCAGGTTCTTCGAGTATGTCGAGGAGTGGGCCAAAAGGTTTGGGATGTGTATTGGAGCCATTGATGAGTTCGATTGGATCTTTGAGAGCGATGTAGACAGGAAGGTTGGAGAGAATGCCCAGAGGAACACCAAATTGGTCTATTTTATTAGCCCCGAGCACATCAAACACTCCCATGGTAGGTTATTGTATAAAAAAGTTTTAACAGGGAAAGTATTATACTTTTATGGGGGCTCCTACTTTTCAACGGCACATATCTCAAAAAATCCGGAAAATTGTGCTGATCAAGAATATATAAAAATTAGCTGCCCAATTTTGGGTTTAGGGGCCTAAAATGCCCAAAAACTGGTTTAATTTCCCTACAAAAGGCGCAGGCATTCGAAACGATAAAAAGCGCAGTCGGTCCCTCCCTTCGCAAGAGAGCGGTGTGGCCGAGTGGCTAGTGCCGTGGTCTGGAAATCGAGAGGGCACGGGTTCGATTCCCTGTTTGGTCCGAATTGGCTGTTTTTGAAGTTGAAAAATAAGTTTTTGTGCCAATACTGATTGATTATGCCAAGAAACATCATTTTAAGCTAAAATAAAATTTGTAAACCTGTGAAAAATTAAGCGAAAAGGGGCTTTAAATGTTATTTTATATAGTAAAAATGGATATTCTGGTGACTAAGCTCTCAATTTTTCAATTTTTTTAGTGACAATGAAGCACGCGGAGCACAAGTACGACTGCGTTGTGACGCAAGACATCCGAGTTCCCACTGTGAAGAAGGTTTTGGACAAGGCAGTGGCCACGCTGGAGAATCTCATCGCCAAAACCAATATGAAGTTGGGCGGGAGCAACTACTCGGTGAAACTCGGAGTGCCGGAGGCACAAAAGCAGTTGGAGGAGAATCTGTTTATTGGGATTTCGATTTCTCAGCCGGGAGCCAAGACTCAGGTGGATCAGATGTCCAGAAATAACAGAGATGTCGCGCCTGGAGTGCTTGGGTTTGCTGCCAATTTATGTGAGGACCCCGACAATTTTGCTGGCGATTTTGTCTATATTGATGCTTATAGGTAAGAGATTTTTGTGTAAAATGGGTTTGTTGGACGTCTAAGGGCTGAGGCGAGATTTTATGGAGGTTTTGGGGTAAGGTAGGGTAAGGGGAGACCAAAAAAATTTTTTTTATTTTCAAGCGAACCATCTAAAAGGTTGTTAAAAATGCTTTTTTTGAACGTCTAAGGGCTCGAGGGAGGGCTGAAGAAGTCCTTGAGTCAAGGTGTGGTAAGGGGAGACCAAAAAATTTTTTTTTTATTTTCAAACGAACCATCTAAAAGGTTGTAAAAAATAAATTTATTGGACGTTTAAGGGCCTCATATTTGATTATTTACAGGTCTTGGGATAGGGTGTGGTAAGGGGAGGCCAAAAAAAATTTTAAATTTTAGAGCGTCTTTTTTATAACGTTAAAAAACGTTATAAAAAATGCGTTTGTAGGACGCCTAAGGGCTTTAGGGAAGGTTATATGGAGGTCTTGGGCCAAGGCGTGGTAAGGGGAGACCAAAAAATTTTTTTTAAATTTTTGAATTGACGGTCAAAAAGGCTGTAAAAAATGAAGTTATTGGTCGCCTAAGGGCTTGATGGACGACGATATAGAGATCTTAGGATAGGGTATGGTAAGGGGAGACCACAAAAATTTTTTTTCGAAACGGACCGTCAAAAAAGTTGTAAGAATGGGTTTTTTTGAACGCCTAAGGGCTTAATAGATGACTTGATGGACGTTTTCGGCTACGGCGTGGTAAGAGCAGACGAAAAATTTTTTTTTAATTCCTAAACTGACTTTCGAAAAGGTTCTAAAAATGAATTTATTGGCCGCCTAAGGGCTTGAGGGGAGATTATATAGAGATCTTAGGATAGGGTGTGGTAAGGGGAGACCACAAAAAAAGATTTTTTTTATTTTCAAACGGACCATCAAAAAAGGTGTAAAAAATTAATTTATTGGACGCCTAAGGGCCTGGAGGAAGATTTTATAGAGATTTTGGGATGGGGTGTGGTAAGGGGAGAGCAAAAGAAATTCTCAAAAATTTATTAAATTTGTTTCCAGAAATGACGACTTTGTTCGACTTCGCGACGTCACCTCCCGTTGTGTCTCTCGTTTTATCGAAAACCGACGACATCCCCCGAAAACGGTTGTATTTTATTACTCCGGTGCGTCGGACGGCCAATACGACAATATTTTGCGATTGGGATCGCCTTTTATCAAATACGGAATCAAACAGGCCTGTGATGTCGATGTGCCATTGTGTTTGATCTGCGTTTCCAAGGACAACAATTTCTCGATCTTCCCGAATGAAGTGAGTTTATTATTATTTATTTATGATGGATTTCGAAGGGGAGTTTCTCAAAATTGGACGCTCAGATTTTGATGGAAGTTGACAAAAATTTAGAGAGGGATTTTTTAAGACGAATGACAGATTTTTAGCTGGCAATTTGCAGAAAAAGTTGTATTTTTTATACTTTTTAGAAGAAAAGTACTTTTATGGGGCTCCTACTTTTCAACGGGACATACCTCAAAAAATCCGGAAAATTATGCTGATCAAGAATATATAAAAACTAGCTGCCCAATTTTGGGGTTCAGGGTTGAAAAGGCCCAAAACCTGGCATAATTTCCCTACAAAAGGCGCAGGCATTCGAAACGATAAAAAGCGCAGTCTGTCTCTTCCTTCGCAAGGGAGCGGTGTGGCCGAGTGGCTAGTGCCGTGGTCTGGAAATCAGGAAGGCACGGGTTCGATTTCCTGTTTGGCCCGAATCGGCTGCTTTTGAAGTTGAAGGTCGGAAAAACAAATTTTTGTGCCAAGACTGATTTATTATGTCTTAGAAGCTCAAGAAACATCATTTTAAGCTAAAATAAAATTTGTAAATCTGTGAAAAATTTAGCGTAAAGGGTTTATATAGGACTTTAAGCCAACTTCCGATTGAGTTTTCACCCCGAAAAGCCTAAAATGGGCAGCTAATATTTACATATCTTTGATCAGCACATTTTTTCTGATTTTTGACATATGTCCCGTCAAAAAGCAGGAGCCCCATAAAAGTACTTTCCTTGTAAGAAGAAAAATTTGAAATTTTTTTTTCAAATTTCAAAAAATAATTATTTTATATAGACCTAAGGGCTTGAAGGGCGATTTGGAAAAATTTTTGGATAAAATTATGGCAAGGTTAGACCAAAAAAAAATTTTTTTTGATGACTTTTAAAAAAACCATTTTTTAAACGGGACACCAAAAAAGCTTTGAAAAAATTTGACAACCAAGTGCCTAAAGGCTTGAGGGATAATTCTAGAGTATTTTTTCTCGAATTATGGCAAGAGGAGATCAGAAAAAGCAAAAAAAAATTTACGACGAAAATAGGTCCCCTCTTGCCATACCCCTTCCAAAATCTTCCCAGCTCAATTTTAAGAGTAGTAGAGGCTTGGATAAATTTATTTTTTACCTTTTCTTATCTCTAATCAATTTAATTTCCGAAAAATCCCCTTAATTTTCCCATTTTCAGTTCCCACAACCGAGTAATCGCGTCACAAACGGCGATTATAACGTCCCCGCTGGCACAGTGATCGACGAGCGGGCGGTTCATCCACTATACACCCAATTCTTCCTTGTCGCCCATACCGCCATAAAGGGAACGGCCCGAGTGCCCAGGTACACCGTGCTGATGAACGAGCCCGACTTTTCGTTGGACATCCTGGAAGCCATGTCGTACGCACTCTGCCATGAGCATCAGATTGTCGGACGGGCCACAGCGTTGCCCACGCCGACGGTGGTGGCCGAGGATTACGCGAATCGGGGACAGCAGGTCTTCAAAGCGGCGTAAGTTGGGGTTTAGGGGCAAAAAATGTGAAATTTTGGGAGAAAAACATGAAATCTTGGAAGAAAAACGTGAAATTGGGGAGGAAGGCGTGAAATTGGGGAGGAAAAGCGTAAAATTAGTTAGAAAAAACGTAGATAGTGACTTTCCAGGGGTTACAGACTTTTTTATGGAAGAAAAAAGCGCTTTTTTGCATGATTTTGGTGATTTAGGGACAAAAAACGTAGATTTTAGGGAAGAAAAACGTAAAAAATTTTATGGAGAAAACGTAAAATTTAGGGCGAAAAAACGTAAAATTGCTATATAAAAAGTCGAGAAATTAGATTTATAAGGAATAACAGACCACCTCTTGTAAGAAAACCACGATTTTTCGGATGATTTTGATGGTTTAGGAACAAAAAACGTAAATTTTAGGGAAGAAAAACGTAAAATTTTGAAAAAAAAGCCCGAAGAAGTGAATTTTTTGATATTTCTTCATTGTCTGGGCAACTATTGGGCATATGAGAGGTCATCAACAATTTTTGAAAGGAAAAACGGGATTTTTTGGACGTTTTTGAAGCTTTATGGAGAGAAAGCGTAAATCTTAGGGAAGGAAAACGTAAAAATTTTGAAAAAAGAGCTCGAAGAAGTGAATTTTTTGATATTTCTTCATTGTCTGGGCAACTATTGGGCATATGAGAGGTCATCAACAATTTTTGAAAGGAAAAACGGGATTTTTTGGACGTTTTTGAAGCTTTATGGAGAAAAAACGTAAATCTTAGGGAAGAAAAACGTAAAAATTCTAGTTGCCCATTTTTGGGACAACCAAAAATAAAATTTGAATTTTTGTTGAATAATCCTTCGAATTTCAGTGAGAAAGAAGCCGAGAGAGGCCAATATTTCTTCCCGCGAAGCCCGGATGGTAGCTATGATCTGCACAAGTTGAGTGGTGACTTATCCTATGAACAATGTCAATATCTTCGGAGCCGCAGGGTGAATGCCTGAGAAGGATGCGGATTTGGCCTTTACATTCCATCTATTTTGCATTTTTGCACTTTTGTTTACTCCTCTAACTTATTTTTATGTTATCCATGCCATCAGAAATGCAATAATTTTTTTGATGTTTACTCAGTAAATTCAATGTAAAATTGTCTGAAACACGTCTTATCTTGCCTTATTCCCTATTTTCCATCGTATTGTAACACATTCCTTGATTGTTCAACAATAATTTAACATATCTTTATTTATTTCTCCGCCAATAAAGCACCGATTTTTATGAAATTTGTATCAATTTGACCGGGAAGTATCAAAAAATGTCGCAAAATGCCTCCCTTTCCGACTAAAAGAACTCCGTTTTGAATGGCGCATCCTTTCCCTCACAAAGAAGAGGCCTTTGAAGCCCGCGTTTTTTTCACTTGGAGAGGGAGGTATTTGGCTACATTTTTGATGCTTCCCGTATGCAAAAAGGTGCGTTTTTTTTTTGCCATCAGCTCCGCCACTGTAATTCGCGAGCGCCTCGGCGGATTGAATTTAATTTTTAGTCACTGTAAACTGTAAATTTTCAAAAATTTTTCACCGAATTTGACGAGTATGTTTTAGCCGGAAATCCAAAAAAATTTCCAAGTCCGGGAAAACCATTAAAAAAAAATTGGAAATTCAATCAATTACAATACAAGTGCAACCATTAAAAATATTTATTTAAAAAAAATCATTAAAAAAATTTATTTAAAAAAAAATCATTTTTTTCCTAAGCCTAAGCCACCACTTCTTCCTGCATTCTGATCATGTCTCTCCTGCCCTTGAACCAGATCATTTCGGCCAAATCGCAGATAACCGTGTCCTGGACAGAACTTCGCCCAACACTCTCAAAGTACAAGTTCTTCAAGAACAACTTGTCCCTGTAATCGGCCTGATCGGTGTGCAACCCCGTCTCCGACTCCTCCCCTTTTGAGTTGATCTAAAAGCAAAACAATCATGGCCAAAAAAGGTTGGTCTTACCCTCGGGTTCCCTTCAAGTCTCCACGGAAGGTCTTGCCGAAAGATGGCAATCAGCGTGATCAGCCACGACTGCATATCGTCCAACAGGGTGACGCGTTGATGGGTATGGGACGCCACTGACATGTAGTCGGCGCTGCCTTCGGCGCCGCCGCGCTTACAACCGAAACGTCTGGCCAGTCCAAAGTCGCAAAGAATACACTGAAAATGACATCACAAAAGAATGAATAACAAATGGCAATAACGCAACAAAAACACCAAGTCCTTACCGCATTCGAATAGGGACTCCTTTGCATGTAATTATCCGGTTTCAAGTCCAAGTGAGCGTACTTCACCTTTTGGAGCTGCAAAATTGGCCGCAACAAATGGTAGGCGATGATCAATTTCTTCTGGAGCGGAAGCGGCTCATCCTCGTACATAAGGAAGGTCAAGGTCCGGTAGTAGAAGGGCATGACCATGTACATGGCGCTCACGTTGCGGCCTATTCCCAAGATCGTCACGATCAAGGTGTCTTGGCTGAAAAGAATGGCTAATATAATAAGGTAAACTTTCCAAGATTTCAAAATTCAAAAGTCTCCAAAAATTGCATAATAAAGATAGCCTTTTCCCACTGCAAGCCCGACCAATGCCCCCGCCCAAACTCACTCTCCCAAGAGCCGCTCGATCTGCCGGGCCTGCATGAATTCCTTTTTGGCGTAGCGGAGTTCTTCGACATTCGACGCCTTCACAAACTTGATGGCCACAAATTCATCGCCAATGTGTCCCACGCGGTACTTGTAGACCGCGCCGAAACCGCCCTGGCCCAGCTTCTTCACGTACACGTAGGTTCGGATGTTCTCCAAGACCTCGGGGACCTTCCCGTCAAACTCGGGATCATTGACCAACTTGACATTCTCCAAATCGTCGATAGGCATGTGGTCCAACGGATTCATGGATTTCAGGTTCTCATCGACGTTTCTGAAAAACGAGTGCTCAAAACAAAGACCGCAAATCACTTTTTTCTGCAAAAATTTTCGGTTGAGCCTGAACTCTCGCCCTTACGGTCATACGATGAAAATTTTTCTTCAAATTGAAAAAATTAGGTGTGACATGTTTCCATCGTATAACATGTCACACCTCATTTTTCAATTTTCAAAATGAGGTGGAGCGTTCAAAAAGGGGGAGAGTTCTGCCGCAACGAAAATTTTCGAATTCAAAAATTTCAAATTGATTTTAATCTCCAGTCCAAGCCTAAATTTCAAAAAATTTGAACTGCAGAAACTTACCCCATCGAATCCTGAGCGCAGTCCACTTCTTTGCTGTCAATTCCCTGCACCACCTTCGGCTTCTCTTCCGGCTTCACCTTCTTCTTTCGCGGCTTCTTTGCCACTTTCTTTTCCACCTTCGGCTCCGCTTTGATGCTTTTCGTCTTCTCGTCCATACTGTACTCCGGATACAGGTCATAGGGCTGTGGGGGTCTTCGGACGGGCACGGGGGGCGCTTTCTTGGGGGCCACCTTCTTCTTCTTCTTGCAGCAGCAAATGTTTATCCCAAGGCATTTCTGAAACAAAAAAAAATTAAAAGTCAAAAATTTTTTAAATCAAATAAAAAAATTAAAGTGTGCATAGATAAAAACTCCAGGAAACTCACCAAAAAAACGACGATTAAAGTAGCTACCAAAACAAGCAGAGTTCCACCCCCCACACATCCGGCTACCAGCGCAAGGAGTCTCATTTCCGCGGCCTCATCAATGGTTGTACTCGTGGAGATGCTGGAAAAGTCAGAGATAATATATATTATGAACATAAACACTCACGTTGTTGTCACACTCGTATCGATGAAGGTGAACTGTATAAAGGTGTTATCAATCATGTTCTCCGTGATCAATCGGGGCATCTCGCAGCCGGTTACAATCATGAGGTGTCGCTGAAACAAAAAATTTATACAAAAACAAAACATTCAAAAAATTATATACCATTAAAAAATCAACAAAACTTAAAAAATACCAATTTTCCCGCAGACTTACCAGATGATAAAATTGCGAGGGAGTGTCCGGCTCCAAAGTGATGGGGACGAAGCTATCACATTCCACTGGACTCCAAGGATTTTGGAAGCCGTCAAAGAACTCATGCATGCATGTGCCGTTCTTCTTGAAATAAAACGCGCGCTTCACGTCATCCACTCCAAATCGATGGGCGCAAGTGATGTTGGGCTGCTTTATTTCTGCATATACTTCCCCCGGTTTCTTAAATATACGAGAGTACTCGCTAGGGTCATCGCTTATCCGATACACCGCGTCTCCAAACAGATAAATGCAGAAGCCCGCATTACAACCGGCGACCTGTTTCAATTCCTTGTCGTCTCCAATCACCGCACAATTTCTAAAAAAATGGAAATATGCATAAGCAGCCATAATCTTTTTTTGATTTTTAACCGTGTCAGAAAATAAAAACCTTTTTCAAAAACGGGCCAGGCTGCGAACTTACGGAAGGCCTGTAGCGGTTTTTATAGTCACTTGACCCCCAACAATTGTCTTGTTTCCTTGAATCGACATTTGCAGTCGAATATCATGGATGGCAGAACCAGTGTAATTGATTGGGACACTGAAAACAGATAAAATAGAAAAGAAATTATGTTAGGCTCCTAGCTTGGACAAATTTTCTTCAGAGTGGGAGAAACAATGGGAGATTACGGAATAAAGAAAATTTCATTCGGCATACTCCAAAATTCATCTTGCCAAGGTGAGCCCAAGCCCTGGCTCGCTTTTTAGCTAGCCCTCAAGTTCGTAGCCGTTCGAATTCCCAAAAAAGTAATTTAGATTTATTTTTTCAATCTTATTTCACCGAAAAAGCTAGCAAAAGCAAGGTTTAGCCTGTAAGTATCAACAAAATCCCCAATGCCCTACTAAAAACTAATAAAAAAAGCTCTACTAAAAATAATAAAAAAATCGCTTACGTTTCAAATGAAGCCGCGTTATCCTTTGTGGCGAACAACTCGATCTGGCCTTCCGTCACCTTGAACGACTTCACTTCGAAGCGGTTCGGCTTGACATCGCCGAACAGCACCTCGCAGGCGTTCAGAGCCTGGATGATCGTTGCGACTTTGCCAAGATCCATGGCCGTGTAGAGTAGGTCACGTTCGACCGTTCAGCAGGAGAGAATTTGAAGAAACTGACCGCGTGGCGACAACACGACGAAAGAAAACTTTTTCCACGGACGACACGCATTTTTATGCAAATTCAGAAAAACTTTATGCAAATTCTGAAAAATTTGTGGGAAAATGCGTTTTTTGAAAATTGATCTTCGATTTTTTCGAAAAGCGGTTGATTTTCAAGTGAAAATCTTCGAAAAATCGGCCGTTCTTGCAGAACTTTCAACTTCCGAGATTTTGGAAATCGCGAGATTCTTTCCTCTTTGGCCAAGAATTTGGGCGCAATGCGCGGATTTTCAAAATGCAGTCTCTGGGAGACATTTTATACGAAAAACAGCCTCCTTTTTCAGCTTTTTATTGACAAGGGAAGAACCCCAAGTGCGATGCTCAGGTTTTGATGAAACTTGGCACAAATTTAGAATATTTTTTTCTCAAAAATATGCGAGAATCCAAGCTCGCGCTTTGCAGAAACAACCGAGATTTTTTGATCGAAAGTTAGCGAAATTTTAAAAGTTTTATGCCTATTTCTACCATTAAGGGTAATTTTTCCACAAAAAATCAATTTTTGCCGCACGAAACTGGCAAAGTTATGGCCAAAAAGCGTTTTTCTCACTGACCATTCTCCGCGTTTAGCGTACTCTCTCGACGGCAAAGGTCGTTCAATATCTTGGCGGCGCTTGCAAAGCGCGAGCTAAAACTTTCAGGTTCATGACCGACGTGTATGCAAAGGTTAAAGAAAATCTGAGCGTCGCACTTGGGGTACTTCCCTTGTGAGTAAAAGGAGTAAAATGGGTGGAAAAGGTCGAACAAATACGAGTGAAGAAGTAAGAATATTTATTTGGATGTTTTAGAAGTGGCCTGATCCACTGTTTTGGGGAGAGAAAGAGTCTGAGTCGATGATTTCGACTCTCCGAAATGGAAACAGTTCGTATCAGCGGGAATTTGTCCAAAAAAGGGCAATCTTTACCAACGTCAGGCTGTCCTTTTCGCTTTGATGTCAAGATTGCAGGGTTAGATGTGAAATATTGTTCTTTATTATAACAACTAACAATAAATTTTTAAAGCAAAAAATTACTAACCAACGGTTTTATAGATTCAGTAAAGGTGGAACCATGTTTATCAAATTTTTCATCAGGGTTTCCACTTCCAGATGATAGTTATATGTGAATATAGTTATACTCTTAATTCATGACTTCTTAATTCTGTTTAGAAAGATGTCGATTACGTTTATATTGTACGTTTGCTCAAAAAATTACTACAAACACTAATATATTACTACTTAATAGATACTACTAGTAAAATTACTTAATAATTAGTAATTTTTCAGTGCTTCCGTGCTTTATTTTTATAAAATTATGCTTACTGCGAGAAAAATATAGACCTAATTCTTGGCTTTGCGTTTTAATTTTATTGGCAACCCAACTTTTCTTTGTGAGATTCAGAATTTTAATTTTGAGCCAAGTCTAGCTATATCTGATTGTATACTAGGCTTCGATATAATATCAGCTCCGACCCATAAATTTAAATTTATTTATTTGGCAAAAAAATTTTAAAAAAATAATATACTCCTCTATTCATCATGTCCTTTGGTTTGATCTCCACTCAGTTTAGACTTTTTTATGCGAATCTGAAACGAAAAAAATAATAATAAATCCAAAGAAAAATATTCTTCTGCAAAGTGCAGGATTTAAATTGCAGTAAACTCACCACGCATACAATAATCATAGCAACCACCAGACTAAGGACAAGCACAACCCCAAAGGTTCCCATAACCACCATCAAGAATCCGTTTGGGGTCAGGTAAGCCGAGATTGGCAAGCTGGAAAAAAACTTAAAAATTTGAACGCAAAACTCACGCTGTCACAGTCGGATTGACGAAAGAAAATCGAACAAAAGTGTTATCAATCATGTTCTCCGTGATCAATCGGGGCATCTGGCAGCCGGTTACAACAATGAGGTGTCGCTGAAAGAAAAATTTTATACAAAAAGACACAAAAAACCTTCACTAAATTATATATACCACCAAAACAATCTCACGGCACAAAAAAATCAGCAAAACTCCCACTTTTAGAAAATAAAAAAATTTCCGAGCTGCGCCCGACCTTTCACTTAAAAAACCGGTTTTACCAAAAATGCGCAACGAGGCTGGAATTTTGGATTGAGTACGGAAAGGTCCGCTGCGCAAAGGTCCGCTAAAAAAAAGGGAAGAGGAGGAGGAAAGGTTGGGGGGAGGTTTTCGATGGCGCTGATTTCGAATATCGTATCAATTTTTTTCTGAATTTTACAATTTTGCTAGTGTCATTTTCGCTCTAAAGACGAAAAAAAGTCATAAGTTTTCTTACAATATCATACAAGTTTGACCAAGTTTTTACCAATTAAAACATTCATTTTAAACAATTGAGGAAGATAGGCAAAAATTCAGAAGAAATGGATACAATTTTCAAAATCAGCACCACCGAAAACCCCTAAATCCATTACTCAAAAAAAAAAAAAAAAAATTTTTTAAATTACTAATTAACACTACTGCTTAAGCAAAAATGTAAAATTCAGAAAAAATTGATATGATTTTCGAAATCAGCGCCATCGAAAACATCATGGCGGGGCCCCGCCATCGTCTTTTCTTTTTTTAGCGGACCTTTCCGCAGCGGACCTTTCCGTCCTTCGTGGGAATTTTGAGGGTCAGCTGCCTGTTTTCACCTTTGGCCGCCTCTCAAAAAAATTTTTCCCGAACTGCGCCCGAGGTTTTACTCAAACCGCCGTTTTGAGAAAAGCTTTGAGGTAACACTTGAAATTTTTGCTCAAAGTTTTCTTGGATCAAATCGCCAAATTTACCCGCAGACTTACCAGATGATAAAATTGTGTGGGGGTGTCCGGTTTCAAAGTGATTGGGACGAAGCGATCACATTCAAGTGGATGCCAAGGATTCTTGAAGCCGTCAAAGAACTCATGCATGCATGTGCCGTTCTTCTTGAAGTAAAATGCGCGCTTCACGTCATCCACACCAAATGGCTGGGCGCAAGTGATGTTGGGCTGTACTTTTTTTTCTGCAATCACTCCCGGTTTCTTATATATTACAGAGTCCAATGAAAGATCCTTGTTTATCCGATACACCGCGTCTCCAAACAGGTATGCGCAGAAGACATTATTACAACCGGCGACCTCTTTCAATTCCTTATCGTCTCCAATTACCGGACAATTTCTAAAAAATAACGGAAATATAATCAGCCATAAGATTGATCTTTTTTTGATTGAAATGATATGCCGTCAAAGCGGCACAATCATATTTCTAATTCAACTAGAAGCGACAAGATTCATGCCCAAATCGGTAAAAATCCCCTTTTCAGAATTAGCACAAAAGCGAGTTGCACCCGATTCTTAAATTTTAACCCCATTTTCGTCGTTTTTATGTCGTCCCCTATATGAGTGCGCTAAATGCAAACGAAAACCTCGACAAAGTCTAACTGAAAATGTTCTAGCCCATTTTTGAGCATGTTCCAGAAAACAAAGGTTCCTCCCCAAAGCCGCAAACTTACGACGGTTGCCAAACACCATCTGCTACAGTCACTTGACCTCCAACAATTGTCTTGTTTCCTTGAATCGACATTTGCAGTCGAATTTCTTTGAAGGCAGGACCAGTGTAATTGATCGGGAAACTGAAAACAGATGAAATAGAAAAGAAATTACGTTAGGCTCCTAGTTCGTACCATAGCTTGGACAAATTTTCTTCAGAGTGGGCGAAAAAAGGAGAGATTCAAGTCAAGAAAATTTCAGTTGGCTCACTCCAAAATTCATCCAAGCTGTGCCCAAGCTTTGGTTCTCTTTTTAGCTAGCCCTCAAGTTCGTAGCCGTTCGAGATCCCAAAAAGCACCTTAGATTCTCGTTTTTCGATATTTTTTCACCGAAAAAGCTAGCAAAAGCACGGTTTACCCCGTAGGTATCAACAAAATCCCCACTGCCCTCTCGCTCTACTAAGAATAACAAAAAATTTCTTACATTTCAAATGTTGTCGCGTTCTCCTTTGTGGCGAACAACTCGATCTTGATATAAAGCGGGAGATAAAAGATTTTCTGAAAAATTTTTGAAATTTCTCTGTTTTTACTTTTTTTTTAAAAAAAAAGTAAATTTTCAGTTTACTTCAAGGAAAATGCAAAAGAAAGTCAATTTTGTTTCTGGCTTTCCGACTTCAAGGTCGGGAGTAGGACCGGATCTTACTCCCCGCTCGGAGTCGCCGAAAGTCAGAGCTTGTTTTTACTTTATTCCTCTTTTTGGCCCCGCACTGCAGGTTGCCAGGTTGATGCCAAGTCTTTCCCTGATGTGTCAAGTTTTTCTTTTCCGAAAAAATTATTTTTACGTTTGTGCGACGTTGTGAAGCTATGTTCTCCACGAAGATGGGCTGGAAAGTGATCAAGTAAGTTAGCATTGGCAAGAGGAGATGTACGTTTTTCATTTGACATCAAAAATTTCCATTTTATTTCAGAGAAAGGTACAAAATTTTTCCAATTCGTAAAGCTTCATGACCATGGATAATGTAAGTGAGATTATCTCCTTTTTTGCTACGACGTCAAGATTCTAAGTCGGGAAACGTTTAGAGGATACCCCACTCTCATGTATATTCTCCATGTATGAAACCCCATAAATTTTGAGGAATAACGACGTAAAAATTTCAAATTCTATACTAACTTTCCAAAAGTATGTTATACTAAAGTAAAACCTATGCAAACTATCTTCAAGTTATTGTAACAACGTTATTTGAGCCTTATTACGTTATTACCTCAGTTTAGAACGCATTCGTGGCAAAAATACGGCAGATCTGAGCGGATTTCGATATTGTACATGACACCTAGAAATCGAATTTGGTTTGATAGATAGAGTATATAACAAAACTAAAGTGAGGTGTCCTCTAGAACTCGCCAGCCTAGAACTGTTAACTCCAATAACGGAACAAAAAACGCGATAAGCGCACTTACATTATCCATGGTCATGAAGCTTTACGAATTGGAAAAAATTTGTACCTTTCTCTGAAATAAAAGGAAAATTTTTGGTGTCAAATGTAAAAAGTACATCTCCTCTTGCTAATGCTAACTTACTTGATCACTTTTCAGCCCATCTTCGTGGAGAAAATAGATTCACAACTTCAAAAAAAATCAAAACGTTTCTTCCGGGGGAGAGAAATTTGACACATCTGGAATTCCCGGGCGCAGCTCGCAAAAATAGTTTTGACAAGGAAAGTACTTTTATGGGGGCTCCTACTTTTTGATGGGACATATCTCAAAAAATCAGAAAAAATGTGCTGATCAAGGATATATAAATCTTAGCTGCCCATTTTAGGTTTTTAGGGGTGAAAACTCAATCGGAAGTTGACTTAAAGTCCTATATGAACCCCTTTTCGCTTAATTTTTCACAGGTTTACAATTTTTATTTTGACTTAAAATGATTTTTATTGAGTTTCTAAGACGTAATAAATCAGTCTTGGCCCAAAAATTTATTTTTCCGACCTTCAACTTCAAAAAAAGTTGATTCAGCCCAAAACGGAAATCGAACCCGTGCGGCGTCCTCCTGCTTGATTCCCAGACCACGGCACTAACCACTCGGCCACACCGCTCTCTTCCGAAGGAAGAGACCGACTGCGCTTTTTATCGTTTCGAATGCCTGCGCCTTTTGTAGGGAAATTGAGCCAGTTTTTTGGCATTTTCACCCCTAAAAACCTAAAATGGGCAGCTAAGATTTATATATCCTTGATCAGCACATTTTTTCTGATTTTTTGAGATATGTCCCGTCAAAAAGTAGGAGCCCCCATAAAAGTACTTTCCTTGTGAAGAAAATAAATTGGTGAGTAAAAACGGCGTCTTACTCACCAGCCAAAATGGGCGAGCCATTTTTGTTTCAACTTTGCGGATCGACCTTTTGGCGAGCCATTTTTGATCCAACTTTCCAAAAATTTGTCGTTCGGAGTAAGAATGTTTTTTGACTCTCCGAAATCGAAAATCTCCGGAAATTTTTCAAAATTTACTTTTTTTTAAAAAAAAAAGTAAAAACAGAAAAATTTCAAAAATTTTTCAGAAAATCTTTTATCTCCCGCTTTATATCATCTGTGATCCTGAACGACTTCACTTCGAAGTGGTTCGGCTTGAGATCACCGAACAGCACCTCGCAGGCGTTCAGAGCCTGGATGATCGTTGCGACTTTGGCAAGGTCCATAATTACGTTTACACCGAGAGAAGCGACCAATTGGGCGAGAAACCAGAAAAGAAAACGGGTTTTTTTTTGTTTTCCACTGACGACACAAATTGACACGCATTTTTATGCAAATTTTGAAAGCTTGCAACTCAAAGACACGTTGAAAATTTGGCCCAACTTTTTTGGCGGACAATTCGGGCGCAGTCTGCGTATTTTCAAACCGCAGTCTGCGGGAGACATTTTATACGAAACCTAAAAATCACGTTTTTTCGACATTTTATCGAGTAAAAAGGATTAAAACTGATAGAAAACGGGTCTAATAAATACTGGGCAAGAATTGGTAGCGCACTTTGTTCGTGTATTGGATCCAATGATGTTGGTATTTCATCAGGCATCGGAATTCGTCGCGGTTCGCGCGGAACCACAAAAATGCGGCCAAAAACAGGACCGGCAAGTAGGCAACGAAGAAGTCGATGCGAGTTGGGAGTGTCCAAAAGAGAAATGAAAGGACTTCGGTGGCGTAATTGAAGTGACGCGCTCGTCCCCAGTAGCCACTACCTGTAAAGTAATATAATTAGAACGTAGCTCTGAGATAAGTGGTTGGATTTTGATGAAACTTGAGAGAAATGAAGATTGGACCATTTCAAAGGACTATGTTGATTTTTACATAAAAATATGGGGTTCGTAAAAACCGCGTTATGCAGAAACATCCAAGAAATCGAAATTTTAATTCCAAAAAGCCCAAATTTCGCATAAGTTCCGACGATCAAAAATCCACTCACCCAGCAGAATATTGACGGCCGCTTCGCCGCCCTCCTTCCGATACTTGGCGTTGATGTAAAACGGATCCTTTCCGTCGACCTTCATCTGCCCCTCGCAGTCCCTAAACTCGCGCCTTTGCTCGTCGATGATGCCCGTCCACAGCTGGAAGACGAGCCCGAAAACGAAGAGGACGCAGGCCGTGAACAGGTTCGGCGACTTGGCCGTCTGCGCCAACAGCGTCACCGGAGTCAGGTAGAGGGTTGGCAGGAACACCAACGCTCCCCAAATGCGACAGAAACCCGCTTTGTCTGTCTGGTTGTCCAGTGAGCTGGGGCGGCAGGGGTCGTTCCAGGTGCGCCGGAGCCAGTAGATCATCTGGAAGCAGAGGTGTTGACGGGGGTTGGGAGAACAAAATTTACAATCGCTCGAAAATTTACGTTTTTTATCCATAAAATGCATGTTTTTCATTCCTAAAATTTACATTTTTTATCCATAAATCTCACCGAATCAAAAAAATTATGTTTTTCATCCTTAAAATTTACGTCTTTTGTCCCTAAAATTTACGTTTTTATCCCTAATCTCACCAAAAACAAAAATGTGCGTTTTTCATCCCTAAAATTTACGTTTTTTATCCATAAATCTCACCAAATCAAAAATTTACGTTTTTCATACCTAAAATTTACGTTTTTTCCCCTAAATCTCGCCGAATCGAAAATTTACGTTTTTCATACCTAAAATTTACGTTTTTTATCCCTAATTATCATCAAAAGAGGAATTTACGTTTTTCATCCCTAAAAATTACGTTTTTAAACCCTAAATCTCACCAAAAGGAAAATTTACGTTTTTCATACCTAAAAATTACGTTTTTAATCCCTAAATCTCACCAAAAGAAAAAATCACGTTTTTTGCCCCTAAAATTTACGTTCTTGATCCATAAATCTCATCGAAAGAGGAATTTACGTTTTTCATCCCTAAAAATTACGTTTTCCGTCCATAAACCGTCAACAACAACCCATAAAATGTCGTTTTTGCAAAAAATTTCCTTCCTACCTGCAAGCTGACAGTGCACACCAGTCCCGGCGTAATCGTGCCCACAGCGATCCTTTGTTTGGCCAGCGCCGAGAACAAATAGCAGCAGTACAACGCGGCAAGGACTCGGTTCGTGAGAAAGGCCTTCAGATCCATGTCGAAGACCACGGGCTGAGCCAGTTTGCCGAAGAAAATGTCGTTGATCAGGTCATCGGCTAAAAAATATAAAAAAATTTTTTTTATTTGATTAGTGAAAAATTGATCAAATTTGTTAAAATTTTATTACTAACAGGGGAAGTACCCCAAGTGGGCGGGCGCACACTTGCGGGCAACCACTTTGCGGGCAACCAGTTTGCGGGCAAATTTTTTGCGGGCAGCCACTTTGCGGGCAGCCGATATTTGCGGCCAGCACCGGCATTTGCGGGCAGGCTGGGACATTTGCGGGCAGGGTCGACAGTTGCGGGCAGCCTGGAAGATTTGCGGGCAGCCGACATTTGCGGGCAACCGTCACCTGATTTTGAGGGTAACAGGGTGGACGTGGAAAAATTACTATGATATTATATTTTGGAAATTTGCCGACATTTGCGGGCAGCCGACATTTGCGGGCAACCGGCACTTGATGATAACAAGGTAGAGGTGGATAAATTACTGCGATATTTTGGAAGTTTTCCGACATTTGCGGGCAGGCAATACTTGCGGGACACCGACATTTGCGGGCAACAGTTCCAAAAGTTCCTATACAGTCTGTGTGACTGTTTTTTTTCTGTTGCCCGCAAATGTCGGCTGCCCGCAAGTGTCGGTTGCCCGCAAGTGTCTCAGCTGCCCGCAAATGTTTCAGCTGCCCGCAAATGTGACCCCCCAAATTTTGCCCGCAAAGTGGCTGCCCGCAAAAAATCTGCCCGCAAACTGGTTGCCCGCAAAGTGGTTGCCCGCAAGTGTCGCGACGCCCCCCAAGTGCGACGCCCAGATTTTCTTTAAAATTTGCACATATGTTGAGTATGGTCTAAGCATTAATTCCTGAAAGTTTTAGCTCCCGCTTTGCAGGCGCTGCCGAGATATCGAACGATTTTTGCCGCCGAGAGAGCACGCTAAACGTGGAGAGCGGTCAGAGAGAAAAGCGCTTTATGGCCATAACTTTTCTTGTTTCGCGCGGAAAAAATTGATTTTATGTGGAAACATTACCCTCCATGGTAGAAATAGGCAGGAAACTTTTCGAGCCGAAATTCGGCAAAAAGTCCTAAATTTTGGCCGACTTTTGATCTAAAAATATCGGTTGTTTCTGCAAAGCGCGAGCTAGAATTCTCGCATATATCTTAGAAAAAATTATTCTAAATTTGTGCCAAATTTCATCAAAATCTGAGCATCGCACTTGGAGTACTTTCCTTGTAAATTAAAAAAAATATTTTTTTTGATTACTAAAAATTTCAAAAAAAAAGAAAAAAATAAATAAAAGAATAAATTTTTATTTCATTACTAAAAAAATAATTACATTTTTTTTTATTTTATTATTAAATTTTAATAAAAATAAAAATAATTTTTTATTACTCTACTTAAAAAAACATATTTTTTTTATTTTTATTTTATTACCAAAAAATATAAAAAAATTAAAATTTTTTTTTCAACTTACATTCATCATCCTTATCATTCTCCACCTGCGCATAATACTGCCAGAGGACCACAATCGTGCTCAGCATCCCCATCACCACCATGATCCCACTCCAGTTGTCGAAAATCAGCGTCGGACTGTACCAGCGGAAAGCGGCGCCCAGCCCGAAAACCAACGCGTTCAGTAGTAAGCCGCTGAACGCGTTGCAATGCTGTCGAAACAGTTGGTTCGCTTGGGTTCGATAAATATTCACCGAGGCCGGAAGGAGCCAGAAGAAGAGGAATTGAAGGAGAATCGTCGAGAAGACGATGACATAGGGGGTAAGGCGGCGGAACACCGGGAGAAAGGCGTTGAGACGGATCTTGGAGAGCTGAAAATTCGATTTTATGAAGGGAAATTGGGATTTTTTGAGAGAAAATTGAGAATTTTGCAGATCTCTGGGTTAAAATTTCAAAAAATTGAAAATCTCAGATTGCCTTAAAAATTTGCATATATGATCTATCTAATACATATATCAATCCTAAAAAGTTTTAGCTCACGCTTAGCAGGCGCAACCGAGATATTCAACAATCTTTGCGGCCGAGAGAGTGCGCGAAATGCGGAGAGGGACAGAGAAAAACCCTTTTGAATTATATCGCTGCAAGTTGCGGATCGAAAAAATTATATTTTTGACACGAATCCTTTTTACAGCGAGAAAAAACAAAATGCCAATTGGAATCTTGGCTCCAGAAGCCTACATTTTTTCCCAGTCTTACCTTGCTGAACTTCCCATGATAGGTCGAAATAAACGGATAGTAGGCATGAATGAAGACTGGCAGAAGGACCATAAACAACAGGATCAGTTGGCATGAGACTTGTTTGGTCCGCTGAAATCAAGTAAACAACAAAAAAATGTTTTTTCAATTCAGGGGGAGTGCTAAAAAAGCAATAAAAAAAACGAACGGACTTTCTGGACAAACCAATATTTTACTTTAAGTGGGACGCTCAATTTTTGATGGAACTTGGCGCAAATTTAGATTGATTTTTTCCAAGACGTATACAAAATTTCTAGCCCGCAATTTGTAGGAACAACCGAGATTTTTAGTTCGAAAGTGGCGAAAATTTGAGACCTTTTGCCAAATTTCGGCACGAAAAATTTCATGCGTATTTCTACCATAGAGAGTAATGTTTCCCCAAAAAATCGATGTTTTCCGCGCGCTACTGGCAGAGATATCGCCCAAAAAAGGCGTTTCTCTCTGACCGCTCTCCGCATTTCGCGTACTCTCTCGGCCGCAAAGATCGTTGAATATCTCGGCTGTGTCTGCAAAGTGCGAGCTAAAATTTTCAGGACTTGATATGTGGTCTGTGCCCAATAAGTGTACAAAATTTAAAGCAAATCTGAGCGTCGCACTTGTGACACTTCCCTGGTCAGCCAAAATGACTGTAAAGAAAAACAAAAAACAAATCATTTACCGACAACACATTCTGAATGTAATCAATGTCCTTCTGGCTGATGCTGGAGCGCCGATTGCCGTTCGTGGACAACAAGTTCGTGGACAGCAAGTTATTGGTGTGATTGGACAACGAGCGGCGACGCACAATGTTGGCTCGCATGGTCACCGCCATCCTCACGCGGTTTGGGCATTTAAAAGAGGGCTGGAAATTTGCGAAAATCAGCAATCTCGGAGAACACACATGTTTCTGGAGAGGACCCGAAAAGAGCGAAAATTCGTTCGGACAAAGCGACATGGGACAAAGTGTCGATTGAAAGGGGTCGTGTTTTAGGCTCATTCGTTCGAGAAAAACAACAATAAAAAAATCAGGTGTCACCACCTGACCATGCTCTGGGAGGAGAGTCATTTTTTTCGATACGAAATTATAAAGCCTGTTGGCTAGGAGGGAAAGTATTGGGTGGTCCCAGAAAGTTCGTTCGTTTTTTTCATTGCTTTGTTTTAGAAGGAATGTTTGTTGTTTGGCAAAGGGTGAATATTTATTTGATACAGCTTTTTCTCCTCTATAAACCTGTGTTCTTAGTTTTTTTTAGTTTTAATTTTTTATTATTTTTTAGGCTCAAAAAGTTTCCCGTCCCGATGGCTTTATTTTCAAGAACATTTTGACCCCAAAAAATAATAAAAAATTAAGTTTTCATAAAAAATTATAAACACGGTTTTGTAGAAGAGAAAAAAAAGTATCAAATCAGTATATTTCCTTTGCCAAATAACAAGCAATCCTTGTAAAACAAGGCAATAAACGGAAACGAACGAACTTTCTGGACGATCCAATATAATACAACAAGTGGGACGCTCAGATTTTGATGAAACTTGGCACAAATTTAAACTATAATATTTTTTTCCAAGACAAATACAAGATTTCTAGCTCGCAATTTTTAGGAACAAACGAGATTTTTAGCTCGAAAGTTGGCGAAAATTCGACGCTTTTTTTGCAAATTTTTGACATCAAAAGTTTTGTGGCTATTTCTACCGTAGAGTGTATTGTTTCCACAAAAAATCAATTTTTTCCGCACAAAATTGACAGAGATACGGCCTAAAAAGGATTTTCCCTCTGACTGCTCTCCGCATTTCGCGCACTCTCTCGGCCGCAAAGATTGTTGAATATCTCGGCGGTGCCTGCAAAGCGCGAGCAAAAATTTTTAGGATTTGATATGTGGTCTATGCCCAATAAGTGTAGAAGATATAAAGAAAATCTGACGCTCGAACTTGGAGCACTTCCATTAAAAATTTTTGCCATGATGTCTGAAAATCATCATTTTTTTTAAATACTTTTTTCCGATTTTTGGCTTGCAAATCTCAGGCTCAATTACCATTGCAGCGTAAAATTTTTCACCAAAAAATCAAAATTTTCCGAGCCAAGAGAAAAAAGTTACAGGCAAAAACCGTATCCCGTCCATCCGACTCTCCTCATTTTGCGTGCTCTCTCGAAAACAAGATTGTTGAATATCTCGGCAGCCACTGGAAATAGCGAGCTAAAACCTTCAGAGATTCATAGGTGGTTATTTGAGAACTCGTATGCAAAATTTTAGAAAAATCTGTAACCCAAAAAAACTTCGCTTGTTAAATTACATAAATTTAATTTTCCCAAAAAAAATCAATTTTTTTCCAAGAATCATTCGAAGAATGCAAAAAATCCCAAAAATTGCCTCCATCTCCCTTCTTTTACAATTTTTTTCATCTGCAAAGGACCCATTAATAAAGTTTTAGGTATTTTTCCCTCAAAAAAACGTATTTGCTCCGGTGAAAACTCGGGGCGGCAGATTGAAGAGATTCGGGGCTGTGCGGGGATTTCCAGAGGGCTTTTCGTTCGGAACGGACAGCTGTGAAGGGCCGCATTTCGAGTGGCCAACATTATATAATACGGATTTGTCATCGCCGGTTTTTTGAGGCACACTTTTGACGAGGACTTGAAGGGTTCATTTCGAAAGGTTGGAGCCGAGAAATTCGAAACCCAATGGAGATTGTCCACTCTCAACTCGTGACAAGGATTCTTTTGGCCGCAAATTTTGTCGTTGACAAGCAAATGACCCAGGTGCGATGCTCGGATCTTGATCAAACTTGGCAAAAATTTACAGCAAGGGATCTGATCCAAAAAAGTACCATTTTGCATCCGGGAAGCATCGAAAATGTGGCAAAAAGCTTCACTCTCCAAATGAAAAAAGGTCGTTTTGAAGAGCGCGCTTTTGAAATCGGAGTTTTTTCACTTGGAGATGGAGGTATTTTGCCACATTTTTGACATTTCCCGGATTGATGATCAGACTTGGCAAAAATTTGCAGTAAGGGAGCTGATCCAGCGGCAAAAAACATATCATTTTGCATCCGGGAAGTATCAAAAATGTGGCAAAATTCTTCCCTCTCCAACTGAAAAAACCTCGTTTTGAAGAGCGCGCTTTTGAAATCAGAGTCTTTTCGCTTGGAGAGGGAAGCATTTTGCCACATTTTTGGAACTTCCCGGATGCAAAATGGCACGTTTTTTGCCACTGGGTCAGGTCCCCCACTGTAGCTCAAAACATAGCTTTTCAATTTGTAAAAACTTGGTCAAAAAGGCATTTTCGGGTTCCAATTCAAAAGCTTTGTTTTGGGCTACAGTAAAGGACCTGATCCAATGGCAAAAAACATATCATTTTGCATCCGGGAAGTATCAAAAAATGTGGCTAAATGCCTCCCTCTCCAAGTGAAAAAATTTCATTTTGAAAGGCGCCGTTTCCCTCACAAAAAGAGCGGGCCCGCTTTTGAAATCGGAGTTTTTTTCGCTTGGAGGGGGAAGCATTTTGCCACATTTTTGGCATTTCCCGGATGCAAAACGGTAAGTTTTTTGCCACTGGATCAGGTCCCCCACTGTAGGCGTCCCGCATCTTCGGGTCAGCAAAAGCCCTACGCCTTGCCCAACGAGGCGATTTACGTTTTTAATCCCTAAATCTCACCAAAACGAAAAATCACGTTTTTCATCCCTAAAATTAAGTGGATGGTCAAAAAAAGGTTCTCGGAAGTGCCGACAAGACCTGACAAAGCCGTTGGATGGTCGGCAGAAGCTCGGTGAAGGCTCGGCGAAGACACAAAATACGTCTAATTTTTCTTACAGGGGAAGTACTCCAAGTGCGACGCTCAGATTTTCTTTAAACTTTGCACACACGTCGGGTATGGACTAAATATCAATTCCTGAAAGTTTTAGCTCGCGCTTTGCGGGCGCCGCCGAGATATCGAACAATTTTTGCCGCCGAGAGAGCACGCTAAACGTGGAGAGCGGTCAGAGAGAAATCGCTTTTTTGGCCATAACTTTAGCAGGTTCGTGCGGAAAAATTTGATTTTTTATAGAAAAATTATTTTTTAGGGTAGAAATGCGAAATTCGGCAAAAAGTCCTAAATTTTGACCGACTTTCGATCTAAAAATCTCGGTTGTTTCTGCAAAGCGCGAGCTAGGATTCTCGCATATATCTTAGAAAAAATTCCACAAAAAAATCAAAGTTTTTCGCACAAAATTTGCGAAGATACGGCCAAAAAAGTGTTTCTATCTTAAAAATCCTTTTATAAAAAAACCCAAAAAAATGCCCGAACAATATTACGTTATCACTACTCAGTCAGAAACATAATTTATTTTTATACTAGAAACCCAAAAAAATCCAAAAACAAAAACCAAAAAAAATCTAAACCAAATCCAAGTATAATATCAGAGCTGCTCAGTCCTTTTGAATTGGAGCCATGTCGGACCTCTGAGAGCCGGTGAGGATCAAATACGCGCTTTGGGTCTGTTCCTGTTTCTTGAGTTGCTTGGCCAAGGTGCCCAACGGGGTGTCGGAGCTGTTCATTTTTTTCATCTTCTCCTTCTTGGCCAGCTTCGCCTGGCGTTTCTCGATCTGCTTCTTGCCCGGGGTTTTGCCATGGAATTTCCAGCTCAGTTCTCGGAAGGCTTCCTTTTGATCCAAGACGCGTCCCTTCTTGTCCGTGTACATGATTTGGATGTCCGGGTTGTAGTCGGCCTTGTCCTCAAAGTGGCGGGTGGGGCCGGAACCCGCGGATCGCTCCAATTTCCGGATGTATTTGTCTTCCAAGTCACTGAAAAGACAAAAAATTTTGCCAAGAAAAAATAGTTTTTTTTACAAGGTACTTCTTTGGGGTATGGAGTTACAGGTCGAGACATGTATCAAAAAAAAATCGCAAAATTGTGTTTTATAAGATTTTTGGTGGATTTTGGGTCTTTTTTTAAGGAAAAAACTTCTATGGGATATGGAGTTACAGGCCGAGAGATATATCAAAAAAATCGCAAAATTTTTCTGATTCAGAATATACAAAAATTATCTGCCTGATTTCGGTTTGTAAGGGCGAAAAACCCTTCAGAACTTTTCTCGCAACACCCGAAAATGCCTTTTTGACCAAGTTTTTACAAATTGAAAAGCAATGTTTTGAGCTACAGTGGCGGACCTGATCCAGTGGCAAAAAACGTACCATTTTGCATCCAGGAAGTATCACAAAATGTAGCAAAATACCTCCATCTCCACGTGAAAAAACTCCGATTTCAAAAGCGGGCCCGCTTTTTTTGTGAGGGAAACGGCGCCTTTCAAAATGAAGTTTTTTCACTTGGAGAGGGAGGCATTTTGCCACATTTTTTGATACTTCCCGGATGCAAAATGACATGTTTTTTGCCATTGGATCAGGTCCTTTACTGTAGCCCAAAACAAAGCTTTCGAATTTGTAAAAACTTGTTCAAAAAGGCATTTTCGGGTGTTGCGAGAAAAGTTCTGAGGGTTTTTTCGCCCTTGCAAACCAAAATTAGCCAGCTAATTTTCACACATTCTGAATCAGAAAAAATTTGCGGTTTTTTGATACATCTCTTAACCTGTAACTCAATACCCCATAGAAGTACTTTCCTTGTAAAAAAATCCCCAAAATCCACCAAAAAATCATACAAAACACCACAAATCAAATCTCGTAAGGCATCTTAAAACCTCTAAAAACTTACTTATTCCCTCCTTCAACTCTCGAGAAGCGCTTGGATTCCAAATGGGAAAGATGGCTTCCACTGGATCCCTGTTTTTTCGTTGGGAGGTATCCTCTCTCTGCAGCCATCTTTAACATGGCCCCCACACCTTTTGTTACATCCCTTTCTTCTCCCAAAACATTCTCATAGTCAACGCCAAAGACTTCTTCGTCCTAAAAAGTAAAAAAAAAACATAACAACATACAAATACAAAGCCATTCTGAAAATTTTTAAAAACTCAAAATTTATTACCGAACAGGGGAAGTGCCCCAAGTGCGACGCTCAGATTTTGATGAAACTTGGCACAAATTTAGAGTAATTTTTTGTAAAATATATGCGACAATCCTAGCTCGCGCTTTGTCGAAATAACTGAGATTTTTAGTTCGAAAGTTGGCGAAAATTTGATACCTTTTGCCGAATTTCGGCACGAAAAATTTCATGTCTATTTCTACCATAGAGGGTAATGTTTCCCCAAAAAATCGATGTTTTCCGCGCTAAACTAGCAAAGTTATGGCCAAAAAGTGCTGTTTTCTCTGACCGCTCTCCAATTAGTGTACTCTCTCGGCCGAAAAAACCGTTCAATATCTCGGCTGGGTCTGCAAAGCGCGAGCTAAGACTTTCTGGAACCGATATTTAGTCTATTCCCGACTTTTGTGCAAAATTTAAAGAAAATCTGAGCGTCGGGTACTTCCCTTGCAAACCAACACAAAAACCCTTCCAAACCAATACAAAATGCTTCCTACCTCCTTCTTGGGCTTCTTCCTTTCCTGTTTGGCCTCTCTTCTGCTTGATTCTGGCGGATCGTCTCCAATTTCCTTCCATTTCGGTCCGTCCTCTTCAAAGTCGCCCATTCTGCTGTCCAATTCCACTTTGTTCTTCAATTCCTTTGACTGTAGGTCCTCTTCATCCTGTTCCATTTCCGAATCCGTGTCCGACACCTCGCTCTCGGTTTTCTTGACCACTTTTCGTGCCTCTTCTTCCTGTTTGATCTCCGAGTAATCCACATTGTCATCGCGGTTGCCGGCCAAGCCCAGGCTCAGGATTTCGCCGATGGATTTGTAGCTCTCGGCGGTGGCATCGATGACGAGGCCTTTCGAGTTGCCGGGGAGGGCAAAGTCCTCTTCTTCTTCGTCCGAATCCTCCTCCTTCTTTATCCGTCGTTTCAGCAATTCCTGGCGCCATTTGTCCGAGGATTCGTTCTCTTTCGCTTGATTCAGTTTCCTCGTCTTCTCTAGTGCAGCGTGAAGTTCGTCTTCGGCTTCGTCATCGAGAATCACGCCTCCAATGTTCGCGCCGCCAACAAAATCTAAAGCAATGCCGAATAGGAGCCAAAAATAAAAAAAAATCATCAATTATTATTCAGAAGGAAAGTACTTATATGGGGTATGGAGTTACAGGTCGAGATATATATCAAAAAATTCGCAAAAGCTTTCTGATTCTAAATATATAAAAGTTAGCTGCCTAATTTCGATCTAATGACATATTTTTGTCCTCAGAAGTTTTCTCGGGGCACCATGCAAGTACCTTTTTGACTATTTTTTTACCAATTAAAATTAAGGTGTAGTCTTAATCCAATTTGATACGTTATGGCTTGTCAGGACCCCAAGTTTATTTTAGCGTGAAACAAAAAAATTTTAGTTGGTAAAAAATCGTCAAAAAGGCACCTGCATGGTGTCGGGAGAAAATTTCTGAGGACAAAAACATGTCATTAAACCAAAATTAGGCAGGTAATTTTTATATATTCTGAATTCCAAAATTTTTGCAAATTTTTTGATATATATTTCGACCTGTAACTTTACCTCATAGAAGTACATTCGTTGTCAAAAACCCCAAAAAAAAAGTAATCAAATATTACTTAAAAATCATCTCTTTTCTTCTAAAAAACCTCCAAAAAATCAAAAAATTTCAAAACCCACCATCATCATCGCTCTCCTCCTCTTCGCTGTCGCTGGCTTTCCCAATCCTCTCGGCCAAGCTCTTCAACTTCTTTATGTCCACATTCCCTCGAGTATTTTCCTTCCACTTCCCGCCAATTTTCACCTGAGGCTTTTCGTCTTCAACTTCTCCTTCTTCCATTTCCTCTTCAGTTTTTATTTCCTTAAACGAACTTATCGACTTCCCATTGCCCTCCGGGGCTTCGCCCGACTCGGCTTGGCGGCGGGCGGCGAGACGTTTGGCCCTGAAATTGAATCGTATTTTAGGTTGTGCAGGGCGCAGGCTGCCGAGATAACAAAAAAAATCACAAGGAAAGTGCTTCTATGGGGTATGGAGTTACAGGTCGAGACATGTATCAAAAAAATCGCAAAATTTTTCTGATCCAAAATATGTAAAAATTAGCTGCCCAATTTTAGTTTGTAAGGGCGAAAAAACCTTCAGAACTTTTCTCGAAACAACACGCAAATGCCTCTTTTTTACATTGGAACGACTGTGAAGTTGTAGTATTAAACAAATTTGATATTGCTTGTCATGATGTCAGGGTTTATTTGAGCTAAAAACAAAAATTTTGAATTGGAAAAAAACTTGGTCAAAAAGGAATTTGCTGGTGTTGCGAGAAAAGTTCCGACAAGGGAATTCACATTTTTCGCATATCGATCCATACTGGTGCCCTAGTGGAAGTTGAAGGTCTCAGACAGTGCAATAAAAAAATGGCTTACAAAAGTGTTTACGGGCCCTGAGGGCAGAGTTAAACCTCTCTTTTGAAGGGTCTTTTCGGTGGGATTTTTGCGTGTACCTTGATGAGCCATAACTCTGCCCTCAGGGCCCGTAAAAACTTTTGAAAACCAGATTCTTATTGCACTGTCTGAGGCCTTCAACGTCCACTAGGTCACCAGTATGGGTCGATTTGCGAAAAATGCGAATTCCCTTGACACAACTTTTCTTGCAACACCAGCAAATTCCTTTTTGACCAAGTTTTTTCCATTTCAAAAATTTTGTTTTGAGCTCAAGTAAACCCTAGCATCTCGACAAGCAATATCAAATTTGATTAATACTACAACTTCATAGTAGTTCCAATGTAAAAAAAAGGCTGCGAGGTGTTGCGACTAAAGTTCTGAGGGGTTTTTCGCCCTTACAAACTAAAATTGGGCAGCTAATTTTTACACATTCTAAATCAAAAAAAAATTTGCGATTTTTTGATGCATATCTCGACCTGTAGCTCCATACTCCATATAAGTGCTTTCCTTGCCAAAAAACCGATCAAATCACTCCAATAATACAACCAGAAGCCTCCGATGACATCCACACCACCTCATTAACCTACTTTTCCTTCTTTTCTGCCTCCAGATCCCCACTATCTTCGGGTTGGATGTCAGATGCCTTCAAAGTTTTTCGTTTCCTCATCTTATCCTTCTTTACTTTCTTTGGCTTTCTGAATGAGACCATTTCCTCTTCGGTGTAAAATTCTCTGGCCAAGGTGTACTTCGATGACTCCAAACTTTCCAGCTTTTTATTTGCCATGAACAATTTCCTTTTCATTTCCAATTCACGCTCTTCTTTGTCCAAATCATAGCCGCCAGCCTCATCTAAAATAAAAATTTTTTAAACACTAGCCCACTATAATATAACTTAAATTCTCAAAAACCCCTTACCCAATCGGAAAGTCTCTCGTTTGACATCGCCATCCAGATCTCGATCGTATTTGGACAAGATCTGTTGCTTCTTTGTCATTCCAAATTCATCCACTTCATCATCATCATATGGGTTATAATCCTTCTTCTGTTTCCTTAGCTCCACATTCTTTTTATGTCGCTCATTGTCGACCAAGTTCGGATTGATCAGAATCTCTTCGCCATCTTCATCAAGAACGCCTCGGTCTTCCAGAACAAGAACGGTTTCCGATCCATCGGCAAATGCCTCTTTTGAGTGACCAATAAGAAGATTGGAGGTTGAAGATGAAGGCGCCGACTTCGTTCCTTTCTTGACTTTCGGTTTAGCCCTTTTTGTCTGAAATTGCAATTTACTGAGCAAAAAGGACAGCAGCCTTGAGGAAAACTTCATTCTTCAATAGAATTACGACCTAAACTCAAGAAAAACAAAAAAAAAAAAAAAAAACACACCTCTTCTTCCGCCGCTTTCTCCACAATCTCATCCATTTCATCGAATCTCTCAGCTGCCTTTCGGCTCTTCTCCAGCCAGGAATCCAAATCTTCCTCCTCATCCGAATCAGCAAGGCCTTTCTTCACCTTCAGCACCTTGCTGTAGATCTTTTGCTTTTCCTTTTGCGTCTGAATCTTCTCACGGAGTTTCTCCTGCTCCCGCTTCTCAGTCCAACTCTCCGCTTTCTTGTGGTGGATCTCAATTCCATCTTCATTGTAGACCTTCTCATCATCAGCGTTCGTGTCGTCCTCATTCCCTTCATCTCCCTCCGGTGCTTTTGGAGGCTCTTCGACCTGAAGGGGTGCTAGACCAAGCTCGGCACGGATTCGGTTGGTCTCCTCGATCGATATTTCCTCTGCTTCGTCCTTTTTGGATGGCTTAGGAGCGGAATGACGAGATGATCTACGTTTTGGCTCACTGAAAGAAGAGGAATGGGTAAAAACAAGCCTTTTTGTTCCAGAATATGACGAGTACACCTCGACGCATGCCAAACTACCTTATCTAACTGATAAGAGAGGATCTAACCGATAAAGCATGAAACTATAAAGAAATTTCGAAAATCTCCCAATTTCTTCAACCCAACGTCAACCAAATCCTCAAAATAAACCTAAAGAACAAAAATAAACCGAAAGCACCTACTCATTACTTCCTTCTTTGGTGGTATCCTGATCTAGATCGTGTTTTCTTTTACGGGCATACCTGAAAAGATTCGCAAATTATTCATGGTTTTAAACTGACCTCAACCTTACTTTCCACTCATTTTGTGCAGATTTTAACAAGAATTCAATTAGCTAGCAACAAGAAGCAATAAATAACGAAGATATTTGCCTGCAATTTCGACGATAAGAAGCGGGAAAATATTTCGACAGAGAAGAGTTGACACGTAGACAAGCTGTGCCAAGTTTTTTCCTCTTCCGCAACTCGCGCCCTGGATATTGTTTTCCTTTGGTTTTTCGGATTTAGAAAAATAACTTGCTCCACTCTGCAGAGTTTTTGCCACAAGGCCAGACATTGCTGTTGTTTTTCTACTTTCCGATCAAAATTTATTGATGTTGTTCTTGTCTTTGGAAAATGTTCGGAAAAATCCATTTTTCCTTCTGTGTTTTCGGCTAAAATTTCCTTTTTGTGAATAACCATTATTTTGATTGACTCTGCCCACTAATCCGTCGGGTTTCCGACCCGAACCATTGTAAAACTAATTGTAACATGACAAGAGATGATGTTCCAGACGTTTTTGAGCCCAAATTCGATATTGTCCCACTGATCATTGAGCTCTCATGCCTCGGTAAGTTTCTTTGTTGCATGCATTTTGTTTTCCTTCTATTTTTAGGCGGATTCGCTATTTCCTTGGCGATATTCGAGGTGATTTATCGAAAAGGTCTGATTTTCAAGGAGGACCAGGAAGGTCCCACCAAGATTCATCGGGAACACCTCCAGGAGTACAAGAAGCAAGAGGACAAATTCCTGGCCAATGGCGGACAAGCGAACCCGATGCGACAGCGAGAAAAGCCGGCCGAGGGATCTGGAGAAGCGGCGGCCGGGAAATCGACTGTTCAAGGAGGCGCTCAGACGGCTTCAGCTCCGACCAGTCAGTCCAAGACTGGTGAATAAAGAAGTTAACTGACATTTCGGATGTTATGCATGCTATCTTCCTGCTTTGGCTTGATCTTACAGCAAGGTTTACTGCTTTGCTGCGATGACGGCAGACTTGACCCAATTTGTTTCTGGGTCGATTCTCTCTTCTTGTTTTCGTGAAAATTTTGTGAAATTCATTTCCCCCTCGAGATAATTAGAGTAGGCGCGTTGTCCTTTGCTCTTCATGACATCCTCGTGATCTTTGTAATTGATATTTGTACGGGATTCGTTTTTTTTGTTTGTCTCGCGAACCTCGAGCTCGAGTATAATATAATATTTGAAATTTTGAAGAGATTATTGTATCCATGAGGTCTAATGGAGGCTGATGAGTACAACAAGAGCCTGATTGAGATTTTAGTCGACGAGCCATGTATTTACGACCCGGCTGATCCGGCTTTCAATAACATCAATGAACGTCACATGGCGTATGTTCGACTTGGTCAACGGTTGAGAGATCGAGGCGCAAATGAAGAGCAAGGTTGGTATTTTGACTTCAACTTAGGATCGTCGACTATTTTAGCTTGTTCTCTTTTTATTTTCGTACAGGTTTATGCCTCTTTTGAGTTCTGGCGTCTGACGGTCTAGTCTAATATAATTTTGATGCAATTTCAGTTCACCGTATAAACGACCGATTTCAAGTCCTGAAACGACGATTCTTGACCGAATATCGGAAAGTTCAACGTGGTTTGCAGAGTCATTGGGCTTATTATGAGGATCTGCTGCCACTTCTCAACTCCCTGGCTGAGAAGTCTGCTACGTAAGTATTTCTCTTTTTTCCTTGGTGTTTAGATAATAACAGCTTGAATGAAGCCCAAAGAACTTGTTTCAGAAGTGAAACGGCCAGCTGTATATCCGAACCCAATATCCTGTTCTCTCCATATTCACCATGTCCCAGCTCTGATGAACGGCCAACTGAAGCCAAACGCCGGCATGTTGAAGAAAAGTCGGCGGCTTGCCGCACGGAATTTGCCGGGATCTTTGACTATATCGCATTTCGGCTTGATAATATGGAGGACACCATCAGGAAGTCTACTGTTGAAAAAATACTCCGACTGGTCCATAACCCATCAATGGAATTGATGGATGAGCGAGTCAACGCGTCCACTTCAACTCCAAAATGGTGAGAAAGACCATTTGGAGTCGAAAGGGGAGAGTGAAGTTTTAAATCCCGTAAAGTCGCACCTTTTACATACAAATACCTTTTCATCCGTTGTATAATACTCAAACCGGTACTTGCATTCTAATCCGATATCAGCTCCACATATACAAACGAGAAACGATATATTTTTATTCTACGGTTCTTCTACCATGTTGTTACCGATGTATATAGCTGTACAGATGTATATATAATAAAGATATATTTTATGAAAGTTTGTTTGTCCAATTTGTCGCAGTTTCCATGGTAATTCATTGGCACGATACCTGATTGCGTGAATATCTCGTTATGCGAGGGTAATTTGGGGAGATGGACGAGAAAATTACGTTGTATTAGGTGGATGAGGTCTCTTTCTACCAAAATTTCGAAATTGCTTTGTGCAATGACCTCAAAACAACAAATGCCCCCTAAAAAGTAATATCCCCCCTTCCATTTTACTTTGTAAATGGAGTTTTTTTTCAGTGGGCGTCTGTTTTTCCCCAATTTTGGGCCGAAATTCCTTTCTCCGAGCGGCGTTCCATCTCCGAATTCCTCTCATTTGGTCAAAGACTGGCCTCGAAATAACCAAAAAACTGCTGGGTTTTACTGAAGGATAGTTTTATTTCGACCGAAAAGGTCATATTTGATAAATTTTTGGGATGAAAGCTGTTGATTTTGGGTGGATCTCATGTCGGACAGATTGAATTTTGCTGCTTGTAATCTACCAAATGCATGGGAAAAGGGCTGGATTGGTCTGAAAATCTCATAAATGCCTGGCGAAAGAGGTTTATTATTGGGTTGGGACGAAAGTTTTCCCCTTTTTCTTGTTTTTTTCCAAACAAATTTATTTTGACAGTTGTAACGGGAAACCAAACATAACATCCACCGTCGGTATCCACTACGTATTGCTAACGTTCCGACAAGGATTCAATTGGCGAGCTTAAAAACTGGGGTATTTATAATAAAAAATGTCAGAAAGACCTGTTTTGAGGTCCCCCAAACAATCGAACCGCACATCTCCCAAACGGTAGCTTAGCGATCTGATCAAATGGTAATCAGAAGGTGCCAAGGCTGGGGTGTAGTGTGGGTAGGGCAGCAAAGTCCATGCATTCTCCCTGAATTTTTTGCGCGCGATTTTTGCAATGTGGTAGCAGGCGTTGTCGTGAAGGAGAAACATTTGTTCCACTTTTATCTAGCATTTTCGGCGACGCGGTCCAACTGGCGATAATAATGCTATTTAGGGACAGTTTTACCATCAGGGAGCCATTCCTAATAAATACCTCCCATACAAGTCCACCAATCGCAGAACATGACCTTTTTTGGGTGAATTTTGGTTTTGGGGTTGGTTCACCGTGATGGTCGGGTTCAAGCTACTGAAGCTTGCGGGTATGGTTTATATACATCACCCATTTCTGGTTCCCTGTAATGATATTGGTCAGCCAAGTCAGCGTGCGGCGGTACGACAAAAATTAGGAGCAACAGTATAAGCCGTGACTCCGAAAGTTCGTGCGGAACAAATTAACCACACTTCCACACTTTTCCCAACCGATGTAGATGGTCCATAGTGGTAGTATGGGAGAACCCAAAGAGCTCTCCAAGTTCACGTAATGGCAATTTGGGATAGCTCACGATTAAGCCTTTTAGGGCGTCATCATCTATCTCAGATGGCCGCCAGAACTTGGTCGTCTAACTCCTTTTTTGAACCTCTGGAACCAATACTTGGCCACACCATAAAAGAGGACGTCCTTGCCTATAACATCCTAGACTTCGGTTATATCTTCCATGGGTTTTGGTATTCTGCGATAGTTTTAAAATTTGACGCATCGAAACAGCAACTTTGGGACGGAAATTTTTCCACGTTTGGAGAGCGCTATGGGGACAAGTTACATATCAGTCTATATGCTATCAAGTCACCCTTACATAGTCACATGATAGAACTTTCCAGGAAGTTCCACAACTTCCACAACTTTTCCCGAAAATTAAGGGGAAAACTTTCGTCCCAACCTAATATTTGCCAAATTAACCAAATGGTCAGCCATTTACAGTGGGGGACCTGATCCAGTTTCAAAAAACGTACCATTTTGCATCGAGGAAGCCTAAAAAATGAGGCAAAATACCTCCCTCTCCAAGTGAAAAAAACTCAGCTCTTTTTTGTGAGGGAAAAGGGCACCCTTCAAAACGATTTTTTTTCACTTGGAGAGGGAGGCATTTTGCCACATTTTTTGATACTTCCCGGATGCAAAATGGTACGTTTTTTGCCACTGGATCAGGTCCCCCACTGTAAATGGCTCATCATTTGGTTAATTTGGCAAATAATAAACCTCTTTCGCCAGCCGTTTATAAGATTCTCAGGCCAATCCAGCTCTTTTTCTAGCCGTTTGGACGATTTATTAGATAGATTACAAGCTGATTCGATCTGTCCGACATGAGATCTACCCGAAATCAACAGCTTTTATCACAAAAATTTATCAAATATGACCTTTTACGGGTTAAATAACACTATCCTTCAGCAATATCCGGCAGTTTTTTTGTTGTTTTGAGACCAGTCTTTGGCCAAATGAGAGGAAATTTAGGGATGGAGCGCTGGTCCGAGAAAGGAATTTCGGCCTAAAATTGGGGGAAAAGTGCATAGGGAAGCTCGCAAAAGTTCACGTTCGTGATTTTTTTGCTGATTTTATAACTATTTTTGGTTAAAAACCTGAATTTTTTTCAGAAACCGGTAAATCTTTAAAGTTATGACCACTCAATGGCTTCCCTTGGAATCTAATCCCGATGTTTTCAACGATGTAAGTGGTGGAGTAAAATAGTTTTCTAATTTTTTGAAAGTTGTGGTAATTTTTCTTTTTTCAGTTCATCCAAAAGATCGGGATCAGTGGCGCCAAGTGTGTTGACGTCTACGGCTTCGATGACGAATTGTTGGCCTTCATTCCGAAGCCGCATCTTGCCCTAATCTTGTGCTATCCCGACTACAAAAAAGTTAGTATAACATGGTGATGATTTATATGGTTGAAGGCAAAAATGACTTTTATTTTGAGCAAAGTTACTAGTTTTTGTGTGGATTGAGTATTGTGTGATGATTTACGGTCAAAAAAAAATATATATTTTTTTGATTTTTCTCTTTCCAGGTCGATGAAATCATGAAGCCGGTGTACGATAAGCTCGCGGCGGAAGGCACCACCGTCCCCGAGAACGTCTTCTTCATGAAACAGAAGATCTCGAATGCCTGCGGAACCTTCGCTCTCTTCCATTCGATTGCCCAAAACACTGACAAATTGAACATTGGCCAGGGATCCTTCGCCAAATGGTTCGCGGAGGCGAAAAAAGTGGGCGTAGATGAACGATCGGACTTGTTGGCCAAATCCGAAGACATTAGCCAATCCCATGAAGCATCAGCCGCTTCCGGAGAGACTGACGCCAACCCAGACACGGTGGAACATCACTTTATCGCCTACTGTAACATCAATGGCACGCTCTATGAAATAGGTCAGTGATTTTTAAACTTAAAAATTTTTGGTGGGAATGGGGATTATTGGATGGTCATAGGTGATTTGAAGGTGGATTATCCTGTTTATTGTTTGAATTGGTCCATTATTTTTTTGGCACAGTGAGTTTTTTTTATTTTGGACGGTCTTGCACAGTGCGGGTTTGAGGTCCAGAATTTTGCGGTTTTGTTTATTCAGATCGAGTTTTTGGGTCAATCCAATATTTTAATTAGTCGTTTGACGATTCAGTAAGTACAGACCTCATCCAGTGGCAAAGAACGTACCATTTTGCATCCGGAAAGTATCAAATAATGTGGCAAAATGCCTCCTTTTCCAAGTGAAAAACTTCCTTTACTGCACAAAAAAATCGGGCGCGCTTTTGAAATCTGAGTTGTTTCACGTGGAGAGGGAAGCATTTTGCCACATTTTCGATGCTTCCGGGATGCAGAATGGTACGTTTTTTGCCACTGAATCAGGCCCCCACTGTAGACTACAAGCTAGAAATTCGATCTGATCCAAATAAAACGCTAAAATTTTTTCGCTTGAAACCGCACTGTGCAAGATCACCAAAATTAAAAAAATTTTGTGCCCAAAGTAAATAATTGGGAAATTCAAACGCTAAATAGTAAAACCACCTTCAAAATCACCTTCAAACCACAAAACAATTCAATAAACGGTGCATTAGACATCAAAATTTGATTTCAGACTCCCGCCAACCCTTCCCCCGCGCCTGCGGCCCCACCACCCAAGACAACCTCCTAAAGGACGCTGGTACCGCCGCTAAAGAACTCATGGACAAACTGGGAAATGTCTCATTCAGCGCTCTGGCCCTGGTTGGCGACTCCTAAACCGCTTGACATCACCATCAACGCATTCTGCATTACTCTTCATTGGCTTTATCGCTGCTAATTTATGACAATAAATATTGACTTGTTTTTGCATCAGTGCGTTGATGTCTATGGTCTGGATGAAGAAATGATCGAATTCGTCCCGAAACCTCATCTAGCATTAATTTTATGCTATCCGGAGCCGGATGAAGTGGGTTTGGAACGCTTTCGAAGTGTAGATTTTTCAAAAAAAAAAAAAAAAAAAATTTATTTTTTTTGCAATTTTTCGTATAAAATGTCGCCTTTTTTAGCTTCAGCTTGTAATGCAGTCCGTCTATGATGATCTCGCCCAGAAAGGCGCCAGTGTACCCGAAGATGTCTTCTTCATGAAGCAGAAGATCCACAATGCCTGCGGCACTTTCGCTCTTCTCCACGCAATCGCTCAAAATACCGACAAATTGAGAGTTGGCCAAGGATCCTTCGCCAAATGGTTTGAAGACGCCAAAAAAGTGGGCGTAGAAGAGAGATCGGCCCTTTTGGCGGCTTCAGAAGAGATCAGTCGAGCGCATGAAGCCTCAGCAAAGTCCGGAGAAACCGACGCCAATCCAGAAAAAGTGGAACACCACTTTGTTTCCTACAGCAACATCAATGGCACACTCTATGAATTTGGTGAGAAATTTTTGTTTATTATTTATTTTTGTGGGTGAATTTGCACTGTGCGCGGATTTGGGAGGAGTGATTTTACTGTGCTTCGAGTTATGGGTTTAATTTTGCATTCACTGTGCGAGATTTTGCATTGCTAATTTTTCCTCAATTTTTTGGCATGCCTTTTTTGTCAATTCCTCTTTGGTTATGGATTTTTTTCTCTCTTTTATTTTTTATCAATGGCATCATCGGTTTTTAGCGCTGCACTGTGCAGTGGATTTCTTGTCCATTTTGCACTGTGCGGAAAATTTTTCTTTTTAATTTTGCACTGTGCAGTGAATTTCTTTTCGAGTTTTTCTCTGTAATAGTGTGAGCCAAGTTTCTATCTCTCTCAAATACGTATTTTACAATACTTTTCTGTGGTTTTGAATTCATTTTTATCACTTTTTCTATTTTCTGCACTGTGCAATCATCATTCTTTGAATTTCCGCACCGTGCACAAAAATTTTTTCTTTTTTCGCACTGTGCGGTATAAATAGAGCGATTTTAATGCGCTTCGAGTTATGGGTTTAATTTTGAATGCACTGTGCGAGATTTTGCATCGCAAATTTTCACTAATTTTTTAAATTTTTCAAAAACTGCACACTTGATTCACCCGAAAAAAGTGTGAAAGATCGTTGTAGACTCGTCTCAAAGCTTCCCGCGAGCTTGTGGCCCAACTTCGCAAGACACATTGCTTCGCGACGCTGGTATTGTGGTGCAGGAGATGGTGGAAAAATTCGGTAATTGCTCGTTCAGCGCGTTGGCGCTGATCGCAGATTCGTGAATAAGTTGTTCGAAATAAATATTGAGTTTGAAGAATGGAAGAAATGTGATGAGTATGAATTGAAAATTTTGTAAAATTTGGAATGTAATATCCTTTTCCGGCTCCAGAATGTGTGGACTACGGAAATTTTTCTTCTTGAACTAGGCCAGTCGGATTTTTAGGCCCTCAGGAAGATGGAAAAAAGGAAATTTGTGAGAATCAAGGGTATTCTCTATTAAAATTTTTGAGAATGTAAGTTAATGGGATATCGGAGAAGAGTGGTGTAACTAACTTGTTTTAATAATGAAATTTATATACGGTCTGGATCATCTGAATCTGGAAGACCTATGCTGCCAATTTCTTGGAAAATTTTGGAGTAAAATTTGCAAAAAAAAACATATTTTTGCGATCCACTAGGCCTTCGGAAAACACATTTTTTTCAAAATTTTATTTTTTATGTCCTCGTACAATGGCTATGATCCAGTGGCAAAAAATGTACCATTTTGCATCCGGGAAGTATCAAAAAATGTGGCAAAATGCCTCCCTCTCCAAGTGGAAAAACTTCGTTTTGAAGGGCGCGCCGTTTCCCTCACAAAAAAAACTTTTGAAATCGGAGTTTTTTCGCTTGGAGATGGAGGTATTTTGCTACATTTTGTGTTACTTCCTGGATGCAAAATGGTACGTTTTTTGCCACTGGATCATGTCCGCCGGACTTAAAAAATAAAATTTTGAAAAAAATTTGTTTTCCGAAGGTCTTCTGGATCGTAAAAATATGTTTTTTTGCAAATTTTACTCCAGAATTTTCCAAGAAATTGGCATCGTAGATCTTCCAGATTCAGTTGATTTCCAGACCGTATGTAAGTTGCATTATCAAAACTAGTTACACCATTCTTCTCCGACACCATTACCTTACATTCTCAAAAATTTTAATAGATTTTTTGCCACTGGATCATTGGAATTTTAAGGTGCATTATTAATCAAATTTGTTATTTTAAGACTTGTCTCTTTTTGTGAGGAAAAAGGGCGCGCCCTACAAACGAATTTTTTTCACTTGGAGAGGGAGGCATTTTGCCACATTTTTGATACTTCCCGGATGCTAAATGATACATTTTTTGCCACTGGATCAGGTCCGTCTCTGTAGATCCCAAAAATATATTTTTTGTAAAATTTAATTCAAGATTTCCCAAGAAATTGGCAACACAAAACAAGTCAGTTGTACAGTTCTTCGCCGAAATACTAGTCCTTCCGGAAAGTCGCCGGACGGAAATCGGCGACGTGCACTCCGCGAAATCGAAAGTTCACTTTGCACTGTGCAATTTTTGGCTTTTTGCACAGTGCAATAGGCTTTTCGAGCTGTCGCTCGCACCCTGACTTTTTTCGCACAGTGCATGTCGCCGATTTCCGTCCGGCGACTTTCCGGAAGGACTAGTATAACGTTCATTCGCTGAAATTTTAATGGAACAACCTATGATTCTCACCAATTTCCTCCGTTCCTCCATGTCCCTGGAGGCATTTTGGAAGTGCGGAAAAAATTAAAACGCCCCGAGGTTAATTTTCTCCAAAAAACAAAGCGGAAAAAGTGCCGAAACGCAGCGGAATTCCTTCCTCTCGCTCCTAACGAGTACTTTTTCGTTTTCTTCCTTTTTTGCGGCCGAAAGCGCGGCCCTTGAAAAGGACCGGAGGTCTTGAACATTATGAAAAAAGAGAGTCTCCAAAAAGTGCTGCCAAAAAGATTTTTTTGCGCTTCTAAACGAATTTGACGGCATCTTTCTGTTTGTTTTTGCGTTTTTATACGTTTTAATGGGCTTGACAACATAAGTTTTGTATTAAAACTGGACCTAATACACTTCAAATTACTTTATTGTCATAGAAAAGTTTGTTTGGAAGATCAAAAATCATTTTATTTTTCAAAAATTCCGAAAAATTGTAGATATTTGTATGAAAGTTATATTTTTTCCACGAACTTGCTCCTCAAATTAGTGAAAGTCGAACTCTTAGGACATTTTTGAAGTCTTATTGATGTGTTTGGCCGGATATGACGTCATCCGAAAGCGTTGTTTACTTTCTTCTTGTTGTTTTCGGTACTTGAAGTGGAATTTTTTTGGGGTTTTAAACTATTTTATACATTTTTTGAGGTAACATAAAATTTCAAAGTCTACTAGCTATATAGATTCGAAAGTAACTTCTTTCACACCCACTATTATATTTTTTCGGCAAAAATTGCATTTCGTCCTATTTTTACGCGGCTTTTGCACTTTTACGTCCAACGGCTCACTCCATTCTAGCAGATTCAAGTTTCAATTTGCTTATTTTGGCTCTTGCTTATACTGACATCAGCGATGAGTTTCGGGATGGGTGACAATTTTTTTAGGCCAATCCAACACTTTGCCTACCTATCTGGTAGTTTACAAGCGATAAATTTGGTGTGCCAAAGACAAAATTTGCTCGAAATGAATGGAAGCCGAAGAAATCATCTTCTTTTCCCCAAATCATGTAAAATTGTTTACAATCTAATATTTTTCACGGTACGTTCGAGCTATAAACCTTCAAATTACAGGGATTAGAACTTCCTTTTACTTTCAGGAAATCCACGTTTTCCTCGCCCAAACTATAGGCTATGTTGGGCCTTTCAGAGGCTATAAAAAGAAACTTAATTGTCACCCATCCCGAAACTCATCGCTGATGTCAGTATAAGCAAGAGCCAAAATAAGCAAATTGAAACTTGAATCTGCTAGAATGGAGTGAGCCGTTGGACGTAAAAGTGCAAAAGCCGAGTGAAAATAGATAAAATTTGCCGGAAATAAATGGAAGCCGACAAAATCATCTTGAGCTTTGGCGTGAAGTTACCCCAAACTTAGTTGTAGCTTCAGGCTCAAGAAACTTCTTTTCTTGCTGCTTGCGTCGGCCAGAACGTGTTTTTTCACCTTACCATGTGCTATGATATTTCGAATTTTTGGCATGTTGACCTCTGGAAATCCTCTGCAAAGTGACGTCATTGCCGACAAAACGAAACGGTTTGCAGTAACATAAATCTCGGCGGGTCTTTTGAATAAATTATTCATTTTCCGCGCCGCCGGCAAAAACACTGGCCCTTCGGAGTTTTTTTTTCACGCCCTCCGGGTCTATATTTAATACAGCGTCTTCGGGATTAGAGGGTGTTACGATTACTCTTGGACTCTGAGAAATTGGCGCAGGAAATGGGCTTTATGACTTGGAATTCGCCTCCAACGCTTTGAATATGTTTTTGAAAAAGATTAGAGAGCCATGGCGGCAAATTAATTAGGCTGGAGAATATTCAACTGAGGGTCAAAAATTGAGATTTTTGGGCCTTCAAAGTCGTTAAAACTTGTCGAAAAATGTGGTTTCAATTCCATTTATCTTTCCAATCTTTGACGTGTCAGCGCTGTTTACAATATTCTGGCGAAATAATGAACCCTAAGCGTTTATCTCTGGCCAATTCCTCCTAATTGCTAGCTGTTTTTGTATTCTGAAGTTCGTGCGCACTCACCTTTTCATAATTTTTATATTTCCCCCATTTACGTCAAACGCCTCGACGCGGGGAAACGGCGACTTTTCAGGTGTAAGATTAGCCCGTAATTAGCATATTTCTTGGAAACACCGGGAATTTACGATGAAAGTGAAGGGCCTGGGAGCAAATGTTTGAGAAACTTGGCTTTCCAAATTTGGCCTTTCAATATGAAACTTTAAAATTTGAAGTTTATCTTGCACAAAAAAATTTAGTTTTATCGTTAGTTTTCAATACCTACAAACACGAGATGATATTTAGTTTGTTGCTTTTTTATCACTTTTATTCCGAACGAAGAAAGAAAGAGCCTTTCGAAAGCCCCGAGCAGCCGTGGTTTCATGGTGTAGCGGTTAGCACTCAGGACTCTGAATCCTGCGACCCGAGTTCGAATCTCGGTGAGACCTAGTGATTTTTTGCGAATTTTTACGTTGAAATAACGCCGCATGTTGTGTGGTAATGCCCTTTTTGAGGTATTTTAGATGTCCTGTGTCTTAGAAGATATAACTTTTCTGGATTTTTGTGCGTTTTGCAAAATTTTTTATAATATTTTTGTTATTTTTTGCCTGAATTTTTATTGAGTTCTCTTTTTTTTATAAAATTGATTTGGATTTTATCACAAACTGCAATAAAACAGAATAGAATCATAGTTGAAAGCCGGAATCCAAAAGAAAAACGAGAGAAAATAAGTGTTCTTGGACTTTATATGCCTTTCCATTGGCAATTTTGTGGTGCCATTCATTTAAATGTTCACGTGTGTTCGAGAAACGAAGCCTTCGGCTGCTTTCGAGGAGGCATTTAATTTCTGTGCAGACAAATGTTGTTTATTGACCCAGTTTAATGAGTCGTTTCTGTAAAAAAATTTGGAATTTGGGCAATTTTTAGGGGGCTTTGTATGTGGTTTGGGTTGTTATTCACTTCGGACCAACGTGATTTCGAGAAGATCGAATTCATTGTTTGGAATGGACGAAATGACTAGCCAAAGGGTTGGATTGGCCGTAAAATCTCATAAATGGCTGGGCGGGGAGTTGGATTGGCCTAAAAATCTCATTGGCTACCTAAAGGGTTGAATTGAGCTTAAAATTTCATAAATGGATATACAGGTAGTTGGAATGGCCTAAAAATCTCATAAATAGCTAACTAAAGGGTTAGATGGGCCTTAAGATCTCATAAATAGCTTGCAAAAGGGTTGGATTGGCCTTAAAATCTCATAAACGACTAGACAAGGGGTTGGATTGGCATAAAAATCTCAGTTAGGTGATTTAGAAGCCAATTCCACCCTTTGACTAGCCATTTAGGAGGTTTTCAGGCCAGGACAACCCCTTGGCTGGCTATTTACGAGATTTTTGGCCAATCCAACCCTTGGGCTAGCTATTTATGACATTTTAAGACCAATCCAACTCCCCGTTTGGCCATTTAAGATATTGTAAGGCCTATCCAACCCCTTGGCTAGCCATTTGCGAGATTTTAAGGCCAATCCAACTCTTTGGCTAGCCATTTGCGAGATTTTAAGGCAAATCCAACCCTTTGGCTATCCATTTTCTCCATTCCAAGCAATAGAATCGATCTTCCCGATATCAAGTTTGTCCAAAATGAATAGCCGCCAATTCCCCTCTGCGCTAAATTCGAATAAACCCGCAAAATATTTTCTTTCGGCCGCGAAAACTCGTCGGGAGCAAAAGCCCTTGTCCCCAACGGATCGCCCCAAGTCGGACCCTCTCGATCCGGAGGCGTTTGGAGGATCGGAGGGGGGCCTTCGAGCATAAAGAACAGCCGGATCAGCGAGGAAAAGAAAGGGTTCCCCTCAGGCTCTTTTGACATATTTTTTCGGGAGAGGATTGAAAATTTGGGTTCGGAAGTTATGTGGACAACAAAATTGGCCAGTACTTTTTTCTTCATTTTCGACTTTATAGGAGATTTGAAGGAGTTACAGCGGGTTGAATGAAAATATTTGGGTTTGAATGGTCATTGAGTGGTCAAAGATTGAGAAATTGGAAATTTTTTGGTTGAGAAACGGGATTTTTAAAAAAATATTCACATTTTTTGAGGATTATTTTTTTGGAAAAACCTTGGAGAGCAGACTGCTGAGGAATAAGGAAATTTAGACTGCCCAAAAAATCAAATCCTATTTCACGTTAAAGCGGCTTATTGCACGTCTTATTGTATTAGATGCACAATCACCTGTACTATTTTTTTTGGCATGCCTTTTTTGTTAATTCCTCTTTGGTTATGGCCTTTTTTTCTCTCTTTTATTTTATGTCAATAACATCATCGGTTTTTAACGCTGCACTGTGCAGCGAATTTCTTTTAAATTTTGCACTGTGCGGAAAATTTTCTTTTTAAATTTGCACTGTGCAGTGAATTTCTTTTTAATTGTTTTTCTGTAATAGTATGAGCCAAGTTTCCAGCGCTCTGAAATATGTATCTTACAATCGTTTACTGTGATTTGGAATTCTTTTTTATCAGTTTTTCTATTTTCTGCACTGTGCAATCATCATTCTTCGAATTTGCGCACTGTGCAAAAAATTTTTTGCTTTTTCGCACTGTGCGGTATAAATTGAATCCTCAATTGTTTGCAATTGAATTTGTAGCCAAATTCAATGACGTTTTTCATTGTTTTCACGTGTAATTGTAACAATGAAGTTGTTATTTAGCAGATTTTTCATAGTTTTTTTTTCACAAAAAATTTTGAAGTGTTTTCCGGTTTCCTATAAAAAACTTTGGTTTGCCAAAGATATTCTGCTTTTTGACTATCATACAGACAAATGACATAGCTCCGCAACGTGTTTACGACGTAAAATCCCTCTTTTTCCCACAATTTTTCGCCGCTTTTATCTCGTTTTTGCATTGTTTTTATTTGATTTGCCAATAATTTTAGGGATTGTTAGGGACCTCGTCTTTCCCCCCTCCCTTCTCTCGCCGGTTTTATGATTACTCCGGCCGCGGATTTTCGGCCGAATTTTTCGCAAAACTATTTTTCACAAAAAAAAAATTTTTTTTTGAGTGGATTTTTTTTTGTGAAAAAACCTCTTGAAACTCGTCGCTCTCCCAAGACTGATTGACTAGACGAATGGATTGTTCTTGGCCCTCCGGCGTCATCGCTTTTTCAAGCCGGTCATAATTGCTCGAAGGGTTTGTAATTCAACACCCCGTTTTTTGCGTTTGGGGTTGAAAACTGCGGATTTTTTTTTTGGAATTATTTGGACTATTCTTTGTTTGTCTCGCATTTTATAACACAAAAATTTTTTTTTTACATTTTTTTTATTTAAAATTTTTTTTATAATTCTACAAATTTCTACTTTTTGAAGTAAGAAAATACCTAAAATGCCAGGTATTTTCGTATTTTACAACAAAAAAATTTTTTATCAAAAAATCCCCATCGCACAGTGCGAATTTTATATTTATTTTTTAAAATTTTTGCACAGTGCAATAATTTTTTCATTTTTATTTTTTTTTTGCACCGTGCAAAAAAGTCGATATTTTTTGTCATATTTGATGACATAAAATTAAAAAAAAAAGAATTTTTTTCAGGTCCGTTAATGATCAAACTCAAGCAATTCAACAAGTTCGCGCCATTCTAGAGACCGGAAAGTTTTCAGAATGGCCGAGAAAGAAGAGACCCCCGGAGGGGAACAGGATGACATCTCTTTCCTGCGAACGGTAGGACTCTGTGACATTTTTTTTTAATTTTTTTTATTTTTTTCAAAAATTTTTTTAAATTTTTTTAATTTTTTTGCAAAAAAATTTTTTGATATTTTTTTGAAAAACATATAGTAACTATACTATAGCCAGAAAATAGCACGTTTTCATTTTTTTCTTCCTCCTTTTTTCGCTATTTTTTACTACATTCCCACATAAAGAGAGCGCGGGAAAATCCGCAAAAAGACCCCGAAAACTTTGGCCAAGGGCGGAAATGAGAGTTTTGCAAACAAGTCTAATCGTTCTCCAATGCAAAGTGGTGTAAATTACACTGCAAGCTTTGCATAGATCCGGGGGAGAAGGCGTTTTGAGAGCGGGTCAGATGGAAGAGCAAAAGTCCCGGAAATTGTAAAAACTTGGGAAGAAAAACAAATTATTTTTTGATGACTGACTTGAAAAACACTTGCAACTCTCTGCAAAATTGTCAAAATTTACATATTTCAAGAAAAAAATTGAAAATTTGAGTCTGCACTGTGCGACAAAACATTTTTTTCCGATTGCACGGTGCATCGGAATTTTGATCGAAATTTTTCCTAAGGGCATGAATTAAAATGCCATGAGAATTTAATACATGTTTTTTACAGAGAAAAATATGTTCTTTACAACGCATTTGATTACATTTTATTCTCTCCGCACAGTGCAATTTTGATTTTTTGAATTTTTGCACTGTGCGGCGATGAAATAAAAAAAATTTAAAATTTGGTAATAAAAAAATTTTTTTTGCTGAAAAATATTTATAATTACATGAAATAAAATATTTGTAACAAGGAAATACATTTGCAGGGAGACATTGTTGCACTAAATTGCGTCTCCTCCACCACCAAAGATGGGGTGAACTCGTCGGGCCGGGTCTGCATGTGCACCGAGGGCTTCGGCAATCGGATGTGCACCCTGGAAAACATCAGCGGCAAAGACGTCCCACCCGACATCTCCATGTGCATGTTCTTCATCGACAACGCGCTCTCGGTGCGCGCCCTGCAAGAGATGATGAGCGCGGAGGGCGAAATGGTAGGCTACTTTTACCGGGCTCTAGCGAATTTCTTGATGATTGGATTTCCTTGAGATTTTGGGCAAATAATGCTTATGTGTTGCTTATTAAAGGACCAGAAAAGGTATTTTTTGAACCGATTTTTTTATCGGCGTAATCAGGCAATTTCGCGGCGGGACCATCAAGGGATGGATGTGTTCTCGATTTTTAGAATGGAGAATAAACTTCTCCTGTGAATTTTTAATGGCCAATTGGCCCAAAAACATTGCTTCACATGTTGAATGAGCTGGGTCATTCCAGGAACTCGATGAAAAACATCAAAACCGTTCATGTAAGTTGTTTTTTGTCCTTCAGTTACTTTTTTAGGTATCTCTCCATGAGCAATAAAGATTGGACAATTAGAATCGATTAGATTGTCCATCCGGGACCTGTGGAAGGGTATGGTCGAGGGAAACGTGGTGAACAGGTGAGAGTTTTACATTTTTGTTTGTTTTTTAGACCGGGATCATGGTTAATATAATTTTTATCAGTGAAATTAGGGCCCGAGCTTTAGTTAAGAACTGTATGGAGTAGTCCAGGCGTTGATGCACGTTTTACAGAACAGAGCATGTTTTTACTCCGTTTTTATCAGAAGTATGCACTTTTGCCATTGATAATATCAAAATTTTGGCTAAAACTTGCTTTTTGGGTAATAATCTTGAAGTTTTTTGCAATAGATTGTTTGTATTCATTTTATTTCAGGTTCCTGGTACGTCGGGAAAAGACTACGATGCTGGAGACTAGAACCACAGCCATCACTACGGACAATTATCGCCTCACGATCGTTGATTCTTTTTTCCATCAATATTTCAATCTAACCTTGGCAATAAGCAATAAATCTTGTTATATGCTCTATGAATAGTGTTTGAATTCGTCAAGGCACTTGACGCCTTGTTCAGAGTAAATCGATGGAAAGAGATACCTAAAATTGAAAATTCATGAAGTACAACATCATTTTCGCACTTATATGAGGATTTTCGATAGAATTCCTGAGACTGCACATCTTATTCAGCACGTATATCAAAGTTTCTGGGCCAATCGGCCATTTGAAATCCACTGGAGAACTTTATTCTCCATTCTAAAAATCGAGAACACATACATACCTTGATGGTCCCGCCACGAAATTGCCTGATTACGCCGATAAAAAAATCGGTTCAAATGGTCCTTTAATCACTGAGAAATTTGGCTTGCGCTTCGCAGAAGTGACCGAGATATTCAACCATCTTTGTAAGACTAGGCAAATGAGGAGAGACGGTCAGAGAAAAAAAAAATTTTTTTTGTTCGTGCCTGTTTGGATTGGAAAATTAGTTTTGAATAGGAATATTGGTTATCAGAATTTCAGAATGATCTGAAAATTTTGAAAAAAATTTTTTTTTCTCTGCTCGCTCTCTTCAATTTTCCTACTCTCTCGTCGGCAAAGATTGCGGAATATCTTGCCGTCAGCTGCATAGAGCAAGCTAAAATTCTCAAGAATTTATTAGACTTTCAGACACAAAGCATGCGCAAAAATTGAAGGAAATCTGAGCTTTTACCTTTGAGCACTGACCTTCTGAACAATATTAATATCAAAAACTGGGAAGTGTCAAAAATGCCGCAAAATACCTCCCTCTTTAAGTGAAAAAACTCCGATTTCAAAAGCGCGGCCTCTCTTTTTGTGAGGGAAAGGGCACGCGGTTCAAGACGGAGTGTTTTTTCACTTGGAGAGGGAGGCATTTTGCCACATTTTTGATACTTCCCGGATGCAAAATGATACTTTTTTGCCACTGGATCAGGTCCCCCACTGTAGCCCAAAACAAATCTTTTGAATTGGTAAAAACTTGGTCAAAAAGGCATTTTCGTGGTGTTGCGAGAAAAGTTGCCACTGGATGTGGTCCCTGCTGTAAATTACTGTATCTCAATTTCCTTGCAGAAGGCATCCGGCGGCGGTGGAGGCCACAAAACCTTGTTGTACGGGCATGCCGTCCAATTGAAACACGTCCAGTCAGAGATGTTCTTGGCCTGCCTCTCCACCTGCACCTCCAATGATAAGATCGCGTTCGATGTGGGTGTTCAAGAGAGCAACGAAGGCGAGGCGTCGTGGTGGACCATTCATCCGGCTTCAAAACAACGATCCGAAGGTGAGAAAGTCCGCGTCGGCGATGACGTCATTCTGGTCAGTGTGGCAACTGAACGATATTTGGTAAGATTTTTTTTGGAATGACATGGATAGTTAGTTGTAATGGCACTTGAAAAAAGATAATTTTACTTTGGGAAGTGTAGTATTGAAGTTTTATGACATTTTTTTATATTATCCATGTTTCAGCACATGGCTGTCGCCAAAAATCTCATGGTAATCGCATCCTTCCACCAAACTCTTTGGAATATCACATCGGTCAGCTCGGGAAGTGTCCGATCTAGAAATATGGGTAAGAAAAATGGCGGTGAAAGACTTGAAATTTTGTTAGGTAACTGAAACTTCGATTTTTTATAATTTTTTTTGCGATCGTGATTCTGAAAAGATCAGGACCTATCAGAATAAGTCTAATTCTTCCAGAAAAAACCGATTTTTCAAAAAAAAAAAAAAAAAAAAAAAAAAAATTTTTTAATTTTCGGAAATTGAATTTTTCGGGAACTGGGACGATTAGGGAAACCGAAAAGTATTATTTTTCTTCAATGCAAATGTCAAAATTAGGATAATCGAGGGTGCTGATTTCGAAAATGACATTCATTTTTTAGATAGTAACTTTTTTCTTTAAGTAGTACTGTAAAGTAGTAATTGTTTGAATTTTTTTCATGAATACTTGACTTGTTGGTTTTTGATGGTGCTGATCTCAAATCAGAAAAAATGAATAAGATTTTTGAAATCAGCAAGGTCGAACCCCCCAAATCGAGTATTCATGAAAAAAAATCAAAAAATAGTACTTTACAGTACTACTTCAGGAAAAAAGTAATGAGCAAAAAAAATGAATGTCATTTTCGAAATCAGTACCCTTGATTATCCTAATTTTGACACTTGCATCGAAGAAGAATAATACTTTTCGGTTTCCCAATCGTCGAACTCCGAATTTTTCATGTATTTGACCCGTCTTTTTTTTTTGCCTTATATCTCGGCTTTGCGTACAAAGCGGGAGCTAAAAATTTTCGGAATTGAAATGTATCCTAGGTAGAATATATAGGCCAAATTTGAAGAAAATTTGAGCGTCATGTCGCGAGCAGTCTCCATTTTTTTTAAAAAACTTTTATTTTTTCAGGTTTTCTCTTTGGTAACGATGTTCTTCGACTTTTCCACGGAAACGACGAATGCCTGACCATCCCAGAGAATTGGAGCGACAGTTCACACAAGTAGGCCCTTTTTTGAAAATTTTCTACTTCTCTGGGATACTTTTTGATCCCTTTTTTTTATCAGTTGGACCTTATTTTACTTAATTTACCCAAATTTTTCTCCAGCATGGTGATCTACGAGGGCGGGAACGCCGTGAATCAGGCGCGCTCGTTGTGGCGCATCGAGCTGATCCGCACGAAATGGCACGGCGCCATGGTCGGCTTCGAACAGCCCTTCCGAATCCGCCACATCACCACCGGCCGCTACCTGGCCATCAAGCCCAAGGACGAAAGTATTGCCTCCGAAAACGCGCTCATCGTCTCGCTGCTGCGCAAAGAGCACGCCAGCTACAACCGCACGGCTTTCGTCATGTGCCAAAACAAGGTATCGTAAAAGTTTTTAAATTTGGGGTGGGCTCTGAAGTGGGGTACTGGAAGGTTTATTTTGTTTATAGCTTGAGGAAGGATGGATCTAATTTGGGAAAAATTGTATTTTTAGGACTCAAAAGAGCCGTATTTTTTGGCTAGGACTTTTTATCGCAATGCCATATAAGGGCTTTTTTGAAAACGAGATTTTTTTCGAAATTCGAAAAATTTTTTTTGAATTTTGAATCTAAAAAAACTTATATTTTTTGTTAATTTTCTTTATTTTGCAATTTTTTTGCTGTTAGAAAAACCCTCAGGAAATTGGCAAACATGACCTTTATCGATTTTTTCAGCATAAAAAATTGCCATAAAAAGCCAGAAAAAATTAAAATTTATGAAAGCTAGCAAAAAAATCTTGATTTTAAAGAAGCCCTGAGGGGATATTGCGATAAAAATTAAATGCTCAAAAAATAGAGACCTTGTGGATCCTAAAAATATAATTTTCATAAATTTTCTTCATTACTTCCCGATTTATGAGCAAAATTAGGCGTTTAGGTCCAACTGACCTGCCCTACTATAAGATCCTAAATTTATTTTGTTGTTTCAGGACCCCAAGAAGCAAATGCTGGACGAAAAAGAGGAGGAGGGCATGGGGAACGCCTCCATCGGCTACGGCGAAACGAACGCCTTCATCCAGCACGTGGATTCGCAGTTGTGGCTCTCCTACAAAACCTCCGAAGTCACCAAGAAAGGATTGGGAAAAGTGGAGGAAAAGAAGGCGGTCCCGTTGAAGGACGGCCACATGGACGATTGCTACACCTTCTTCATGGCCCTGGAAGAGGAAAGCAAGTCCGCAAGGGTGATCCGGAAATGCAGCTCGGTCTTGAATCGATTTTTACGGTAAGAAAATCGATTTATAAAAAAAATTGAATTTTTTTTTTGGAAAATAATGGTGAAAATCGATAAAATAAGATTTTTTTAGAGCTCAAATTGTTGGAAAATATTTTTTTCTCCGTTTGAAATATCCCCTAAAGGCTATTTCAAATCAAAGTTATTAAAAATTTTCACCTTACTGAAATTTTGGAAATCGATTTTTTCTGATTGCCGGAAGGCATTTAACTATGCAAAAAGTCAAAATGAAAAAACAAGATCCCTTAACTATCCAGAAATATAATTTTTGTAAGTTATGATCCATTATTTCCAACGTTATCGGCAAAAGAAACCATCCAAGTCGGTCTGATCAACCATGTGTAATATCGCAATTTCTAGGGGAATCGAAGCCTTGCACACCGAGGGAAACCAAGCCAACGATTGGAATCGTGTGGACCTCAACGAAGTGCTCAAACTCATGGAAGACCTCATTGAATACTTTGCTCAGCCCAACGATGAAATGAGTAGGTCATCTAGTATATATTTTTAATTTTTTTGTTTATTAATTTTAGTTTTTTGAGCTGTAACTATTTTTTTTTACTTTTTTCCAGCCTTCGAAGAGCGCCAGAACCGCTTCCGCGCCCTGCGCAGTCGGCAGGATTTGTTCCAAGAAGAAGGCGTCCTGAACATGATCCTGGACACCATCGACAAGTTCAGCGAAATGGAAAGCCTCCCCAATTTCGCGGGCCTCATCGGCGACGAAAACCAAATGATCTGGGAGGAAATCTCGACATATCTGTATCTTCTTGTGGCCGCCATGATCAAAGGTAACCATCGAATGAAGCCTTTAACCTTAAGCTTGACTTTTAATACGTCTAATAATCTCTCCCTTCAGGCAACCACTCAAATTGCGCTCAATTCGCCGCCGTCCAGCGACTGGACTGGCTGTTCGGCCGCCTCTCGAATCCCCAGTCCGCCGAAGGCATCCTGGACGTGCTGTATTGTGTCCTCACCGAGTCCCCGGAAGCCCTGAACATGATCAACGAGGGCCATATTAAATCCGTGATATCTTTGTTGGAAAAGGTCGGCAGAGACCCCAAAGTTTTGGATGTGTTGTCCAGTCTATGTGAAGGTAATGGAATGGCTGTGAGGAGCTCGCAGAACACCATTACGAACCATCTTTTGCCCGGCAAAGACTTGCTCCTCCAGACGGCTATGAAAGATCAGGTAAAGTAATATAAACCCGAAATGTGAGCAAAGCATGAGGCAGCTAGCGCTGAAAGAGTTATTTCTGATAGGTTAGAAGATAGTGACCTGAAATTTACAAAAAAATTAGTTTTGGGATCTACGGGGCCTCATTTTCCTCCACTTTTCCCATCTTGGGGTCCTGAAACAGCAAAGAAAATTTCGAATTTTTTAGTAGAGTTTTAGTAGAGATTTGGGAATTTGATTTTTTTTTGAATATCCCCTTAGGGCTTCTTTGAAATTAAGATTTTTTGCTGGGATTCCTCAAATTTTGGTTTTTCATCCCAAAAAATGACTATATTTTTGACGATGTAAAAAGTCTATAAAAGTGGTGTTTCTCAATTGCCTGAAGGTTGTCTTAACGGCAAAAAATTGCAAAATAAAGAATAGAGGCCTTACTTTTAAAGATTTTTTGATGGAATTCCTCAAATTTTAATTTCTCATCCCAAAAGTCCCTATTTTTATGCTACAAAAATTGATAAAAGTGATGTTTCCCAATTGCCCGAGGGCTTTCCTGCCGAATTCTAATTTCCTCCCCCCGTTTCCAGGTCTCCAGCATGATGCCCAACATCCTGGTGGGCCTGGTGGACGGGAGTTCGCTCTTCAAAAAGTGGTACTTCGAGGCGGAAGTGGAGCACCTCGAGACGATGACCAAAACCCCGCCACTACTCCGAGTAGGCTGGGCCAACACCGTCGGCTACAAGCCGTTCCCCGGCTCGGGCGACGGCTGGGGCTGCGGCGGCGTGGGCGACGACTTCTACTCGTACGGCTTCGACGGCCTGTTCATGTACTGCTCGGGGAAGGCGCGCCAAGTGGGGCATCGGGTGTTCCGCAAAGGCGACGTCATCGGATGCGCGTTGGATCTGCTAGTGCCCGAGGTGAAGTTTTCATTGAACGGACAGCCCATCCCAGCGGTGTTCAAGAACTTCAACGTGGACGGGTTCTTCTTCCCGGTCATGTCCATGTCCGCCAAAGCGAGTTGTCGATTTTTGTTCGGTGGGAATCACGGACGCCTTAAATACGGCCCACCAACTGGCTTTTCGTCCGTGGTGGAGGCGCTGGATTGCCCGCTGAAGGTCGATGAATGCCTCTCCTTCGGAGATTTGCTAAAAAACACATACGCCGGACCTTCAACAACCCTTCATGCAATCGAACCTTTCATCCCGACCCCATTAGACATAAGTGGCGTAAACTTGCCCAGCTTCGCCCTGGAGAACCATCAACGGTTCGCGGAGAACCTGCATGAGCTGTGGGCCATGCGCAAAATCGACTTGGGATGGACCTACGGCGAGGTCCGAAACGAAGCCAACAAACGACACCCGTGTCTGACGTCCTTCAATCAGCTTCCGGAAACAGAACAACATTATAATATACAGCTGGCGCTGGACACAATGAAGGCTATCGAAGCTGCGGGTAGGTTCAATTTATTTATTTTTTGAGATTTTTTTTGGGAAAAGGGGTTTTTATACCGACTTTTTTTTGATTTTTTGGGGCGCATTTTTGTCCTATGTCTCGATAATTAATAAAAGCCCTCAGGTAATTTTTAAATTGCAATTTTTGCGAAAAGTTTCTCAAATTTTTTTTTTCAAAAACTGATTTTTCGATTTCTAAATTTATTTCTAGCTTTGGAAAATTCTGAAAAAATGATTTTTGACTTTAATGAATATTATAAACTGCAATTTTTGCAATTTTTTTTCAAATTTGCCCATGGCAAAATAAAAAAAAATTTTTTTCAAGAATTGATTTTTCGATTTCTAAATTTGATTTTTAGCCTTGGAAAATTCTGAAAAAAATCTTTTTGACTTATTTCAATTCAAAAAAAAAACATAATTTAAAAAAAATTTTTCCTTGCATACCACGGATTTTTTGAAAATTCCCACTGTAAAAAAATTTGGCCCTCATTTTAGGCTATCACATGGTCTCCGACAAGCCCCCAACCCGCCTTCGGCCGGTCCGTCTGGCCCAACACTATGTTCAGGCCAACGGATACAAACCGCAACCCTTGGACACGCATGAAATCGAACTCTCCGAGAGCATGAACCCACTGATCGACACCATGGCCCGAAACACGCATAATGTGTGGGCCAAGGAGAAGATTCGCCGGGGTTGGACCTTCGGCGTCAGCGAGTATGTGGATGCAACGCAGAAACGGAGCCCTCACCTTGTTCCTTATGATCAGGTGAGAATTTTAAAAGTTAATTTTTTTATGATTTTTGAAATGAATTTTTTACTATGTTAACTTTTAAATTATACCCTAAGGGAAGATCAATTCATATTTTACAAGATTTCTAACCTTTCTTTGCAAAAAGATTTCGATTTTGCCATTTTCTCCGAGCTTTTTTGATAAACGAACAAATTTACGTCAAAATCCATAATAAATTTACGTTTTTTCTCCATAATTTCGTTCCTTTTCTGCAGAGCCCTCTGTGTATTTGATGCAAATGTGCGCACGCGTGGCCTCCCTTGATTAGAGACAGTCGATTTTTGAGAGAGCAAGAGAAAGCGCAGTAGAGAAAGAGAGAAAACAAAAAATAGCGCGCTTTTTTCTCGCTCTCTTCCCGAGTGGGAACACATTCGAAAGCCGACAAAGAGGCTAACGCGGGATATAAAAGCGAGGTGTGGGAGAAGAGAAATGTTCATTCCAAATGGACATATACTAAAATTGGAACAATACAGAGAAGATTAGCATGGCCCCTGCGCAAGGATGACACGCAAATTCGTGAAGCGTTCCAAATTTTTTGTCGAATTTTGAATGGTTTTTTTTATTTGAGTGGATAGGCGATTACAGTATGAAGCAAAATTACTGTGACTAATTTTTTTAAGTTCAATAAGACGGAAAACATTAGAATTTGAGAAAAATTTTATATTATTCTTGATACAAAAAAATTGCAAAAAATAAAAAAAAAATCTTCCAATTTGAATCCGCCAATTCCAGGTGGATCAACGAATCAAAGAGGCGAATCGAGAAGCCGCTGCGGAGAATATCCGAGCTCTCCAACTCTTCGGAATCTTCCTCGAAGCCCCGGCGATCGAGCAGGACGAAGCGGCCGAAAAGGAAATGCGAGCGATGAAGTCAAAAGTCCGAACCTACCGTGCCGAAGCCACGTACAAGGTGAATGGAGGCAAATGGTACTTTGAATTCGAAGTTTTGACCGAGGGATTCATGAAAATCGGATGGATGGATATCTCTGCTATGCCTGATACAAAATTGGGTAAGCTATCGAAAAATAATTAAAATTTTTCAGAAAAAAAATGTTTTTAGAATGTGATTTGATCTATTTACGATATGTTGAGACGAAAAAAAATTACCTGAAAAAAATTTTTTTTTGTATGAAATTTTTTTTTACCTTGTTTTAGGTCTGGACGACAAATCCTACGGATTCGACGGCTATCTTTGCAAGAAATGGCATCAAGGCGCCGAAACCTATGGTCGAGAATGGAAAGTGGGCGATATTGTGGGCTGTTTCCTCGACCTCAACGACCGAACCATCTCTTTTTCGCTGAACGGAGAACTTCTCTTGGTATGGGCCTTGTGTGGGAACTGGGACTTGGGGAAACCGAAAAGTATTATTTTTCTTCGATGCAAGTGTCAAAATTAGGATAATCGAGGGTGCTGATTCCGAAAATGACATTCATTTTTTCGGTCTTTACTTTTTTCCTTAAGTAAGTAATGTAAAGTAGTAATTTTTTAAAATTTTTTCACAAATACTCGATTTGGGGGGTTTCGATGGTGCTGAGTTCGAAAATCTTATTTATTTTTTCTGATTTGAAAGCAGCACCATCGAAAACCCCCAAATGGAGTATTTATCAAAAAAAAATTCAAAAAATTACTACTTTACAGTACTACTTAAAGAAAAAAGTTACTATCGAAAAAATGAAAATCATTTTCGAAATCAGCACCCTCGATTATCCCAATTTCGACACTTGCATCGAAGAAAAATAATACTTTTCGGTTTCCCCAGTCGTTCTGCTCCGCTTGTGTAACCTCATCAATTTCGAATTTTTTAGGACCCGTCTGGAAGTGAGATGGCGTTCGACAATGTCACCCCGATCGACGGGTTTGTTCCAGCAATGACGCTGAGTGCAGGCCAAAGAGCCCGGTTGAACTTTGGACAGGACTCCAACTCGCTGAAATTCTTCACCACTTGTGGTCTACAGGAAGGTTACGAGCCATTTTGTGTGTAAGTTGTGCATTGTATGTTCGAAATTTTGCCTCAAATAGAAGCCTTGAGGTCTAAAATGTCTGGAAATTTAGCAATATGTACCGACAAATGCCAATGTGGTACTCCAAACACCTCCCCACCTTCCACGAGATCAGCGAATACTCGCGCATGGAAGTGAACCGAGTCCCGCCGACCGCCACCTCCCCGCCCTGCCTGAAGATCAGCCAACAGACCACGAACAACGACAGTTTCACTGAGAAGTCGAAAATGGAATTTATCCGCCTGTCACTGCCCATTAGATGCAAGAAAACTTTTGTCAAGAACAAGTAGGTCATGTGTAATATAGTTGACTCAAAAATGGGAGTTTTTAGGGGAAATTTGGTATGTAATGGTGTTTAATTTAAATTTTAGAGACCGTGAAGCCATTATGAAGGCAATGCAAGAGCTCCAGAAGCGAAACCCATCAATCGCGACCATAAAATCGCCCGGATTACCCAAAGAATTTGAAGATCAGTCGGAAAAGAAGCGAAAGTCGATTGGAAAAACGCTTCTTTCGGCCTTCAGACATAGCAGCCATGATGATGATGCTCGATCCCACACAAACGCATCCTTCGACGGCAGCATCCACGATGGCGAGCCACCAGCCCTTTCGTAAGTATAAAATAAAAAAAAATTTGGTTGAAAAAACGCCTGATTTGACGTTATAGCGAGAGATTCTCACTTATCAACACGTTTCCTCACGTATTTAACCGAACTACGCTTTTCACCGATTTACCGCTAAAATTTGCAAATTTTTTGACTGCACGGTGCAATTACTTCTCTCTAACTTTTTGCACCGTGCGATAGGCGCACGGCTAAAAGACGGTTATGATATGTTTCTAGAGGTGATTTGGAACTATTCTAGTGTGTTTAGTAGTACCCTGGTGGTTTGGAAAGGATTGGTTTGATTAAATTATATTACACTAGAGTGCGGAGGGAAATTTGATCTAACTCGATGAATTGAAGTGCTAATAACAAGATTTTGGTGAGGAAAGAGTGTTAAATGGATAATAGAAGAGCCTAGCATGTATAAAAAAGTCTTGTCTCATTTCTGACAACTTTTAGCTTTGGCGAGCTGCGCCCAGGGATTTGCTGGAATTTCGAGAATTTTGACGATTTTTTGACTGGAGATGATTATACTGGTCTTTGTTGATAATTTTACAACATATTTGTTGAAATACTTGCCGATTTTTTGTACGAAATCACACTTATCCATCAAAAAGTCCCATAAAAGAGCTAAAATTATATATCCCCCCTTTTGTCGAAGCTAATACCTCTGCACACGCAATGCTTAGCGGCTAGATACACTGTCTAAAGTCCAAAAACAAAGCTCTTATGTCTCTCACTTGTCCCCACGTCACAACGCTAACCCCTGAAACGCTTTGAAGGCAACGTCGCCGAGTGCTGACCATGCTCCACTTCGGCCTCCACTCCTTCGACGAGACCGTCTTCACATGGCTCAAGACCGAAGACCAGAACCATGAGGAGTTCTGGGTGGACGGAGTCAGGTAGTTCGAGTCGAATTGTCAGCCTTTTTGTCCGCCCTGTCCCAGTGCTACTTCTAGTGGTTGTGAGCGGAGTTGTAGTGGTTATTGTGAGGTCTTGAGGTGGTTGTAGCCTTCATTTGTCGGTTGACTTTCTATCTTCAGCGATTTCCGGGATTTCCTGCAAGTGGCTGTCGATTTTTAAGTTGGCGAGCTGCGCCCAGGGTTGTGTCTATAAAACTAGTAGAAGTGAGGAAATTAGTAATTAATTGAATTTTATGAAAAATGCGAACGCTATTTTACGTTCATTACAAATTTGGGCCTCTAAATTGGCGCAAAAAAATATTTCCGAGCTGCGCCCAGGGTTATTTTAAAACCCCAATAATAATGGGTGATTTGTGAGGTAGGTGGACTTTATGGATGTAGTAAACTCGATCTGACGTTGGTTACTAATCTAGATCTTCAGAGCCGGACAAATCAAAATTCGAGCTGCGCCCTGGCTTGATTTTCAAAAGATTGAGAAGACTTGGAAATTCGTAAAAAAAAGTTAATTTTATGGACACGACACGGTATTTCCCATAGTTTTGAAATTATTTGATCCTGAAAATCTATATAAAATATTTTCCGAGCTGCGCCCAGGCCAATTTTCCTTTTTTCCATTATCGTGGCAAATCATATCCCTATGTTGTTTGTATGTTTCTGCGGTAATTGTGAAGCCTAAAATTCATACTTTTGCTATGACTTCCACTCTATTTGAAGTTGTTTTCCGGCTTCTAACCACTACAGGGTGTCCAGAGAAATTCCGCGGAAAGTGTTTGCCGATTTCTCGGCGCTCAGGCAAGATATCCAAAAAATTCTTTTTGCATTAGAAAGAAGACTATGGGCGGTTTTTTTTCTAAAAAAGTTTTTTTGTCCGCCGACGCGGAACATACTGTATTTGGCGGAGACTTTTGGTAGCTTTTTTGGTCATCACACCAATCTTAAAAGCTTCAGTACGATTTCTGATGGTTAAGAAGAGAATGTTATCTTATTTTTATGTTTACCAACCGTTCGGCAATGGAATGGCGAGTTTTCCGTATCGGCGGAGGCCACAACTCAGCTTCGGATAGGAGATGTCCCAAACATTATGTGGCTAGCGTTCTTTGCTGATCCCATATGCTCTCCAAAATTCCGTCGCCAAGCCTTGGCTGCATCTTAGCCATCAGTAAACGACTTGGTGCACCAGAAAACAACAAAATATTTTTTGTTTGAACTTCTCTTTGCCCCACTGTTTCAAACCTCCGCACGATGCGGTCGGACTTTATCGCCGTTGACGAAACTACACAATGCGGTGCAGTCGCTAAATGCAATTGCACAGCATTGTCGTCGGTCCCTTGATCCTCTGCAGAAAAAACTGAAGGCTTCCCGATAGTTTCAGGATCATAGTAAAGCGCTTAAGATTGGTGTGATGACCAAAAAAGCTACCAAAAGTCTCCGCCGAATACAGTATGTTCCGCGTCGGTGGACAAAAAAACTTTTTTAGACAAAAAACCGCCCATAGTCTTCTTTCTAATGCAAAAAGAATTTTTTGGATATCTTGCCTAAGCGCCGAGAAATCGGCAAACACTTTCCGCGGAATTTCTCTGGACACCCTGTAAAATGGCGGACCTGATCCCGTGGCAAAAACGTACCATTTTGCATCCGAGAAGTGTCAAAAAATGTAGCAAAAAATGTAAATACCTCCTTCTCCAAGTGAAAAAACTCCGATTTTAAAAGCGCGCCGCTATTTTTGTAAGGAGACATTTAAAGGGACTTTTAAAGAGTTGTTTCACTTGGAAAAGCGGGTATTTTGCCACATTTTTTGATACTTCCCGGATGCAAAATGTTACGTTTTTTGACACTGGATCAGGTCCGTTACTGTAAGTAGTGAGGGTTTTCTTGAAGTCGAGCTTGAAAGTGTGCTTTAACACGCCTATTACTATCCTTACTGTCGCTGTAACGCCCTACTAACTCAACTATCATTTCCGCTTCGAGAGGAGGAGTCTTTTGACTTTGACTCTCCCCATTTTTCTCATTTTTCTAACTGTAGAAGTGGTGATTCTAACATGATCCTCTTACTTTTCGACGAATACTTGTGTAATCTTCCAGGAAATCCAGCCATTTGGACATGTCGAACGAAGAGCGCGCGTTGGCCGCCGAAAAATTGCGCGACATGACGAAACAAGGCGCGAATATCCACAAAAAGTCGTCCGGCCTGCTGAATCGCCTCAGGGAACGGAGGGATAAGAGCAAGTAAGGGAATTTTGTTCAAGCTGTTTTGGGTTTCCATCGTTTTTGAAGTAAATTTCGCTACATTTTTTACGAAATTATGAGAAAAAAGTGAATTTCGTCGATGTTATCGATGATTTGAAATAAAAAATGATTTTTTCAGAGACGACCGCTCCGTTGAGAAGAAAGGCCGAATCGACGAGGACCCCAAGTCCGTCAAGAGCTTCGATTTGGCTTCAGCGACGGAGGGGTCAATGTCAAGGCATGAAAGTCGGGATTTGCTGAGCGGTAAGGACCTTGGCTTAAAATTGGAAATACTCAAAGTGTGACGGGCAGATCTTTTTCAAATTTTGGACAGATGTTGTGTCTAGTTCGTAAAAGAATTACCGAAAATTTTAGCTCGCGTTTTGCAGAAAGGACGGGGATATTGAAGGTTCGGTGAGAGAGTACGGAAAATTGGGAGAGTGGTCAGAGAAATTTTTTATTTTTTGGCGATTTCTTGGCCAAAATGGGATTTTTTGGAGAAATTTTTTATCTCTACTTATCATAAGTAGATTAGTAGCGATTTAAAAATAAGAAAATTTCAAAAAAAAAGAAAAAAAATAAATAAATTTTTATCCAAAAAAATTTTAAAAAATTTCCCTTCAGCGATTCCAGACATGCCGCAGTCGGGCCCGGGCCGCGCCTCATTCCGCCGTGGCTCCAAGAAGCGCAAGAACGGCAAGAAGGACCGCTCTCCGTCCATGCCCGACACCAAAGAACACCGGCTTTCCGTGGCGCCCACCGAGGTCACCGACGGCGGCACCAGCCTGGACGACGACAGTTTCGCGATGACGCAAATGGCCGACCAGATTGACGATTATTATTATGGAGTGCGGATCTTCCCAGGTGAGTAAAAAAAAAATTTTTTTTAAAGGAATTATCGACTGGTCGATAAAATTTTGATGGCAAAAAAGTGTAAAATAAAAGATTTTGGCTGGATTATTGGTGTGTAAGAAATGTGGCAGTAGTTTTTATTACGTTTTTCTTTGGAAAAGCCGTTTTTGGTTCACAGCCTGGGCGCAGGCTGCGGATTCTAAAATTTTCAAATTTTGATGTTTCAAATAATTAGGGCAATTTTAAGGCGGATTGTGACGATGAGCAATATTATTAAATGATTTTAATTTCGTAAAGGGCATATTTGAATATAAGCTAGGGCGCGGCTGCGGAATTAGAAATCTTAAAATTTTGATGTTTCAAAAAACTAGGACAATTTTAAGGTGGATTCAAACGATACGCAATATTTTTTAAATGATTGTAGCTTCATAAAGGACATTTTTGAATGTTAACCTAGGGCGCAGGCTGCGAACTCAAAAATGGTCAAATTTTGACGCAGAATTTAAAACTCGGGTCAAACACAGTGCAATGATGTTACCGGTCAAATTATATTTTTTATTTTCTAGAAATCGACAATAGGGCGCAGCTCGGAAAAAAAAATTTTTTAATTTTAGAAAATTGATTTTTCCCAATTTCAGGACAAGACCCCGCCAACGTGTGGGTGGGCTGGGTGACGCCGCAATTCCACAGCTACGCGCAAAACTTCAACGCCGCCGAAGCGGTGCGCAAGTGCCGCTTCACCGAGATCGACCATCACGGAATCCCATCGGACTCGGTGGAATACCGCAACTGCTACATGCTGAACGCCCAGGAACTCCTGAACGCCGTTTCGGACGGAACGAACACCAAGGTCTCGGGACTCCTCATCGGATGTATTGTCGACATTTCGCTGGGCGAACTCTCTTTCCTGGCTGCCGGACAGGACACGGGAATGAAGTTTAAATTGGAACCAGGTGGGTTACTGTAATTTTCAAATATTTTTTTTGCTTTTAAAGTTTTTTAAAAATTTTTATGGATTTTTCCACAGAGTTTAGTAATAATTTACAAATTTTTTTGTTGAATTTTAAAGTTAAAAACGGCAGGCTGCGCCCTATAAAATTAAGGATTTTTTGATGATTTAATTAAGTATATGGTATTTTGGAGACCATGAGTAATTTTGCCTTTGATGGGCAACTTCCAAGCTTAATTTGTTGAATACGGTTCGAAAAAAATTTGGCGAGCTGCGCCCTATATTTAAAAAAAAAAAATTACGAGCTGCGCCCTACGTTTTTTTAAGTTTGCTAAAAATTTAAAAATTTGGGTTGCTGCGCTCTACATTTAAAAAACCTTTTGCCGAGCTGCGCCCTACATTTTTAAAAAAATTTGGCGAGCTGCGCCCTACATTTTTTAAGTTTGCTAAATTTTTTTTAATTTGGCGGGCTGCACCCTACATTTAAAATTTTTTTGCCGAGCTGCGCCCTACATTTTTTAAAAAATTTGGCGAGCTGCGCCCTACATTTTTTAAGTTTGCTAAATTTTTTTAATTTGGCGGGCTGCACCCTACATTTAAAAATTTTTTGCCGAGCTGCGCCCTGAAATTGTTTTCAAGTTTTGTCTAAATATTTACTCAATTTCCTACTTTAGGAGCCATGCTCTACCCTGCCGTTTTTGTCACGCCCACCACCCAAGAGATCCTGCAGTTCGAGTTGGGCCGCCTCAAATACTACTTCCCGCTGTCGGCCGCAATGTTCAAGTCCTCCCACAAGAGTCTGGTCCCATTCTGCCCGCCACGACTCACCGTCCAAAAGCTGTACCCGCGCTATTGGTCGCGCGTGCCGAACGAGTGCCTGCGGACAACGGCGCTGAAACTGAGCGACGTTCGGGGCTGGTCGGTGCTGTGCGACGACCCGGTCCGCACCCTGATGCTCTACATCCCCGAAAAGGATGCGGCGGTCGACATTCTGGAGCTCATCGAAATGCCCGACCTGCTGACATTCCACCGCCAGACCCTCAACTTGTATTGTCGGCTGGCGTCGCACGGCAATCAAAAAGTGGCGCATATCTTGTGCACCCATGTGGATGAGGACCAGTTGATGTATGGGGTGAAGTCGCATTGTAAGTAGTTTTATTGGAGAGGATTTTTGTGAGATTTGAAATGAGATTTTTTCGGGATTTTTTTGATTTTTTTTCGAATTTTCAAAATTTTTTTTTTTTTATTTTTTGATCTAAAAATTGAAAGAAATGTATTTTACACTAAGATAACGTTGTAAAATCACCTTTTTTTTGCTTTACATGCAATTTAATTTTTGATTTTGACGAAATTTTATATTCTTTTTATCGAAAATTTAAAAATTTCCCAAAAATTCGAAAAAAATCCGAAAAAGTTATTTTTTTCCGAAAAAATGGATGATTTATGAATTTCAAATTATGTCAAAGTAAATTTCCTTTTGTATTTTAGTCATGTCCGGCCCGATCCGGCAAGGCGTGCACGACTTTATCATCGCCGTCCACCTCCAAACCCACGCCGCCGCCCGTCTCTCCACCTCCAAGGAATACGTGGTCCCGTTGGTCCCCGAACTCTCCGGCATGGATGTGTTCGACTCGGAGGCGGAGGGAAGGTATCCCCACATTTTGGGCTCAACTGTTTCCATCCTGCCGGTCATGAAATACGAGGAGATTCGAAGTGATTTTAGTCAAGATGATGAGGAGAGAATATTGCCGCCGGCCTTGAATTTTGAGTCGTTGAAGAATCAGGTGAGTTTTGACATTTTTTTGCTGTAAAAATTATATGTAAAATTGAGTTTGATCAATTGGCATTACTGTAAAATAATTTTCAAATATTTTTTTTTTATTTCGAGCTGCGCCCTAGTTTAGTGATTTTTTTGAAAAATAGAAAAGATTACTCCATTTTAGAGCTTTTGAAACTGAATTTTACGAAAATTAATAAGATTCTTTATATGATTTTAGACGGCGAGCTGCGCCCTAGCTTCGTGAAACTCATGAAATTTTCAAGCCAGAGTAATACGGATTTCATTATAGACTCTGTAATGTCAGTCATGAGAAAATTAACCATTTTTTTGATAAATTTCAAGTTGGCGAACTGCGCCCGAGCTTAAAAAAATTTTTGAAATTTTGTAATTACGGTATTTTTAAATCTGTTTTGATCTCCATAAAAGCCAATTTTAGAAAATTTTTTTAATAGCTGAGAATATTTTTTGATTTGCCGAGCTGCGCCCGAGCTTCAAAAATTTTCGAAATTTTGTAATTACGGTATTTATTAATGAATTTTGATCTCCATTAAAGCCGATTTAAAAAAAAATTATTAATAATTAAGTATTTTTTGATTTGCCGAGCTGCGCCCTATCTTTTTTCTAAATCAATGGCTATTCTTCTAGGTGATGATTGCGTTCCGCGGAGCCACCGAAAACGCCGTGATGAACTGCCGAGATTTGATCGGAGGCGACAATCTGAACCATTTCGAGCCCCTCCTCAAACTGTTCGACGCCTTGCTGGTGATCGGAATGATCACCGACGACGAATTAATCGAAGTTTTGACTCTCATCCATCCCATCGCCTTCGACGAAAACTATTCTCCCGGCACCACTACCAAAGGTTTGACCGAGATCGAGCTTGCCGAAGGCGTGAAACTGCAATTGGTCAACATCTTGGACCATATCTGCGACATCCAGCTAAGGCATCGCGTGGAGAGTCTGATCAGTTTTTCGGACGGGTTCGTTGGCGACTTGCAGGCCGACCAGTGTCAGCGCTACATGGACATCAAACAGACGGACATGCCGCCGGCCGAGGCCGCCAAACGCACCAAGGAGTTCAGGTGCCCGCCCAAGGAACAGATGTTTAGGTGAGAATTTGAGGGAATTTGTGATTTTTTTGGCTTGAAATTGTATGAAACCAATTTTTTAAATATATTTTGGGTTAAATGGCCCTTGATCAGCAACTTTAACGCTTATTTTTTCGAAAAAATTCGAAAAATAAGTTGGCGAGCTGCGCCCTATATTTTTGGAAATTTTTTTTCTAAAGCTTTGCTGATGTTGGTGGAAAGTTAGAAGGGCGTTTTTAGAGACGTAATAAAGGTTTTTAGCTGGAAATTTCAAGAAATTACCATGATTTTTAGGGGGAAAATTGAAAAAAATTAATTTTTTTGGACAGAAAAGGGGTTTTACTTCAAATTTTGATGAAATTGAGATGCTTCTACTCCAAATTTTTAGTGGAATTTTTTAAGACACATTTGAGAATTTTTAGCTGACGGTTTGTTGAATTTTCCAAGATTTTTTAATCAAAAAAAAAAATTTTTTTTTTGATTTTCAAATTGAAAAATTGGAATTTTGAAGTAAATTTAGTGTGCAATTTTATACCCAAAAAAAATTTTTTTAACCCGCCATCAGAATTTTTAAATTAAAAAATTGATTTAAAACCGATTTTTTTCTCACTTCAGACTCCTCAACTGCAAAATAAAAGAGGAGAAAACGACGCCGCTGCTGGACGAGGACGTCGAATACGACCAATGCCCGATGAGCGACCAGCTGCAAGAGCAGCTCCGCGAATTCTGCAGCCTGCTGGTGGAGCGGATCGGGTGCGGGAAGGCGGAGGAGGCGAGCCCGAAAGCCATCGCCGCCGCCAAAGAGGACGACAATTCGTGGGTGGACAACCTGGCGCAGCTGGTGGTGTCGGTGCCGCCGGCGCCCGAGACGCTGGACGAGAGTGTGGCGAAGCACGGGACCGAGAACTTCCGCCTGATGATCATCGCCACGCTGAAGAAGTGGGCCGGCGAGTCGGAGATCGAGTCCAACGAGCTGATCCGCCGCATCTTCAAGCTCCTCCTGAGGCAGTACACCGGCGTCCGCGAACTCATCGACGCCATGCAGCTGACCTACGTTCTCCACGACCGAAATGTCAACGATGTGGAGGCATTTATTGTGTACCTGATGCAGATCCGCGAACTTCTGCAGGTCCAGTTCGAGACCTATGAGGAGGCGATCCTGAAACGCGGCCTCTGGCAGTTGATGAACAATCGCATATTTTTCCAACACCCCGATCTGATGAGACTCCTCAGAGTCCACGAGGATGTAATGACGATCATGATGAATGTCCTCACCGCCCAACAGTCGGCCGCCGACAACGATATCGCCGATGAAAGTGGGACCGCCACGAATGTGAAGGATGCCTCCGAAATGGTCGTAGCATGCTCGAGGTAAGAGATTTTGACCTGAAATTTTCTGTAGATCAACTTGAGAGGGTTGGTTATGATTTGTAATATAGAAATAGTGAATATCTGGAAAAATATCAGAGTTATTACCGGGTGAAAATTTAATTTTTTGAAAAATTGTGAAAATTCCAAATTTATTGGAAATTTTAAATTTTATGCAAATTTTTTGAACTTTTTTGATTTTTGATAAGAACTCAAATAAATGAATGTGTCAGCTATAACGTGGCAAAATTTCATAGTCTGAGATTTTTTGGTTGGCCAGTTATGGGCCAATTTTTGGAGAAATCCAAAAAATCTCCAAAAAATTTTTTAGTTTTAAATTTTATGCAAATTTTTTGAACTTTTTTGATTTTAGATATGAATTCATATGATTGAATGTGCGAGTTATAACTTGGCTAAATTTCATAGTCTGAGATTTAGTGGTTGGCCAGTTATGGCCCAATTTTTGGAGGCATCCAAAAATTTTGGTTTTTTTTTCTGGAAACTTTTTATTTTTTGCAATTCTCAATTTTTTTCCTTTTCTTTACATACCGAGAAAGATTATTGTCTGTGCTATGATCGAGGCGAATTTCATGATCTGAGATTTTTTGGCCAGCCAGTAGTGGGCCAATTTTTGAGGTCATCCAAAAAAACTCAAAAAAAATTTTTTTTTGCTCAATTTTATTGCCAAAACTTGTGAATGCTATTATATTTCGCTTGCAGATTCCTCTGCTACTTCTGCCGGACGTCGCGCATGAACCAGAAGGCCATGTTCGAGCACCTCTCCTTCCTGCTGGACAACGCGACGATGCTGTTGGCGCGGCCGAGTCTGCGCGGCTCGGTGCCGCTGGACGTCGCCTACTCCTCCTTCATGGACAACAACGAGCTGGCACTGGCGCTGAAGGAGGAGGAACTGGACAAGGTGACCATCTACCTGAGCCGCTGCGGCCTCCAATCCAACACCGAGCTGCTGGCGAAGGACTACCCCGACATTGGCTGGGACCCGGTGGAGGGCGAGCGCTACCTCGACTTTCTCCGCTTCTGCGTCTGGATCAACGGCGAAAACGTGGAGGAGAACGCGAATTTGGTGATCAGACTACTGATCCGAAGGCCCGAATGTCTGGGAGTCGCCTTGAAGGGCGAAGGCCAAGGGCTTTTCGCCGCTTTTAAGGAGGCAATCGTCCTCTCCGAGGATATCAGAGCCCTCGAGGAAGGAGAAGACACTCAGTTCTTGCATTCAACGATTTTGAAAGATCATGGGTGAGGGATTCGTTTTGGTTTTTAGAGATTTTTTTTGGAAATTTGTTGGGGAAAAACAGATTTTTTTGGAGGAAAAAATTTAAATTTTTTTGGTCGATTTTTAATTAACAAAAACTGTAAAATAAGGCCGAAAATCAAGAATTTCACTGAATTAGATCAAAAAAAAAATTTTTTTTTTTGGCGGAAAGCTTCATTTTCGGGATGAAAAATTGATTTTTTATAGGAAAATTTAGATTTTTTAGGTCGTTTTTTACCTAAAGTAAGGTCGAAAATAAAGAATTTTACTGAAGTAGGGCCAAAAAAATGTTTTTTTTTGGCGGAAAACTTGATTCTTGACGTGAAAAGATTACTTTTTTGGCCGGGTTTTACCTAAATTAAGGTCGAAAATCAAAAAAAAAAAAAAAAATCCATCAAAAAAACTCACCATTCGCTTTTCAGAAAGTACCCCGGCAAAGAGGTGGAGGGCGAGGACTACGTGGACCTGGGCGCCGCGATCCTCGACTTCTACTCCTCGCTGGTGGACCTGCTGGCCAAGTGCGCGCCCGACCCGCTCACCATCCAGGCGGGGAAGGGGGACAGCGTGCGCGCGCGCGCCATCCTCCGCTCGCTGATATCGCTGGAGGACCTGGGCCGCATCCTGGCGCTGCGCTTCACCATCCCGAACCTGGCGCTGGCGTCGGCGGACGGTAAAGCCGCGCGTCCCGTCCCCTACTCAGGTGCTGTCCCGCCGCCGCTGCGCTGTCTGCCGCAGTTCATTGACACTACTAACACCTTTGCCAACATTGCCGCTAACCTCACCGCCCAGCTGAACGCGACGCAGCCGCAGCGCTTGGCACATCCGCCAACCGCCCTTCATTCGCGCCGTGTCCAGCTGCAGGCGGCCCGATTGAGGCGTCAGTTCAGCCTGGAGACCTCGCCAACCCCGCCCGGCAAACATCGAAAGTTTTGCAGTGTTGATCAGGGCCTCCGCCGCCTCACGGAAGAGGAGACCGACGAGGATGGAAGTGTTTATGAGACCCCCATGGCCTCACCCTTGTCCAGGAGGCGCGAGCCGGAGTATAACTCGAATGTTTTTTCCATAAAAAATCGAAAAAAAGGCTTCAGACAGCGGCGATCTTCCTCTTGTATGTGTAACAGGTCTTGTTGTGATGTGTCGTAACGCTGGATGTTGGAATTCGACTCGAAAAATTTGAGATTTTTCATCAAGAAATTTTTATGTTATACTAGACGAGTGGTCGTGAAATTTTGATGTTTTTAACAAAAATTTGTCCCTGTCCAAGTCTCATTAATGTCTAAGTGTCTCTATTAGATAGTTGACTATATAAAAAAGTGATTTTTAGACATGGGACCCCTGCCCGGACTCCTCCCCAACCATAAACAGTCGATCCTCCTCTTCCTGGACCGTGTCTACGGAATCGACTCCCAAGAAATGCTGATGCACTTCCTCGAACAGAGCTTCCTGCCCGATTTGAGGGCCGCCACAATGATGGATTCGGTGGGGTTTTTGGGGGGTTTGGGAGGGGGGAGGGGGGGGCTAGTGTAATATAAATTTTCGAGATTTTTTTAAATTTTTTGAGGGAAATGGGGGTTTTTTGAAGGAAAGTTAAGTTTTTTTTTTTTATAAATTGATTTATTTTTTATTTTTTTGCAACATTTTTCAAAAAATCCGAAAAAAATAAAAAAATTTTTTTTTATTTTTCTTGGAAAACTGGATTTTTTTGGTGAAAATTTGAGTTTTTTGGCGTTAAAGATTTTATAAATTGATTGTTTTTTATATTTTTCAGTAACCTTTTTCAAAAAATCCAAAAATTTTTTTTTTCAAAATTCCAAAAAAAATTTTTTTTAATTTTCGAATAGTACTGGATTTTTTGAAGGAAAATTGAAGTTTTCGGCGTTAAAAGTTTTATAAATAACATTTTTTTTATTTTTCAGTAATATTTTTCAAAAAATCCAAAAAAAATTTTTTTTCCAGGAAAACTGGAATTTTTTGGTGAAAATTTGAGTTTTTTGGCATTAAAAATTTTATAAATTGATGTTATATTTTATTTTTCATTGACATTTTTAAAAAAACCAAAAAAAAATTTTTTCGAAATTTCAATTTTTTTTTATATTTTCCTTTAATTTCAGCCGCGCGCCCTGGAAAGTGACACGGCGTTGGCGTTGAACCGCTACCTCTGCAACGCCGTGCTGCCCCTGCTCACCAACCACTCGCACTTCTTCGCGGACGCGGAGCATCACTCCGCCTTGCTGGATGCGACGCTGCACACGGTCTACCGGATGAATCGGCTGCGTTCGCTGACCAAGAACCAACGCGACGCGGTCAGCGACTTTCTGGTGGCGCTGACGCGCGAAATCCCGCCGGGAATGATGATTAAGCTGTTGCGGAAGGTGATTATTGACATCCAACAGATGCACGAGAACGTGCTGGTCCCGCTGCGCATCGTGACGCTGCATTACGAGCGCTGCAACAAGTACTACGGCTCGGGCAACAGTTATGGCGTGGCGACGGAGACGGAGAAGCGCCTGTCGATGCTGTTGTTTTACGCCATCTTCGACTCGTTGGGATCCCAGCCCTATGACCCGGAACTGTTCGGAAAAGCGCTGCCCTGCCTCACAGCCATCGGATCCGCCATTTCGCCCGACTACGCCCTCACCAGCGGCAGCGAAAAACTCGAACTCGCCAAAGCCCAGGCCGATGAAGGCGCATGGGTCCCAAAACCCATTGATGACTCCAAAATTGGACTCAACTCGGATATTAACAGCATGGTCAACAAATTCGCCGAACATTTCCATGACTCATGGGCCTCAAGGAAGCTGGAAAAGGGATGGACTCAAGGCGAGCTCTACTCGAGACAGGAACTCACCCATCCGAGATTGCTGCCCTTCAAGGAGTTGAAGGTGGGACGAGGGGGTTTTAGAGGTTTTAGAATTGGGGAAAGGATCTTTAAGGGGAAATTGAGGGGTTTTTAGGGATTTGTATTGAATTTTTTAGGGGTTTTTACTGGCTTGAAAAAGTTTTTTTATAATTTTTTTTTTTTTTTTTTGAAAAGTAAGGTGTGATAGAAAGTACGCTAGTGATTTTCAGTAAAAAAATTACAATTTTTTTTTATTTCAGAACTTCGAATTTTCAGAAAAATTTTAAAATTTTCAAATTTTTTTGTGTTTTTTTCTTTTTTTTTGAAAAATGGTTTGATAGAAAGCAGTAAAATCAAAAAAATTTTTCTTCGGAACCTCGATTTTTTAAAAAAATTTTTAATTTTGAAATTTTTTTATATATTTTTTTCATATTTTTTTTTTTGAAAAATGTGGCGATTGTCAGAAAAATCATATTTTTTTTATTTCATAACCTCGATTTTTTCAAAAAAAATTTAAAATTTTCAAAAATTTTTTTTTGATTTTCAACCTTCCAACAGTAACTTTATGTATTACATAGTATTCTGAATAGACCTTAGATCTTTTCAACCATGATTTCAACCCCAAAAACTCGCAATTTCCAGGAGTACGAACGCGACTTCTACAAGGAGCGCTGCGCCGAATGTCTGCGCGCGCTGCTCGCGTGGAACGTGAACTTCGAACTGGTGGATCATGACGCGAACGAGAAGGCGAATCAGGCGCGAACCGCGAGTGCCTACCACGGCGGCGACTACAACCCGAAACCCATCGATCTGTCGAACATGACGCTGGAGAAGGAGATGCTGAACATGGCGGAGCGGATGGCCGAGAACTCGCACAACATCTGGGCCAAGAAGACGTTCCACGAGCTGGGCAGCAACCAGGGCGCGAACATGCCGCTAACTCTGGTCCCATGGGACTTGTTGACGGACTTTGAGCGGCGCAAGAATCGGTTCCGCGCGCAGGAAATCCTCAAATTCTTCCAATATCATGGCTATCGCATGAGCATCGACGATCCGGCCGAGGACCGCGTCGAGCGCATCAAAACCGAGGGCGAGCGCAGCTCCGTGGAGAAGCGGTTCGCCTTCAACCTGCTGGAGAAGCTCCTGCAGTACCTGGAACAGGCCAGTTTCCGCATGAAGTCCGTGAAGCCCTCCGAAGAGCTCACCCGCCGCAACTCCTTCAAAAAGGAGGGCCAGGACGTCAAGTTCTTCGAGAAGGTGGTCCTCCCCCTCATTCACGCCTACTTCAACGCGCACAAGAACTACTTCCTCGCCAGCAGCTCCATCGTCCAGACCGGCATGGCCTCGAACAAGGAGAAGGAGATGGTCGCGAACCTGTTTTGCCGATTGGCAGCTCTTTTGCGCATCAAAAATCATGCCTTTGGCAGTGTGGCGAAGATCACGGTCAAGTGCTTGCAGGTGGGCCGGATTTTGCGGTTTTTTGGAGGGGATTTTTTTATGATTTTTATGTGGGTTTTTTAGAAAAAATTGCCTAAAAAAATTGGGATTTTTTAGATGGGGGTTTTTTTTTTGATTTTTTGACAAAAATTTTTAAATTTTTTATTGATTTTTTTGGGATTTTTTAATCAAAAATTGAAGATTTTTTTTGGTAAAAATTCCGTTCTTGGCAGAGAATTTTTAATTCGTTTTTTTTTTGGGATTTGCGTCAGATTTTTTTCATTTCTTTTTTTGACGTCTCAGCAGTAGAAGTCGTATTTTAAAATCCATTTTTTTAAACATTTTCCCTTCTAAAATTAAAATTTTTGCACTTTTTTTAGTGACGGAGCTGACCCAGTGGCCAAAAACGTGCCATTTTGCGCCCGGGAAGCATCAAAAATGTAGTAAAATGTTTCCACTCCAAGCGAAAAAACTCCGTTTTGAAGGGCGCGCGTTTGAAATCGGATTAAAAAAAATTTGGGATTTTTTGGATGGAATTTATTTTTTTGATTTTTTGGCGGAAATTTTTTTTATTTTTTATTGATTTTTTTGGGATTTTTTAATTTAAAATTGAATATTTTTTGGTAAAAATTCGGTCTTGGCGAGAGAATTTGCTTAAAATTTCGAAAAAATAAAAAAAAATCTTTGAAGCAGATTTTTTTAACGAAAAAAGTAACTTTCAAAATTAAAAAAATCTTTTTCAGGGCCTAACTCAAGCGCTCGACCTGCGAACACTCGTCAAAATCAACTCGGATATTGTGCGGACCGGGCTTTTGACCTTCTTCAACAACTGCGCGGACGATTTGTTCGCGGCGGTCAAGGAGCTGAAAGAGAACGGGCAATACGCGCTGCTGCGCGGAGACAACCTGCGCTCGTGGATCTCGCTGGAGTTCGCGTACCAGATGATCATCCCCGTCCTGACCACGATGTTCCTGCACCTGGCCAAGAACCATTTTGGGACGGACTTGTTGCTGGACGACATCCAGGCCGCCTGCTACAAGATGCTCGACTCCATGTACATGGTCACCACGCTCAGCCAGAACTACCAGCACCGCCGCAGCATCCAGTACGAGGTGGAGAAGCACCGCTCCGGCCTCGGGCAATGCCTCAGCGCCTTCGCCAGCTGCTTCCCGGTCGCCTTCTTGGAGGCCGAATTCAACAACAACAACAAGTTCTCGGTCCTCGCCAAATCACAAGATGCCTCCGTACAGGTGCAGGAAATGCTCCAGAATTTGAGTCAGCACATCCCCGAACTCGAGAAATTACTCGTGAAGATTGAGACAACCGCCGAGAACAGCACCATCTATCAAGACGCACCCAATGTCTATGATGTGGATCTGCCATTGTTGTGCAGTTATTTGGCGTATTGGTGGCAATTGGGCCCCGATGGACCGAATCGAACACCGTAAGCGAGATTTTTGGTGTTTTAGGGAGTAAAAAAAATTTTTTTTTTTGAATTTTTAAAATTTTTGATTTTTTTTTTTTTTGAAAAATCTTGTTTGTTGGCATTTTTTGGTATGAAAATGGGGGTTTTCTTTATTTTAGGTGTTGAAAAAATTTGAATTTTTTCGATTTTTTGGGAGAAAATCAAAATTTTTTTGATTTTTTTTCAAAAAATCTTGTTTTTGTTGAGAAAAAAATATTTTTTTTTGCATTTTTTGGTTTAAAAATAAGATTTTTCATTATTTTAGGTATAAAAAATTTTGAATTTTTCGGATTTTCTGGATAAAAATCAAAAAAATTTTTTTTTGATTTTTTAATTTTTTGAATTTTTTTCCAAAAAATCTTGTTTTTTTGCATTTTTTTTGGTGTAAAAATGGGCGTTTTCATTATCTTAGGTATTAAAAAATTTTTAATTTTTTCGATTTTTTTTGAGTAAAAACCAAAAAAATTTTTATATAGTAATTACTATAGCTTTTAGCGATTCGAAATCAATTTTAAATCCCTGTTTTGGCCAAAAAAATTTTGCTTTATGAAATTTGATTTCCCAAAAAATTAACCCAAAATTTTCAGCCTAACAACCACAATGGTGAACAGCGAACACATGAACCGAATCTTCTGCGCGCTGCTGAAGGTGATGCGCGAACACATCGGAGTGGAGAATGCCCCATGGCTTTGCAGGGTGAATTGTGAGTTTTATTTTTACATTTCATGTTTTGGCAATGCAAAAAAAAATTTTTTTTTTGTTTTATTTTATTTTTTTTTCTATTTTCATTTCTATTTTTTTTATTTTTTTTTTAGAATTTTTTGAAATTTCCAGTCTTTTCTTTTTTTTTATTCTTTTTGTTTTTTTTTTTTTTTTTTAATTTTTTTAATTTTTTTTTAATTCCAATTTCTCGAAATTTGCAGTCTTCGCCGTGCAAATCATCCAGTTCGTGACGTGCGACCCGGTGAAGGACTACATGCTGCCGATCGCCGAGCGCCTCCGCTCCCTCTCCGAGAAGGCGTACAAGGAGGAGGAGCGGATGCGCACCCACCCCGACGACGCCGACGAAGGCACCGTGGCGGAGGACAACGCGCGCCTCGTGCGCGACGTGTACGCCTTCTTCCCCATCCTCATGAAGTACACGGACCTGCACCGCGCCAAGTGGCTCAAGTCCCCCACCTGGGAGTCGGACGGGGTCTACGAGAACGTGGCCGTCATCTTCAAGATCTGGTCCTTCTCCCAGCACTTCAAACGCGAAGAGCTGAACTACATGGCGCAGTTCGAGGAGGACGCCCAAATGGTCGGCGGCGGCGAAATGAAGACCGGCAAGGCGGCCATTGCGGAGAGGAAGAAGAAACGAAGGGAGGGACAGGTAGGAGGGGTTTTTGGGTGGGGTAAGGGGGGATCGGGAAAAATTTGTTAGAAAAATGGATTTTTTTAAAATTTTTTGGTCTCTATATTAGACTTTGAGAAAAATTTTGGGAAAAATTTAGGGTGTGGTAGGGGGGGGGACCAAGGGAAATTTTGTCCTAAAAAGAGCTTTTGGGGCTTCGGTAGTTGAGCCCCCCACGAAAGGTATTTCAAACCCCCACTGTTTTGCCCGTTTCACACCCCACATAATGAACAAATTAGAATAATACAAAAAATGTAAGTGGCACGTCAATCCAAAATAGAAGAAAAAATTTCCCGCCCCTTTTTTGGTGATTCGTTCAAAATCCGATAAAACGCATTTTCTTATCTTTCTTCTTTCTTTTCGAGAAAAAAACAATTATTTCGGGCGAGAAAAAGTGCCGATAATTTCGCGACATTTCGTCTCTCTTTTAAACCAATGAAAACGGTACGAAGTTTCGAAACGGTTCAGGAAATGCGCTGGATTGACGTGAGTGGGGGTTTGATCTACTACGTTGGGGGTTTAATCTAAAACGTAGGGGGCTTTTTCTAAAACGGAGGGGGCTTCATCTAAAACGTAGGGGGCTTGATCTAAAACGTAGGTGGCTTGTGCTGGACCATACCACTTGGATTAATTCTTTGAAATAAATTTTGGGGTTTGGAATGGACGAGGGGGTTTGTACTGGGTCATGGGGGGCTAAACTGGACTGGGGGGCTGTACTACCTTAGCCCCGAGCTTTTTATAACCTTTTGGGTTGAATATTGGGTTTTCAGGGAAATTTTGGAAAAATTTAGGGTGTGGTAAGGGGTGATCGAGGGAAATTTTGTTAGAAAAATGGGATTTTATTTTATTTTTTGTGCGGTGTATTGCATTTTGTGGAAATTTTGGGAAATATTTGGGGTGTGGTAAGGGGGACCCAAAAAGTTGATGGAAAAATGGGATTTTTTAAAATTTTTTGGACTCAGTATTGAGTTTTGAGGGAAATTTTAACAAAAATTTGGGGTGTGGTAAGGGGGGACCAAGGGAAGTTTTGTTCGAAAATGGATTTTTTTAAATTTTTTGGCTGAATATTGTGTTTTGAGGAAATTAAGGGGAAAATTTAGGCTTTGGTAAAAGGGATCATAACAAATTTTGTTAGAAAAATGAGATTTTTTTGATTTTTTTGGACTTAATATTGGCTTTTGACGAAACTTTGGGGGAAATTGTTGGGTGTGGTAAGGGGGGGGACAAAAAAATTAATGGAAAAATGGGATTTTTTTTTATTTTTTTGTGCTGTATATTGGATTTTGAGGGAGTTTTATGAAGAAATTGTGGGTATGGTAAAAGGGGACCTGATTTTTTTATGAAAAACTTGATTTTTATGACTTTTTAGGTCTTAAGAATATGTTTTTATGGAATTTTTGAGAAAAATCTAGGGTTAGGCAAGGGGGGACCAAAAAATTTAGGCTTAATTTTCGACTTTATTTTCCCATTTTCAGGTCAAAAAAGACAAGCACGCCAACAGCATAGTCATAGCTTGCCTGAAACGTCTTCTTCCCGTCGGTTTGAACGTGTTCGGCGGCCGCGAACTGGACATTGTCCAGCAGTGCAAAGAGCGTTTCCTGGCCAAGGAATCGGAGGAAAAAACTCGCGAATTCATCCGCGAACTGCTCGACGTCCCCGTGAAAACCGATCCCACCGACAAGAACTCGTGGCAGCTGAACTTGTACAAGAAAATCGGGAAAAGTCAGATGCGCGGCAAGGAGGAGATGACCCAGGAGGCGGTGGTCGAAAAAATCTCCAACATGGGCCAAGTGGTCGCCATCCTGCACGCGGTAGGTGGCTTACAATACGACTAACAGTCGTCGGTTGATGTTTTTTCCGTCCCCGGATTTTGGGCGTGGCCGAAAGAAAGACGAATTTTGAGATTTTTTGAGGATTAAATTCGAGATTTTCGAGGTTTTTTAAAGTTGGGAAAAAAGTGTTTTATTGATTTTTAGAAACGGAAAAAATTTTTTGGATCCCTTTTTCAGGGCATTAGCTTGGGTTTGAACAGAAAAAGGAGGTTAGTTTTTATCTATGGTACCCTGAATTTTGAGATTTTTTGACGGCCAAATTTGGGATTTTTGAGGTTTTTAATTTGGAAAAAAAGTAGTCTGGTGATTTTTTGAAATCGAAAAAAATTGGATATCTTTTTTAGGGCATTAGCTTGGTTTTGAACAGAAAAGGAGGCTAATTTTTGTGTCTAGTCGCCTGAATTTTGAGATTTTTTTACGACCAAATTTGGGATTTTTGAGGCTTTGGTGATTTTTTCAAACGGAAAAAATTTTTTGGATCCCTTTTTTAGGGCATTAACTTGGTTTTGAGCAGAAAAAAGAAGTTAGTTTTTACCTCTGGTCGCCTGAATTTTGAGATTTTTTGACGGCCAAATTTGGGATTTTTGAATTTTTTTAAGGTTGAAAAAAAAGGTATTTTGGTGATTTTTAGAAACGGAAAAAATTTTTTGGATCCCTTTTTTAGGGCATTAGCTTGGGTTTGAGCAGAAAAAAGTAGTTAGGTTTTACCTCTTTTCTCTTGAATTTTGAGATTTTTTGGGTCGGAAATCCTGAATTTTTCAACTTTTTTAAAGTTGCAAAAAACATTAGTAGTAATTTGAAAAACCCGAAAAAAGTTTTTAAATCCCTGCCAGAGGCTGTAAATTTTATTTTGAGCCAAAAATTTTTAACTTTTTTTATTGCTACAACCCTGAAATTTGAGATTTTTTGAACAAAACCCAAAGAAAAAATTGTTTCCAAAAACTTTCGTCCTTTTTTCCCCCCACCGAAATCGCTATGTTGATGTTGTAAATGGCGAACGTGGTTTGTTTGTCCGGTATATCGTCGCTGTCTTTGTAGATTACTCGTTTGCGTTCGTACGAATTTTTCCGCCGCTTCGCCGTTTCCCACCACGGCCCACATAAGGCGATCGCGCAGGTTTGTCCATGTTTTTTTTGTTCGGCACCTAGGCTGAGAGGGGTGGGATACGGGTTTTTGAGGGAATCCGATGCTAACTATAGTTTTATTTATGCAAAAAATTTGATTAATTTTTGGGCTGCCAAAATTTTTTAAAATTGAAATTTTTCAAAAACTCCTGTAACAATTTGGTTGAAAATTACAGTACACTTTCTTGACAGTAGGTTCTCAATTCTGAACGACGGATTTTTAATTTGCGCCCTCAGGGTTCAATTTATGGCCCAAAATAAAATTTTGGCGGAATTGGCAGCATTTTTTTTGAAACTTTTATAACTTTTTGCCTGAGGCAACGAAATTTAATATGACTCTAGAATAGTGAAATATATACTATCACTGTTCTACATTTTCATTTTTGCTGACATTGGACAAGAAACTTTCGAGTTATCGCCAAATTTTTGGAATGTCCCATCTAGTGATCAAGTATAATATTTTTTGAAGTTTTTACCCTTGTTTGGCCCATAATCTGGCCTCGGAAGCCTTTAGAATAGGATCTGCGGTCCCTGAGCTTTCTCCGTGTAGCCTGTGTATGCCCGCACCGGCTCCGTTTCCCATCGCACAACGCCCATTTTTAGGTGGAGCACCCACTGAATGCGTCCGCCTCGGCCTGGAAGAAGATGCTGTCGAATCAACGGAAGCGCGCGGTGGTCGCCTGCTTCCGCATGGTGCCCATCTACAGTTTCCCGAAGTACGTGCTCCCCCCACCGCTGTCTGTTCGTGTGTGTGTGTGTGTGTGTGCGGTGCCCGTATTTTTTCCGACCTTTTTTTAATTTACCTTGTACCTAACCTTTTCTTTGCGACGAAAAAACGGCCGATTAACAAACGAAACTTTCGTGTAGGTCACCTCGAAAATGGAGAAGGAGGACCGCTGGAAGAAGGTGCTCACCCTGCAACGCAAACGCATGGCCATCTCCCTCATCACCGCCAGCCATCTGTATAAGGTGGAAAAGTAAGGTTTGAAGGGGAAAATCAGTAACAAATTGTTTGAATTTTGAATATTTTTGGAAGGAAAAAGTAGTTTTAGTTAGTTGTAGTACCATAAGCAGTGGTTTGGAGGTCAAATTGGAGAAAAAATTAAATTTTTTTTTTAAAAATTTTTTTTGAGGGTACCTAGTGTAATATAGATTTTTTGAATTTTTTTGGGTCAATTGGTATTCCAAATTTTTAGTCATAGCTTGAAATGTATTTTAGGACTGATATTAAGGGCTGTTGCACCGAAATTTAACCAAAAATATCAAATTTTCATCCAATGTCACCTAGTGTAATATAATTTTTTGGTTTTTTGTCTCTGATAAGCCATTTTATTGGATGGAAAAAATTTCTGATAGATTTTTATGAACTTACAGAGCTTATTTATCAATTTCCGATGTTGAAAATTGGTTAAAACAAATTTTTTTTATTTTTTTTCAAAAAAATTATTGTCTAAAATCATGTCCAAACATGGAAAAAATTTAATTTTGCTTCTGACTCGGTTGCCTCTTCTACTTTACAAACGCTTAGCTTCTTTGGTTTACCATGTATTTTCGATTTCATTCATCATGTACAAGATGTTCGTATCTTACACATGACGAGTAACCACAAATACTCCCCCTTTTTGGCGTGTCTGAGGTGCCAACCGAAGTACACTGAAGCAATTTACAAGTTTATGGAGCTATTTTAGACATCGAGGCATCAATTTCTTCATGCCGGCCTTCAGCAAGCTGTGGCTGAACGAAGAAGACGTCGGAAAGGACCGGTTGGTGGCGGATATTTGCGTAAGTTTTGCCGAAGGTTGGAGTAGATTTAGAGTAAAAGTTTTGGAGAGATTTTTGAGGGTTTTGGTCGTGCGAAAAAATTGAGATTTTTTGGTCGAAAATTGAAAAAAAAAAAATTTTTTGAAGTTGAAAAAATTATTGTTGGTTATGAATGGAGAGTGTAATATTTCGGCAGAAAAAAATTTTAAATGGATAACCATACTTGTTTTCGTATTTTACCATCGATTTTTTTTGAATTTTTCATTTTCCCGCCAAATTTTTGAATCTTTGGCATTCTGTTGCAAGCTCTGAAAATTGCGAATTTTTGTGTAAAAAAAGTATTTTTCATTGAAAAAATACTTTTTTCATCGAAAAAATACTTTTTTTCATTGAAAAAATACTTTTTTTCATTGAAAAAATACTTTTTTTCATTGAAAAAATACTTTTTTTAATCATAAAAAATTTCAATTTTCAGGGAGATGCCGAGGAATCGGAGAACACGGCGTTCATGATCGTCGAAGACGAGACCGGCATGCTGAAGCTGGAGGAAGGCGCAAGCGGCACGGAAGAGCGCCCCACCACCAAACCCGACGCCCTCCGCCAACTCATCCAATGCTTCCAGCGGGCCGCCACGTCCGAGGAGAACCAGGCGGTCGCCATCTCCGACGACACGCTCTACGTGAACTACGCGGACGTCATGGCGCAGTCCGTCCACCTGGAAGACGATGACGACGGCGACGACGAAGAAGTGGACCAGGCCGAAAAGGAGGAGATGGCCCAAGCGCTGCGCGCCGAACAAGCCATTCTGGCGGACCGCGGCGCCGCCATCATGTGCCTCATGTACCTGAGCGCGAGCAACGGCGAACCCACCGAGATGGTCGCCCAAACCCTCCAGCTCGGCATCCACCTGTTGTCGGGCGGCAACAAGGACATCCAGAAGATCCTCATCGACTACCTGCAGCTGAAGAAAGACGTCCGTTTCTTCACCTCCCTGTCCACCTTGATGGGCCGCTGCTCGGTACTGAACTTGGAGATGTTCGAGCGACAGATCAAGGCCGAAGGCCTGGGAATGGGCGCCGAACTGGCGGCCGGCGATCATCAGAACTTGAATGATGCCGATTTCACCTGCAGCTTGTTCAGGTTCCTTCAGCTGACTTGTGAAGGACATAACTTGGACTTCCAGGTAATGTAATGGAAAATAAAGCGGTTTAGGTTGGTTTTTGATTTTAGAAAGGGTGAAAATCATCATTAACAGGGCATTTACAACGATTCTTGTGCGATTTTCTGAAGGAAAATTCAAATTTTTGTTTTCCCGCCAAAATTTTAAAATCGTTGGCATTGTGTTTCATGGCCAAAAATTTATTATCTGGGCTTTTCCAAGGTTTCCAGAGCAATTTAATAAAGTTTTTGAGCAGATTTTGTGAATAAAAATTCAAACTTTTATTTTCCCGCCAAAATTTAAAATGCTTTGGCATTGTGTTTCATGGCCAAAAAATTGACGAAAAATTAGAGTTAGTGAATTTTGAGAGCGTTTTTGTTTAGTCGATGCATTTTTGTATGTTTGTGGATTAAAAATAGACTAAAGACAGGCCAAGATATTATCCTACCCATCTAAAATCCCGTTTCCAGAACTACCTCCGTTCCCAAACCGGGCACACCACCAGTGTGAACCTGATCATCTCCACGGTCGACTACCTTCTCCGACTCCAAGAATCGGTCATGGACTTTTACTGGCATTACAGCAGCAAGGAAGTGATTGATGAAGGAGGAAAGGAGTACTTTTTGCGGGCAATCCGAGTCTGCAGCCAGGTTTTCAACACCTTGACGGAGTCGATTCAAGGCCCTTGTGTGGGAAATCAAATGACCTTGGCCAATTCGAGGTGAGAGTCGGGATTTTTTTTTTGAAAAAATTTTTTGATTGCACGGTGCGAAATAATTTATTTTTTGATTGCACAGTGCGGAAATTTGTTTTTGTTTGATTTGCACTGTGCGAATTTTTTTTGATTTGCACTGTGCGAATTTTTTTGGTCTGCACCGTGCGAAATTTTTTTTGTTTGGTTTGCACAGTGCGAAAGTTTTTTTTTCTTTTGCACAGTGCAAAAATTTTATTTTCTTGATTTTGCACGGTGCGAAGTTTTTATTTCTGATTGCACAGTGCGAAAAATTCATTTTTGACTGCACAGTGCAAAAATTTTTGTTTCTGTTTGCACGGTGCGAAAGTTTTTTTTGTTTTGCACTGTGCGAAAAATTCATTTTTGATTTGCACTGTGCGAAAAAATTATTTTTGATCTGCGCTGTGCGAAAATTTTGTTTTTGTTTGCACAGTGCGAAATTAAATTTCCCCCAAAAAAGTCATTTTTGACGTTTTTTTACGGATAAAAAAATAAATTTTGGAGAACTTGGACTTGGAAAAAACTCTATAAAAAATTTATATCCGCATTTTAGCTGTAAAACCACGATTTTTCAGATTATGGGACGCCATAAACGGATTTTTCTTCCTCTTTGCCCATATGATGGAGAAACTGTACAAGAACAGCACTCAACTCGAGCTGCTCAGAGAATTTTTGAACTTGCAAAAAGACATGATCGTTTTGATGTTGTCCATGCTGGAAGGAAATGTTTTGAATGGACCGATTGGAAAGCAAATGGTGGATGCGCTGGTGGAAAGTCAGCAATGTGTTGAGATGATCTTGAAATTCTCGGACATGTTCTTGAAGTTGAAGGATTTGACGACCAGTCAGGCTTTCCAGGTGAGAAGAAGTGATATTTTTTGAATTTTCAACTTTCCCGCCAAATTTTTCAATGTTTGGCATTCTGTTGCAAGGACTTGAAATTGATGGAAATTGTGAAAACATGGATAGACAATGTTTGCTGCCGTATTTTACCATCTTTTTTCGAATTTTTTATTTTCCCGCCAATTTTTTAAATGTTTGGCATTCTGTTGCAAGGACTTGAAATTTATGGAAAATGTGAAAAAACAGAACTCAGCAGGTTTTCTCTCATATTTTACCATCGATTTTTTTGAATTTTTAATTTTCCCGCCAAATTTTTAAATCTTTGGCATTCTGTTTCAAGGGCTGAAAAGTGCTCAAAAATGGTTTTTGCGAGGTCAGAACGAAATATAAATGTATTTTAGCTGCTTTTTTGGTTTGTCACTTCAAAATATTATCTTACTTTAGCTGGAGCAGTCATTTTTTTTGATTTTTGATTTTTTGAAGTTTCTGTGGCCTAAAATTACCGCTCAAAAAGATGTCGAAATTGCCTTAGGACCCTGAAAATTTTATTTAGAAAGTGTAAAGCTATTGTGGTTACTGTAACATCATTTTTTTTTAATTTTGAAATTTCTCGAACTTCCACAAAAAACCCGAAATTCCAGGACTTTGACACGAACCGCGACGGCTGGATCTCGCCGAAAGAGTTCCAGCGCGCCATGGAGCAGCAGAAAATGTATTCGGTGGAGGAGATCACGTACCTGATGATGTGCACCGACGTCAACAACGACGGCAAGGTGGACTACATGGAGTTCACGGAGCGCTTCCACAACCCCGCCCGCGACATCGGCTTCAACCTGGCCGTCCTCCTCACCAACCTGAAGGAGCACATCACGAACGACCCGCGGCTGGAGAAAATCGTCGAAAAAGCCAGCTCCTTGCTCGAGTATTTCGACCCGTTCCTGGGCCGCATCGAAATCATGGGCTCCTCGAAGCGCGTGGAGAAGATCTACTTCGAAATCCAGGAGAGCTGGCTGGAGCAGTGGTCCAAACAACAGATCCGCGACTCCAAAAACGCCTTCTTGTTCAATGTTTTGCAGGTAGGGGGATAGAAAAATTTGAAATTTTTGTGCATGAAACTTGACGTAAATTTAGAATATGAGTGTATAAGGAATAAGTAAAAATTTTTTACTCGCGCTTTGCAGAAACTATCGAGATTTTTTAGGCCGAAAGTTCAAAAAATTTCGATTTTTTTTTTTGGTTTTTTTGGATTTTTGACATAAAAATGTCATGTGTTTCTGCGTAACGTGGATTAAAAATGTCAGATTAGAAAATATTTAAACTTGTGCCGAGTTTTGTCAAGTTTTTAAAATTTGATTTTTTTTTATTTTTTTTTAGCACTGTGCAAAATTTTCCGAAAATTTTCGCACCGTGCGAGAAACCAAAATTTTATTTGCACTGTGCAAAAACGAAAAAAATTTTTTGCACTGTGCAAAAAACCAAATTTTTTTTGCACTGTGCAGATACGGAAAAATTTTTTTTGCACTGTGCAAAATACTCCAAATATTTTTGCACCGTGCGAGAAACAAAAAAAAATTTTTTGCACTGTGCAAAATTTCCGAAAATTTTGGCACTGTGCAAAAATCCAATTTCCAAAAAAAACATTTTTTTTCAGGATGACGGTGGAGATCAAGGAAAACTCGAGGCGTTTATCAATTTCTGTGAAGACACAATCTTCGAAATGCAACACGCCGCCGAGATCTCGTCCGGCGACTCCTCCGACTCCAAGGTGGAACGCGCCATGAAGCAAAGAGACTACTTTTTGCAGCAAACCACCGCCGGCCAACAAATCTCCAAGACGCTGCAACGCGGCTACGACTACGGCATCTCGGCGGCGGAGGCGCTGAAACCCGCGAACATGAACAAAACGATCAAACTGGCCCTGCAGAAGTTCCGCACCATGACCTGGGCGCAGCTGCTGGTGGAGCTGCTCAAATTCGGCTTCAAACTGGGCAAAGGCGCCGTCCTTTTGCTCTGGTTCTTTGTCTGCACGATGGGCAGATTCGCCTACTACCTAACGTCGCCCGAATACGAGGATGAGGAGGCGAAGAAGCGCGTGGAAAACGTGCAACAAGAACAGACCGCCTTCGGCCAACACCACAACTTTCCCACCTTCTTCCCCACCGCCAGTGCGCATCGCAATGTGGACGCGTTTGGCGTACATATATCCCATGATGAGATGAATGGAATCCCGCCGGATATCGTGGAGGACGAGCCCACCGAACCCAAGGAGAACAGCTCCAACGGCGAGATCCCCGAAGACCCAAGACCCAACGGAAATGTGTATTCGGAGACCCCCACCGAGGACGACGCCTTCTTGAAGGTACCGCAAAGGGAGCAGAAGAGACCCAGGTATGTTGTGGTAAAAGGATTTGGGGATAGGAAGCGAGATGGATATTAGACTGGAGGTTTTGGATATTAGACTGGAGGTCAAGTGTAATATCCAAAAAATAGGATTTTTAAAGAGTTTTATGGTTGATTAGGCAGTAGAATTGGTCTTATTGGATATGTAGAGGTTGCTAAGGCGATATATTGGCGAAAGATTTGGATTTTAGAGTTTTCATGTTTTCGTGGTGGGACTCAAATTTTTTGAAAGATTTATTGAAAATCAAGTTTTTTTGGGGTTTTGAAGATTTATGAATTTTTATTGTTTTCGTGATGGGACTCAAATTTTTGAAAAAATTATTTAAAATCAAGTTTTTTGGGGTTTAAAATGTTTTGGGAGCCAGTAGCAGTGTAAAAAAGTTATTTTCAAAGGTTTAAAATTTTTAATTGTTTTCGTGGTGGGACCGGACTTGAAAAAAATTTGTTGAAATTTTTGGCCTAAAATAATGTTGAGTGATGCAGTTGGATGCTGAAGGAAGGAAAATATCGTTTTCAGCGTCTACGACACGCAATCCTTTGCGTCAGCGCAAGCGCCGGTCGCCAGCGTTTCGGGCGTCCACTCCGAAGACCTCGACCATCATCCCTCCCCGTATTACGAACCCAAAATCGCCGAGCAAATGGGTCTACGATCAAAAGGCTCGGTGATGAACGTATTGGCGAGAAATTTCAAAACCATCGAGAAGATCACGCTATACTTGGCCTTCTTTATCAATGTCATCCTTTTGTTCCATCGCGTGGACATTGCCATGAATCCAGACCGCGACGAGGAGGAGGACGATGACGCCGACGACGATGATGACACCGTAGACGAAGTTATGGAGAGTATTTACATTGCTGGAATGATCATACCGTACTTTGCATATGAAATCACGGGATGGCTTCTGGCTCAGGTAGGATAATATAAAAAATTTTGGATTTCATAGTGATTTTGGGCTTTTTTAGGGGGTTTAGAGATAGTAAGTGAAAAAAAAGAAAAAAATTTTTGTTTTGCAATTTTTTGATTTGAGTTTTTTGATGAAATTTTAGGGTTTTCGAGATATTTTTTGCAATTTTTAGAGCTTTTTTTCGTTTTTTCGAAATTTTTTGATATTTTCGATTAAAATTTAATATTATTTTCACTTTAGTAAGAATGAAATTTCATTAGCTTTCATCACAACCCTCTTTTGAGTACTAATTTTGCCAACAAAATTGAGATTTTTACGATTTTTTAAAATTTTTTTCTCAAATTTTCCCTCAAAATTTGAACTTGAAAAAAATAATTTTTTCAAATAAAAAATTTGAATTCAAGATTTTAAATTCCTTTTTCAGGTCCTCTACTGGCTGAGCGTCATGCACGCGGTGACCTCATTCGCCCTGCTCATCGCGTTTTATCAGCTGAAAATCCCGTTGATCACCTTCAAACGCGAGAAAGAGGTGGCCCGAAAACTCATGTTTGACGGCTGCTGGATCACGGAGGAGGAGAGCGAAGAACGCAGCGTCATTGAGACACTGTTCTGGTACATGGATCGGATTGTAATTTCGGCCAAAAGTTTCCCGGTCAAGGTGAGATTTGGCAGCGAAAAATTGGATTTTTCTTGGGGGTTTTGGGTGAAAATGTGATTTTTTGCGGGAAATTTTGGGAGGCAAATAAAAAATATAGCATTTTCGGGCCTTGAGGGGGTTTAGTTTTTGGTTTTTAACAGAAATTTTTTTACTTTTTAAAAAATTTTCAAAAAAATTTTTTTTTTATTTTTCGGAAATTTTTTTTAAGTGCTCTAGAACATTGTATACAGCTTGAAATTTATTTTAAATTGCATTTAAAAGTTTTTTTTTACAATTTTTCATGTCATTTTTACAAAAAAAAATTTTGAAATTTCGAAATTTTTTTTAAAAATTATATTGTACTAGGTAAAATTTGATCTCAATATAGCTTTAATAGGTCTTGAATTTCTTGGAAATTGCATTGGAATTACTTTTAATGGGGAAAATTATCAAAATTTGGCCATTTTTATATTACCCTTGCCATTCCAGTACTGGGACAAGTTTGTGCGCCGAAAAACCAAGCAAAAGTACAAGGAGCAGGTGGACGAAGAGACTCTGGAGGCGCTGTTGGGAACGGAGCGATCGCCCGGCGACACCTCCTTCGACTATCGCTACAACTGCTGGCTGTGGGTGGGCGTGATCCTGACGAACGGGCAGTTTTTGTACCGCGTCATGTACTTGGTCGTGTCGTCGTTTGGCGTCGCGTTCAGCCCATTTTTCTACGCCTTCCTCTTGATCGATGTGGTCCTCTCATTCCCCATGTTAAAAGCCATCCTCCAGTCCGTCACCCACAACCTCCAACAGCTCATCTTGACCATCATGATGACCTTGGTGGTGGTCTACTTGTACACCGTGGTGGCCTTCAACTTCTTCCGAAAGTTCTATATCCAAGACGGAGAGGAGGGCGAAGAGCCCGACCGCAAATGCCATTATATGCTTACGGTAAGGAATTTTGGAAATTTGCACGGTGCGAAAATTTTTTTTTTGGGTTTTGCACGGTGCGGAGAATTTTTTTGGGGAATCTTGCACGGTGCAGAAAAAAATTTGAAAAATTTGCACCGTGCGAAAGATTTGGGGAGTTTTGCACGGTGCGAAAAATTTTGGAAAACTTTGCACGGTGCGAAAATTTTTTTTTTTGGTTTTGCACAGTGCAAAAAATTTTGGAAAATTTGCACGGTGCGAAAAAATTTGAAAAATTTTGCACGGTGCAAAAATTTAGAGAAAATTTGCACGGTGCAAAAAATTCTGGAAATTTTTGCACAGTGCGGAAAAAATTTTTGCGAATTTTGCACGGTGCAAAAAAATTTGGAAAAGTTTGCACGGTGCAAAAATTTTTTTGGGGGGAATTTTGCACAGTGCGAAAAAACTTTTGAGTCCTCGCACGGTGCGGAAAATTTCGGAAGATTTTTCACGACGCAGAAAGACTCGGAAGATTTTGCACGGTGCGAAAAATTTTGGAAAATTTGCACAGTGCAGAAAAATTTTTGGTTTTTCGCACGGTGCAGTGAAAGAATTTTTTACAATTTTGGAATTGCGCAAAGTTAAAATAAATTAAGAAACAAAATTTTTAGCTCAAAAATAGCAATCCTCGTCATCTGAACCATGTGTTTTTGACAGAGTCTAAACTTGGAAACGATTTTTTTTTGGAAATTTATTTTCAAAAAAAAATTTTTTTTGCTCCCGGAATTGCAAGTATCAACAATATTTCTTGCTCCTTCTTTTAATTTTTTTTTGTTGTCTCAATGGGATTTATTAAATTAGTCGGTCATTTTGCGTCATTGGCTGTGCATTTGTCGTTTTCTTTTGCCTAAAATTATTCGCTGCCGAAATTAATCGAATTGGCCGGAAATTTGATTATTTTAGTTTGGTATGGTCTTGGAGTAGGAGAAAAAATTTTGGGTCAAGTGTTTCTCTCGTGGAAAAAAGGTTTTATTTTTTGGCGGGAAATTTGAATTTTTGAAATTTTTTGGGTTGAGAAATTCATTTGATTGGTCTATATAGAAACTACAAATCGTATTTTACTTTTAGAAGTTGATTTTTTGTTTGAATTTAATTATTTTTTCTATTTTTTTGAAAAAAAAAATTGGCGGGAAATTTGAATTTTTGAATTTTTTAGAAAAAAAATGGCGGGAAATTTGAATTTTTGAATTTTTATGCTGAAGGGCGTATTTTACCTTCGGAATAACCGATTTTTGATCGAATTTTTAAAATTTTTAGCAAAAAAATTTTGGCGGGAAATTTGAATTTTTCGATTTTTTTCAATAATGAAATTTTCGTATTTTGCTTTTTGAAAAATTTTTTTTCCGTAATTTTCTTATTTTTCAAAATTTTTTATTCTAATTTTCTTCAATTTCAGTGTTTCATCTACCATTTCTACGCGGGTGTGCGTGCGGGCGGAGGTATTGGTGACGAGCTGGAGTCGCCGTACGGCGACGACCTGGAGTACCCGCGCATGCTGTACGACATTTCGTTCTTCTTCTTCGTGATCGTCATCCTGCTGGCCATCATGCAGGGTCTGATCATTGACGCGTTCGGCGAGCTGCGTGACCAGCAGGAGAGCGCCACCGAGAAGCTGGAGTCCTCCTGCTTCATTTGCGACATCGGCAAGGACACGTTCGACCGGATGCCGCGCGGCTTCGAAATTCACACCACCAAGGAGCACAACTTTGCCAATTACTTGTTCTTTTTGCAGCACTTGGTGAACAAGGATGAGACCGAGTACACGGGACAGGAAACGTACGTCCGGGAGAAGTACGACAACCGCGATTGGGAGTTCTTCCCGGTCGGCGAGTGCTTCATGAAACAGTACGAAGATCAACTACTGCAGACTTAGGCAGTAGCCAACGGCTTCGAAAACACATTTATCAGTCTTTAATCTTCTCGTTTTGTCATTTACAGTCCTTTTTTCTACTATAAGATCGGCTAAATTTCGAAAAATTCAATTTATTGGGACCTATATGTTATCCATGAGAAAAATTGAAATTTTTTTATCGATTACTCTGTGAATCTTATCAATTTTGATTTTTTTAGAATCTCTGTTGTATCAGAAAAATGACCAGCTCTTTTAACCACCGATTTTTTACCGGAAAAATATTGAAAAATCGATTTTTCGACCGAAAACTTTGAAAAGTATGGCTAATTTTTGACAGCTCGTATTTTATTCAGTTTCCACTAGAAATTCTTGCAATTTGGCATGTATTAAGCCGAATGGTCAAAGAGTTACTGAGTATCTGGATTTTTGGAATTACCAATTTTTTCCACCAAATTTGGGCATTTTTTTGTTAGACCGCCAAATTTTAAAATTTTTCAAATTTCTCTCAAAATTTCAAAATGAATTGCAAAAAATCATCAACGGACCTTCAAACCAACTCATTTTGTCACAACTAGTTATCGTCTACATTGTATCAAACCACAGGTTTCTCGTATATTATCCATGTGCCTTGAACCGTTCGAGCCGAACAAAACTCTTTCATTTCGTAGGAATTTGTGTTTATTGTACGTTAAGGTTATTATATTTGTTATCAGGGTTTAGTAAATAAAGAGTTTAATAAATTTTTTGTTGGGTTTTAAAAGAGTTCGGTTCGAAATTTTTTTCGCACTGTGCAGAAAGAAAAAATCGATGGTAAGTTTGAATACTCGCCGGAAATAATTGAGGATTTGTAAAATACGTTCCCATTCTTTAGATCTTCACTTCCATTGCAGATTTTCCCATTTCCACTCTCTGCACCGTGCAATTTTTGTCATCCTTTCCTTTGCACTGTGCAGAAAGAAAAATTTGATTTTATGTTTAAATACACGTCTGAAATAATTGAGGCTTTGTAAAATACGTTGCCACTCTTTAGTTCTTCACTTCCATTGCAAACTTGGCCATTTCCACTCTCTGCACAGTGCAATTTTTGTCATCCTTTCCTTTGCACTGTGCAGAAAGAAAAATTTGATTTTAAATTTGAATACGCGCCTGAAATAATTGATGCTTTGTAAAATACGTTGCCACTCTTTAGTTCTTCACTTCCATTGCAAACTTGGCCATTTCCACTCGCTGCACAGTGCAATCTTTATCATCCTTTCCTTTGCATTGTGCAGAAAGAAAAACTTTATCGTATGTTGGAATAAGGGTCTGAAATAATTGATGGTTGGTAAAATACGTTCTGAAATACTCAGATCTTTACTTCCATTGCAAATTTTCCCATTTCCACTCTCTGCACAGTGCAACTTTTGTGATCCTTTCCTTTGCACTGTGCAGAAAGAAAAACTTTATCGTATGTTTGAATAAGGGTCTTAAATAATTGATGGTTTGTAAAATACGTTTCAGACATGTGCGTCAGGACTTCCATTTCAAACTTGGCCATTTCCACTCTCTGCACAGTGCAATTTTTGTCATCCTTTCCTTTGCACTGTGCAGAAAGAAAAAATTGATGGTATATTTGAATACAGGACAGAAATAATTGATAATTTGTAAAATACGCTCTGAAATGCTCAGAAATTTACTTTCATTGCAAATTTAATTCATATTTTCCATTGCACTGTGCGCTCCAAAGAAGGTTTCATAAAATTGCACTGTGCGGTAATTGTGTAAAATTTTATTGATAATCAGGTTGTAATCAGCATGATTGAGTGCTGTACATGCATTTTTTCTCTGAATTTCCAGCTCTGCACAGTGCAATTTGCACAAACTTTTTTGCACAGTGCAGTCAACAAAACTCCACTTTCAGCCTGCACTGTGCGGGAGGCCAAAACTAAAATTATTCTAAATTTGAACTGAAATGTCTAGACATCTCCAGCAACTCCGAAATTAACGAAATTTCTATTTACGATGCGGTCTTTCAGCCCAATATTGCACTAGACCAACAAAACAAACAATTTATTTTTCGTGTTTTCCGATCTGAAAGCATTCTTTACAGCCGTTTGTGGGGTGCGAATTTAAGAAAATATGGGGTGATAAATAAGATAGGATAGGCTCCACTAGAATATACAGCTAATTAATTAGGAAAATTGGAAAAAGATTTGTCCGCAGTCTATGATATACAAGTAAAAAAATAAATAAAAAAGTTGTAGGTGCGATTATTGTGCCTTCCAAGTGCTGTGAACGGAGGCTGGTGCGCCTATTTGCCCGGCCGGAAACCGTCACCACGGCCGATGGCGATGTTCCGTTTCTGCGCCACCGGGTGCGAGGATTGAGTTTGATCGAACTGAAAAATGAAAAAAAAGTTAGTAAAAACTAATGGCATCGATTTAAATTTTGTTTTCCTAACGAAATTTTTCATTAAAAACTTTTTTGGAAAATCGCACAGTGCAGTTTTAAAAATTTTTTGGACTGCACTGTGCGGTTTTTTCAAATACAATTTTGCACTGTGCAGACGAAAAAAATATTAACAAGGAAAGTACTTCTATGGGGTGTGGAATTACCGGTCGAGACATATATGAAAAAATTCGCAAAAATTTTCTGATTCAGAATATATAAAAATTAGCTGCCTAATTTTGGTCTGATGACATGTTTTTGTCCTCAGAAGTTTTCTCGCGACACAATGCAAGTGTCTTTTTGACCGTGTTTTTACCAATAAAAAAATTTTGTTTTGTGCTAAAATAAATTTTGAGGCCTTGACAAGCCTTAAAATATCAAATTGGATTACAACTACACCTTAAAAGTAGTTCCAATGTAAAAAATGGGTTCTAGTGTGGCAAAAGGAATCGAACCCGTCCCCTTCGGATTCCCAATCTAGCGCTCTAACCACTCGGCCACACCGCTCTCTTGCGAGGGAAGAAACCGAGCGCGCTTTTGTTGCCGCAGATTTTTTTTCCTCGAGAAATACATTTATTGATAAAACTCGTTAATAGACCAAAATTAGGCAGCTAATTTTTATATATTCTGAATCAGAAAATTTTTGCGAATTTTTTGATATATATCTTGACCGGTAATTCCACACCCCATAGAAGTACTTTCCTTGTAAAAAATAGTGAGCGGATGGGTCGTAGTAACAATGATTTCCATTTTTACATCACAATTTTTTCGATTTTCAACCTTGCACAGTGCAGATCTAAAAATTTTTTGGACTGCTCTGTGCGGTTTTTTCAAACACAATTTTGCACTGTGCAGACGAAAAAATTTAAAAAACAGTGAGCGGATGGGTCATAGTAACAATGATTTCCATTTTTGCATCACAATTTTTTGATGTTCAAACTTTGCACAGTGCAGATTTAAAAATTTTTGGACTGCACTGTGCAGTTTTTTCCAACGCAATTTTGCACTGTGCAGACAAAAAAAATTTAAAAAATAGTGAGCGGATGGGTGATAATAACCATGTCTTCCATTTTTACATCACAATTTTTTTCAATTTTCGACGTTGCACAGTGCAGATTTAAATTTTTTGGACTGCACCGTGCGATTTTTTCAAACATAATTTTCCACTGTGCAGGCGCAAAATAAATTTTGAAAAAATATTTCAATGTGTCGTAAGAACCATGACTTCCACTTTTATGCCACAATTTTTTTGAAATTCAAGTTTGCACAGTGCAGATTTAAAAATTTTTGGACTGCACTGTGCGATTTTTTCAAACACAATTTTGAACTGTGCAGATGAAAAAATTTAAAAAACAGTGAGCGGATGGGTCATAGTAACAATGATTTCCATTTTTACATCACAATTTTTTCGATTTTCAACTTTGCACAGTGCAATTTTAAAAATTTTTTTGACTGCACTGTGCGATTTTTTCAAACATAATTTTGCACTGTGCAAACGAAAAAATATTAAAAAATAGTGAGCGGATGGGTGATAATAACCATGCCTTCCATTTTTACACCACAATTTTTTCGAATTTCAATCTTGCACAGTGCAGATTTAAAATTTTTTAGACTGCACTGTGCAGTTTTTTCCAACGCAATTTTGCACTGTGCAGACAAAAAATAAATAAAAAAATATTTGAATGGATCATAATAACAATAACTTCCATTTTTACACCACAATTTTTTGATGTTCAACTTTGTACAGTGCAAGTTAAAACATTTTTTGGACTGCACGGTGCAATTTTTTCGACATAATTTTTCACTGCACAGACGGAAAAAAATTTAAAAAATATTTGAATGGATCATAATAACCATGACTTCCATTTTTATGTCACAATTTTTTTGAAATTCAACTTTGCACAGTGAAAATTCAAAAATTTTTTGGTCTGCACGGTGCGATTTTTTCAGCATGATCTATTACTGTTCAATTCAAAAAGACATGGCCAAAATTACTTGGATGTGCCCTAGACATTGTAGATTTTATTTTCACAACCTCATTTTTGCGAATTTCAAGTTCGCAAAGTGCAATTTCAAAAAATGTTTGGACTGCACTGTGCGATTTTTTTCAAAGTCATTGAGCACTGTGCAAATAATAAAAAAAGTAAAGTAAATAAAATTATTTGGGTCCTAGTTACTGCGAATTTTGATCTTTAGACTAATTTTTCAAAATTCCATTTTGCACAGTGCAATTTCTCAAAAATTTTTTTTGCACTGTGCGGTCGGAAAATAGTCCCTCTAAAAACGCAGTCGAAAATAACTGCTACTTCAAATTATGATAATCAACTTATAAAACGGGCTTTTGTTTACCGATTATTTCAAATTTTCATTTTTCACGGTTTTTGCACTGTGCTGTCTGAGAATTGTTGTTTGCACAGTGCAATGAAATTTACAAGAAAAAAACTGGTAAAAGGGTTAAATATAATTAAATAACTTTTCAAAATATCTGGTAATGACATAAAAATCGTATTTAAAATACTGGAAAATCTCTATCGCTGAAAAAAAATCAAAAAATTTCAAAAATTCAAAAAAAATTTTTTTGTCAGAATCTCTTATTTTTTACAAAAAACTTTGATAGAAAGCCCCCCTTACCCATGACCACGCCGATTCCGGGCCTTCCGTATCCAACGCGGGCAGGAACATGTCATGGGGGCCGTCGATGTACATCATCTCCATGGGCTGACCGTTCATGAGGATGGGTAGCGAATGGACGGAGATCAACACAACGCAAAGCAGGGCCGCTTCCAAGGCCTGGCTCATGGTCCAAACGAATTTTCGCCGAATTTTTACCCAACCTGAAGAACGAAATTTTTTGAAATTTTTTGATGATTTTAGCTCGAAAAAATGTGTTAGTAGTGAAAAAAATGCTAAAAAAAGTTAGTAGTAATTTTCTCTACTCTAGGTTTTGATTTGCTATCAATTTTGCGATAATCCAGAAATTTTTTGGGTCCCGCCACGAAAACCCTGAAAATCAGGGGAAATTGTCAAAAAGCCTTCAAAAACGCCGTAAAATCATAAATAAGACATCCTACGGGATGATCAACCGTATTTTACAAAAATTCAGAATATTTTTTGAGCTCAACCCCTCCGGGCATCCACGTATTTTAGCCCCCAAAACAAACCTACAGTATGCCGCCGAGGCCAAAGCACCAAAATCAGCACGTACTTATATAGTTAGTATATAGTAATGCGCTTCGTTTAGCACAATAATCCGCGAAGAGAGGAGCGGCCCCGTTTTCGGGGGCCCCGCGCTCTATGCATGAGCAAATTTGAATGGGGCCGAAGGGCCGCACACAACAGAATGAAATAAATTTTTAATTATTGTGTCTCCCGTTGGCCTGTTTCTGAGTTCGATCAAAAAGTTGGGCAATTTGCCTTCAAGCAGGAAGTCTACATTGCCGCCGGCAATGTTGTCATCTCACGTAATGCAGGACGCATTTAGACTTTGGTGATATCATGATGAGTTTGGGGTTTGATCGGCGAGTGATGAGACGTCTCGTTTTCAATTTTGCACAGTGAAAAGGAAAATGAAAGACTGCACAGTGCAAAAAATTGGTTTGTGAAATGCACAGTGCAGACTCTGAATTTGGGAAAAATTTGGTTTGACAATAAAAAAGTAAATCCAATGGAATGTATTTTCAGCTATTACCGTCTATTTTTGTCATATAAGGCAGCTTTAGGAGAGGAAATTTCGACTGCACAGTGCAAAAAATTGGTTTGTGAAATGCACAGTGCAGACTCGGAATTTGGGAAAAATTGGGCTTTTAAGCTTAAAACAATAAAACAGAAAATCCAATAACATATATTTCAGCTATTACTGTCCCTTTTTTGAAGCACAAGCAGTTTTAGGACAGGTAATTTCGACTGCACAGTGCAAAAATTTGTTTTGTGAAATGCACTGTGCAGACTCTGAATTTGGGAAAAATTTGGCTTGACAATAACCAGTAACTCAAATGGCATATATTTTCAGCTATTACTCCCTTTTTTTGTAGCCCAAGGAAGTTTTAAGACACGCAATTTCGTCTGCACAGTGCAAAAATTGTTTTGTGAATTGCACAGTGCAGACTCTAAATTTTGAAAAATTTTGGCTTGATAACAAACCAGCCAATACAATACTCTCTATTTTTACTAATCACTAAATTTATTTTGGACACAGCAAAGTTTTAGAAGAGCTTATTCTATCTGCACCGTGCAAAAATTATTTTTTGAAAACGCACCGTATGGGAACACCAACTGAAATGATGTGTGGTAGAACTAGATAAATCGACAAAATACAACTTGTTTTTAAGAAGATAGCGCTTTATATACAGTTAACTCCACCGCACAGTGCACTTCCTGGACCTATTCCGTCTGCACTGTGCAAAACAAAGATTAGATAAAATTAAAGGGTGTCGAGACAAAATAGACGAAGATTACTTCTTACCATAAAGAAATAACACGTGTGCTATACGTACCAGATCTTTAGCGACCAAGGTAGACAGAAATTAGCCGTTTAGAATTAATTTTTTTTTCCGCACAGTGCAACCAAAAGTTTTGAAGAATTTTACAGTGCGTAATACTAGAGCAAAAAAGTTAGAAGGCATATCAAAAGAATGAAAAAGGATTTCAGTACAAGTATGCTACTATTAAATTATGCTGTCCAGCGCAGAAAAGAGATCAATTTATTTTTCTGCACGGTGCAAAAAAAATTTTGAGAAAATCGCACGGTGCAGAGGCAAAAATTAAAAAAATCAAAGAGTGTGTTTAAAAAAGAGATCAAAACAATATATATCAAGTACTCATTAGTCATATTTTCCCGCACTGTGCGGTTGAAAAACCAACTTTTTTGTCCAGCACAGTGCAAAAAGAAATTTTGAAAGAATTGCACTGTGCAAAGGGAAAAACTAAAAATCAAATAGTGTGTTTAAAAAAAGAGAGCAAAATATCATATATCCAATGCTCACTGTTCATATTTTCCCGCACTGTGCGGTTGAAAAACCAACTTTTTTGTCCTGCACAGTGCAAAATCAAGTTTGAAAAAATTGCACTGTGCAAAACCAAAAACTATGTAAAAAAGGTCTGTAAAATAAACAATCATACCCAAAATGTGTTGAATATGTTTGATAGTCAACACAAATGTCTAAACAAGTAAAAATTCGAAATCATTGTCCGCACTGTGCGGAGAATGACGTCATCGGGAAGCCAACGGTCTGCTGTTTATGACATGTCTGACGAATGACAAGTAATGAGCGGCTATGATTAACTAGTATTTACGTCAAAAAAGTTACGCAAGGAAGACTTGACAAAAGAAAATTGTTCCGAAGCCAAAAAAATTATTCAAAAAAATTAACTTTTTTTACAAGTGTACAGTGTAATGTGCTAAAAAATCTTTTGGAAAGAGAGTGAAATTTGCCCTTACACTTGTTTACGATACAGTTTAAAATACGTAGTGTGAAATTTGTGGTTAAAATTGAGTTAGTTTACACTTTTTTGGGTCTCGACACGAAAGCACGAAATGCTCGTGTTTAACGTTTTGCTTTTAGAAAATTTTTTTGGAGGTTATTAAAATACGTCGACCTTTAAACTGGATGTTCTAACTTGCTCAAAGCATGATTAAAATTTTATCAGTGGGTCCCGACACGAAAACCTGAAAGGTCTCGAAATGACGTAGAAATGGTTGATAACCGTTTTTAGAGCTTTAACAATCATTTCTTTGCAATTTTCTATTTGCTTTGCTCTTGTATGGAGTAAAATTTCATAAGTGGGTCCCGACACGAAAACCTGAGAAGTCCCAAAACAGCACGAAATGGATTAGAAATCATGTTTAGAATTTTAACAATCATTTCTTTTTGGTATTTTTTTGCTTTCGTAAAGCGTAAAATTTCATCAGTGGGTCCCGACACGAAAACCTGAAAGGTCTCAAAATGGCGCAAAATTGATTGTAAATTACATTTAGAGTTTCAGCAAATATTTCTTTCGGCCTTTTTTTGCTCTCATAGGCCTACGTAGGGTATAAAATTTCATCAGTGGGGCCCGACACGAAAACATGAAAAAGTCCCAAAACAGCGCGAAATGGATTGGAGATCATTTTTTAAGGACTTTGGACTGTTGAATTGTCAAAAAATCTTTTTTAATGTTAAATACGACCAATATTTCTGTTAAAAATCCCAACAAAAATCTGGTACATCAAAAAAAAATCAAAATACAGTATCATCACCGCGCGTACATAAGCCATAGTTACAACTCAACTCCCAAAAGACAAAATGACAATTCTCGGCCGCCCATCGCCTGAGGCGTTGGCATTTGCAACCGCTGAAAATGACATGTTTTGCGGATGGGGCTGACCGCCTTTTTTTCGGGGGACCTACGAAATTAACCGGATCCCATAAATAATAATTCTCGTGGAAATGGCATGACTTGAATGTCAGCTGAACAACCCATGGCCAATCATCGGCGGCTAGCCGAGAACATTGCGATTTCTTTATAGCCCAGTGCGCGACAAATACACATTATTTTCCCGACAGATTGAACGCACGGTGCATTTTGAACGTTTTTTCCCACCCTTATCGTCAACCATAGGGCATTTCTCCATTTTAGCACAGGCAGAACCTCAAACAATCCGTTTGCACGGTGCGACAGCGATTTTGGCGACATGCACTGTGCAAGAAAAGCCAGTCAGAAAAAAGCCATTTGCACTGTGCAAAAAGTAAGAAATTGCACAGTGCAAAATGAACTTTTGTTTTTTTCACAGTTCATGTCGCAGAAATCACTCCAGCGACTTTATAGATGGTCTAAAACCGCTGAGATTTTATGGTTAGAAAGTGCAACAAAATAAAAAAAACTACATAAAACCTGGGACACCCAAAATTTTAAAAAAATCGCCATAACGTCAGAGTACTGAAGCCAATCGGGATGAAACTTCGCAGAGCTTATTCTCAAAGGTTGGTTAACGCTTATGTAAAATTTCATGGCATTTGAGAAAAAACCCCCCGAGATATGATCAAAAAATGAGGTGGAACCAAAAACCTGGGACGCACTGTATATATTTAACAAGGAAAGTACTTTTATGGGGGCTCCTACTGTTTGACGGGACATACCTCAAAAAATCAGAAAAAATGTGCTGATCGAGGATATATAAATCTTAGCTGCCCATTTTGGGCTTTTAGGGGCGAAAATGCCCAAAAACTGGCTCAATTTCCCTACAAAAGGCGCATGCATTCGAAACGATAAAAAGCGCAGTCGGTCTCTTCCTTTGGAAGAGAGCGGTGTGGCCGAGTGGTTAGTGCCGTAGTCTGGGAATCAAGAGGGAGGACGCCGCACGGGTTCGATTTCCCTTTTGGGCTGAATCAACTTTTTTGAAGTTGAAGGTCGGAAAATTAAATTTTTGGGCCAAGACTGATTTATTACGTCTTAGAAACTCAATAAACATCATTTTAAGCCAAAATAAAAATTGTAAACCCGTGAAAAATTAGGCGAAAAGGGGTTCATATAGGACTTTAAGTCAACTTCCGATTGAGTTTTCACCCCTAAAAACCTAAAATGGGCAGCTAAGATATATATCCATATATATCCTTGATCAGCACGTTTTTTCTGCTTTTTTGAGATATGTCCCGTCAAAAAGTAGGAGCCCCCATAAAAGTACTTTCCTTGTAAAAAAAAATTGCAATTTTAGGCTTAAAGATTGGTGATTCTATTACGAATGTGGTGTCCAATTTTTCCACCAAAAATCAAGTTTTTCCAAGTGGACACAGAAAAGTTATGGGCAAAACTTTTTATCATTTGGGCGACTCTCCTCATTTCGCGTGCTCTCTCGAAAACAAATTGTTGAATATTTCGGCTTCTACTGGAGAGCGAAAGCTGAAACTTTCAAAGATATGTGGACTAGACAGAAGACATAGAAGGAATTTTACAGATATCACGATATTACACTTATGACATCACTATAAAATTTCATTTTTTTTTCGTTTTTCCAAATTTTTTTCTCCACCCTCGCAACATCCTTTCAAAAACATCACCGCGAACGCTTGATATTTTACCAAGACTTCCTCCAGATCCACGTACGAAATGACATAAAATAATTAAAATAATGTCATTTCCTTGCAAATTATTAAATCCTTTTCTCTTCCAGAAATGACGCGAATTGAGCGGGGATTTTTTTGGAGTTTAATTGGCAAAAGACCCGCAGACAAAAAGTGAAAAAGTTAAAGTGGAAAATAATCGAGTATGTACTATTACATATTAACCTGGAATGTGAGGAGGAAAATTTTGATTTTTTTGATTTAAATTCTTTATTTATCCTAAAAAATTTTAAGAAAGCTATAAATAAAATTTATATGCAAGCACAAAAAAAAATTAAATCCAAGAATTTGAGATTAAAATTTCGTTGGTGGGTCCCGACACGAAAACATGAAAGGTTCCAAAACAGCGAAAAATTGATTGTAAATCACATTTAGAGTTTCAGCAAACATTTCTTTAGACTTTTTTGCTTTTATAAACCTTCGAAGGTAGTAAAATTTCATCAGTAGGTCCCGACGCGAAAACATGAAAGGTTCCAAAACAACGCAAAATTGATTGTAAATATAAATTAGAGCAAAAATTTATTATCAGCAAAAATTTCTTTAGGGTTTTTCGCTCTTATAGGCATTCGAAGGCAGTAAAATTTTATCGGCGGGTCCTAACACGAAAACATGAAAGGTGCCAAAACAACGCAAAATAGAATGTAAATATAAATTTAGAGTTCCAGCAAACATTTCTTTAGGTTTTTTCGCTCTTACAGGCCTTTGAAGGTAGTAAAATTTTATCGGGTGGTCCCGACACGAAAACATGAAAGTTGAAAAACAACGCAAAATCGATTGTAAATATAAATTTAGAGTTTCAACAAACATTTCTTTAGGTTTTTTCGCTCTTATAGGCCTTCGAAGGCAGTAAAATTTTATCGGTGGGTCCCGACACGAAAACATGAAAAGTTCCAAAACAGCGCGGAATTGATTGGAAATCACTTTTTTGAAGCTTTAGATTTGTTCAGTCGTCAAAAAAATTTTTTTATTAAAATAGTTCATATTTTTGCTGTTCAAAAAAATTAAAATTCCACAAAAAAATCAAATCTTTTTTTTTCACTTTCAAGAGTAAAGAACTCCAAAACTATTGTATTTTCCCAACCGACCATTGGAAGAGCGGTTGAGCTCCATCGAACGGTCATCCCGCTTTTCGAAGCCGCCTCGAAGAATGTGAGTTTTTGTCGGCTTTTTTCCAACATTTTATCCCGAAACATGTCTAGTCCAACATCATTCATGAATAGACGATGAAGTCTGTATTTTATTACTTTCTGTTTTTATTTTCTTGCGGTTATTTACGAGTATTTTTAGCCAGTGAATGGAAGAGGAGCTCCAAAATCAATTGGGGCCGCGGATCGGCCGAAATCGCCGCTGGCTATTCCAGTTCTGGCGTCACCATGAGGCCCAAAATGACGTCACCAACAGCTCACGGTAATTTTTTATGGTCCTGGGGGGATTTTTCGACTTTTAACAGGTGGATACCTTTTGATACTTTTGGATACCTTTTGAGGGTTTTTGACAAAATTTCGAAAAAAGCACCTCAACACAAAGCTCACAATAATTTTTTGACGCCCTGGAGTGATTTTTGGACTTTTATGTGGTGGATACCTTTTAATACCTTTGGATACCTTTTGCGGTTTTTGATAAAATTTCAAAAAAACATCAGGTCACCATGTAAATTCAGTCATTTTCTCTCTATTTTTACCGGTTTTAAAATCCATTTGGATCACTTTTGCGACCTTTTGATAACTTATGCAAATTCCTAGTTTTTCTTGATTTTCCAACAGCACCCCTTTCAGCTACCCCATTGAAGCCGCCTCTCCGGACTTTCGTCGTCAAATCGAAGCCGCAATTTCCGCTCAAAATGAAGCCGAACCACAGGTCTTGGAGCCGGACCAAGTTTCGGCCGAAGCCGTTGACCCCTTGGCCGGATTCCATTCGCTGATGTTGGCCTGGCTGTATCGCACCGAAAACCCGGCTTTTGAGGACTTTTGGACAGGCGTGGAAGGAAAAGCTAAATTGAGCAGAGAAACGGTAAAAATGAAATTTTATCGGGGTTTTTGGAGGTAAAACATAAAATTTTGGAGAGTTTAGGGTAAAAATCAAATTTATTGCTATGTCAACTGTTGTAGTATTTGAGAAAAAACAACTAGAAGTGGTCTATCCACAAAAAAAGTTAAAAAATCGTTATGTTTTAGGCAATTTCCCTTTATAAAATCGAAGTCTAAACTCTAAAATTAAAGAAATTAATAGTATAAAACCTAAAAAAATTAATTTACCACTGTTACAATACTCTTTTACTATCAATTTCCACATTAAAACCTCAAAAAAGTGAGAAGGTCCCACCGAGATTTGAACTCGGGTCGCAGGATTCAGAGTCCTGAGTGCTAACCGCTACACCATGGAACCGCGAGGTCTTTTCTCTTTTCTTTCTCTCTTCTTGCAAAAGAGACTTATTTCGCACAGTGCAAAAAGTCTTTTTTGATGTTTTTTAGTAATTTGGGTTACTGTAATGTAATTTTTGAAGATTTTTTGGGAAATTTGGACTTATACTTGTCTACTAGACGAATTTTCAGATCAGTTATGGTGTTTTGGGCCTTGTTACCGCCGTTTTGATAGTTGTTAATCTGTCCGAAGTGATTTGCTCGTTGGTTGGAGTGATCTATCCGCTCATGTGCACATATGAGGTTGGTTTCCATATGTGGTTTTACCTGTCTTATTGTATTTTTCGATTTTTTTTTTCTTTTCTTCGGATTTTTGCCTGTTTTCGGCATAAAATAAGGTAAAATAAGCTGAAGCTAGCAAATTTCTTTTGTAATCATTGATTTTTTTGCTTTGTAGATGCTCAAATTGCCTCCAAACGACGTTCCGGACGCCCTTCGAAGACATTGGCTCTGTTATTGGGCCATTTTTGGTCTGATTTCTGGTTTTGATTTTGTTGGAAGAACCCTGCAAGCCGTCCTGCCCTTCTATCAGATCTCTAAGGTAATGATATTTAACATTTTTGGCCATTCCCCTGTACTTTTTGCTTAAAACAAGACTAATTTCCGATTTTTTGACCTAAAGTAATGTAAATTTTTGATTTTTGGACTAAAGCAAAGTTGTTTCCCCAAATTTTTGGCTTAATTATTAGTTTTAGGCCATGGTACTGCTAGCTGTTGCCATCCCCGACTTCCAGCTGTCGCAGCTTGTCTACAATTACACTGCCCGACCGACGGCCAGAGTCCTGTTGAAGCTGGTCAAGAAATACGTTCTCTGAAGAGAAATTAAAGAGAATCGAACAAAATTGTTGTTGCAGTTGAATGTCTGTGGGATTTACTGACTTTGGACGAATAAAAAAAATTTTTGAAAATTAAATTTTTTTTGAATTTTTATTATGTTACATATTTATATTCATATAACATCTTGTGTATAAACTCACTAAAATTACATCTCCATAAAAAAATTAATTTTTTCTCAGCGAAATCAGCGAGAAAATGGCCAAAAATCGTCTTTTCTCTGACCGCTCTCCTCATTTCATGTGTTCTCTCGCAAAAAACAATGTTGAATATCTCCGCAGCGAATGCAAATTGAGAGCTAAAATTTTCAGAGATTCATGTCTGGACTAGACAAAACACATATACAAAATTTTAAGAAAATTGAAATCTTACACTTGCGGTACTCCAAAGAATTTTCAAAAAATATTTTTCTTTTGCGATTTGCCTAAAATTTTTCCTATACGTTATATTTGGGTCACAGATACATTCCCGAAAATTTTAGCTCATAATTACCAAGGGGAGTCGAGAAATTAAAGGGTCTTTTTTCCGAGAGAGCACGGAAAATGAGGAGAGTCGGTCAGAGAAAATCGTTTTTTCCCTATAACTTTCTGCGTATGGCTCGGAAAAAATTGATTTTTGGTGTGAACATTCTACGTCTTGTGTCTAATCAAAAAATATTTCTTCCGAGTCCGAATTCGCAAAAAAATTTTTTCGAATTTGTCCTATTTTTTCCAAAAAATCTCGGTTTTTTCTGCAAAACGCGATCTAAAATTATCACAAATGCCTTCAAATTTTTCTACTGTAAAATTTCCCCAATTTCCATCAAGATTTAAGCAAGATTTCAAGTCTTTTTTATATTTTTTCGTACCTTACTCTGTCAAAAATTCGAGGGTACCCTCGAAAAAGCGAAAGAATAAAAAATCCCCCTTCTCAAAAGTTTCACGGAGAAATCGCCATCGGTCATTTAATTTTTTCTTTTACTCTTTTCCGTCGCTGGAGTGTGGGGTTCAGTAAGAAAAAAGTGGGGGGAAGGGAGAAGGAAGGAAGGAGAAGAAGAAGCTCCACGTAGCTCGAATCGTCGTCGATTCGCGACAAACTTGGTGGTTATCGATTACAGAGGAAGTGATTTTGAGGGTTCGCTGGATTTTGCGTTTATTTATTCCGTGTGCGACGAGCAGATTTAGTTTGGATTTTGTACATACGTTGTGTCTCAAAATGGCGACTGCTCGCGAATTGATGCTCATATCTTCCTTAAATATGGCCTATATTTTCTATCTAGGCTATATTTCAATCCCTGAAAGTTTCAGCTCACAATTTGTAAAGAGAACCGAGATATTGAACGATTTGTCGAGAGAGCACGCGAAATGAGGAGAGCGGTCAGACAGAAAACTCTGTCTGGCCATATCTTTGCAAATTTTGCACGGAAAAGTTTGATTTTTTGTGGCAAATTAACACAAAACAATAGTAATTCGAGCGAAGCTCAGAAAACAGTTTTTTCTCTGACCGCCCTCCTCAATTTGCATACTCTCTCGCCATCAAAGATCGTTCAATATCTCATCTTGTCTTCTAAGCTGCGAGTTAAAATTTTCAGCAATCAAAAAGTGGTCTATTTGTAACATATATACGAATTTTGAAGATCCTCCGAGGAAATTTTTACATCACACTTGACTTTATATTACTTTAGATGAAATTAGCAATTGGGTTAGTATTCTTGACTGTAATAGTCGCAATTAATGGCGATTCTGAGCGTTCGTGGACCGATGAAGATGGGGTTGAAATCGAAATCATCAAAAAGATCCCAGGTAATCGTATTTTAAGTTTTTAAAAAAATTTAAAAATTTTTGAAAAATTTTCATTTTTTTCAATTAAAAAATCAAAAATTATAATGCAAAATGAAAGTTCAGACAGCAAATGTAAGATCCGCGCGGAGCCCGGCGACCATATTCAACAATATTTCAAACTGACCGACCCTAAGGGCACCGTAATCGGCTCGAATTTCGGCCAAAAACCCTACGAAATCATCCTCGGCAGAGGCACCGCGCTTCGCGCAATGGACTACGCCATGCGAGGAATGTGTATCGGAGAGCAGCGGCGAGTCATCATCCCGCCAGAGGCCTACGAAGAGGATGAATTGCCGAGAGGCGCGGTTCAAGGCGACAACTTGCATTATTTCGTGGAATTGAAGGCCATTTTCCGCCCAATCCCCGGCGAAAGCTGGACTGAAGACGATGGGTTGCATATTGAGGTGAGGAGAGATACTTTTGGAGTTAATTTCCCTCATTTATTACTGGTATTTTACAATATTTTCGCTAAAAAATCAAAAAAATCTAAAATTCCGTAATTTTTCGCCATTTTTCCCCCAAAAACCAGACCAAAATCACCAAAAATACTTGAAAAATTTAGAGAAAGTCTAAAATACAATTCGCTTCAGCTACATATACTCTTTTACTATCAATTTCCACAGTAAAACCTCAAAAAAGTGAGAAGGTCCCACCGAGATTTGAACTCGGGTCGCAGGATTCAGAGTCCTGAGTGCTAACCGCTACACCATGGAACCGCGGGCTCTCTTGCCTTTTCTTTCTCTCTTCTTGCAAAAGAGCGCTTTTTCGGACCATGAAAAAAAGGCGAAAACAGTCCTTTCGTTCGGTTTTCGAAAAAAATTTGGCCATTTTCAAGGGAAAGAAAGTGTATTTTAATGAGAAATACGATTTCAGGATATTCATGAAAGTTTTTTGACAATAATTTAGCAAATTTGTAGGATTTTCCCAAATTTTTGAAAATTTTTGCCTACTACAATATAAAAACATCAAAATTTCTTGTATTTTATTGTGAAATACGATTTCGAGGTATTTAAAAAAGTTTTTTGACAATAATTTCGCAAATTTGGTGGAATTTTCCCCAATTTTTTTTTTTAATTTTTTGCCTACTACAATATAAAAAGATCAAAATTTCTTGCAGCAAACGCATGTGGTCCCCGAAGAGGAGTGTATCAAGGCCGAGAAGCACGACACCGTCCATCAACACTACACGATTCGGCTGCAGGACGGGACTTTCATCGACTCCTCGTATTCGCGCGGCAAGCCGTTCGAGTTCGAGCTGGGCGTGGGGCGCGTGATCAGCGGCGTGGATCGTGCGATGTTGGGGATGTGCGAGGGCGAGAAGAGGAAGGTGATTATCCCGCCGGTGGCCGGCTACGGCGAGGAGGGGAAGGCGGGCGTGATTCCGCCCAACAGTTGGCTGGTGTTCGAAATTGAGCTCACAAAGTTGGTGAAAAACCGAAAGGAGGAGTTGTAAAGGGTGGTCCAACCCACTTTTAACGCTTTTAACGACACCATCTAGCGTGGTGCTGCCTTTTAAACCGTGTAGAATAGATTTTATAATCAAAAAATCGAAATTTTCTCGCAAGGAAAGTACTTCTATGGGGTATGGAGTGACAGGTCGAGAGATATATCAAAAGAATCGCAAATTTTTTCTGATTCAGAAGATGTAAAAATTAGCTGACGTATTTTGGTTTGTAAAGGCGAAAAGACCCTCAACTTTTCTCGCAACACCACACAAATGCATTTTTGACCAAGTTTTTACCAATTCAAAAGTTTTGTTTTGAGCTAAAGTGTATAGACCCTGGCATCTTGACAAGCCTTTAAAATATCAATTTGATTAATACCTTAATTAGTAATTGTAAAAAAATCAATCAAATTTGATATTTTAAGGCTTGCCAAGATGCCAGGGTTTACTTCAGCTCAAAACAAAACTTTTGAATTGGCAAAAACGTGGTCAAAAATGCATTTGTGTGGTGTTGCGTGAAAAGTTCAGAGGGTTTTTCGCCCTTACAAGCCAAAATTGATCAGCTAATTTTTACATCTTCTGAATCAGAAAATTTTTGCGATTTTTTGATACATGTCTCGACCTGTAACTCCATACCCCATAGAAGTACTTTCCTCGTGAGAAAATTTCGATTTTTTTAACTTTAAAATCTATTTTACGCGGTTTAAAGGTTTTCTTGTCAAATTTTTCGCATTTTTTGTTGTTTTCAACGGTATTTATTGGATTTCTTGGACAAATCTTGTTGTTACTGCTTGAATAAACCGCATTCGTCCCAAGGTAACAATTTATTAATTAATTAAATCAACAACAACAGTGTGAGAATATCCGAGAGTTAAATTCATATTCTCTGAGGTCAAAGGCTGAGAAAAACGATTAAAAATGTGTCCCAACAACCCATCTTGCCATGTTTAGTCTAAATATTGGTTCTGTTCCATGTTGAGGTAGGGTTCTTTGGCGGCATCGTCAAGTTTATCGAATTTTTTGCGGAGTTTGAGATCTCGTTTGGCCGGATCCATTTCTTGGTATTTCGCGCCTTGGGCCATTTTGAAAAAGTCGAATGCTGATCGAGTTGTCTTCTCCTTTTTCGACTTCTTTGAGGGAGATTTCTCATGAGGCGGTTTGTACTGAAAACCTCTTATTTTACGTTGAAAAATCTAATTTCAAAGGCTTGAAATAATGATACAAACCTTATACTAGACGCGAAAATCGTTATAAAGTTAACAAACATGCGTTACTCATTGAAAACTTTGACTTTTTTCCAATTTCAGACCAAAAATGCCTAGTGCAATATAAAATTATCTCATTTTCCAAATTTCGGCACCTTACTTCCTAAAAACCGAATCAAAAACACTTAAAAACTCTCTACTCACCTTTTTCTCACTTTTCTTGATGGTATTTTTGACGTACTTGACCTGATCTTCCGTCAAAACGCTTCGTTCCTGCTCCAAGAATGTGTTCAGCTTCTCAACGTACTCCCGATACTCGCGCTTCGACTCCTCGTCCAATGTGGATTGGCGTTCGTTCCGGTATCGCTGCATTTCCGCCGCGGACACGTCACGGATTGTTTTATTGTTCTTGCTCAAAAATTTTTGGAATTGATTAATCGGAGCTTGTGGAAACCGGGGATGCGATTTGACCGACTCGCCGCTGCTGCTGTAGGCTTTAACGCACTCGTTCCCAACATCCACGGCGATACGTTGCTTGCTGAGACCTTTGGTCAGGTATTTGCTGTAGACTTCCATCAGATGGGAGTACTCTCTAAAATAAGGTGGATAAGTGAACTCAGAGAGAAACATCAGCCGCATAGTACCTTCCTTAGACCTCACACCAACTAATAAACCACAAACGTCAAGACTTAGAGCTTTGGCGATGCAGAAACTCCGATTATCGTATTTTACCATCAACAAAATGCCTAAACCAAGGAAAACCTCCGAAAACTCTTCAATTTTGCAGAAATAACCCCAATAAATGACTTGAAATAGTTTCTAACCCACTCTGACAACTCTTCCATACCTAAAAATCAAGAAAACACAAAGAATCAACTTACAGTGAGTGTTTCTTCAGGTAAGCGATAACTTGAGGATTTAATTGCACAGCTTCAAGCTTGGAAAGCCGTGTAATCTTGGCGTTGTGATCAATAACATTACTCTCCTGGAGTTTGTCCAGAATCTGGAATAAAAAATTTATTTTCATGCATTGGCATAAAATTTCGATTTTTTAGTGGCAGGTCTAACATAAATTGAGCTGCCGGAGAAAACTATGCAAAAGCAAGAGTCCCAAAGTAATCTTAAAAGCTGAAGCATGCTATACTCTTGCTATGGGAAAAATTTCAGGTGACTTGGACCGGGTTACCCAATAGAAAAAGCAATATTACACTTGACATTGACCTAAACTTCATCTCGAGCGAAGCAGGTTTTCTGGCCATTGTAAACCTCCTAAATTTATAAAGAAAATAAAGAAAAATCACCTCACAAAATTCTCGGATAACATTCGGAGGGATTGAGGCTCCCGGATCGACTCCTTCTTCATCTTCTACTCCGTTTTCATGGCTTTCGGTATCTGACTCTTCCTCCTCGTAAGTAATCTTTCGTTTTCCCATCGTAAGAATAAAATGCGCTGCGTTACTAACTAAGTTTGTGAGATAAAGTTATACTCGATATATATCGATATATCTGCAGCGAGAAAAAAGACGCCGAATTTCCGTGGCTTTCCGTTTTATCGGTCGATTTGACGAAGTGTCACAGAAATTATTGGATTTTTTGTTTTACCTTGGGCAGTTGGGAAGATGGAAAGAACGTGTTTTCGGTTAACGATTGTTAGAAAGATATTTTGATGCATTCTTTGGAGTAAAAATCAATTTATAGGTTATATTGCACTTGGTCAAGTATAATGTGTATAAGTGGTCAATACGTTGAAACTACTGTAACAGCTACCGCTGAAGATAGCTGACAGGCAAATTGAGGGCTCATAGTAACTATGTAAAGTACATTCATTGCTCGTTTCAATCTGCATTAAGTTTCCTGAACTTTTTTTTAGATGTCATGGTGAAGATAGATTTAAGCCTGTATTACGTAACACAGCAAACAAATCAGCATATGGTCACCAAAATTCGATGATCAAATTAATTCTCTCTCAGAATGCAAAGATTCAACTCGTTACTTCCTTTGCTTTTCTAGTTTCAGCCATTTTTTCACCGTTCCCCCATTCATCGGGTCAAGTGTAAAGTTGACGTTGCCGCACACTTGCGACTCAACCAGTCAGATTGTTCTCCGCTCTCGGGGAATCACGGTCGAGTTGACGATAACTCCGAGGTGCATTAATTACGTCTGACATGTTAACGACGTTGAATTTTCGCAAATCTGGTCCGCTCCCCCTTATCAGCCCCAAAAGTTGTTGAGAAACCCGGGTCCGGAGTGAAATGTGGGGGGCTTAGTGAGAGGGGTCTTATCAGGTTTTCACACGGTTTAAATGTGGGCTAACCTGGGGGGAGCATGTTGATCTTGAGGATGGTAAATTTTGGGCATATTACCATATGATGATTTTAATTTTTTATAAGATTTCTTTGATTGTAAAGCCTTGAAAACTTATCCCATTGCTTTTTATCCTCACTAACGAGTTCTAAAAGTGGTCAGTTCACTTTTCGAACCAAATTTTCCTTATCAAACGGGCGATTTTGGTCTGCGAAAAGTCCGAAGGAACTGTAAACTATAGTCCTCAAACACATAAAAAAGTTTCGTCGATATACCAAATGTGTGCTATAGAGAACCCTTGCACTATGTTTTTCTCAAATTTCCAATTTTTTCGCTACAAACTAATTGGCTTTACATTACTTTTGCACCATGAATAACATGTTTTTACTGCGCTTTTACATTGCTCATTGTTTACACCGCGGTTTAGTATAAAATGCAAGGAAATTAAGATGCTTTTTGAGTGCATTTTGCGTTGTGGAAGTGTCTCTACAACGACTAAAAATATAAAAAAAAAAAGAAAAAAAATTTCGTTGAAATTTTTGAAATTCTGAATGGAAAACTCTCAGATTTTCTTGCAATCTTGCATACCGATGACAAATAGCTCTTATTTTAACTTCTGAAAATTTGAGCCATCGCTTTGCAGGGAGAGCCGAGATATTCAAGGATCTTTCGAGAGAACATGCAAAATGCGGAGAGTCGTCAGAGAAAATCGCCTTTTATGGCTATATCTGCGGATTTTGCGTGGAAAAAAGGGATTTTTCGTGGGAATATCGCAAAACACATGACAAATCGAATATATTTCTTTAAAACACGATTTCTGACTCATTGAATCAGCCGTGTGCAAGGCCGGGACATAGAAAAAAATCGATTTTGGGTTTTTTGTTTTAAAATGACTGCAGGCATCCAGTTAACATATGGCTGAAATATTTTTGTCTAATTCTCGCATTAACCTACTGTAATTTACAATTTACTGTTTTTAGAGTAATCGACTATAACAACAAAACGACAAGTCAGAAATGGCTGAAATTGACAATACTTATGTTTTAGGCTATGCCCGTCATAAAAAACGCTGAATTGGGGCCGTCGGGTTACTGTAACATACCGCAATGTGGGTTCGGCCGAACAAAATCGGCCATAAAAAAGTTATTTCCCAAATGCCGCAGCTGATTTTTACATATGTTAATCAGCGTAAAATTCTGCACTAGAAACATTAAAAAAAAGTGTAAAAAGTCATCACCCCTTTTTCGTGGTGTAGTGGATTTTGGTCAAATTTAGTAATCCAAAGGTCGCGGGTTCGATCCCCGTGGAAGGAAAATGCGTAAAACTGTACAAAACCTCAAAAAATTGGATGAGGTGGATTGATTATGTATATCGGAAGTATGACAAATTGTATCAAAGTTGATTTCCGAACTTGAAAGCATTTCTTTGATGATGAAACTTGGATTTTGGTTTCCGTGGATTATGGTGAAAATTTAGTCTAGGAAATGGCCACAGTTTTTTATTATTAGGTTTTTTAGCCTTCTCAATTCAATGGAGTAGAGTTTTTGGCCATAGGATTACTGTAACATAGACAAAACGGATTTCGGCCGCTTAAAATCGGCCGTAAAACGGTTGTTTCTAAACATACGCGGCTAATTCTTCAATTTTTGGAATCAGCGTGAAATTCTGCTCTAGACTCATTAAATATAATATCCTAACTGGTCGCACAAATTCCAAGGATTTTTTTCGAGCAGATTAGAAATTTTTCAGTAAAAAAAGTCATCCGTGGAAATCGAAAAAAAAAAAATCTGAGATTTTGGTCTAGAAATGTTTGTATACGTTGATGAAAATTAGCCTCAAAATATTTTGGGCTGATTCTTTCGCTAACATAGTTTTATTTACAATTTCCAAGTTTTAAAGTAAGTCACCACTGAAAACAAAGTATTCAACCAATAAGCCATTGTTTAGGTGCAAATTGTGTGAAATTTCACGCTGATTCCAAAAATTGAAGAATTAGCTGCGTATGTTTAGAAACAACCGTTTTACGGCCGATTTTAAGCGGCCGAAATCCGTTTTGTCTATGTTACAGTAATCCTATGGCCAAAAACTCTACTCCATTGAATTGAGTAGGCTAAAAAACCTAATAATAAACAACTGTAGCCATTTCCTAGACTAAATTTGCACCGTAATCCACGGAAACCAAATTCCAAGTTTCATCATCAAAAAAATGCTTTCAAGTTCAGAAATCAACTTTGATACAATTTTTCGTACTTTTGATATACATAATGAATCCACCTCAACCAATTTTTTGAGGTTTTGTACAGTTTTACGCATTTTCCTTCCACGGGGATCGAACCCGCGACCTTTGGATTACTAAATTTGACTAAAATCCACTACACCACGAAAAAGGGGTGATGACTTTTTACACTTTTTTTTAATGTTTCTAGTGCAGAATTTTACGCTGATTAACATATGTAAAAATCAGCTGCGGCATTTGGGAAATAACTTTTTTATGGCCGATTTTGTTCGGCCGAACCCACATTGCGGTATGTTACAGTAACCCGACCGCCGAAATTCTGGTTTCACAATGACGAGCATGCCCGAAAACATCATTATTCTCAATTTCAGCCATTTTTAGTGAGTAGTTATGTTGTAATAGTCGATTACTGTAAAAACATTAAATTGTAAATTACAGTAGGTTAATGAGAGAATTAAGCAAAAATATTTCAGGAATATGTTTACTGGATGCCTGCGGTCATTTTAAAATCAAAAACTCAAAATCGATTTTTTTCTATGTCCACGGCTGATTCAGTGACTCAGAAATCGTGTTTTAATTATTTATTACGCGCAAAAAATTCAAATTCCCGCCAAAAAATAAAAAAAATTTTTCTGCAAAACGCGAAGTAAAAATATCGCCAATGTCTGGAAAAAGATTTTAAATACCTTTCAAGAGCTTTAAAAATCTGTTTTTCACATGTCTTAACGTCGTAAATTCATGTCGTTTTCAAAATTCACAAATTTGAAATTTCCAAAAAAATTTTTTTTCTTTTTTAGTCACATGTCAGAGAACGAAGAAGCCGACGAGATCAAGCCCACAGGGCGGCAGAAACATGATTCGGTCAGTCTGCCCAGCCCATCCACACATCCACCGCCAAGCGCCGCCTCTAGTCCGCTGACTCCGGCCTACTCTTACATGCACCTCGATCCGGAGAAAATCATCAAAAATTACGGGAAATATGGAACATATCAGGCAGGAAATTAAAGTTTTTTTTGTGATTCGACAATTCTCTTCATGTTTTTAGATATTTTTCGAAAAAAATCAAAAAAAAGTTTTTTTTTCATTTTCAAAAATTTTTTTATATTTGCTCTCAAATCTTGCCTATAGAATCTATATAGACCACACATCAATTCCTGAAAATTTGAGCTAACAATTTACATCCGCAGCTGAGATATTCAACGGTCTTTTCTAACGAGAGAGTACGCAAACTGCGGAGAGTGGTCAGAGAAAAAACTTTGGCTGTTTCTCTGTGAATTTTGTGGGGAAAAGGATTCATTTTTTGTGAAAATTTTTCAGTCTTAATTTTAAGGAATTGTCCAGTATCCAAATTCTCAAAAAAAAAAAAAAAAAAAAAAAAATTCCAATATCAAATTTTTTTCCAGATGATAATTTACGCCATGTCCAACATCGGATCGATGATTTACTCCATGGAGACGATGATAATGTCCCTAATTGCGGCGCAAATCAATTTCACATGCATTTCCGACAACCCCAATTATGTTGTACATGACCAATGTAATGTGCGAAATCTCCAAAATAATCGACTTGAAAAATGCGGAGAGGTGGCGGGAACGAAGTTCGACTACCTTGGCTTCAATCGCTCCACGCTGATTACGGAATTCGACTTGGTCTGCGACAAGAGTTATTGGAGTCAACATGGGACCTCGATCTTCATGATCGGCGGCCTCATCATGACGCCGGTTGTGTCGCAACTGGCCGACCGCTATGGCCGAAGGTTTTGTTTTTTGATTCCGTTGTGGCTCACGGTCCTCTCGAATATTGCGTGCTCCATGTCGCCGAATTATTACGTGTTTTTGTTGTTCCGATTCATTGCTGGGTTGGGAACTGCGGTAAGATTTTTTTATTTTTTTGACTGTGATAGGTGTAAAATGTCACCTTTTTTACAAGAAAAGTAGTTATTTAAGGCATGGAGTTACAGGCCGGCCCACATATCAAAAAAAAATCGCAAAATTTTTTCTGGTTCAGAATATGTAAAAATTAGCTGCCCAATTTTGGTTTGTAAGGTCGATAAACCCCTCAGAACTTTGCTCGCAACACCACGGGTTTGAACCTTTTTGGAACGAATCGGACACCGATTTTTTCGATATCCAAAAATTTAAAAAATAACTGCTTTTTCGTCGACTTGTACGTCAAAGACGCATTTTTTTACCTTAACTTTGTCAAATTTTTCTGATTTTGAAAATCCAAAGTTGGTCATTTTTCAGCGTTGATTGTAAATTCAGTTCTTCATAGAAGTTGTTAATCTTTATACAGAACTTTGTCGACCACTAAAAAAATCGAAAAAAATCGGTGTCCAATTCATTCCAAAAAAGTACAGAACGCTGTGCCACGCTTGTTTGACCAAGTTTTTACCAATTCAAAAGCTTTGTTAGGAGCTACTGGACAAGCCTTACAATACATAAATTTGATTTACTACACCTTAATCAGTAGTTGTAATGTTAAAAAGGGGATTTGCGTGGTGTTGCGAGGGGTTTTTTCGCCCTTACATACCATAATTGGGCAGCTGATTTTTACATATTCTGAATCAGAAATACTTTGCGATTTTTTGATGTTTGTTTCGACCTGCAACTCCATGCGTAATAGAAGTATTTTCCTAATAAAAAAGGTGACATTTTACTAGATTTGAAGCTCCAATCTTTTTAAGTCATCGTCAATTTTCCCTATTATGTATACTAATTTTACCACCCAAAACAACTGCTATTTTTCTTCAGGGAATTGGCACAGTTTCCTATGTGATCCAAATTGAAAGTGTGACCGCTTCGTTTCGCTCGATGACCCCATTGATTGGGACGTTTGTTTGGGTCAGTGGGTACATGGCGGTTGGGGTTCTGTACATAATTTTCGACGATTGGAGAAAGCTTTACTTGGCAATGGCGCTTCCGGGATTGGCCACTTTTTCGTTCTATTGGTGAGTAAATTGTGGTTTTATTTACATCGTATTATGTCAGTTTGTCGGGAAAATAATGAGCACAATTTTCGACTTGACAAAAGTATTTTTGTTTCAGGTTAATGCCGGAGTCGATTCACTGGTCGATAACGAATAACCGGACGAAAAATGTTCAAAAGTAAGTTTTAGGTTCTTTTTTTTCTTTTTTAAAATACGTTGTGTTTTTTGTTCACTATTATATATGTCATATAAAACTGAATTTCAGATATATCAAGTCCTCAAGCCGGATAAATCGCCGAGAAATCCGGCTGACCGAATGCCGGATGAACGACCGAACCGAGAGTACGACGGAAAGGGCCTCTTCCAGATCGGTGTTGGATATCTTCAAGAATAAAGCCTTGTTATTGCAGCTCATTCTCCACTGCTTCATCATGTAAGTTTGTGAAATTTTTTTGGGATAAAGCGAAGACCGGGATTGGCTTTTAATTTCAGAATTGAGGCCGAAAAGTCCCCCATTCGAAGAGTCCCCCATTCGAAGAGTCCCCCATTCGAAGAGTCCCTCTTTTCAAAAATGACTTTTTAAAAGAAATAGAAGTTTTCAAATAAGAGGACATGTTATACGATCAAAATTTTCTTAAAATTTTTAAGTTTTATACGGTCAAGTTTTTTCATCGTATAACTTGTCACTTTCAATTAAAAAAGAATTAGTAGACTTTCCATCGTATAGCATGTCAGTTTTAGGTCGAACGTTGGAAAAAATCGGATATTTTAAAAATTCACTCAATTTTTTAAAATGAGGGTGACATGTTATACGATGAAAAATTTTCTTTAAATTTTTAAGGATGGGTCATGTTATACGGCCAATCTTTTTCATCGTATAACTCGTTTCTTCCATTTTTTAAATAAAAAAAAAGAAATTAGTAAAATTTACATCGTAAATTGTGTCAATTTTATATCAAAGGTTGGCCAAAATTGGATACTTTTTTGCGAATTTTGGCATGGAAAGTTTTGTGTCTATTTCTACCGTAGAGGGTGATGTTTCCACAAAAAATCAATTTTTACCGCGCAAAACTAGCAAAGATATGGCCAAAAAACGGTTTTCTCTCTGTCCTCTCCACATTTTACGTGCTCTCTCGGTGACAAAGACCGTTGAATATCTCGGCTGTCGCTTGAAAGTATGAGCTAAAATTTTCAGAATTTAGAAACTGCCCTAGACAGAAGATATCTGCAAAATTTGAAAGAAATCTGCCAGTTGTAGCTTGAGATATAACCCATCATGTTGTTGAGGGGGAAAAGTAAAAATTTGATTTCAGGATGACCATGAATGGGACTTATTGGGCGCTCAGTTTGTTCAGTGTGGACCTGCATGAGGACGAGTTGGTCGGGTATTTCCTCTCCGGTCTGGTCGAACTGCCTGCGGGCTTCATTTCCATCGCACTGTTGAGCTATTTCGGTCGACGCACAGTGACTTTCTTCTCATTTATTTGCACTTCCTTCTGCATGTTCATGGCGGTAATGCTGCCTGGTAAGCGAATTTACTTTGAGAAATCATTTTGTAATGGTAAAATCGCAAAAATTTTCGATTTTGAAAAGTTTTCGGAAATTTTAAAAAGTTGCAGAATTTTTGCATTTTTTTTTATTTTTTCATTTTTTTCAGGTAAAAACTATATCAGCATGTCGTTCCCATTGCTCGCCAAACTCTTTAACAGCATTTCCTGGGCGTCGGAGCCGCTTCTAATCGGGGAAATGAGCCCCACTTCAGTGCGCAACGTGTTTTACGGCCTCATCGCATTTGTTGGGGAAATTGCGTCGGTTTTTGCCCCATATCTCAATCATTTGGTATGTGAAGAGTTTTTTTTACGTTGAAAACGAATTTTTTGTGAAAAAATTATTTTTTGCACGGTGCAGTCAAAAAAATTTTTTTGCACAGTGCAGTCAAGAAAATTTTTTTTGCACTGTGCAGTTAGGAAATTTTTTTGCACAGTGCAGTCAAAAAATAGTTTTGCACGGTGCGGTCAAAAAAAGTTTTTTTTGCACAGTGCAGTCAAAAAAAATTTTTGCACGGTGCATTTGAAATTTTTTTTTGCACTGTGCAGTCAAAAAAAATTTTTTTGCACGGTGCAGTCAAAAATTATTTTTTGCACAGTGCAGGCAAAAACAATCTTTTTGCACTGTGCAGTCAAAAAAATAGTTTTGCACGGTGCGGTCAAAAAAAATTTTTTTTGCACGGTGCAGTCAAAAAAAAAATTTTTTTTTGCACTGTGCAGTCCCAAAAAAAATTTTTGCACGGTGCATTTGGAATTTTTTTTGCGTAGTGCAGTCAAAAAATAGTTTTGCACGGTGCGGTCAAAAAAAGTTTTTTTTGCACAGTGCAGTCAAAAAATTTTTTGCACAGTGCATTTGAAATTTTTTTTTGCACGGTGCAGTCAAAAAAAATTTTTTTGCACGGTGCAGTCAAAAATTATTTTTTGCACAGTGCAGGCAAAAACAATCTTTTTGCACTGTGCAGTCAAAAAAATAGTTTTGCACGGTGCGGTCAAAAAAAATTTTTTTTGCACGGTGCAGTCAAAAAAAAAATTTTTTTTTGCACTGTGCAGTCCCAAAAAAAATTTTTGCACGGTGCATTTGGAATTTTTTTGCGTAGTGCAGTCAAAAAATAGTTTTGCACGGTGCGGTCAAAAAAAGTTTTTTTTGCACAGTGCAGTCAAAAAAAATTTTTGCACGGTGCATTTGAAATTTTTTTTTGCACTGTGCAGTCAAAAAAAATTTTTTTGCACGGTGCAGTCAAAAATTATTTTTTGCACAGTGCAGGCAAAAACAATCTTTTTGCACTGTGCAGTCAAAAAAAATTTTTTTTGCACGGTGCATTTGAAATTTTTTTGGCACAGTGCAGTAAAAAAAAATTTTTCGCACTGTATCAGTATGTCGGGAAAATAATGTGGACTTGTCGCAGCAATATGTCTCGCCGAAGTAGCACACCAAATTTCCAGCCGTCGCAAAGACGATAATCGGCGATTCGAACGCTTGTCTAATTGTTGGCGACTTCACTGAAACCGCCAATCATTTTCCACGAATTTGCATAGAATCAAAGGACAAAGTCTTCATAGGATCAATTTCCCTATTCTAAACAGTCGGTTTTTTCCCGCTCCCATTGAGCGGTTGCATCATCATTCTTTTCCCCGTCTGTGTGCGAATAAAACCTCTCTTCCGTTGACCGGTCTACTATCAAATCCTTGCCGTCCTCCGCTCGACTGCCAAATCTTCCCTCCATCGTTCCTTTCGTTATATGGGGTGCTGCCTGACGTAACCAGGACCTCGAAGTACGGTAAGACAAGCGATTTTTCCCTTTTTTTTTGCGTCACCTTTTGGCCAGGGTGTTCGCCCCTTTGTCTTTAGAATCCCAGTCCCACTAGAGGCCCCGCTTGCGGCTATCCGTAGAACAAGCGGTTATCGTGACTTTAATCTTGCCCTTCCCCTTACCCATTTCCATTTTTCCCCGAAGTTAATCGTTTTTCGTAGTGAATCCATACCCATACCCTCTAGTATTCCACCTAGACTTCCCTCGATTCACTGTCCCATTTAACTTCCTCTTCTCTCGTATATATCCCTCGTCATACATATTCCCTGTAAAAAAAAAACATAAAAAAAACCTTTTGTATCATAGCTTCTCTTAATTCCCTTTTTTTAATTCCTTGCCGTATCCCATAATCATCCTCCCCGCACTACAGTAAAGCATAATGACCGATCCACAGGAACCCGAAGAGGTTTCCTCGCCTAAAACCCAAGAATCAATCACATTAGTCCCTTCCCAAATCTTGGCTTCCCCGCTCTTTTCTCAAGACACTTGGCATACTCATATTGAATATCTGAGCCAATATGGCGATGAGCTAGTCAATGATACTCAAGATCGCGAAACCTTTAAAAGTGTTGGAAAGAACAAAACTCTAGAAGAGATTATCGTTCTTTGCCATAATATCCACATGCTCTATGAGAGTGATTTGTTACACATCCTCCAAGACCTCGAGCGCCCACTAGACCAACTCAATGATTACAGTATCGCCCCTACCGTTACCCTTGACCGTTTGAGATCGACCTTGACTGAGTTACGTAGCTTAGAGAATAAGTCCAGAGATTTAGTTTTGAACTTGACTAACTTTTGTCATGCGGAAAACGTGGCTGGCAGTTTGGTAACCGACTTTCTCGCATCAATTGAACGCAATGTGCTCTCGGCTATAATAAAATATTGGATGAAAAGTTGTCGAGAAATCATTGGCAATCTTGAAGAGACTATTGCGTCTACGTCCTTGACCATTCCAAATCCTATCCCCCGAGGTCCCATTTCCTTGAATCCTACGCAAATCTGTCCTCCCCCCATTAATCCCCCGATACCCTCTCCACCTGTAGTTCCTCAACTTCCTCAAGTCAATACCTCCTCGACCAAACCCTTAGCCTTTGAACTTTCAAAAGCGAAAATTCCTCGATTCAGTGGTAGCAAGGAAGAATTCCCCATGTTTTTTGCCCTCTTGAATGAAGTCATCAATTATAATAAGGAATACCCAGAAACAGCGCTTATCGCTTTCGTTGTTTCGAATCTCAGTGGTGAGCCGTTGAATAGTATCCAGTCAGTTCCCGTCCGACAAGGTAGTCTAGCTATCATCTTGAAATCACTGGAGGATCGTTACGGTGATTCAGATGAGCAAATTCATAGATTGATGAAAATTTTGAAAGATAAAAGACTGTCCGTCCCCCGAGATCACAAAGAACTCACGGCTTGGTACTACCAACTCCGTGATCTCAGTGCATGTATCTTGAAATCTGCATCTGAGGCCCAAGAAAGTTTGTTCCTGTCTTGTCTCTTTGATTCCCTCCCGTACAAAATCCATGAAGCTATCGTTGCGACCTTTGATCGATCCTCCTTGTCCCCAACAGTGGAGAACGTGATTAATGAGTTAGGAGTGATTGTTAGAACCCGCGACAAATTACAGTTCCGAGCTGAAGACGCATCCGATCGTCGAGAAGCCCGCAATTTCTTCAAGTCTTCGAACTTTGATTTCCGTCCCTTCCCCCCTTCACAGAATGCCCCGTCCCGGGATTCGTGTGTATTTTGTTCCCGAAACCATCGTTCTGAGGACTGTCGTACTGTGTCCGAAGTTTCCCAGCGGCAGCGAGTTATTAGGCAGAAAGGGTTGTGTCTTCGTTGCCTTAGGTCTAATCACTCGGAAGCGGCATGCCGATCCCCCAGATGTTCGTGTTGTCAAAAGAATCATCATGTATCGGTGTGTTATCAGAAATTCCCCTCACAGAATCAGTCTATGTCCACTACCAATAATTCCACGAGTAATCGTTTCTCCCCAAACTCCTCATCCTTCCCTAATCGATCCAACCAGAGATCCTCTTTCCCTAATAATAGTACTAATAGTGCTCGGAATCCGGCGCAGACTCATTTTCCTCCAATACCGGTACCACCCGCTCAGAATTCCCCAACTCCCGATATACAGATTAGAGGCGTTATCCTTGACCAGTACGAGAATTTGATGTCTCCTAAGATTCTTCTCGACAATCACCTTGATCCAGTTAGAGCCTTTATCGATACTGGTTCCGATGCGACCTTTGTAGAATACTCTCTTTGCTCCAGAATGGGTCTTTCCCTTGGTCCTGTCATTCCCCGAACCGTAGTTCCCGTAGGCGGAGTCAAAACGGTGATTGAAACTCGTGAGGTAACTGTACCCCTAAAGTCCAAGAATGGGCCAATTGTAAGCTTCAGAGCTCTTGCGGTTCCCGACTTACACCAGTTCTTTACTGGTACTCCTTCCCCTCCCGATAAGTCCCCTATCCTCTTCGTTTTCGGTCAGGACTCTTTCTCTGAACTTGAAATTGAAAAAACAGACCAAATTTCCCCCGAAGGCTTTCGAATCATGTCCTCCCGTTTTGGCGAATTTGCAGTATCGCAAAATTTTCTAAAGACTCCAGAAATTTCCCCCTTATTCCTTCATTCGGATTCCCAGCCAAGAACCTTGTTCAATCCCGCGAATCCTGATACTCGTTCTTTTCCTCAATCTCGGTCTGACAATCCCACTTTCCCCAATCCAAACCTGACTCCTGCTTATTGTGCCTTCTGTTCGGATCCTCATGATTCTGCTACCTGTCAGATCGTCCAAGATTTCGATTCTCGTCAGCGGATTGTTCGTGAGAATAGGCTCTGCCCTCTTTGTCTCCAACGTGGTCATATCGTTGCTATGTGCTCTCATTCTTGTTCGAATTGTAACGGTCGACATCATGTTTCTCTCTGTGGTAAATTGTTTCCCCCGAGCGAGTCCGGAACTCCTGTGAGCCCTACTCCAAAACCCGTGATCCCTATTCCAAATCCAGCACTTTCCCTTCTTCCAAAGTCAAACCCAGTTCAATCCTCTATCCCCGAGGTTCCAATGAGAAGCTTTCGTTTGAATGGACCCAAAGAAATTCCGCAATTGCCTTCCCCTATCGTTTCACACCCAATCGTCTCGTCTTCTATTGCATTGCACCCTATCGTATCGCAACCTATCGTATCAGGTTCGGAAAACTCAGTGATTTCTTTGGCTAAATCTTCCTCTACTCCCCAAGACTCTTCTCTGAATTTTGGAAATCCATCTGATCTCGTTATGGTTCCCCATGTTCGTCATCGTAAATGGCATCGTAAGAAAATTGTGGATCGAGGGCAGGTATTGCCGCTGGTCAATATTGGTTTCACAAATCTTCCTCAACCCCATTCCCCCTATGACATTTCATCCGAAACTCTCTCCTCTTCCCCATCTCGCTCTGGATGTAATTTTCTGTTGAATCAACTACCGATGGAACAACGCACCCAATGCAAATTCAAATTGATAGACCTGGAACTTTCACATGGACAGCCATTCGAAGATGAACACCCGGACGCACTCATGCCCTGCACTTGCCCTGATGTACCCAATCCAAACCCTCCAGCCACAGAAGAACCCAAAGGATGTCAACCCATGGTCAAGGAAAGAAGAGGAAAGTGGGCATGTTGGCGACTTCACTGAAACCGCCAATCATTTTCCACGAATTTGCATAGAATCAAAGGACAAAGTCTTCATAGGATCAATTTCCCTATTCTAAACAGTCGGTTTTTTCCCGCTCCCATTGAGCGGTTGCATCATCATTCTTTTCCCCGTCTGTGTGCGAATAAAACCTCTCTTCCGTTGACCGGTCTACTATCAAATCCTTGCCGTCCTCCGCTCGACTGCCAAATCTTCCCTCCATCGTTCCTTTCGTTATACTAATCCACATTATTTTCCCGACAGAATGATAAATATTTTATTTTCTTTTAATCATCAATTTTCAGAAACAACTCCACGAACTTGCCCCGGCCACCTTGATGACGATAGTTGCGTTGGCTGCAGGTCTTTTTGTCCTCACTTCCCCCGAAACCAAAGATAAATCGCTGCCCGAGGACTTGGACGACTTCGACGAAGGCCCATTGTATCGATGGGTTACCGGAAAACGAACAAAAGAAGAGCCCAAACTCGAAACAGAACCAAAAGATACTCCGTTGATTTGATGATTTTTTGTTGTTTTTATTCACATACTATTTGTTGAGACAGAATTTAAATTTAAATAATTTTATGGGAAAACCTTCTTTATTAACAAATAAGAAGTCAGAGTACGATGTCTCCATTTGTAGTTGCAATATTTACTATAATAGGAATTGCGTCGGAAGACTTCAAAAAAATCCCTGAAGATTTGAACCTCGCAACTACAATGAGCAAAAACCTGAAGCTGTGCTTACAATTATAGGTCCACCTTCGCGCCTACAAAAGGGAGTTTTTTTTTCAGAAGAGGAGCTCAGATATCTTTAAAATTTGCACGAAGGCTTTGAATCAGCTAAACAGCAACAAATTTGGGGTTAACGTAGTACAAAGCCCCAGTCCAGTTCAGACCCCCATGATCCGGTACACACTCCTCATCCAATCTGAACCCCCAAAATTTGTTCTCAAAGTTGTAGTATCCAGCAACAGCGCTCCAGGAAGGTGGTCAATACTAATCGTGGTCAATCGAAATGTGCGTTTTAGATCAAATCCCCAGTTACCGTCCAAATTCTGAAATTGCCACGTTGGAAGCCATCAATGACCTAGCAGGTCAATCCAAAATAGAAGAAAAAATTTCCCGCCCCTTTTTGGTGATTCGTTCAAAACGAAATGTCACTATCCGATAAAACGCATTTTCTTATCTTTATCCTTCCTTTTCGAGAAAAATCAATTATTTCCGGCGAGAAAAAGTGCCGATAATTTCGCGACATTTCGTCTCTTTTTTAAAGCAATGAAAACGGTGCGAAGTTTCGAAACGGTTCAGAAAATGCGCTGGATTGACGTGCCCCGTCATTTCTGACGGTGTCATTGCTGCTCTTCACAAGGGGTCGGCAAATAGTTGCACCCTGCTTTCTTAACGAAACCTATATCATTTAAAAGAGCATTAAAAATAGTGCACAGCGCAAAAAAAATTAGCTGCCCAATATATGTTTGGGCAAAGTTATGGCCTAAATACAGATTTTAGCCTAATTTCCGCGTCACTTTATAAGCTCTTGGAACGGCAACAAAGTTGTGTCCAGTTGGCCGAGTGGTAGTGACCTCACTTCCGGCGAAACAGGTCCTGGTTTCGAAGCCGTGCGCTGCAAACTTTTTTGCATTTCGTCTCTTATATGCCACAAAACCATGGTATGTTGATATTTTTAAATAATTTTTGTTCCTTCGCAGTCAAAATACATTTGTACGGGATTTTTTCGAGTTTTTGGTTTTTTTTGCTACCACCACAAATTTGATGGTGATGAGAGTGGGGTTTCCTATCGTATAATTACAAGGGTGTCATGCCTTTACCCTGACCGATTATGATTACTGGACGATAATTCAATTTACAAGGGCCTATAAATATAATTTTTTCGAAAAAAATACGAAGAGAAAATTACAAAAGCGGCCAAAACACTATTGCTGACACAGTGGCCTAACCATCGGTAAGGCTAGGACATAAGAAATTTTTGATTTTGAGATTTTTGTTTGTAAATGGCCACGACGATCATACAAATGTATTCTCAAAGTTTTTTGCTCCAGTTTTCCCATTAACCTAGTTTTATTTACAATTTTTTGTAAATGGCAGTAATGCGACATTATAATGTCTAATAACTCATAACCAAGGATTGATAAAGCGATGAAACGACCGTGATAGACGTTTCGGGATACTAGTAAGAAAATGGAGACAATTTCAAGCCGCCAGGATTACTGTAATATAAGAAACCGGCGTTTTGGCCGCATATAACCCTTATCATAAAACGGCCATAACTTTGCCCAAACATATATTGGGCAGCTAATTTTTCCTGTGTTGTACACTATTTTTAATGCTCTTTCAAACGGTATATGTTTCGTTAAGAAAGCAGGGTGCAACTATTTGCCGATCCCTTGTCAGGGTTTTTTAGCTTGTTCTTTCCAGCTACAGCCGAAATATCAGTCTGCCGGGAAAATAGTGTGGGTTTGTGGTGCCTTGTAATCGCCCACCGCTTTTCTCGCCACGCCTGGAGATTTGGGCCACACTGCAACGAGACTATAGATTTTCTGCGTCAAATCTACATTATTTTCCCGACAAATTGATATTCAACCAACTGTAATTGGCTAGAAGACGGCAGTTGGGAAACAGGGACCTTGAAGAAAAAACTGTATGGTAAGGGGGCCCAAGATTTTTTAAGAATTTAAAATACGAAGGGACATGAAGCTACCTTTTTTAATGAAAAATTCTTTGCTTAAAAAATGAATACTGAAGATAAATTTTAACGTCGTTTTCTTCTGGAAACTAAGTTTTATTCATAATCAGCCTTGATCGCCCCTTTCCATCATCAGCTATGCGATATGCAAATTTCACACTTATATCCCAAAAATTGAATTCAGAGCTACCTGGTAGACCGCAGTACATACTAATATATAAAATTTTTTATGCTTTTTTGAGTAAAACGTCAGTTTTTGAGCCGATCTCTAACATAATAAGATAAAACTGGCACGAGTTGATAGCCAGATGCCTGAATTGTCATGTATTCTCACTGTCTACAATTTTCTGTCCGTGGATACCTTTCCTTTACTAAAAATGGAGCAAAGATTGTGGGCCAAATTCTTCCTCCTCTTCTTCTTCAAGGCTAATCTTTTAAATTCAATTTCACAATTGGCTACAATACATCAAAACCTCCAACTAAATTTATTCCTATTGTAATCCCACCCAATAGCTACCTCTTTCTAAGGCTTGTCTTAAAGTCAGTCTTAGTATATACATATTTATTAACTGATATTTCCTCGATATACCACTGCTACTTCTATACAATGCCCAATTACATCTTGCCAAGCCGTTTTCTTGCCGTTTTTCCGCGCTCCGTTGAGCCGGGAGTTGACAGGGAGCCTGCCAGCGAACTGATGGTCACCATTGTCAATAAAATCCTCGAATTCTTTATGGTCTGTGAGTTTGTTCTTGTTCCACTTCTCGTCTTCTTGATTCTCCGGTATTCCAAGTCGCTAAGCCGCTACAAGTACTACCTCCTCAACAACGTTGTGTGGAGCTTCGCGTTCGGCGTGTTCGTCTTCGTCATCAAGCCGGTCTTTCATTATCCAGCGCCCTGTGTTCACTCTGAACTGGAATATAGTCCAAAGCCCGGAGTGGCGTATGACGTGCTCGCCTTCCTCTTCATGTACTGCTTGGCAAATGCAGTGCTCAGCATGGTGTGGACGTTGATCTTTCGGTTCGCGTGTGTAAGTTCATAACTGCAGGGGAATTGAACAGCTAAATGGTTAAAAAGCAAAGCAAATTTGAGACAGGCCGGCCCGGTATAGGCATTTTTTCCTACAGGGGAAGTACCCCAAGTGCAACGCTCTCATTTTGATGAAACTCGGCACAAATTTAGAATAATTTTTTAAAAAATATACGCGAGAATTCTAGCTCGCGCTTCACAGAAACAACAAAGATTTTTAGGTCGAAAGTCGGCCAAAATTTAAGACTTCTTGCCGAATCTCGGCACGAAAAGTTTCATCCCTATTTCTACTGTAAAGGATAAGGTTTCTACAAAAAATCAAACTTTTACGCTCTTAAACTGCCAAAGTTATGGCCAAAAAGCGCTTTTCTCTCAAAGCGCGAGCTAAAACTTTGAGGAATTGCTATGCCAGGAACGTCTGCAAAATTTAAAGAAAATCTGTCGCACTTGGTGTACCTCCCTTGTAACTTTCAATTTTTTCTGATTCTTCTGAGCCTTTTGCTAGCTAACTATCAGAATTCCTACTTATTCCAATTTCAGGTATACCACAGCCGCCCCTCCGAGTTCATCCTTCATTCCAAGTACACTTGGCTGCTCTACCTTCTTGGCCACATCCTCTTTGGCTGTATAATGTTCCAAATGGTGGTGGTCGGTCGAATTCGTGATCCTCAAGAAGCGGCATCCGAACTGGTGAGACGAGTTCCACAATTTGCCAACCGAACAAAGAACCTGTTCTTTGTCTGCTTCTACTACAGCGATGAGATGATCATTCTGTCCTACCTCAACATTGCCGCTCTAATTTTCGGGTTTTTGATTGCGGCCTCTTTGCTTGCCCTGCTTTATCATCATCTGCATCGGAATGTGTACGCGTTCCCAAAGAAGACGATTAAAATGCAGTTCATGCTGTTCAAGGCGCTCTCAATTCAGATGGCCAACTATTTTTTGTTGGAGATTCTGCCTCTGGTTTGCGCCACTTTCGCCTTCGCCATCTCCTACAGGTACGGAGAGCCACTCTTGTTGGTCGTGCTAACAGTCATGGTGCTGCATGGGATTTTGGACTACTTGTTGATGATTTATTTCATCGCGCCGTATCGACGAGCGCTGATCCGATGGCTCAAACTGGTGCCGGCCAGCGACTTTGTTCAGCACTTGACGCGCGTCGGATCCTGAGGTTGAAATAAAGTGGATTTGTATATTTACTTTTCTATAGCTCTTACCAGCCCCTGGAATCTGCAATTTTCCAGGGAGTAGGTATACTTACGTAGCAAATTCAAAATGTCTCATTTACTGCCTCAAACTGAATAAAACTCTTCTCCTACCGTGCACATTTTTTTCCAATTTTAACTGCCGAATTGTGGCTATATTTTTGACTTTACACAGCCGTTTCTTTGATCCCAAACACCACGCCGTAAACACTCCGAACATCGCAAAAAATGTTATTTTCGGTCTGTTTTTGTTATCGGAATTGACGCAAAGCCATCGCACATTCGTGATGACCAAATTCTGCGCCCTTTGAAGGTTGTTTTTGACGGTGCACGTGAAAATAAAAACCCCGATCCATCACCGCGGATGATAAGGGCGAGCACACGCAAAACGGTGAATCTTTAAAAACCGCGTCGCAAAATTGAAGGAATCAGCGCGTAAAAATGTGTTGGAAGTTGCAAAAAATGGCGACGCGACATGTGCTAATTACTTTTTCAGCAGACTGATAAAATTTCCGCATTTTTTCGGTTTAATTCTGTAAAATAACTACAACTACTTCATATGGGTAATTATCAGTTTGTCGGGAAAATAATGTGGATTTGTCGCAGCAAAATGCCTCGTCGTAGTGGCGTACAGAATTTTTGGTCACGGCTAGAAACGTGATGATAGATGGTTCGAATCCACATTATTTTTCCGACGGGCTGACGCTAGAACTGGCGTTGAAGCAAATTTCTGCAAATCACGGTGCAATAAGGAAAGTCTTTTGATTGCACTGTGCAATGCGGAAATTTTTTTGACTTTTCGAAATTTCAAAAGTGTGGTTCAGTTCAGTTTGAAAATCAGGTCAATCTATCTTAATTCACCGAACACGTCATCTGATCGTAATTTCCGGCGTTCGAAACGATTAATTTTTGGAATTCTTTCCTTCTAAAATTCCCATTTGGGATTCTATCAGTCTGTCGGGAAAATAATGTGGATTTTTCGCTGCAAAAACTCTCGCCTCGTCGCAGTCGCGCACCAAAAATCTCTGGTCGCGGCAAACCAATTCTGGCCGATCCCAAGGCGCCACAAATCTTTATTTTCCCGACAGATTGACATTTTACTGGTCAGCAGTCTGCCGGGAAAATAATGAGCACAATGCCACTGAGCCGATCGCGTCGCTGAAGTGATTAATTTTATTTTGCCGCGACACAATGCATTTTCTTGGCGACGATCGATGCGACACAGTGCTTATTATTTTCCCGACAAACTGCGAATTCGCACATCGGCTACAACATAAAGCTTGTATAAATTTTTTCATGCAAAAAATTCCACTCATTTTCTATTCCTGCTAACTTTTGGTGTTTTGGTCACCTTGATCATCAACCTTTTGTTTTGCCCATCATTTTCACAGCAGACGGCAGAGTGCAGGTAGTAAAAACAAGCCGGGGAGAAATCGAGTACATTCTGAACTGTGATGCAAAACAAAATTTTTAACGTTTTGAAAAACTGAAGCCTCTTTTAGGGGCTTTGTGCACCAAAATTGTTTTTCAATTATGAAATCAGTCTGTCGGGAAAATAATGTGGATTTTTTGCGTGGGCCAGTGGCTGGAGATTTGGTGTCCAACTGCGACGAGGCGGGTCTTTTTGCAGCGACAAATCCACATTATTTTCCCGACAGACTAACACCAATTTGTCGGGAAAATAATGAGCGCAATGTCGCTGCGCCAATCGTGTTGCTGATGTGAACACTTTGATGTCGCTTTCGATGCGACAAATCCACATTATTTTCCCGACAGACTAACATCAGGCTGTCGGGAAAATAATGAGCGCAATGTCGCTTCGCGTTGCTGAAGTGAACATTTTGATGTCGCTTTCGATGCGACAAATCCACATTATTTTCCCGACAGACTATATTCGCTATATTCACAGGCCATTAATTTTTTAAGCCTCCCAAAAAATTTCTCTGACCGTCTCTTGCAAGAATTCGGTCTCTCGTTTTCGAGAAAAATCCTCGGACTTTTATTATTTCTTTTTGTCGGACCTCCCCAACCGCTCAAAGAACCGCGGCTTTTTTTTTGCTCTTCATGGACCGTATAAAAAAGGAAAAAAGGAAATTTCCAGAGGGTTCAAACGGTTTAAAAGTCAAAATTTTTGCTTCAAAAATCCCACCTTTTCAATTAATTTTAAAATTCATCTCATCTTTCACCTTTTTTATTGACTTTTTTCAGTCTGTCGGGAAAATAATGTGGATTTTTCGCAGCAAAATTCTCGCCAACAGCCACGGCTAGCCGTCCCCAAAGCGATGATGGGCCAGACGCGACGAATCCACATTATTTTCCCGACAGACTGATACCGCCTTTTCATTGACTTTTTAAAATCAAACATCGTGTTTTGTGATGTTTCAACTCTTTTTTTCTTGTTTATTTTCTTTTCGAAAACAGTTTTTTGGCTCCATTTCCCAACACTTCACATGGAAAACAAGAAAAACATGATCTTTGTTTACCGGTCAAAGTGCGTTTTCCAACAGGTCCACATTATTTTCCCGACAAAATCAGCAATCTTGTTTTGTCGCGACATAATTCATTTTCTTTGGCGGAGATGCGATTTTTGATGTGACAAATCCACATTATTTTCCCGACAGACTGATATCAGTCTGTCGGGAAAATAATGAGCATAACGTCACTGCGAAAATCGTGTCGCTGAAGTGAAAGGCAATTTTTCTTTTTTTTCGATTTTTGATGCGACAAATCCACATTATTTTCCCGACAGACCGATAATTCGCAGATCCGAATCGCAAACAAAAATTTTCAGGAATTTAGAAACACTCACGTGTCATTCAGATCCACTGGACTTTACAATATCAGTCTGTCGGAAAAATAATGAGGTCAATGTCGTTGCGAAAATCGTGTCGCTAAAGTGAAAAGCAATCTGATTTTGTCGCGACACAATTCATTTTGATTCGATTTTCAATGCGACAAATCCACATTATTTTCCCGACGCACTGATATTTCCCTACCGTACTCATTCCCGCTGTAGCCAATTGTAATCTCCCTCGCGTAAATATTTTTTGATCACCTCTCTTTTCCTACTGTTTTTCACATTGATTACGACATCAAAACACCTCCAATCTATCTTTACTTCAACCTTTACAAGCGACTTTATAAATAACCATCGTGATTACAGCGGGAATTCCGCCAAAATCACGGCGAATCACTGCTTCTTTTCTGTTGCGTTTTGACGTGGGGTTTTTCACGTGAAAAACGAGGCGCGTAGCGGCTTAGAAATTGTTTTTGTCGTTCGCTGATCGCTTAAATCGAACTTCAAAAAGTTGTTTTGAGCTATAAACTTCGCGGAGGAGGGAAGGCTTTAATTTTTTAATTGCTTTTAAGCCCTCGGGCGAAAGTAATTTTCAGAAAAAATCTTCGGACTTTGACGCTCAGATTTTTAACAGTATTTATGGTTAAATATTCTGTCTAGGCCACACAATAATCCCTGATTTTTTTAATAAAGAAAGTTTGGTCTTTTATCGGGCTGTCGGGAAAATAATGTGGATTCGCCTGGAAATTACTCATCATCGCTTTATTAGCCGCGCCTGGAGATTTGGTGCGCTACCGTTATGAGGCGAGGAATTTTTCAGCGACAAATCCACATTATTTTCCCGACAGACTCATAAATTGGCCAAAATTTTTTATTTTTTTCGTAAAATTATAGGCCTAGAAATCTCGAAGGCTTTGTAAAAACGCGGTTTTTTATATTCTCAGATAGCAGGTCACGGTTTGATCAATACGTATTTTACAAAAACCCCGGTCTCTTCTACCATACTTCATCACGCTACGCCATTTCCATTATTTTCCATTTTTAGCTTATGTTTTACATTACACATGACCTCCTTCCAACTCATCGAAATCAAGGCTTCAAGTCACAAACACGCCCTGTAAACGTGACACGCATTCTCCGTTCATGTTCGGTTTCCGCCACCTTTAAAGGTTGCTTCTTTGTTATCGCCGCTTTACCCGTAAGCCCCGCCCCTTTCGAATTGTTTATGCAGTTTTTACTATAAAAGCGGAGCAAATTGCAAAAAAAGATGCAAGCCAGGGTGTGTAGGGTATAGTTAACCGGAATTGGTCGTATCTTGGATGTAATGTCACTTTTTTGGAGAAAAATTGGAAAAATCAAAAATCCGAGACATGCCTTGAAAAATTACTGTATAACTTTTGTTACAAGTCAGATGTAAAATTGATTAATATAGCATTTGAAAGTATATTTAATTATCTATTATCCCATATCAAAAGATTGGAGAAATTCGCGAAATTGACCAAATTATCGACCATTTCTTTAAATGGCAGCTTTTCAGAGATTCCGAAAATTCCTTTGAAATATTATCGTATAACTTTTGTTACAAGTCAGATGTAAAATTGATTAATATAGCATTTGAAAGTATATTTAATTATCTATCGTCACATATCAAAAGTTCGGAGAAATTCGCGAAATTGACCAAATTATCGACCATTTCTTTAAATGGCAGCTTTTCAGAAATTCCGAAAATTCCTGATGATGAATCTTGCGAGTGAGCGCTTCGATGAAGCCGGAAAGCCGCTGAGACGTCTAAGACTCCATCCGGAAGTCGCTGATTCATTCCTTACCCATTATTTGAATGCCGAAGTCTTGCCAAATCATCTTCCAATCTGCCGATATGCGGTAAGCCCAAGGAGAATATAAATTGAATTTTTGGGGAAAAGCCAAAGAGAGTTGGGGAAAAAGAGCTAGTTAGAGGGTTAAATGGTCTTTATGTTCTTTGGAGATCCAAAAATTATTTATGTCCTGAGGCGTTTTAGCTTAGAAAATACGATTTTCCGAAGAATTTGCTCGATTTTGGCAAAATTTTTGGTATTTTCTCATTTTTTTTTAAATTTTTTGCTATCGCCAGCAGTTCTACATTATGGATTATCCGTTTTCAGCTGACCAGTCGCTTCTGCCAACGTCTGCTCGCCCGAAAATTGGAGAAACTCCGGCTGGAGCACTTCAACTTTGACACTTTTGCCTTCCATCTGACCAAGATCTCCGCCCCGACGATCTGGATCTCCGTCAACAAAACGTTGGCCCTTCTTCGCCTCCTCAACCTCAAAAACACCGTCTACGAGACGTCGGCGGACGGCTCGTTGGCTCTTACCAAAGCCCTGATCTCGGTTCTGAAGGGCACAGTGCGCGCGCTGACGCTGAAAAACGCGTACATTTCGAACATGTGGGAGAGCACCAACAACTCGTTGCTGTTTCTGCGCGAATTCGCCGGCACAATGGAGCGATTACAGTGTGATCCGAGGTTTCTGGGATTCGAGATGGTGCCGAAATTGAGGTTGGACTTGTTCAAACCCAAGGTGTCGGATGCTGATTTGATGGAGATGGAGATGAGGGTACCTGATGAGAATCGGTCCGGATTTGAGACTGGTAAGTCTTTCAGCTTCGTTATTTTTTATAAAAATGCTTTTTGAAAAACTTTTTTAACATAGCAAGAGAAGTACCCAAAGTGCGACGTTCAGATTTTCTTTAAATTTTGCACACACGTCGCTCATGAACTAAGTATCAATTCCTGAAAGTTTTAGCTCGCGCTTTGCGGGCGCCGCCGAGTTATTGAACGATCTTTGCCGCCGAGAGAGCACGCTAAACGTGGAGAGCGGAGAGAAAAACACTTTTTTGGCCATAACTTTGGCAGTTTTGCGAGGAAAAATTTAATTTTTTGTGGAAACATTACACTTTATGATAGAAATAGGCATGAAACTTTTCGTGCCGAAATTCGGCAAAAAGTCTGAAATTTTCATCAACTTTTCACCGAAAAATCTCGGCTGTTTCTGCAAAGCGCGAGCTAGGATTCTCGCATATGTTTTAGAAAAAAATTTGCTAAATTTGTGCCAAGTTTCATCAAGATCTGAGCGTCGGACTTGGGGTACTTCCTCTGTTAATAGAACTGAATATTTTTATTCAATACATATTGCTATGTCGGGAAAATAATAAGCACTCTGTCGGAGCCAAAAAAATCTACCGAGAAAATGAATTTTGTCACGACAAAATCAAATTTCCTTTCAGTTCAGCGACGCTATCGGCGCAACGACAATATGGTCATTATTTTCCCGACAAACTGATAAAAACTCAAATTTTTTCGAAAATCAGCCTAAATTTTTTGTGATAGACGCTAGCTGACTAATCCCACCTTTCTTCAGAGATTCTCCGTTGCACTCTCCGCCACAACATCACTACGCTCGATCTGGACGCCGACTCCAAGCCCTTCTTCACGGTGGATCCCCGCAATCCGCCGATCGCGCCCAACCACGACCTCCTCAACCTCAAGTTCCATTGCGCCACCGGCCAAACCTATCGCGCCTTCGACTTTTTCCGCCGCTTCAAGTGCGTGGCGCCGAATTTGGCGCGGCTCGAGGTGGAGTTCGCGGTGAAGCGCGAGTTCTCCGCGGACATCTCGCAGAAATCGGCCGCGTTCTGGCAACAGCTCATGAGTTTCGTCGACGAATCTCGAGCATCGATGGAGGGACTCGTCATCTCGGCAACGTTGTGTTTTGTCGATGATACCGACTTCGAAGTCGGCTGGATTTCGAAGTTCAAACGGATGGTGGACCAACAAGTTGAGGTCCGAAGAAACGAGAACGTCCGGCTCGACCACTCGCTGATTTTCGCCGACCACTTTGCTCATGTTGAGCTGCGTGTTCTGGAGAACCAACAGAACGTCATGCTACCGGTTGAGGCCGAGGTTCAAACCGAAAAAGATGGATTTGTATATTAGACTAGGTTTTGTTGATATCCTTTCAAAAATTTGGCCGTATCGCAAAGATTATTGGGCCAATCTTGTTGTTCATAGTCTTGTTGTGACCGTTAGAGCATCTAGTTTTATCTACAATCTATTTTGTATACACCATTTGTATTTGTGCAATAGTATCGATCGATTTTAGAAAAATCATCAAAATTGAGCTGATATTTGGATGAAAATTGAATTTATTTGGGTGTTTTTGAATTCATATGTCTGTATATAATATTATTTATGTAAATTAAACTCTCTAATTTTGATATCTGTATGTTTTATCAAGTTTTTTATTGTTGATATTGTAAAAAATGATGATTTCTTTTTGAATTTTGAATAAAATTCCTGTGTTTGAAAGAAACATTTTCCAAAATTGGTCATGCAACAAAACCCGCAAATTGATCCCTTCAATAATTTTTTTACAACTCTTCCAAAGTTGTAGCGGCACAACGACCCTACAAAAACCGTTGATTTTCTTCCAAAATAGCTTTTTCGAAGCTTCGACAGTACCTTCTAGAGAGTTTTTTCTTTTGCGAAATTCATTGAAATTTACAACGATCATCTTTAAAGAGCGAGTAGTTTTCAATTAAAAACAAAAGTCCGTCCTTTCAGCAGCGTATCAACGAAAGTTACAAGGAATTGGCTGGAGAAGCGGCGCTCAAAACAGCGATTTTTAAAATTTTAATCGCTGTTTTGAGAGCTCGAATGTTCTCTAGCGTCGCTCGTTGAAAATATGATGATAAGGTTATGGCGAAAACATGTTTTACTCGAAGCAATGGAGAACGCATTTAACAGGGGAAGTACAACAAGTGCGACGCTCAGATTTTCATTAAATTTTGCGCACACTTCGAGCTAGAACCAATTATCAATTCCTGAAAGTTTTAGCTCGCGCTTTGCAAGCGCCGCTGAGTTATTCAACGATCTTTGCCGCTCTATGATATAGAAATAGGCATGAATTTTTTGGTGCCAAAATTCGACAAAAAGTGTCAAATTTTCACCGACTATCGACCGAAAAATCTCGGTTGTTTCTGAAAATTTTTTCAATTGAGAGAAGTCAGGAGTGACATTTCATAGGATGGAAAATTTTTTCAAATGGAGAAAAATTTGGTGTGACATTTTATACGATGGAAAAATTTTTCAAATTGAGAAAAATTTGGTGTGACATTTTATACGATTGAAATTCGCGGGCAGCAGAGAGAAGACAATTTTTAGCCGTATCTTTGGCAGTTTCGTGCGGAAAACATTGATTTTTTGTGGAAACATTACTCTCCACAGTAGAAATAGGCATGAAATTTTTTATGCAAAAGATCGCAAAAAAAATTTCACATTTTTTCCAACATTCGATCTAAAAATCTCGGTCGTTTCTGCAAAGCGCGGGCTGGGAGTGACACATACGTCTTAGAAAAAATTATTCTAAATTTGTGCCACGTTTCATCAAAATCTCACCGTCGCACTTGAGGTACTTCCCCTGTTGACATGAAAAGTTTCATGCCTATTCTTACCGTAAATTGTTGTTTTTACAAAAAAAATAAATTTTTTCCGCACAAAACTGACAAAGATATGGCCAAAAAGTGTTTTTCTCTCTGACCGCTCTCCGCGTTCAGCGTTCCCTCTCGGCGGCAATGATCGGTGAATATCTCGGCTGCAACTGCAAGGCACAAGCCATATGAATATCTTTATTTGTGGAACTGTTTACGCTTACATAATGCGCTCTCTCTGCGACAAAGATCATTAGATATCTCATATGAAAAGAGCGAGCTAAAATTCCCAAAAATTAATGTAACGCCGGTGCAAACGTATGCTTCTTATCTCTAACATGCAACTTTATTTTTCACTCCCTTGCATTTCCATCTACCGTAATCAGAACTTTACAGCCGTGACCGGATCTCTTCCAAAATAGCTGCCAATTCATTATTACAGCCCCTCACAAACACCCCCGTTCATTTCGTTGATAGGCCGGTTATCAGTGCGGTTTTTACGGAGAGGAATGGTTAAGCAACACAGCGCCTTCACGTGGGCATAAACAACCTTTAAAGACCAGTCACGAGATGTGGTTGACAGGCCAAAGTCCACCGGAAACTAGTGTATTATATGTTGATCCGTAAGGCTGGAGAGGTGAATAACTCGGCTGTGTCTGCAAATCGCGAGCAAAAATTTTCTGGGATTGATATGTGATCTATGCCCTAAATATGTGCTAAATTTAAAGAAAATCTGAGTGTCGCACTTGGGGTACTTCCTTTGTCAGTTAGAAAAAAATTCCATCGTATAAAATGTCACACCAAATTTTTCTTAATTTGAAAAAATTTTCCATCGTATAAAATGTCACACCAAATTTTTCTCAATTTGAAAAAATTTTCCATCGTATAACATGTCACTCCTAACTTTTCTCAATTTGAAAAAATTTTCCATCGTATGAAATGTCACCGCTAACTTCTCTCAGTTAGAAAAAATTTTCCATCGTATAAAATGTCACACCAAATTTTTCTCAATTTGAAAAAATTTTCCATCGTATAACATGTCACTCCTAACTTTTCTCAATTTGAAAAAATTTTCCATCGTATGAAATGTCACCGCTAACTTCTCTCAGTTAGAAAAAATTTTCCATCGTATAAAATGTCACACCTAACTTTTCTCAATTTGAAAAAATTTTCCATCGTATGAAATGTCACCGCTAACTTCTCTCAATTTGAAAAAAATTTCCATCGTATAACATGTCACTCCTAACTTTTCTCAATTTAAAAAAATTTTCCATCGTATAACATGTCACTCCTAATTTTTTCAATTTTCAAAATGGGGGAGTGTTCCAAAAAAGGGGAGAGTTCGCCTGCAAGGCTTGTGACAATCCTCTTACAAAATAAATAAAAAAATTGTGACCGAAAAAATTTATTGGAGAGAAAATATTGTTCAACAAACCCAACACCAGATATTTGCGTATACGGATGGCTGTATGACATTACGAAATCAAGATGCTTTTGAGAAATAAATATTTCGAATTGAGATTATGGGATTTTTCGAGTTGGCGACTTGGACGACGAATTCTTGCTGCTGCTTTGCTGAAATTCAAAAAATTATCTCATGCGCGTCATAAGCTTTTTAAAACAACGTAAAAAATCCATAGTCCTCTCGCTGTTACCTGTTGCTGTTGTTGTTGCAGGACATTGAAGTTGAGGGCGTTCTTGGAGGGCGCATTGGAGCGGTTGGCCAAGACTTTGTCCGTTGGCGACACCTCCTGAAAACATGCGATTTATTTGAGTTGATGATGTAAAACTGAAGTTGCAGCTTGGTAAAAGAAATTTGTCATCGGTCTGTCGGAAAAATAATGTGGATTCATCGCGCCTTCAAATCGATCATCATCGCTTTGCGATGGATGGAAATTTGTTGCCCGAAGGCGACTAGACGAGTCATTTTACCGCGACAAGTCCTCATTATTTTCCCGACAGACTAATATTATACCATATTTTACTGGTTTTATAAGATTTTATCAGTCTGTCGGGAAAATAATGAGCCTAATATCGCTGCGCCGATCGTGTCGCCGAAGTGAAAAGCAATTTTATTTTTTTTCGCGACCAATTCATATTTTATGCAATTTTTGATGCGACAGAGTCCTCATTATTTTCCCGACAGAATGATAAGGACCCGTCGCAGCAAAATATCGAAAAATTTTCTGTAGTCGGGCGCCAAATACCGGGCGATTCCAAGGCGCGACAAGTCCTCATGATTTTCCCGACAGACTAATACTAAGGTTGATTACTATATTTTACTGTTTTTATATTAACAATATGTCGGGAAAATAATGTGGATTTGTCGCGGCAACACATCTCGCCTCGTCGCAGTATCAAAACTTGAGCCGCGGCTAGCAAAGCGACGAATATTTCAAGCCGCACCAAATCCACATTATTTTCCCGACAGACTGGTAATACAAAACTAAAGCTGATAATGCTGAATGGGGTGATTTGAAAAGGTTTGACAAGTCTGCACGGTGCAAAGCAAGTCCTAATTATCAGTCTGTCGGGAAAATAATGTGGACCGCGACAGTCGCCGATCGTCGGGTTTTTTCGCCGCGACTGGAGATTAGGTTGCGCACTGCGACGAGGCTAGACTTTTGCTGCGACAAATCCACATTATTTTCCCGACAGACTATATTATACCATATTTTACTGGTTTTATTTTACCAGTCTGTCGGGAAAATAATGCGGATTTGTCGTGGCAAAATGTCTCGCCTCGTCGCAGTATCACATTATTTTCCCGACATACATAGTATTTTGCTGGTTTTTTTAAGTTCAAAGATCCGAGTCGTAAGCAAAAATTTTCCGAGAATTTCGATTCACTTACGGTGTCATTCAAATCCACCATGCTGGACTTGACTCTCTTTTTGTCGCCCTTTTCCTCTCTTGGCTTCTCCTTTGTCTCCATTTTCGTTGATCCATTTTTCCGCTCGCTCTTTTCATTCTTCCTGCTTCCGTCGTTGGCCAAATCCACATTGGCGGAGGCACTGTTGATCAGCGGTTTGAAGGCCGCGACCTTCTTGATTATCTCCTCTTGTTGTCTGTCGAGCTCCTGAAAACGTGTTATTAGAATTTGCAGAATTTTCATATCAGTCTGTCGGGAAAATATTGTGGATTTGTCGCAGAAAAATTGATCGCCTTGTCGCTGTCGCCAAATCTTCAGCCGCGGCCGGCAAAGCGATAATAGGCGTTTCCAAAGCGCGACAAATCCACATTATTTTCCCGACAGACTGATATTAGTATTTTCATAAAGTGCATGGACAATTTGCCGAGGTCCGCACTGTGCACAAAAACCCTTCAATTTGCACTGTGCATTTTACTTTTTTTTTTTGATTTTTGCACCGTGCATTGAAATATTGCCGCGACGGAATTTGCACAGTGCAAACGGATTGTTTGAGGTTTGCACTGTGCGAAAAGAGAAACAATGCACAGTGCGTTGGCGATAAGCGTGGGGAAAAGTTCGAAATGCACAGTGCATTTCACTTTTTTTTTACTTTCGCACCGTACATTGAAATATTGCCGCGACGGAATTTGCACAGTGCAAACGGCTTTTTTGAGGTTTGCACTGTGCGATAGAGAAAAAATGCACAGTTTATTGGCGATGAGCATGGGAAAGCCTCCAATTTGCACTGTGCGTTTCACTTTTTTTCATTTTTGCACCGTGCATTGAAATATTGCCGCGACGGAATTTGCACAGTGCAAACGGTTTTTTGAGGTTTGCACTGTGCGAAAAGAGGAACAATGCACAGTGCATTGGCGATAAGTGTGGAAAAAAACCTCCAATTTGCACTGTGCATTTCTTACTTTCGCACCGTGCATTGAAATATTGCCGCGACAAAATTTGCACAGTGCAAACGGATTGTTTGAGGTTTGCACTGTGCGAAAAGAGGAAAATGCACAGTGCGTTGGCGATAAGTGTGGGAAAAAGTTCAAAATGCACTGTGCGAAAGAGAAAAAATGTCCATGCACTTTATGAAAAAAACTAATGTCTGAAATTTGAATTTCGATTTTTCAAAAAGAAATAAAAAAAAATTTTTTGCACTGTGCAAAAAAATATTTATCTCCGCACAGTGCAAAAATGTGACAAGGTTAATTTTTTTTTTTTTTTGAGCTTACAATTCTCTCCACATCAATTTTGTTGCTCCTCCCTGAGCTGGTTTTCGGTTTCTCATTGTGCGAGATTGGCAAATCGGGGCTTTTGCTGAGGATTTTGTTCTGCTTCGAGACTTCTTTTTCCGCGACTGCATTGGACAGGACACTTGGTCGGTTCTGAAACTCACTCATTACTGCTCAGAAAGCATGTTTTTTGGGCAAACTTATGGCTCCACGATTTTGAAGCCTGTATTTTTTGGTACTTCGAAAAATCCACATTATTTTCCCGACAGACTGATATTTTGTTTCAAATTTTTCCCAAGTTTTGCCAAAATTTAATAAAAAATAAAAAATTATGACTCTTACACTCCCGCGGACCGCTTATCAGTCTTTTCCAAATCCGGTATGCAAAAATTTTTATAAGAAATATACCCGGAAGTAATGAAATTTCAGGAAAAATAAACAAATTTTTGCTATAAAAGCCCACCTTTTTCTTGACTATAACGATTAAATCAGTCATGAAACTAATCCTAATACTCTGTGCTGTTCCAGTGGCCTATTCCGGAGTAATTTGGGAGGACAATTTCGACAATTTGGACAGGAATAAATGGAGTTTCGAGAGAGGCAACAATAATGGCTGGGGAAACGCGGAACTCCAATGTTATACGGACCGAAATGAGAACGTGAGAGTCGAAAATGGGCACTTGGTGATCGAGGCGAGAAGAGAAAACCTGGATGGATGCGCTTTCACGTCAGCGCGGATGATTACTCGAGACAAATTCGCGTTCCGGTAAGAAATTTACAAGCCAAGTCCCCAAAACGGCCAAAAAAAGTCTCCGCCGAGCCTTCGCCGATGTGAAACATCAGCCAAGCTGCCGAGACTGTTGTGGAGCGTCAAACGTCTCCACAATTCCCACAGAAGAAATTAGCATAAACCAAGTCATATAAAAGCAACGTCTCGTCACCAATTATCATAATTAATCCCATTTCTCTTTCCTGTGTGCGGTGGTCTAAATAAAACCCTATTCTAACTCGTGTCTACCATGCCATCTACCTATCCACCTTTGACACAACACTTCAGAGACCAACAGACTAGGTCCTTCCTGGGCCCAATGCGCTATCTGAGAGTTTGCTGAAAGTTGGCTGAAAATGGTAGGGCGCAGCTCGGAAAACAAGGTTTTGCAGCTCGCCCGAGCTAAGTTTCAGCTGGTTTTCGAGCTGCGCCCAAGACGCGAGCTGCGCAAATTCTCCGAGCTGCGCCCTATGATTTTGAGCAAAATTTCAGATAGCGCATTGGCCCCAGATGTGGCAAAGCTAATTTCATCCGTAGTAGAAAAGTCTGGGCTTTGTAACGAGGTGTAATTTTCAAAAAAAAACCATCAAATGTCTCCGCCGAAAAACGGTCTCTCCGCCGAGACAAGGAAAAATTCTTTTGCATTTTGTAAAAACGCACGACTTCAAATTTTCAATACGACTTAAGTTTAGATAGATGCAAGCAGCACAACGATATAAGCAAAAAATTTGACCAAAATTGACAGATGATCACCTAAAGTAATATCCATTTTACCAACGAATCACATCAACAGGGGCTCTGAATTTTATCTCAATAGAAACTGCATGAGGCCGGCTTTTATTCGCAACACAATCCTTAGGCTTATCTTTCTCGCTGCCATCGCTAGAGACCAAAAGTTAAAGGACTATCTTAAAGTTTAAAGATATGGACTAGAAGCGTTTTCTCTGCCCTCTTGACCATAAAAAGCTGTTAAAAATCCCGGTCGCAGCTTCTGTATGCTAACCAAGCCGTCGCAAGCAACTTTACTCTTTCAGCTACGGCACCATCGAAGCCAGAATCAAGCTGCCGAACCTGCGAAACGGCCTGTGGCCCGCGTTCTGGATGCTCGGCGCTGAGAACCCGACCTGGCCCGACCAAGGCGAGATCGACATCATGGAAGCCGGGCCCGCTGAGGCTATTGCTGCCGGCACCGTGAACCGTAAAATCTTGGGGACCTTTCATTGGAACCATAAAGGCCAACATGCTCAGTATGGCCGGGAATTGCTATTGCCGTTCGACATTACCGCCGATTTCCACAACTACAAGCTCACGTGGAGCCCCACCGAAATCCGCATGTACTTCGATGGCCAAGAGTACATGGTGTTCGATACGCGGCCACTGCCAGTGTTCCAGAAACGCTTCTACTTTGTGTTGAATTTGGCGGTAGGAGGGAATTTCCCCAATATCCATGATCCCAATGGAATTACGGCGCCTTTACCGGCTCAATTGCTCGTTGATTATGTGCGGGTTTCTCGGTGAAATTGGTCGTAAAGCTCTTTGAATTTGCAATAAATTTAACTTGATTTCTCGACTGTTGTTTGTCTCCTTCCACGTATATGGCATACGTATGGGAGAGTGGACTTGTTTGACAACTGTTTGCTCAGCCGTTGAGAACAAAAGCTACGTCAAATGATGGAGGAAGTATCATCGTTTTTTTAACGTCTAAATTGTTCAACGATTCTTGCCGGAAGGTTGTAGAAGACGACAAATCAGACGTACGGCCACAATCATCAAATATTGACAAAAAGGAAGTGTCCTAAAGAAACCGCGGGCTTCCAAAACGAGATGTCACCGTAAACACGCAAAATTTTTACCACATTTAGCTACCAGGGGAAGTACTCCAAGTGCGACGCTCAGATTTTCTTTAAATTTTGCAGACTCGTCGCGTGTGGACTAGATATCAATTCCTGAAAGTTGTAGCTCGCGCTTTGCGGGCGTTGCCGAGATATTCAGCGGTCTTTGCGGCCGAGAGAGCACGCTAAACGTGGAGAGCGGTCAGAGAGAAATCGTTTTTTTGGCCATAACTTTAGCAGTTTCGTGCGGAAAAATTTGATTTTTTTGTAGAAAAATTATTCTTTACGGTAGAAATGGCCATGAAACTTTTCGTGCCGAAATTCGGCAAAAAGTCCTAAATTTTCGCCGACTTTCGATCTAAAAATCTCGGTTGTTTCTGCAAAGGGCGGGATAGGATTCTCACATATATCTTAGAAAACATTATTCTAAATTTATGCCAAGTTTCATCAAAATCTGAGCGTCGCACTTGGAGTACTTCCCCTATAAGTAAATATACTAAAATGGGCAGGTCATATATAAAATTTTTGGCCTTCTTAGTTTACTATAGGTGTACAGAGATGTTGCCATATTTTCCTATAATATTCAGATGAGATTTCTTGGCGCTACGAGCTTTCGAGTCAGCAACAGTTCAAGTCAACGATACTATGGATCGTTTGCCGTTGTATGCAATGGGGAGGCTAGGAGAAGGCTTAATTAACAGAAACAATAAGCTTAATGGGGTCCTAGGATAGCTTATCACCTACTTTGAGGTATTTTTAATTTGCTCAAGTTCAATAATTTCTCGGTAAAAGTTACGGATCTTCATTTTTCGCACCATATTTTGGTGTTTCATATGTTACAATAACCCAGGGTAAAGAAAAATATCTTGCAACACGTACTACACCTATTTTTATACTCTTTTGAATAGCTGTAGTACACGTATAACCAACTAGCCCAACGCATTTTCCGATGTCCAAAAACGACCAACAGAATCTGCTCTGTCTTTTGAATGAGATGAAAATGAAGATGTGGGGGAATATTTTTTGTGTCTTCTGTCTTTGAAAAAGCATGAATCACCTTGAAACTTTTTACAACAACTCATCAACTGATGATTTAAAGGTCATCATTTTTTAGCAAGATTTTTTTAGCCTTATTTTTTTGGCATGCCAAAAAAAAATAATATGGTAAGGGGGGACCAAGGCGAATTAAAAAAAAAAATTTCAGCAAACAAAAAAATTGATCGTTAGGTGCCCTCTGCGCAAAAAAATCAAAAATATCATGAATCACATACTATCTTCTTCGAATTTGATTACTAACTCTACGCTACGCCCTATGACAGTTCGAAAAAAAATGAAGAAAGACACGAAAAACTGTTTGCCCAACTGTGAATCCCGGTTCCAAGTATTCAGAATCCCACAAAATTCGACTTCGAATTCCGGTTACATTTCCCTGAGCAAACACAACTTGGCTATATAAACTTGAGCAATTTTCGCTCTCAATATCATTCGCTGGCCTTTGCAAGGATGCATTCGATTGTGGCTGTCGCGCTACTGGTCTCCGCAGTGAGTGGCAAGGTGATTTGGGAGGACGACTTTAACACTCTGGACCGGAGTAAATGGAGCTTCGAGAAGGGCAACAACAATGGGTGGGGAAATGCGGAACTCCAATGCTATACGGACAGCAATCAGAACGTGAGGGTGGAGAATGGACACTTGGTGATTGAAGCGAGAAAAGAGAACAAGGACGGATGCGCGTTCACGTCGGCCAGGCTGAAGACTAAGGGCAAATTCGAATTCAAGTAGGTTTTTAGGCATGTTGTGGCCAGAAAACAATGATATTGCAAGGAAAAGTGCAACATCAGTCTGTCGGGGAAATAATGAGCACTCAGTCGCATTGAAAATCGCTCGACCTGCGCATTTTAATATACGAGTACCTAGCTGACTATAGCAGAAATTCCTTGTATGTCATATTGTTCTGGAAATCCGCGGTTTTTTAACAGTCTGTCGGGGAAATAATGAACACATTAAAGAAATCGCATCGTCGCCGAGAAAATAAATTGTGTCGAGGAAAAATCAAATTGCTTTTCACTTCAGCGACGTGATTGGCGTAGCGAAATTGTGCTCATTATTTTCCCGACAAGTCGATATTCACGACATATCAGTTCGTCGCGAAAATAATGGGGATTTTTCGCACCAAAGTTTCTCATCTCCGGCTGCGGCAGCCAAAGCGATGCTGGGTGATTCCAAAGCGCGACAAATCTATAGTATTTTACCGACAGACTGATAAGATCAGAGCTAAAAAACATGTCTGACAGCGAAAAATGAAGTGCCTTTCGACATGCCTAGAAGATTTCATATTGATTTAGACATCAGATGATGACCTAAAGTAATATCGATTTTACTAACGATTCACATCAGCAGGGGTTCTAGATTTTATAGCAGTAGAAGCTACATGAAGCCAGCTTTTATTTGCCATATAATTCTTAGGGTTACCTTTCTCGCTACTATCGCTACAGACCAAAAGTTAAAGGACTATCTTGGAGTTTAAGGATATGGACTAGAAGCATTTTCCCTGCCCTCTTGACCACAAAAAGCTGTTCAAAATCCCTGCCACAGCTTCTGTATGCTAACTAAATCATCATAAACAAGTTAACCTTTTCAGATTCGGCACCATCGAAGCCAGAATCAAGCTGCCGAACCTGCGAAACGGCCTGTGGCCCGCGTTCTGGATGCTCGGCGCCGAGTCCGATACCTGGCCCGACCAAGGCGAGATCGACATCATGGAAGCGGGCGTGGCGGACGCGATTGCCTCGGGCAAAGTGAATCAAGAGATCCTGGGAACGTTCCACTGGAACAGCAATGGACATGCCCAATACGGCCGCAACTTGGTCCTGCCCAACGACATCACCACCGACTTCCACATCTACAAAGTCACTTGGAACCCGAACCAAATCCAAATGTTCTTCGATGGAAAGGAGTACATGACATTCAACATCCAGCCGCTGCCCGTTTTCCAGAAGAAATTCTACTTCCTTCTGAACCTGGCGGTCGGCGGAAACTTCCCGAACATTCATAGCGCCGGCGGCATTACCGCGCCATTGCCCGGACAAATGCTGGTCGATTATATCAGGGTTTCACAGTAGTGGTTGCAAAGCTTATTTATTGGGGTTTCGGAATAAATTTTCATTTTCAAAGCTTTTGGGATTTTCTGGGAAATAGGTCATTATGACGGATGATTGAGAGGAAATATACGCGTAATTTTTATTTTTGACGACTTCCCAGGTCATTGTTTGACTTTTTGAATTTAATTTCAAATTTTTTGAAAATCAATAATTTTTGTGACATTTCGTCACAAATTGGATACGCGTCAGAAATACTGTATGAATAGGTCATGATGACGGATGCTTGAGAAAACAATTAATTTTGATTTATGACAGGTCATTTTTTTGACTTTTCGACTTGAATTTCAAATTTTTAAAAAATCAATAATTTTTGTGACATTTTTTCACAAATTGGATATACGCCAAAAAGAGTGTATAAAATAAGCAGATTGCTTCTGACGAGGTAGAAAATCATAGCTAGACCAAAAATTAACTTTACTACTGTAATAAATATCAAGTTACGGTAATTTTTTCGTATTACCGTAACCTTTACCGTCTATAAAAAAACTCATGGGGTTTGTCAAAAATGTTCTTTATAGTCACTCATACACCTCCATAATCATAATTTCATGTATCCATAAGGCCGATAACCCTACTGTAACATCAATTTTTCCCCTATACTTTCCACTACCGTAACCCAAAACCAAAAATTTCAAAGAAAACGTAAAAGAAAACTTACAGTGGTCTTCATAATGGATTGGCTGGTACTTTTCGGTGACAACGAGCGTCTCACAAGCTTGCCTTGCTTCTCCGTTACGATCGCGACTTTTATAGCGGACGGCCGGGCCCACGGTTGATATGTCAGGTGATGGGGGCGGAGCTAAATACAATTGCAATTATCGTACTCTTTGGCTTCTATTTCACATCTTTTTTTGTAATTTTTAATCGTGTAAATCAATTTTTGTTGGGATTAAATTGCTTCGGTACGGCTTCATCGGCCTGATATTGTTTTAGAGAGTGTGCAGAAGACAGAGGAGTTGAACGTATTTTACCATAAAAAGGAATGTGAAAAATAAAGGGGAGATTTTTGCATAGCCTATTACCTAAATTTTTTAATTTTACTAAAAATTTTTAATTTTCAAAAAAAATTTTTTTTAAGTTTTCCGTATTTTACATTAAAAAAATCATTTAAAAAATTATCCAAAAAGCTCCTTCAGGCAATTAAAACTCAATCTACGAAACGCTTTTCCAATTTTTACTCAAAAACATTCGATTTGATTATCGACCAGTCGATTCCGCCAACCAGAAAAATTTCTCCTTTTGAGGCTTCAGTCTCAATGTTTACAACATCCAAAGCCCCAAAAATTAACAGGACAATTGAACCCGTGTCTTTTTGCGTAGCGCCCAATGGCTTCAGTACTGTTGCACGGTGTGGGCTTCGGCAAAAGTCACGGAAGATTTGCAGACGTAATAAATCTTTGCTCGATTGTACGGTTTGTTACATTGTAAAAAAACTATCAGGCAGAAACAGCATGAAAATCGTATTTTTTCCGATTTCCACTGCCAAAAATTTCAAAAATTCAAATTTCCCGCCATTTTTTGGCATTGTGTTTCAAGCTGGCAAACCATCAAATTTTCATTGTAAAAAAGCTATCAGACAGAAGCGATACGAAAATTCTGATTTTTCTTGAATTCCACTGCTAGAAATTTCAAAAACCCAAATTTCCCGCCATTTTTGGCATTGTGTTTCAAGTGCTAAAAATATCGAATTTACATTGTAAAAAAATTGATGACCAGAGACAGTATGAAAATCATAATATTTCTCAGATTAAACGGCAAGAATTTTCAAAAATTCAAATTTCCCGCCATTTTTGGCATTGTGTTTCAAGCTCCCAGAAATCGAAATCCAGTTGGAATTGTTGTCTTAACTACAGGACTACAACTCCTGAAGCATAACTCGGAAGCTGTACTTCTCGCAATTCCCCATCTTACCTCAAAATGAACCCGTTTCGCGGGCGAAACCACTTGAACCGTGTCGTTGGACATGTCCCGCGTATAGTAAAACACGTCCATCTACAATTCACCGGCACATCTGCTGAAAAGTCGAGGTTTACGGCTCGCTTTTAAACGCATTTACGTTGTAAATCTCGAATCGAAGCGCCTCAAATCCGGTCCTAGCGCTGACGACACAGCCGAAGCCCTACATTAGGGATAATTGAAGAGAAACAAGTGCAAATGTAAAAGACAGCAAATGTAAAAATAGGAAAAATAATCCGGTTTCGTGGAAGCTTCCAGAAGTACGTGAAATTTATGACCCGCGTTTTGCAGAAACAACAAACTTATTGCAAAAATCACGTACATTTTTGTCGATATTCCCCTTGAACCGGTTTATTTCCCCCCAAAAAACCGTAAATGGCCATTTGCCACCCCATAAAAATGGCCAAATACGGCTTTTTATGCGGGTTTTATTGCGCACCGAACTCTATTTCACATATTGAGAGGCGAAAACAAAAGGCTATAAGTGGAATACGGAAGCGGGTTTATTTTAAACTGCGGGGGATGCATCCCCTTTTTTGGAATGGGGAATAAACAATGACGGGAAATGGGGGTATTAATGCCAAAATAAGTTCCCGTAGGAGCTTGTAGCGCCGAAATATCGCAATTTTAAGGAAAGCACTTCTATGGGTATATCAAAAAATGTGGATCGTTACAGGTGGACAGCTTTTTTTTGTGGAGTCGGTAATTTCTCTATATGTTGAGAGTTTATAAGGTTTTATTGGGGAAAGGTAGGACGCAGATTGCCTATTTTATTTTTTCTGAAAATGCCAGTTTCGGAGTAGTTTTTGAGTAGTGAGATTTCAAAAAAACCGGGCCGGCGTGGACCGGGCCGGGCCTAAAAATCGAAGCCCGGAGTCGGGCCGAGAAATTAGTCGGCCCGGCCCGGGCCGGAAAATTTTGCAAAGCCCGGCCCGCAGCCATGCCTAGTAGTGGGGTTAAAATACGAATGGAATATTTCTTTGTTTTTTATTTGTTTGCCAAAAAAATAGGGTTTTTTTGACAAGCAAAGCACTTTTATGGGGCATGGAGTTACAGGTCGAGAAGTATATCAAAAATCTCAAAACTTTTCTGATTCAGAATATGTAAAAATTAGCTGCCCAATTTTGGTTTGTAAGGGCGAAAAACCCCTCAGAACTTTACTCGCAACACTACGTAAACGCCTTTTTGACCAAGTTTTTACCAATTCAAGAGCTTTGTTTTGAGCTAAAGTAAACACCGACATCTTGACAAGCCTTACAATATCAAATTTGATTACTACTACACCGAGTAGTGGTTCTAGAATAAAAAAAAGGAAAAATGTATTTTGCCACATTTTTCGATACTTCCCGGATGCAAAATCATACATTTTTTGCGGATTCTGAGACCGTTATTTATCCCATCTTGAGGCCTACTATCTCCCTAAAACATCTCCAGACTAATGGTGTTTGAGAAGTTCGTTGAACTGTTAGAGATTTGTTTTTTTTTCTCACGGGTCTCAGAGGAAATTAGGACTCACCAAGACGGATTTGTCTTCGTCGAAAGCAAATAAAATTTGGATACAACAACGATTGTCTGTGTTCCTCTACGTTAATGGGGTGAAGAACAGACAAAAAAATATATTTCCTCGAAAAGTACGTTAATTTGCGCCTCAGCGTAGCCTCGAGAAATCGTCAACGGAGGCTTGGCCAAATTTCCGGCCACATATCAATCCCTGAAAATTTTAGCTCGCAATTTGCAGGGGCAGCTGAGATATTCAACGATCTTTGCGGCCGAGAGAGCACGTGAAATGCGGAGAGCGGTCAGACAAAATCCCTTTTTAGCCGTATCTTTGCCAATTTCGCGGGGAAAAAATTGATTTTTTATGGAAACATCACCCTCTACGGTAGAAATAAGCATGAAACTTTTCATGCCAAAAAGCGCAAAAAATTTTCACATTTTTTGCCAAGTTTCGACCAAAAAATCTCGGTTGTTTCTGTGAATTGTAAGCTAGAAGTCTGGCATATATCTTTAAAAAGTTTTATCTAAATTTTCACCAAGTTTTAGTGATATTTGAGTGTCGAAAAGCTACAAATTTAACGACAAGTACAATATAAAAATATATCAAAATGTAATACAAAATTATAGTCTAAGATTTTCGAACTATCTTTGGTCGATGAAAATTATTTTTTTTTTTTGATTTTTTCATAGAAAAAATGAAATTTTTAGTTTCGTTTTCTATAAAAAAAGTTGTCAAAAAGGTTTAAAAAAAGCTCTAAATAAGGCCAAATTTGGTGTCAAAAATAATCCACAGCAATATACAGACTGTTATTCAAATTTTGGCAATAGTTATTGAGCTACAATCTACTTAAAAAATTGACCAAAACTGATCAAAAATTTATGAAAAAGTCCAAAGTTCCATTAAAAAAGTTGCCTAATCCGAATAAAAAACGGTAGAGCCATGAGGTTCTTTCACAGAATCTCCACTGAACCGAAACGTTTCTTTGGCCTCAAGAAAGCAGGCCCTATTCGTCACCACTCGACAAATCCAACTACCGTAAAGAGTAGGCTTTACTCCCCCCGAAATAGACAATCTTCAAATTTTGGACCCAATTTTGAGGTATATAAAACGGGAGAAGAATGGCGGGGAGGATGCGTAAGTAGACGCAAAAAGAATAACAAAGAACATTAGAGGCCGAAACGAGGTTTTTTTTCCTTTTTTTCGTTGCTATGCATTATGGAGACATGGATAATATAGTGCTAGATACTCACGGGAAAATATTCTTTTTGTTAGCCACAAATTTGGAAAAAGGTCACGAGATTTGGAAATTTCCGAATTGAGGGAATTTTGCACAGTGCGGAAGAAAATTGAGCTTTTTTAATTGCACTGTGCGGTGATAAAAACAAGAGGAAAATGCTGTTGCACGGTGCGAGTCAATTATAAAGAGAAAAAATCGTCTGCACCGTGCGAGTCAGAAATGAAGAGAAAAATTCGTCTGCACCGTGCGCGGCCAAAATGAAGAGAAAACTTCGGTTGCACTGTGCGCGGCCAAAATGAAGAGAAAAAATCGTCTGCACCGTGCGCGGCCAAAATGAAGAGAAAAATTCGTCTGCACCGTGCGCGGCCAAAATGAAGAGAAAAATTCGTCTGCACTGTGCGCGGCCAAAATGAAGAGAAAACTTCGGTTGCACGGTGCGGACGGGAGAACAGGCTAAAATTCGCTCTGCACTGTGCGAAAAATAAGAAATTTACAATTTACCGGCTAAACCAGCAAAGATTTACGAAAAAATTTTTAATGCATAAGTTTAGGACATGGAAATAAGGAAAAACGAAGAAGTAAAATTGATTTGCACCGTGTATTCAAAAAAAAATAGACGAAAAATTTGTTTGCACTGTGCGAAATAGAAAACACTGAAAAATTTGCGAGCCAGTGAATAAAGTTTTGGATTTTTTTTGTAAAATACGTGTTGGTAAGCTTGGAATATCTTCAAAATTATAGGTTGATGATAAAACGGCCGTTGAGATTTTCAAAAAATGAAGAAATTTTTTGTTGCACTGTGCAGACTTCGAAAAATCACAAAAATAAACACAGTAGTCCACATTATTTTCAAGCCAAAGAACCTCTGTCATTTCACTGGTTTTTAATTTTGCAATTTTTTAGATACCAATATTGCAACATTTCTCCATACCATCCCACAAACTTTAAATTATACTCCCGTAGGCCCAATATAGGCCAAAGGTGAGGAGTAGTTTGCACAAAACGGCGTAACTTCACGTCAGCGGCCAAAAAGAGGCCCAACAATTAGGAAGAAGTTCAACTTTGCATCTCTTTTGTTGTGGAAAAACCAAAAATTGAAAAAAAAATTGGAACATCAAAAAGGAAGTTGAAATGGACAAAGGGAAATCTATTTCTGCATTGTATTACTAATTAGATTGTAATTGAGCTTTTAAGAGAGCTTTTTGAAAGTTCACGTAATAATTTTTGACCGATGAATATTGCACAGTGCAGATCTTTTACACTCGAAAATGCCGTTAAATCTCAATAAAACTTCAAAAAAAATTGAATTAAATTTTTTCTAAGGCTTACGCAAAATTTTTTGCTCGCGTTATGCAGAAACGATCGAGATTTTTTGGTAAAAATTTCAAAAAAAAAATTTTCGATTTTTGACTTGGAAAAATTAGATGTTATTCTCTATGTATTGGACAATATTAATGCAAAGAATCAACTTTTTCCATGCGAAATTCACAAAGATATAGCCAATTGTTTCTCTGGCCACTCTCCTCATTTCTTTTACTCTCTCGTTAACGTCGTCGAATATCTCGGTTCACCCAGTAAATTGCTGGCCAAAATTTTGAGCAATTAATCTGTGGTGAATACGCAATGTATACGCCAAATTAGAAGGAAATTTGATTGTGAAATTTTGAGAAAATTAAATTTTTTATTTGCATAATGCGAATTCAAAATCATTTCAAAAATTTTAAGTGGACTCAAAATTAAGTTGCAAATCATTTCCTGCGCTCGCTTGTGATGCGTTCTTCACGCATTCGGCCATTCATCCCACTGCGGCTAAGACTTTGCGCACGTAAATAAACGCTCCTTTATAACGTCCCGCCAGTCTTGCAAAAAGACACTTGAAACGGAAGAAGCCCATATTTATTTGCTTTTCAATTCCCCCCACCTGAATCTGATATTATTTCTATGACAAAACCGACTGCTTATTTACCTATTGCGCCTGAACATTGAGGAATATTACACTTGTCATCACAATAAATTCGATGTGAAAATGTTGAGCGTAGAGCGCGCGAAAAGATTACATGACTATGTTCGACAATGGAGTACGCTGGAAGTTGTGCGGTTTATTTTGATCGCAATTATGTTCGTTTGCCTTATGTAAGTTATATTTAAAAAAAAAAATTTTTTTTGACTTTTTCAAAATTTTTGCGAAAAATGGATTTTTTTTGCACAAAATTTTAATGTCCTAAAGTTAATTTTTTCAATCCTTACTGTTTTAGCCGCTAAATTGTTAATTTTTTATTTTTCGCACAGTGCAGTCCGAATTTTAGCCTATTTTCCCGTCTGCACCGTGCAACCGAAATTTTCTCTTCATTTAGGGTTTGCACTGTGCGACGGCCTTTCTTTCTTGTTTTTGATGCCGCACTGTGCAGACGAATTTTTTACTTGTTTTTGCTGACGCACAGTGCAAAGCCATTTCCCTCTTGTTTTTGATGCCGCACCGTGCGACGGCCTTTTTCCCTTCATTTTGGCCGCGCACAGTGCGAACGCTCGCAAATCCTTTCTTCTTTTCTTGTCGCAGCCGCACTGTGCAGCCAACAGTGTAGCCTAGTTTCGACGGTGCACAGTGCAGCCCAAATCTTAGCCTGTTTTTTCCCACGCACAGTGCAGAAATCACTTTCTTCCCGAATACAAAAATATATTTGCGTTTTCAGGATAATCGTGATTCTCACTGTCTACATAATTCTCCAGCTCGCATTTGTGGCCGACACCGCCACGGAAAACGTGGCAAAAGGGCCGCTGGGACCGATTTTGGTCAAATTGTTCCCTGTAAAGCATGAGTAATACAATTTTATCGGGTCAGACTCAACATTCATCAAAAAATTTTTATTCATTTTTCCAAATAAAGCCGTGAATAGTCGTCTTGACATAAAATTCGATGCCCTTTTACGAAACATTGATCTCCAACACAGAATCTGGTCTTGCATTCGAAGCAATCGAAACAGTCGACGTGGAATCGATGCGAATCCACTTTGATGATCCACTCAGTCGGCGCAATTGGGCCTTCACATCGTTCGCAGAAGCCCCAACTACCGTACAATCGCATGTAATCGTTGAGGCATAGGACTAAGCGATCTCGATGATAGAAGATTCGACTAATCTCTGCGAGTACGCCATTGCAACAAGAGCACTGTAAAATTTTTGTAAGACCTTTGGAGTCATTGTGAATCAAGATAATGTGTTTCCAAGTGATTTGGAGGATTTTCAGGTTTTCGTGGTGGGACCCAAAATTATGAAAAATTGTAATATCTAAATCAAATGTAATGTTATTCGATGCTAATGTAGCTGATGACATATTCTAAACTCAACTGCAACTTTGTGGAGCCCATTTTGAGTCCCACCACGAAAACCCTGAAGATCAGGGAGACTTGCTAAAATATCGCCAAAACATCCTAGAATTGCTAATTCAGCAAACCACCGTAACTTTCAAGTCAAATAAGCAAAAATATCAAAATTTTGGCGACTCACCCTCAGGCAATCATCATGAAAAAACCTCCCGATCGCACTCAAAGCAAATTGCTCTCGGATTATTTGATGGCAAACAGCGCATTCCATTGCAAAAATAAATGTCTCGTCTAATCCAATCTCTCCCTTATGCCGCCGATCCTAATAGTAGATAGTGGATTTCTGGAGTCTCATTTTCGGCCGCAAAATGAAAATTCCTTATCAAGATTGGCGATTTGAGAGGCGTGGGCTTTAATTGGTACATGCAAAACGAGTATACATTGTCCTTGGGGGACTACGGAGGAATTAAAAAACAAAAATAGAAAATTTGAGGGAAAAAAATTGGCTGATATTATCGTTGATGATCAAGTACAATATATCAGATCAAAAAAATAAAAAATTTATTTCATACAATTCATAAAAGTCAAAATGAGTCATTGGAACCTAATCTTGAGTCGTCAATATCAGAAAATACCGTATTTTACCGTTTTCTCATTCCCGACCTGCGCCCTATGTTCTGCCGGCTGCAATTTTCATCGACGGAAAACTTGGCCAAAATTGCCAACACGATTAGTCGACGCTAGCTTTACGACGATTTGTTGCACAATTCATCAACAGACTCCACCGAACACGTGTGTTCATTGGCGCTGCACAATGAGCCAAATTACATCGAGCATTGGGCATGCTGCGCGAGACGTTGCGATGGTAATTTTTGTCGTTTTGTATCTAAATTTAGACGTAAAAAAGGTGCTTGCAGCAGTTTTATGCCTTTTTTGAGCTGCTAAAGCAAATTTGAAGTCGCCGAACGCTCTCTTTTGTGATTTTCAAGTGCAATATGTTGTACTAGACAAATTCTACGAAAATTTGAGGTTGGCGTTGTGAGACTGCCGTCATCGGGTGTCTCTTGGATTTATTTGGGTCTAAAGTTAATTTTGCATTATTTTCAGCACATTCAACACGACTGGCATGACGCATGGGTTACGCAATTTCACGGAATGATGAAGGATCAGGTAAGATTTATATTTGGAGTTCTTCTTGGTGCTTAGAGTGCAAAATACGGTGTTTTGCCTGATCGTCATGCTTTTATGGCATTCTGGACCAGTATTTGGCGTCATTGCGAAAATTTAGGGCGAATCTTCTTATTCATGTATCACTATATAAATTTATCGCTTTCAGTGCATTGGCGATTACTTCAATCGATTCCGTGGATTTCTAAAGGACGAAGACGCTAAGCCCCAGCTTTTTCACACAGAAGTCACTGGATACGGAGTAAGTTTTACCTTTCTTTTGGTTTTTTTGATCTTAGTGTCTAGTGGAACATAATTTCTGAATCTTTCGGTCTTGATCCGTGCTAACTTGCTCATGATAGGGTACATTTCTTCCGCCAAGTCCCGAACACGAGTCATCTTCCTCCTGCACGCCCACTCCACAGTCCTCCTCTCATGACTTTGAACATTCAAATGAAGCCGACTCTTGCAGCCTGACCCTGATTACAGAGGGTTCCAAGAATGCAAAGCTAGCGAACGACAGTTTTCAATTCCAAACACCAAAGACTACAAAAACATCCAAGAATACGAACAGAAGCCAAAAGAGGCAAAAATCGGTGAAGCAACCGGCAATTATTGAAGTTAAAGTGAGTTTTCTTATTTTTTCTTTGTGTTTTTGGTGTTTAGAAATAGTGTTGGATTCTGTCGAAGGTCTTGAGTGCAAATTCATCCCAAAATTTTTTGAGTTTTATAGTTTTTTGGCCACGTCCCATCAGATATCTAAAGCAAGGAAAATTTTTTGAAAACCTGGTGTTTTTCCGCATTCCTATGCGTAGAAAAGATCTGTACTAATATTTCTGGGTTTAGGGACCGAGATACGCCTATAGTGCTCAACGTTTGACCCTTCGTTCCCATCAGATTACCAAAAATAAGGTGGTTTTGAGAAATCTGACCAAAAAGTCAAGTGGTCCTCGCCTTTTCCAACCCAAGAAATTCTTGAAATTTAACTTCTCATTCTAATAGCTCTCTTTTATATACTAACATCTTTTTTTAACGATTTTTCATGTGTATAAATAGTCTTTCTTTCACCTTACCAGTAGCCCTCATAGTTTTATAACTGGTACGATTGGGGAAAAGGACGATTGCGGAAACCGAAAAGTATTATTTTTCTTCGATGCAAGTGTGAAATTAGGATAATCGACGGTGGTGATTTCGAAAATGACATTCATTTTTTTTACTTTTTTCCTTAAGTAGTACTGTAAAGTAGTAATTTTTTGATTTTTTTTCATGAATACTCGATTTGGGGGTTTTCGATGATGCTGATTTTTAAAAAAAATGAATAACATTTTCAAAACAGCACCATCGAAAACCCCCAAATCGAGTATTTGTGAAGAAAAATCAAAAAATTACTACTTTACAGTACTACTTAAGGAAAAAAGTAAAAATCAAAAAAAAAAATTTATGTCATTTTCGAAATCAGCACCCTCGATTATCCTAATTTCACACTTGCATCGAAGAAAAATAATACTTTTCGCTTTCGCCAATCGTTCTTTTCCCCAAAGGGCCGAATCCGAGTTTTTATCGAATAAATATATTGTAACCTACGAGAAATGTTGGATAATTGACGAGAATGATAACAGAGGGTCTAGCTTTGTGGCTCGAGTGAAATTTTTGGGAAAATTTTTCCGGGATCAACTTTTTTTTGCAATTTATATTATCCATGTTGCAGAAGAAGAAACCGGTTGAAGAGGTGTGCCGAAAGCCCTGGTATCGTTGGGAAAATGACGTCCGAAAACTCACCGCCATGCTGAATGTTCCCGCACCTCGAGATGGCCCTCGAAGATATTACAAACTCTTCGAACGACACAATAATGAGGCCATTCAGGTAATCATGGATACTGTCATTTAAAAATTAATGTTATTTTGTTTTGTATATATAATAAAATGATCATTGGACATGCAGAGAGCGATTGGTATTGGAATTCCTCGACAATTTCAGCATTTTTTTTTCTACCTAGTACAACATCAGACCTCAACTACAACATCGAATAACGTCGATTTTTTAGCGCTTTGACCAAATGCGATCCCCATTCACTGTTTCGAACCTCCCAATGGCGGCTCCTCCGCAATACCAAGCGGGCCCGTTGTACAGCCCCATCGTAGCGCCCTATCCACCAGTCAACATCCGCCTTCCATAAGCTTCACATTGTTTTGTTTGTGTTATGTTGTCATTTTCATCTGTTGTGGATTTATAAAACAAACTTATTTTGTAACGAACGGCCATTTGTTTCCGATTTTGGATGAGTTTTTGAAGGAATTTTATATTGCACTAGGCAGCTGATACTGATATATGAATTTTCTAACTTTTTTAGCAAGAACTGGAAGACAGATGATGGGAAAAAGTGGTTCTCGACGGTTAAAACGAAGCTGTTGACGTTGTCCGTATTTTACAAAAGAAATACGGTAGTTTGCTTACGCCCCACCGCGAAAACGTTGAATGCCAAATTGTGTTGGCATTCTGTTTCTTCACGTTTTTTCTCTGCTTCTTGTCGCAAACCGAAAGATTAGCAGCTAGTTATCGATAAAACAGAAAAGTCAACTAATTTATCGACCGGTCGACTTGACCATGGACGACCGAATGGAGTTTTCGGCTGATGAAAATGCGCACGTCAGTTCTGAGTGTTGTTGATGGTCGTTTCGATAAATTTCGTATTAGAAATGGGGGTAGCTCTTTGGAGATTTTCGCCGGACCCTCTTTTGTTGTTCTCTTTGGCCGTGACAGTGTTTGTGATGGTGCTAATTTCATTTTTTTTCTCTTTTCGATTTCGGTTAATTTTATCCGCTTTTGACCCCGTTTGAAGGCCGGAGATTTCGTTCCAAAAAGGCTGTGAGTAATGTGGAAATTTTGGAGAAAACGTGTGGTCAAATACGAGAAAGTGGGTAAAGTTAATTGCAGGGCATGTGTAGATAAAAAAGTCGTTTATTTTTATCATGGATAAGGTCCAGGAAAAATTATTTTTCTCATCTAAACGAAGGTCATTTTATGCTTTTCTTTTTTGAACAAGTTAGTAAGGCCTTTAATCTTGCTTAGTAAAGGTTTTTAAATCAAGAAAATTCCTATTCTCAAGCCGAAAACCCGATTATATTACACATGCCCGCTAAATTGATATTGTCGCGTAAATCTTCTTAGAAGCGATTTTAATGTATAGTTTATGTTTGGAGACTGAACACCTTGCTTATTCTGTAAATATTTATTTTGTTCAAATTTCCATTTCCATCTTTTTATGCGATTGCAACATTATTTCGTAATTTTTAGAATTGTGAAACAGAAGGTCAAAACGGACGCTTGATACGAAACGAAAACATCCCAACGTATTCTCATACGTTAGTTGAAGGTGAAACGTAAGTATTTAGGTTATTTTTGCTTTGAGTTTTAGGTGTCTCGTCATGAAACTTTTTGATATTCCACTAGACGAAAATGCTCATAAATTTATACTCAGTTCCTCGAAATCACTCTAATTTTGCTTTGATAGGCACGGTTATAGTGCATTTTTGCTTTTGGAAAATTACTTGACCACTTTCAGTCAAAACTTTGCACAGAATCAAAGTTTTTGGACCCCTCAACCTTTTGACTTTGGCCAGAATTTTCTAAGCGACACGTCGCAGCCCAGAGGCTACAGCCATCAACGCCAACATTCCATAGCGACTGCCGAGCCGTTTATTGACTTCCAACCTCAAACCAGTCAATTTGGCCAATTCCAGCCAGCGGTTTCGGCCAAAGCCAACGGATCACAGCTAGCTCAATCTCAGAGTTTTATTGGGCAGAGACAGGTATGAATTTCGAATCATAATGTGTGGTTGGAGCCTTAAGAAGGTTAATGATGATGTTTGAGAGGTATCGGAAGAAAATTTTATATTATACTAGACATCAGATGCCAAGTGTAATATAATTTCTCCAAAATGTTGGCTTAGTTTTACATAAAATCTTTGTTGATTAGTAGCCAGTTCCTTAATCTACATTATAAATCAATTTGGCGACCTCCCCATCCATCTGAATAGTAGTTTTTATGAAAAAACAGGGCTTTCACCCCGGAAAAAATCGGCCATTGACCAGCCCGATCGGTCTTTGTGGTCAGAATGAGAGAGGAGGAAGCTGAGTGGAGAGCAGCTGGAGGTCAGATCGGCTTTTTGAAAGCGATCGAAAGCCCCCGCTCGACTTGTCTTTGTCTAAAATATGGTTTTAATGCGGGATTTTTGGAAAGTTTTGGGGATTTTTACGGGTTTTCAGGGATGATTGTGAGATTTTGGAGGGTCTTTGGGCTATTTGACTGTATGTTGTTTGCAAATTTCGAAGTTGCTATTGTAATCGTGATTTTTTTATTTGATTTTTAATGGGTTTTTGAATTTAAAATGCCATATTCTTTGGTGAAATGCCTTTGTTTAGGATTTTAGTCCAATATTAAGTCGTTTGGTTGGATTTTACAGCCAAAGTTTATATTACTTTAGCCGTTTTTGGCAAAATTTTAAAAAAATATGTGTTGTCATATACAGCTCTTTGCTGAAATTGCCGCAATCTGTACCTGAGGTTATCTCTTTTCACCCAATTTATCAGAAAAAGAGACAACGGGCTCAGGGAGAGATGTTCGGACAACAAATTATATTGTAGTAGATGAAGGTCTAAAGTAATATAAAATTTGGTCCATAAACTGTCGTAGTAGAAGCTAGTAGAAGATATCAGTGAATTCGAATAGTTGATGACACAGTTGAGACTTTTTTAGGCGGAGAATTTAGTTATTCTTCACTTTAATTATAGCTAATAACCCGAAAATTAGTGGTTTCATAGTAAAATAATGATGTAATAGATGAATGCATGATGATTTCGTACTCTATAGAGGACAATTGGACTATTTATACCGGTAAAAATATATATTTTTTTGAACTGAAAATTTTTATTTTTCAAAATTTGAACCAAAAATATTATCCACATTTTTTTTTCAAGATGCAATGTTAATAATGAGCAAGCCGAAAGCCCGCAAAGGTCGTGCTCGCTCGTTTAAGAAATGAAATTGAAACAAACAGGGATTTAGAACGTGACATTCGAGCCCTTACACATGCTGATTACATTTAAAAACGGGAGATTACAGTCCGAAAACTGGGCACGAAAACGTTTTGACAAGAACATTAAAGCGATAACATGTGATTAAAGAGGGTCTTAAGTTTGAAAATGCAGGACAAAGGTATTATGGTCCATTTTTGGAGATCCTGATACAAAATGGATAAAAGAAGGTGAAATTTGATGAAAAACAAGTGTTTTGTGATAAAATGGGGACTATAATTTTGTTTTGATAATAGTTTGGTTCTGGGAAATGAATATGAAGTCATGAGTTTTGTGGATTTAGCTAAAAAACATCAGAAAATTTGTCCTAAGGCGTTACGGCCTTACGCTTAAGGTTTTGATGATTTTTAGGCAAAGATTCATCGTTTTTGGATCTTACAGATGAATTTTTGTTGGTAAAATACGTTGAATTGCTTTTTTTGAACACAAAAATTGACGTCGTGATAAGAATTTACTAACTTTTTATATTATTTTAGCCAACTGATGGCCCAAAAATGAAAAAAATTACTAGAAATATAAATATTGTTGGATTTTTTTGTCAAAATCAAAGTTAACCGCAAATTACAGTGACGGCCCTGATCCAGCGGCAAAAAACGTACCATTTTGCATTCGCGAGGCATCAAAAAAGGTAGCAAAATGTCTTCCTCTCCAATTAAAAAGCTCCTTTTTGAAGAGCGCGGTTTTGAAAACGGAGTTCTTTCAGATGGAGAGGAAGGCCTTTTTCTACATTTTTTGATACACCCCGGATGCAAAATGTACGTTTTTTTGCCACTAAATCAGGTCCACCACTGTAATTTGCAATTAATTTTGATTTTGACAAAAAAGTCTAACACGATTTATATTTTTGGTGATTTTTTTTTCATGTTTGGGTCATCAGTTGGCTAAAATAATATAAAAAGTTGGTAAATTCTTGTCAGAACGCCAAGCTTTGTGTTCAAAATAGTCGTCCAAGCTCAATATTTGACAGTAAATTACCTTGATGTTTTGCCGCGAAGACATGTAAATCTAAAGGTTCATGACGCAATGAAGCCTTCAAGTATTTGGTACACCCTGTATAACATCTCTGCAAAATGAAATGACACAAAATCCCTGAAAGTTTAATGCACAAGTATAGGACTAGCTGCAAAGCGCATTAGAATATTCCAAAACGAACGGATTTTAGGGTTGTAAAACATATTGGATTCAAGTTTGGGATTAATTTGGCTGATTGTTTGGGGGTTTTCGGCGGAAAATGCGTTACTTTGATTTTTTTGGATGGCACGGAGTAGGTTGAAGGCCTTTAGTTGGAAATTAGTTTATTTTTATTGAGAAATGACTGAAGTTTGACCGGTAAATTTAAGGAAATATGCTTTTTTTGCCATGGATAATATAATTTTGTGGGATTTTTGTTTAGTCCATGGTATTATTTAACCTGATATGGGATGAAAAGGTTAGATATGGTCCGAAAAGTCTATTAATTTTTGGTATACCCCTTATTTGGCGTAATTGTGCTTATTTTTGCACATATAGCGCGGAACAGGATCCAGTGTTCAAAAGTGCTTATGATTGCGTCCGGGAGGCATTCGGAATACCACTAAATACCTCCCTCTCTGTCCGAAAATAGCGTTGTTTTCGAGAGTGAACGAAAAAGTTGCCCTTTTGGAAAGAAAATAGAGGGAACGAGGCATTGAATTCGTCCCCTCTTTCCAAAAGGGCAACTTTTTCGCTCTCTCTCTCATTCGAAGAACGCTATTGTCGGTCAGGGAGGGAGTTATTTAGCGGTATTCTGAATGCCTCGCTGGTGGAATCAGACGCACTTTTGACCACTGGATCCTGTACCGCGCTGTATGTGCAAAAATATGCACGATTACGCCAAATAAGGTGTATATCGAAAATTATTGGACTTTTCAGACCATATCTAACCTTTTCATACCATATCAGGTTCAATAATGCCATGGACTAAACAAAAATCCCACAAAATTATATAGAAGAGGGAAGCATTTTGTAGCATTTTGAATGCCTCGCGGGTGGAATCAGACGCCCTTTATAGCGCTGGCTTCTGTCCTGCACTATACTTAAATTTTGAAAAAAATGAATATTTTTGAAATTTGCAGCAATCCCTTCCCGAACGTTCAGTCCCCTACTACTACGTCGACCATCCTCCCCCACCCAAGCATCCCCATCTGCGAGGAATGTCCACCTCTCAGGTCGCCTCCTCATCCCATTTGAGGGCCAAAAAAGACGATCACTCCGCATTTCCGTCAACCTCCAACCCCCAAATGCTCTCGTCTCAACATCCGATGGACGTGAGCCAAGCGGAGCCGAAGAAGAAGGAGATTTACGTGTACTCGTCCCCGTTCAACTTGTATGGAATGGCCTGGTCCACCAGGCCGGAACCCGAAAATAAGTTCAGATTGGCGGTCGGAAGCTTCATCGAGGAGTATAATAATAAAGTAAGGGGTCTGGAAATCTATTTATAAGCAATTTTTATGAGAAAGAATTGATTTGAGACTGTCATTTTGCTGTTTTCAGCGAAATTTTGTCATGGTTAATATAAAAAATTTGATTTTTTATCAATTTTGTTTGATTTTTTGGGATAAAAAACGTTTATGATGACTAGTAATGGCATTTAGAAGAGTTTGAATGCTGAAAGTGAAGTTAAAATTCGAGTTTTTACATAAATATTGCTTTAGATCAGCTTAGTCCAACTTCGCGAGGATGTCGGTGAATTCAAGCACCTGGGCACCTTTGATCATCCCTATCCCGCGACGAAGGTACTCTGGATCCCGGACAAGAAAGGACGGTACCCGGACTTGATCGCTACCACCGGGGATTACCTTCGAATCTGGGCCGTCGGAGGTCCGCACGGCGCGGTTTTTGAGTCAATGCTTGATAATGTAAGTGAAATATGGGTTAAAACTTAGTCTGTTAGAGATGTGGAGAAATTTTGAGCCTTATAGCATGTTTTTTTTTGTTAAAAGCCTTTGAAAATGACATTTTTTGATACTTTTTTGAATTTGACCTCATGGATAATGTAATCTTTTTAAAATTTCCCCAATTTCAGAACCGCAGCTCTCAATATTGCGCCCCACTGACCTCAGCAGACTGGAATGAAGTCGAGCCGAGCTTGATTGCCACCTCATCCATCGATACGACTTGTACAATTTGGGAAATTGAGGTAATTTTTTGGGGTATTTTTTTGTTTTTACGTAAATTTTATCTTGTGTTTTTTTTGCTTGCAAATACGATTGTCGTTCGACTTTAGACGGGAAAACCCATCGCCGAGAGAAAACCGACCAAAGGAAATGTGAAGACGCAACTGATTGCACACGATCGGGAGGTTTTCGACATTGCATTCTCGAAAATCAACAGCGGAAAAGATGTGTTTGGCTCGGTGGGAGCGGACGGCTCGGTCCGAATGTTCGACATCAGACATATGGAGTACTCGATGATTGTTTTCGAAGAGCCAAATCGAAAACCGCTGCTTCGTCTGGCCTTCAATCAGCATGATCACAACTACCTGGCAACTTTTGCTCAGGATTCTCCGGAGGTACGTTAGAAGGCGAATTTTTTGAGTGAATTAGCAACTGTAGGTCTCTATGTGGCTGTCGGCAGCCATTTGAGATATGAATTTGGCGATTTTTTGAGTGAAAATCGAGTTTTTAAGACAAAATAGACCAATTTTGTCAAGTGTAATGTAAAAATGATAAAAAATTACCTTCTAGGTTTATATAATTGACATACGAATCCCGTCCATCCCCGTTGCCACCCTCAAGAACCATTGCGGAGCCGTGAATGCCATCAGTTGGGCCCCACATTCGTCTTGTCACATCTGCACCGTGGCCGAGGATAAGCAAGCGCTGATTTGGGATGTTCACAATATGCCGAGACCGGTGGAAGACCCAATTCTGGCTTATTCGGCGGCTGGAGAGGTAAGAATGAGCTAGGAGTTTGGTTTGGGGAAATTGGGTGGGTTTGGGCAGAATGCCAAAAGTCGTGGTGGGACCCAATGACAGATGAGATGTGGATGTAAAAATGAATGGGAAATAGAGGAAATGGACTGGGTATGCAGTTAAAAGTCTTTTTTGAGTTAATGGGGACGTTTTATACGCTGAAAGGTGTTTTTTGGAAAAAATTGTAACTTTTCTTTAATTTTGGGGCTGATATTAAATAATTGATTGTATTTCCAGATAAACCAAGTGGAATGGTCCTCGTCGATGACTGACTGGATCTCCATCAGCTACGGCAAAAAACTCGAGCTTCTCCGGGTATAGCCGCCTAGAATAAGGTCGCCGAGGCTCGGTAACCCCGCTTACCGCGTGTATCATATGGGTCGACGACAGGATTGAGTATACTGCCATCTATTCTTAGCTTTTTATCAACTTCATAACGAGTTTCGCCGCTTTTTTTCAAGATTTATATGGTTTTATTTGATCTAATATGGGTCCCGAAGGGAAATTTGTTGAGAATTTTATTTTTTGTTTGAATAAAGTTGGTTATGGAAGTTGGAGGATTTTTGAGGGTAATTATGAATATTTTTGGGTAAAATACGGGTGTGAAAATGTGTTTTTTACTAAGAAATTTTTCGAAAATGAAATTTTTTTTTGGTTTTTTATGTAAATGCCCTTAGGCAAGATAATAAAAAAAATTTTTTTTGCTGTTGAACAGATAATATCTTACAATTTTGAAAAGAAATATGTCTCAAACAAGAAAATTTTTTTTGCTCTAATTGCTGATATTGCACATGAGACATTCAGATGATCCTAATTTGTCTTGTATTCCGTGCGGAACACTGAGACACTTCAATTCGAATTACACTCCTCATTAGCAGATGTTTGATCGCCGACCCTGATCCTTTCTCCGATCGCCCCCCCCCCCTTTTTTCAACAGAGGCGGTATAAGAAGGCATTTGGCTCCTCGGACTATTTATCTGCTTCTCTTTGTTTCTTTTCCCCATCCGGTTTCTGTTGGCCATTTGACCCGGGCGATTTGCATAAACGACGAAGAGATTTTTTTTGCACAGTGCAAAACATTATAGCGAAAATGTTCTTTTTGCACTGTGCGGAGGGAAAGTTATTTTTTTGCACAGTGCAAGATGATTTTTTTTTGATGCACAGTGCGAACTAATTTTTTTTTTGCACTGTGCGAAGTAAACTATTTAATTTTGTTGCACAGTGCGGAAGATTTTTTTCACTTTACGGAAGGAAAATATTTTTTTGCACGGTGCGGAGGGAAAACAATTTTTTTGCACAGTCCGGAATAGAGCAACTTTTTGCACAGTGCGAAATAAACTAATTTTGTTGCACTGTGCGGAAGATGTTTTTTCACTTTACGGAAGGAAAATGTTTTTTTTGCACTGTGCGGAGGGAAAACAACTTTTTTGCACAGTGCAAAATAAATTTTTTTTGCACAGTGCGACAAAATTTTTTGCACAATGCGAAATGAAATAATTTTTTGCACTGTGCGAGATTCTTTTGGCATTTTGCGTAATTTTTTGCACAGTGCGACAGAATTTTTTTTGCACTGTGCGAAATGAATTATTTGCACGGTGCGGCAAAATTTTTTTTGCACTGTGCGAAATAGAGTAAATTTTTTGCACAGTGCGAAATAATAAATAAAATAATTTTTTGCACAGTGCGACAGAACTTTTTTTAGCACTGTGCGGAGGGAAATAAATTTTTTGCACAGTGCGAACTGAAAAATATTTCTCTGCACGGTGCGAAAAATAAAATTATTTTCTTTAATTTCAGAAATCGAAACCGGTGTGCTTCGATGAGTTTTTTTGCCTCTTGCATCGACCGAATTGAACCTTCCACCAGCCATGAAATCGAGGAGAGTGCAATTGATTTGAGGACTAAACGTGAGTACTGTAAATTAATGATACCATATTAAATTTTGAGATATTTTTTGTGAAAAAAACTGAAAATTATTTTGTGAGGCTAACGGCGGAGACATTTTATACGATCAAATGTGTCTTTCAAGAAAGTTTTAAAGTCGCTTAAAATTTATTTTTTAGGTTCGAAAATACAAATTCTTCACTCAGAAGATTTTCTGCTGTCTATTCTTTGATATTTGAGGGTTATTTTTCGGTTTCCCGATCAAAAATTATATTATCCATGACAAAAATTTTGATCAAATTTTAGCTAAAATTTAAAATTTGGACTTTAAGAAGGCTAATTTATGATACTAGACTATTCTTTTCTACTCTTACTTGTTTTTTGATCAAAAATTATATTATCCATGACAAAAATTTTGATCAAATTTTAGCCGAAATTCAAAATTTTTACTTGAAGAAGGCTAATTTATGATACTAGACTATTCTTTTCTACTCTTACTTGATTTTTTATCCAAAATTATATTATCCATGACAAAAATTTTGATCAAATTTTAGCCGAAATTCAAAACTTTTGGACCTGAAAAGAGCCGTTAATGTGTTTAAAATTCAATTCTACGCCACATCCTTTCCAATTTCAGGGATTCCCTACCATTCCGAGCAATTTTCGGCGCTCAGAAATTTCATCCATCAGGTCCGGAAGGAGCTGTATTCAACGCCCCTCCTGCAACGCGACTACCTCCCAAATCTCGGCTCGCACGAGTTCTCGCACGCAGCGAGGCGATTGTGCTTCGGTCCGTCGCATCCCATCCTCCAACAGCACCGTATTTTGGGCATCCAGACCATCGGCGGATACGGCGCCCTTCAAGTGGCGGCCCATTTTTTGGCCCGAAAAGTCCATCTGAACCGAATTTATATCCCACAACCGACTTGGGGCGAACATCACGACATTTTCGCATCCTATGGATTCCTAGTGATAGGGTTGGGGTGGAAGAAATGCGATGAAATCGGATGCGGATTCATTGAGGAGGTCCGAAATGCGGAGAAGAGGTAAAATAAAGTCGGAAATGGAAGTTGAAGCAAGAATTTTGGGTTAAAAAATATTTTTTATCAAATTTTATGAGTTTTTACGCAAGTTTCAACAGTTAAATCGTGTCTTTTTGAAAAAAAAACTTTCAAAGTTTAGTCATCAAAGAAATTTTTTTTTTTTTGAAAAAAGGTTATTTTGGTGTTCTAAACAAGAGAAAATGATAATTCAAAGCACAATCCGGAATTGGATTTTCGATTTTTCAAAAAAAAATAGAAAAAAAAATTTGCACTGTGCGGAGAAAAAGAGCTTTTAATTTTCCGCACAGTGCAGAAAAAACCCCATTTTGCACAGTGCATTTCACCGTTAGTTTGGTTTTCGCACCGTGCATCGAAATATCGCCGCGACACATTTCATTTTTTTTCAACTGCCTCGTCGCGATTTCGCTCAAATTTTTCCACAGTGCAAACGGATTTTTTGTGGTTTGCACGGTGCGAAAAGAGAAAAAAATGCACTGTGCGTTGGCGACAAGCGTGGGAAAATGTTCAAAATGCATTGTGCAAAAACAGCGTTTGTGAAGTTTGCACGGTGCAAAAAGAGAAAAAAATGCACTGTGCGTTGGTGCCAGCGTGGGAAAATGTTCAAAATGCACTGTGCAAACGGTTTTTTTTGTGTTTTGCACGGTGCGAAAAGAGAAAAACTGCACTGTGCGTTGGCGACAAGCGTGGGAAAAAAATTCAAAATGCACTGTGCAAACAGCAGTTTTCAAATTTGCACCGCGCAAAGTTCAAAATGCACTGTGCGAAAGAGAGCAAATGTCCATGCACTTTATGAAAATACTAATATCCGGAATTCAAATTCGGATTTTTCAAAAAAAAAAAAAAAAAAATTTGCACTGTGCAAAAAAATAAAAACAAAATTTTCATCTCCGCACAGTGCAAAAAAAATTTTTTTTTTTTGAAATTTCCAACAATCATCTTCAATTTTCCAGATCCGCGATTCTTCTCCAGCCCTCAGCACACAATCCGACCGGACGAAATCTCTCCAAATCCGAGTGGATGGAGCTTTTCGAGGTGCTGATTGAGAGAGAAATCGTCCCGTTGTTCGACATGGCCTATCAAGGGCTTGGCCAAGGCCTGGCGGAGGACGCGTGGCCAATCCGAGAGTTCGCCAAAACGGACCGCGAATTTTTGGTGGCCCAGTCGTTCGCGGCCAACTTTTATTTGTTCGGTAGGGTTACTGTAATTTTTTGAAAAAAATTTTGTTTCAAAAAAAAAATTTTTTTTTTGATTTTTTTATTTTTAAATACTCAAAAATCTCATTTTTTAATCGCCTCTTTTCAGACGAATCACTTGGCCATCTGATCTGCGGGATTTTGCCGAACCAACCGCAGAAAGTCATCGAGAATACGTACACAACTTTTGCCCGAATAGTCCAAGTTAAGTGGGCCAACCCGGCGTTTTTCGGATGTCGATTGGTGGCGGAGGTGTTGGAGTCGCCAAAACTCCTCGAAGAATGGAAAAATGCCCTCAGGGCGGTCAGAAATGAGCTCGACAATGAGAGAAATGCACTAAAAATGGCGCTGGAAACGCGAAAATTGGCTGGGCCCGCAAAATGCCTGGGGCAATCGCAAGGAATTTACGTTCAAATTGAGCTTCAAGGTATGTAGTTGCAGTATACAATTGAAATCTGAGCCTAATTTGAAGAGTTGGGTCACAAATTTATATTATGCTAGATAGACCGGAGACCAATTTCAGACGACGAAATTCGAAAGCTCCGCAGCGATCATAGAGTATATGTGGAAGAAAATGGATCGTTGTGCCTTGCCAACTTCAACAACACCAACAGATCGCTGTTTTGTGACGCTTTGGAACAAGTTTTGTCATCCAATTCCAATAACAATTACCAGGAAAATGCACCTCTAAATTGATGGCACTGAATAGAAAAATTGCGTCTAAATACCTCAAAATACCCATTATGTAATAAAATGTATCATGCATTATTCGATTTTAGTTTAATTGGCGATTTTTTGACAAGAATATTGCGGATGTCTCAAGTATAATATAAGATTCCCATTTTTTCTCTACGAAAATGTCTGGGAGAGCTAAGGAAGTTTCTCGTATTCTACAAAGCTCTTCGTTAGCTACGATTTGAGGCATTACAGATTATCCGGGCCTTAGTAATTCTAACATTATGACCTAATCTTCGCCCCTATGTGCAATATAATATTGTAGTCATTGTCATAGAAACCGACTAACCTTTGCAGGAAATATAACTTGAATAACAACGGATAATCGGTTTAGCACGGACAGAATCAGGCGACCAGACAATTTAGACCAAAAGTCACATTATCTTATATTATAGTAGACGCTGATGAAAATCCTGGTAAAAAATAAGTTTTTGCATGGCAATTTTCGGTGATTTCGCATTTTCTGAACCAAAGGCAGTCTTCTCCTGTCATCTAGCCGCATTTTGTACACAATTACCGCTAATTGGCTGCATAAGATACGATTTGAACGAAGTGTCAAAAAACCGATAAACTTTTGGCATTTCGTTCACACATGTCTGGAATAAAAGAAATTGCCTTTTGCACTCTTCCGAGGGTCTAGATACGTTTTTTTCTTGAGGGCGCGTGACGGATCCCGACTTTTTACATTACCATTGAACAATCCGAACTCATGCTGAAGTTGTTTTAGGTTCGGTCGATGCGCAGTTGTTTTGCTCGGTAATCCGGTGGAAACTGAAGAAACATTGGCGAGAAATCTAAACTATGATGAGCAGGGTGGGTTCTTCTATTTATTTTTTATTTGTTTTATTAGAATAGCTAGAAATTGGGCGAGTTTCTTCAAATTTTATTTTTTGTGTCATGTGCAATATAAATTTTCTCCAAAATGTGTCTTCAAAGCATGGGATTTTTTGTTTTATTGATTTCAGACTTTTCGCTTCCCTCGAGGGCTTAATCTTCCCAAAAACACTTTGAAATCCATGGAAAATTCCACGTTTCCCGCGATCCTCATGTTTAATATAAAATGTTTTTGTTTCAGCGCAGAATGAGTGCCAACGAGAGCTTAGAATCCGCACACCCTTCAGACAGCTTTAACGTCAGCTACTCCAGCAGTTCGTCAAACATGATGGAGACGATTTCCAGCCAGAACAGTCGAGTAACTGCAGTAACCTCTAAATTACAATGGAAAATTGATCAGGTGTGTGTTTTGGATATTTCTTTATTTGTTTTTAGGTCGTAGATGTCTTTGGAAATGTGTTGAAAGGCTTTTGGATGTTTTTAAAGCTTGTTTATGGGTTTTAAGATGAAAGATTTAGCGTTTTCTCAGCTGCTGGATGTACAAGACAGTTTAGGTATTTTAAATAGGAATTTTGCCCTAAATGATCTCTAAATTGGTATTCTGAGCTGCTCCATAAATTATTCTTGCGAAAAAAGTTAAAAGTTTTACGATAGGGCTATCGTTTTGTCAGAAATTAGCAAATCCATTTCACCTCCCATGTACAATATAACAATATAATTCATGTCAAAGATTTATGTTTTCAGTTTGAGCGACTGACTCGTCTGTACAGAAATAACAAGTCTATGGTCAGCGAGACGTTTTCTTCACCTTTGGCGTCAAATGTTGTTTGGGAGCTACACATTTATCCGAATGGGAAACGAGAGGAAGATGTTGGATTCGTTTCGTTCTTTCTTCGACAAGTTGGGTTAGCGGTGAGTCTGTGGGATGTTCGTAAAGTTTTGAAATGATTTTTGTTTGATTCTGGGGTCATGTTCGCATCTTTTGGCGAGCTTTTTGGATCTTCTCTAGTATAATATAATTTCACACCAAAATAAGGTAAAATTGTTGTTTACAGGACGGAGAAGCCCTCACCGCCGACTTCCAAATCTACGTGGTCGATCACACCGACAGGCCGTCGAATGTTTGCCGAGATTGTAAAGATTTTACCCATCAACAAGGTCGAGGGAAATTTCAAGTGGAAAGGGATCGTTTATTGCAATGTCTAAAGCTGGATGGGAGTTTGTATGTGTGTTGTGAAGTGGAGTACCTTCCAATGGGCATCTGCAAGTCGGATGAGGAACGACCGCCGTGGGAATTCACGGACAAAACCAGTGCAAGGTTAAAGGAGACGTTGAGGCGAATGTATGATGAAAGTATACTAACTGATCTCGAAATTCAGGTAAGTAGAGGTGTAGTTGTGGTCTGAAGAGATTTTAGAGACTATTTTGAGGGTTTTTGGATATTACACTTGTCGAAATTTGGCTGAAAATTTAATTTTTTGCTGGTTTATTAATTAAATTCTTCATTTTCAGGTGGGAAGTAAGTCCTTCCAAGCACACAAAGCAGTCCTAGCCCAAGCCAGCTCCGTTTTTCGATCAATGTTCTCAATAAACATGAAAGAATCCACTGAAGGCATATTAACCATCCCAGATTCGACTCCAGCTGCTATCGCAACGATGCTCGACTATCTGTACTGTGGCGTCGTTGATCAAGGAGCATTCGAGAAGCACACGGTAGACATTTTGGTCCTGTCACAGAAGTATGATGTCCCTGGGTTGAAGGAAGAGGCCGAAAAAATTTTATCAACCAGGATTACGGCGAAGAATTTCACGGAATACCTGGATTTGGCCGATGTCCACGAATGTTCGAGGCTTATTGCGGTAGGTGGAGGGGCTTTGGAGGTAATTCAACGGGTTTTTGAAGGTTTTGGATATTATTTTAGACAAAAGTTTTAATTTTTTTTGATTTTTCGGTTATTTTTTGAGGTACTTTAGCTGAAATTGGTTGTTATAGCGTGTAAATGACCTCTGTTTTTTTCAGGAGTGCCGTCACTTCTTGATCACAAATTACGAAGAGATTGTTGCATCTTCGGACTGGATGGCACTGAAGAAAACCAACCCCGAGTTGATCAACAAGGTCCTGGAAAAAGTTGTGGAGGACCGAATTGTCTACCCATCAAGAGCTCTGAATTGTAAGTTGATTTGATATGATTTTTTTTTAGTGTTTTAGGAGACTTTGGATATTATAGTAGGCATGGATGTGAAAAAAGCGATTTTTCATGGGGTTTTTATAGAAGTGTGTGGATATTAAGATGGAATAGGAAGTAGAATACTTATTTCGGATTGCAATGAACTTTTATTTTCAGCCTTCCGATCCCTGGATTATTCGGATTCCACCAGGGATCACCTTGGTCCCCCCTTACCAAAACGCCCACGTCGTCGATGCGTGCAGTGAAATGAAGTTGCCCATCCCATTCCAGTTCTTCCAACGATCAGAATACGGTTAAGCCATTAAATTAATTTTTATGAAATGTTTTTTTGTACACACAGATTATAATAAAACTTACATGCTAACCAAGTTTTGGCGAATTTTTTGTTTTTTTACAAGTTTTTTGCTGATGCAGTATCTTTTATATCGCATATAGATGGAACAGAGATAACGCTAGGAAGGATATGAATGTTATTTAGCAAAAAAGTAAGGTGCTGCGGAGGATCTATCTCTGATTTAGACATCAGATGGTGACCTAAAGTAATATCAGTTTTATTGAAGGATTTGTTGTTGAAAAAACTTGTGTCGCGGCGACATTTCCTATGCACAATGCAAAAATAAAAAAAAGAAGAATTGCACCGTGCAAAATGATGTGCTTTTGTGCACAGAATGTCTATACACTTTATTAAAATACTAGTATACTTGACAATCTACTGGCAATCTATTCCTTGACAATCTACGGGGCTCCGAGGATCTGCTTCACCTTCTTGACCACGTGGTCCTTGGTGGGCAAGGAGGCGGTCTCCAAGTTCAACGCATACGGCATGGGGATGTCGACGCCGGTGATTCGGCTCACTGGGGCGTCCAGCTGGTCGAAGGCGTCGGATTCCATGAACTGGGCGCTGATTTCGGCGCCAATCCCGCAGAAGGGCCAGCCACACTCGACGGTGACCAACCTGTGCGTCTTCAACACCGACGCTTTGATGGTGTCGAAGTCGAGAGGGCGCAGAGAGCGGAGATTAATCACCTTTAATATACGTGTAGTATAGTTAAATGGCGGAGTTGGTCCAGTGGCAAAAAACGTACCATTTTGCATCCGGGGTGTTTCAAAAAATGTGGCAAAATACCTCCCTCTCGAAGTGAAAAAACTCCGTTTTGAAGAGCGCTTTTTGAAACGGAGTTTTTTCACTTGGAAAGGGAGGTATTTTGCCACATTTTTTGATACCTCCCGGATACAAAATGGTATGTTTTTTGCCACTGGATCAGGTCCTCCACTGTACCTATCAGGCTCGATCCTTACCTCACAGTTGATTCCGCTTTGGGCCAGCTCTTCAGCGCCCTTCAGAGCAAAATGAACGGCCATGGAGTGAGCGACGAGCGTAATGTCGCCACCCTCTCTTTCAATCTTTGCCTTTCCGATCGGAATCGTGAAGTCCTTATCCTGCGCTTCGTCCGACACCGGGAAACTGTAGCCGTAGAGCATCTCGTCCTCCAGGACCACGACTAAAAAGTCGTGTTAAAACACAGCGCCCTCCTACCTGGGTTATCATCACGAATCGCGGCCTTCAACAGCCCTCTGGCATCCTCGCAGTTGTAGGGCGCCACGACTTTGAGGCCGGGACAGTGCGCGTACCAGGCCGAGAAGTCTTGACTGTGCTGCGCGGCGACGCCGGTCGCCCAGCCGTTGGGGCCGCGGAAGACGATTGGGACATTACACTGAAAGGGATTCAAATTCAAGGTTATGCATTTTGAATTTGAGCCTGTTTTGCGCTACTATTCTGTCGGGAAAATATTAAAATTCGTTGCGAAAGAACTTTTTTGATATCATCGAGAATTATTGGGCGATTCACAGATCACAAAATTTAACTTCAGACTTTTCTGCAAGATTAAAAATTTTAGCATGCATATCAGTCTGTCGGGAAAATAATGTGGATTTGTCGCAGTAAAATGTCTCGCCTTGTCACAGTTGCATCAAATTTCGAGCCGCAACTAGCCATCGCAAACCGATGATACACGATTCCAAGGCGCGACAAATCCACATTATTTTCCCGACAGATTGATATGCATGCTAAATTTTTTTAAATCTTGCAGAAAAAATCAGAAGTTAATTTTTGTGATCTGTGAATCGCCCAATCAGTCTCGATGATATCAAAAAAAGTTCTTTCGCAACCAATTTTTCATGCCCTTTTGATCGGAGGAGCCAAAAAAGTTGGTAAACAAGGAAGCGACTGATCTAAAAAGTTCAGAAAAATTGTTTTTAGTCCATATTTTTTACAGAGTGCATAGACATTTGTCGCGTTCCGCACCATGCACAAACAATCCCCATTTTGCACTGTGCGTTTAATTTTTTTTTGGTTTTGCACTGTGCATCGAAATATCGCCGCGATTTTTTGAAGAAAAAATGCACTGTGCGTTAGCGACAAGCGTGGGAAAAAGTTCAAAATGCACTGTGCGAAAGGCTTTTTCTGTGGTTTGCACCGTGCGAAAAAGAAAAATGCACAGTGCGAACGGTTTTTTTGAGGTTTGCACTGTGCGAAAAGAGAAAAAATGCACTGTGTGTTGGCGACAAGCGTGGGAAAAAGTTCAAAATGCACAGTGCGAACGGTTTTTTTTTGAGGTTTGCACTGTGCGAAAAAGAAAAATGCACTGTGCGAACGGCTTTTTTGTGTTTTGCACTGTGCGAAAAGAGAAAAAATGCACTGTGCGTTAGCGACAAGCCTGGGAAAAAGTTCAAAATGCACTGTGCGAATGACATTTTTTGGGGTTTGCACCGTGCGAAAAGAGAAAAAATGCACTGTGTGTTGGCGACAAGCGTGGGAAAAAGTTCAAAATGCACTGTGCAAACGGTTTTTTTGAGGTTTGCACTGTGCGAAAAGAGAAAAAAATGCACTGTGCGTCAGCGACAAGCGTGGGAAAAAGTTCAAAATGCACTGTGCAAACGGAGTTTTTTGGGGTTTGCACTGTGCGAAAATAGAAAAAATGCACTGTGCGAGCGGCTTTTTTGTGTTTTGCACCGTGCGAAAAAGAAAAATGCACAGTGCGCTGGCGACAAGCGTGGGAAAAAGTTCAAAATGCACTGTGCGAAAGAGGACAAATTTCCATGCACTTTATGAAAATATTACTAGTCTGTCGGGAAAATAATGTGGATTTGTCGCAGTCACGCGTCAAACCCCAGCCGCACCTAGCCGTCGCAAAACAATAATATGTGATTCCAAGCCGCGACAAATCCACGTTATTTTCCCGACAGACTTCCGAAGCGTCCATGGACTTTATGAAAATACTAACAGTCATCTTCAATGTAAAAATCCTTGCCGTAGGAAAGAAAACAACAAGAAAACAAACGAACCCTGCCCGCCGACATGTAGAACGCCTTGGCGGCGCTGTTGATGATATGATCGATGGATTGCAGGGCGAAATTCCAGGTCATGTAATCGACCACCGGCCTGATCCCATGAAACGCCGCTCCAACCGCGATTCCGGTGAATCCGATTTCGGCGATTGGTGTGTCGATGACTCGTTTGTCTCCGTACTTCTTCCACAGACCTTTTGTCACCTAAAACGAAGAGTTAACTATGCACAAGTCGCATTACTAGGGCTTTTCGAAAGTGAGAAGACTCCTTTTTGGCGAAACTTTTCTGCACTGTGCGTTTGCGACAAAAGTTCCGGATTCACAGTGCGACTGCGAAAAAATGTCCAGGAACTTTTGTGAACGTGCTAATACTCCACATACCCTGTAAGGTCCGTCGAATTGAGCCACTTCTTCGCCAATGATGATCACATTCTCATCTCGGGCCAACTCCTCGTCCAACGCGTTGTGAAGCGCCTCTCGGACTTTTAAAACAGTGCCCGCAGCAGGGGCCTTAATTTGCGCCTCAGCGTAGCCTCGGGAAATCGTCAACGGAGCCTTGGCCAAATTTCCGAGCAATCTGAGTGACATGATGGCTGAAATAGTGGCTGAAAAAAATGGAATTTGTTTATGGTTATGCAAACAAAATTTCTGATAAAAAGTATCCCAGTTGTAGGTTGAAATAGGCACGAAAGCTTTCATGGCAAATTTCGCAAAAAGTATCATATTTTCGCCAACTTTCGAACTAAAAATCTCGGTCGTTTCTGCAAAGCGCGAGCTAAAAATCGCGCTTAAAATTCATCAAAATCTGAGCGTTGCACTTGGAGCACTTTCCCTGTTAATCAATAGGTTTTTATTTCGTCCTGGAAAAAATCATTATCCCCCCACAGCCCGGCCAGGCGATGACCTTTTATTATTGTTTTCCCGTCGAGACTTGGTATGTCTCAGGGCCAGGTTTTCCTAAGTTTTCCGGCCGGGCCCCGGGCTACGATTTTCAGGCCCGGCTCGGCGCGGAGCGGCCCGATTTTAAAGGCGATTCGGTTTACGGTGAATCCTCAAAATACGGCCAAGATTTGAGGAAAAAAATCACTCGAAAATATTGCAAGATTATATTAAAGAAATTAAAAAAAAATGTCTGATATTCCTCCAGAAGAACCGAGGGTTTCTTGGCATCCAATTCCTTGCTGGAGCGTTTTTTTATATAATGAAAATTTCGAAACTTACAAGGGAAGTACCCCAAGTGCGACGCTCAGATTTTCGTTAAATTTTGCACACACGTCGGGTATGGACTAGATATCAATTCCTGAAAGTTTTAGCTCGCGCTTTGCAAGCGCCGCCGAGATATTGAACGATCTTGCCGTCGAGAGAGTACGCTAAACGCGGAGAACGGTCAGTGAGAAAAACACTTTTTGGCCATAACTTTGGCAGTTTCGTGCGGAAAAACTTGATTTTTTGTAGAAACATTATCCTTTACGGTAGAAATAGGCATGAAACTTTTCGTGCCGAAATTCGGCAAAAGTCCTAAATTTTGGCCGACTTTCGATCTAAAAATCTCGGTTGTTTCTGCAAAGCGCGAGCTACGATTCTCGCATATATCTTAGAAAAAATTATTCTAAATTTGTGCCAAGTTTCATCAAAATCTGAGCGTCGCACTTGGAGTACTTTTAATAAATTCGACAAGAAATTTTAGCCGGGCCGGAGTTTCAAAAATCCTCAGGCCCATGCCGGGGAGTTTGGCCCCGGGTTGGTCCGGGTTTTATTTTGAAGCCAATCCTACTCCAGACGAATGAATGAGCCATAAACACGACCTACTCAATCGACACTTTGTACTATGTCGTTTCGTCTGAACGGATTTTCGACCTTTCCGGGTGCTCGTTTACTACAAACATGTTTGTTTTCAAAAATTGCTGACTTGACCTCTTCAACTGTCTTGGAAAATTTTTTTATCTAAACTTGTGCCGAGCTTCATGAAAATCTGAGCGTTGGGGGGACTTTCCTATAGGATTTAAAAAAAGTATCATCAAAATGATAAAATAAAATTAACCCGCTCCGCTTCCACCAGTTCCCTGTCCTTATTGGGAAATTTTGTTTCCTTCGACAAAACCCCCCGGAACGGAATGTTTTCTGATCGCCGATTGAGGAAATAAACAGCGATTGCACGTGAAGGGCCGTCGGTTTTTCGTACGGCCCTTATCAACGGGGTGGAGAAATATGGGAAAACAAACGCCGGTTAGAGGTTTATTCGGCGTTTCGCACGTAGCGAGAAAGGACTGGAAAGAATGATTTTCCGAGCGCTTGATGAAAATCTGCAAGCGTGATGACATTAATGCATCAATAATTATTTATACTCAGTCTGTCGGGAAAATAATGAGCACTCTGTCGCATCGAAAATCGCATCGCCGAGAAATTGAATTATGTCGTGAAAAAGTCAAATTGCTTTTCATCTCAGCGACGCGCTTGGCGCAGCGAAAGAGTGTTCATTATTTTCCCGACAGACTGATACTAGTCGTTCCACAAAGTCCGTATCTCATTTTAAATTAATTTTTATCCGCAAACACAAAATTACTATCAATTATAATGTCTAATATCCATGCCAGACGTGTTTCTCCCGCTTGGCCTGCTCCACAATCCTCTTCACCACCTTGACCACGGTCGCAGCGCTGGGGAACGCCTTGCGCTCCAAGGTCTCGTTGTACGGAGTGGGGACGTCGACGCCGGTAACTCGCCGCACCGGATGCTCCAGGTGATAGAACACGTCGGATTCCATGATTTGGGAGCTGATCTCCGCTCCAATCCCACAGAATGGCCAGCCCACTTCGACTATGACGACTTTGCGGGTTTTTAGCGCCGATTTCGCGACAGTTTCGAAGTCGAAAGGCCGCAGAGAACGGAGATTCACGACCTTAAGAGTGAAGGTTATGACAAGATGCATATCAGTCTGTCGGAAAAATAATGTAGATTCATCGCGTCTTGGAATCACCCATCATCGCTTCGCGACGGCTAGCGATTGGAGAGTTGATCCGCGACGAGGCGAGAACTTTTGCTCCGACAAAACCACATTATATTCCCGACAGTCTTATACCAGTTAGTCGACCCCACCTCGCATTGGATCCCAATAAGCGCCAGCTCTTCAGCTCCTTGCAGAGCATGATGTAGGCCCATGGAATGAGCGACAATTGTGACATCACCACCTTCTCTTTCGATCTTCGCCTTCCCAATTGGCACAGTAAAATCCTTGTGCAAAGCCGCGTCGGACACGGGAAAAGCCAACTCATACAGCACTTCGTCTTCGAGAATCACCACTGAAACGAGGCTGATGAGGAGGATTTTACGCGACGCTCAGGTTGGATAAAATTTGGGAAATTTTCAGAAAAATTCTTTATACATACTACAACATAAGCGGGACTCATAGCTCAAACAAACGAGATTTTTAGGCCAAAAGCCCCTTTAAAATGCCTAAACCGCTCCTACCGGGATTATCATCTCTGACGGCAGCTTTCAAAAGTCCTCTGGCATCTTCCGCGTTATATGGAGCGACAACTTTGAGGCCAGGAATTTGAGCGTACCACGAAGAGAAATCCTGGGTATGTTGGGCTGCCACTCCTGGCGCAGGCCCGTTTGGCCCTCGGAAAACGATGGGACAATGGATCTAAAGCTATGGTTAATGCGCTGAGAAATATCCCTACCGTCCCGCCGGACATATACAGCGTTTTTGCGGCGCTATTAACAACTTGATCCACCGCTTGCATCGCAAAATTCCAAGTCATGAAATCCACAATTGGTCTGAGCTTCTTGAAAGCCGCTCCAACCGCCAGTCCGCTGAATCCCATTTCGGATATGGGAGTGTCCACAACTCTTTTATCCCCATACTTTTCCCACAAACCTGCTGTGACCTAAAAGCCGACAAGTTTGGAATTTTAAAAGTTTTGAACGAGCGCAGTAGATATCAGCTTTGCAAAGGAAGTGTATCAAGTGCGACGCTCAGATTTTCCATTAATTTCGCATACCCTGCAGGTACAGGCCATACATAAATTCCTGGAAGTTAGCTCGCGCTTTGCTGGAGCAACAGAGAGATTCAACGACATTTCGGCCGAGAGAGTATGTTAAACTTGGCGAGTTTTCAGAGAGAAAAATACTTTTGGCCATATCTTTGTGAGCGTCGCACTTAGAATATCCCCGTATTTAGATGGCTTACTCCATAAGCCCCTCCAGCATGTCCAACCTCCTCTCCCAGAATAAACACGTCCTTATCTCTGGCCAATTCCTCGTCTAATGCCAGATTCAGCGCCTGCTTCACTTTCATCACATTGTCATTGGTGTATTTCTGCGCGGTGGCAGGATAAAACCGATTTCCCAGAAATTCCGGCAACCTTCTCGAAGACCGCAGACCTCTAAGCAGCATTCCAATTGAAAACACACGGCCTACTTCACCGTAAAATATTGGGCTAAAAAACAGTCACCCAAAGACTGGCAAAGAATGACCCTTCTTCCTATATTCCTATCATATCTACTATCGGAGTTGAGAAACATGTTTTTACTTTCCGAAAACAACAAACACCATCGTTTTTTGAACATTTGCAAAGAAACGGCAAACCATTTTGTTTACGGGGGAAGAGATTTTAATGAAACTTCTTCGTTTTTCCTACGCCATATGCGAAGCTTCTATTTGCAGAAATGCCCGAGACTTTTAGCTCTAGAGTTGGAAAAAATATGATACGGTTTCTGGCATCAAAAGTTTCGTTCCTATTCCTACTGTAGAGGGCGATGCATTCACAAAAAACAGAATTTATTTATTTTATTTTTGACTAGACATCCACAAAGGAAGTTTCTTTTCGAAGAACGCCGAGGTGCAGTTGGTTGAAAAGATTGTGATAAAACTTTTCCGGTTGCCCTGGAGTTGTAGAAAAATACTTGACGTTGACCGATCCTGAAACTCAACATATCAGATATCTCTTTATAAGGCACGATGTTATTATATTTGAAAACCGACTTACCGTCCACGACCTCGAAGAAATACCATCTATACCTTGGTCTCAAGCCATTACTTTCCTTTACAATTACAATGTCTTCGTGGTAGCAGGTAGATGTATCGTAAACCGATCGCACGAAGTATCCACCAAGCAAGGCTTTCCGATTATACCATTTTCTTGTGAAATCGTCATAGACATACGTGACGCATAGTTCTGGCCCCTAATTTATTTTGTTAGTCCTATCTACAAGGGAAGGTCGCAAGTGCAACGCTAAGATTTACTTTAAAATCTCGCACACACTTCGGGCATGGACCCTTATAAATTTCTGAAAATTTTAGCTTTCATCCAAAATTTGCAAACCGGTATTAATATAAATATATGAGGAAAAATATTCTAAATTTGTGTTGTTTCATTAAAAACTGAGCGTCGCACATCGAGCACTTCCTACGTTAGGTTAAAAAACGTTTAGCATCATAATAGCTTACCATATATGTATTAGAAGAGGTTCTTTTACACAATACTCGCTCGGAGACGATTTTGTAGCCTTCAAAGTCGGTGATGGATAGGGTGCTTTCCCCGGTCCGTTCGTCGCACACGACCAGGCTCAAATCTAAAGAAAGGTAACCCCGTATTTCACAATTTACCTGTGCTATTTCCGTTTTCCGTACGAGATATTGTCATAATCTGTCCATAACGAACGTAGAGCTGTCTTAACGAAACAGATTTGGACTCTGATAACTCTTTCAGGATCTTGCCATCAGTGTCGAAGATAGTATACGTTCCATTATCAACATTCTCCAAAATGAACCTGTGATCGCCCTCCTTCCGATAGACACATTTGAACGTACAATTCTCCGCTTCAGCAGAGTCAATTTCAGCGCCATGGAGCCTTTTTGTGGTCATATCAAATCCGTTGAGGAACGTGCTCGTTTGAAGGTTTAGCAAGGAACCATTACAAAAGAGGGTGCCTTCGGTTGGAAAAGGCGTCTCGCGAACCAACTTTTCCCTGTCCACGTCATAGAAGCACACCACGCCCGGCTGTGGGTGCTAAAAAAAACCTGTATACACTTTTGCAAACAGAACATAATACATTTTTCACAATAAACTTCCTTTAAATATTTTTTAATGGCACTTGGAACGCTTACCCTGTGAATAAAACAATACTTACATAGCAGACTATTCTGTCGCCTTGGCTAATAAGGCTGGTTTCTCCAAAAACGCCCAATGGATACTTAAAAGCTATCAGCTTCCTGTAGTTTGCACCGAGGTCGAATGACGTTACAACGGCGGAACAATCGTCTGCCAACGCAAAACGGCCTGTATCTGAATCATCACAAAACAAAACCTTCGTGGATTTGAGATCCCAACTATTTGCAATTTTGGGGTAGACTAGAGCTCTACTTCCAAGACTGAAATTTGAACCGAATGTTTTTACTGTCGTTCTGTCGGGAAAATAATGGGGATTGTCGAAAATTTTTGCAGCGAAAATCCGCATTATTTCTTCTACAGACTTATACATATATCTTACCTTTCGAAGGCTTCCTTCCACGTTTCGCCCTTTAGCCGATATATGTGGTTTCTAAAACAAAGGCGACGGTATTTGAGCTCTTCAGCGCTGACAAATCGCTGCAGAATTTTTATTGCTTTCAGCAATTCGACCTGACTTTGTGCATCTGCATGTTCAATTATTCTGATCCACGTCTAAATAACACCGTCTCATAAGAATGATGTTCACTTATTTCAAACGATCAAATTAAACTTACATGTTTATCTAAACTTTTCCATTTTACCTCTGGATGCTGACCAGCTGACATTTGCTTTTGACTTGCAGATAAGCTCATTTGCATGGCTACCTTTTCTATTTTCAACGTTGCGTAATGACAAATGCGCGTTTTCCTTTAAAGCAGATGAACCCGCCCTATGCGCATTAAGCTGCTCGAGCCTTTATCAAAGGCCACCCCAATTTCCAAGCGCCTTGCCAGCCGCGGCGGTATACACAGGTCAAGGGTCTGTCCCCTCCGATCACAGTGCCATAATTGCACTTAACGGCAATTTTGATTAGACGATAATCCACCAGCATCGACGCTTTGTGTAGAAGTGTTATGATGAGGCTCGAGATCTAGGCTGCGAGAAAGGTCAAGATGGTTGTCCGAAATAAAAATTCTTAGCATGCAAAAGAACGTGAGATTCCCACACCTACAGGAACTCTTTTAAGGGGTTTAGCGCGGAACTTTCTAAATAATAAGTAATTTATTGCTGAGTAAACTTTGTACAACAAAGGGTAAAGATACAATAAATCGAATAAAAAATACTTGTAAAACGATTGGCAGAATAGTGGTTTAATAAAAATCTGAATGCAGCTGCTTGCGAAAGAAACTTGATATTTTAAGGCTCAGAGGGAAATCCGTGAGATTAATTGAATAATCAGTGTGGCCAGAATGGCCAATCGCCATGATGGTGATAAAAGCGCGGCCGCACTTTCGCCGGAATTACAGCGATCTCCATAGCAGGTGCACACGTTCACTTCGCCGAAGACCTGGGGCGCGGTTTTTGGGTTATTGAACAAAACCGCCCGAGGCATGTTTCGGCACACATCCACCTGAATTTGAATCTGAGTTTTCGAATTAAAAATGTTGATCAATATTTGCGAAGAGGAATTTACCATAACGCCTAGCCCAAATTTAACAAAACGACCGTGTTGTTAGGTCACGTATCTAACTTTTTTGGCCTCCATAGAAAATCGGTCAGAGATTTATTGTAAGTTATAAAATTGCAGAACTTCCTTGTGTTTGAAAAGGCTATCAAAACTTGTGATAACGCCAAATGCCTTACCTGTGTGAGTCGATGTGTCCTAAGTGCGCTCAAGTTGAAATCATGCGTCAATATTCGATTAATACACCCGCGAATGTACTTGAAACCCATGAATACCCCTGAAAATTTAACAATAAGCCTGTTGCAACACTACCAGTTTTTTGCCAGCTCTATCTGTCGGGAAAATAATGTGGATTTGGCGCAGCAAAGTTGCAAGCCTTGCCGCAGTCGCACAGCCGTCGCAAAGCGATAATTGACGATTTCATGGCGCGACAAATCCACACTATTTTCCCGACAGACTGACAGTCCCACTGACAAGATAAAAACACCCCACCTCCTTCCACATTAGCCTCCACCAGCGACACACAGACCGATCCGCACTCAATTGTGGGCATCTTGTCGAAGGCGCTCGGATTTTCGCAGCGGTCCGTGAAAACTTTTGGCTGCACGTACAAATGTTGCAGACGGTCCCAGTTGTTCTGGTAGGACATGGACATGCAGGAGTAGCATTGGAATTTGTTCTGGACAGGGCCTGAAACGACTTCTGTCAATGAAGATTAAAAAAATTGTGTTTTTTTTTACTAGCTGGGAGGAAGTCTAGAGGTTTCTTTGCGTCGCCATCACAAGTGGTTTAATATATCACTGCAGTGCATGTTCAGCGCGCACTGCCCATCTACGAACCTGATCCAGCGGCGAAAAATGTTCCATTTGGCATCCGGGAAGTATCAAAAAATGTGGCAAAATACCTCCCTCCAATCAAAAAACTCCGTTTTGAAGGGCGCGCCTCACAAAATTGCGGACCCGCCATTGAAATTGAAGTTTTTCGCTTGGGGAGGGAGGCATTTTGCTACATTTTTTGCTACTTCCCGGATGCAAAATGGTACGTGTTTTGCCACTGGTTCCGATCCGCCACTGTAGTACTTTTTCTATTTTTCTATCCCATATTTATACGCCCAATTTCCCACCCCCATAATCCATGTCGCCGAGTCGCGGGTCGGCGACGCCGAAGCCCGTCCGCCGCGGCTGAAACCGGTACTCCTCGCCCACTTGCGTCGACACACGTCCCGCCCTGGCGCGCTGCAACATCTGGCCCAGCACCAGGGCCACCGTCAGGATTCCCAGCTGCTGATTCATGGAGGAGGCCGGGTCCGGGCCCGCGCCCGGACCGTCTCCTGCGCCGACCGCTTCCACCGGCCGAAACAACACACGCGTGAGGTTATGCGCGAGGTCGGGGGTGCCGGGATCGTAGTAGTCACCAACGTTCGGAGTTATGGCCGATATTGTCGATGTTGTGGTGGGGGAATTGCGGGAAATTTGAGAATTTTGAGGATTCTGACGGGAAATCAAGTTGAATTTTGGCATAATACGATATATAAAGGCTGATGACAACGCGAGAAGTTATTTGCCATGGTATAGGGTTAAATTTAAAACAAGATATCTTGGAGGATATGCAAAAATTGAAACGCAAATTTTGCAATAAACGCTCTTTCAACTTACTATAAAACCCCAGTTTCCCCTTCCTTGGCTGATTGTAAATCTGCGGCAAAGTCAGGCAACTTTGAAATAAAACTACAGCAAGAAGCGCAGTAAAAAGTTGCATCTGTTACATGTTCTGATAGAGAAACGAAGATAGAGAGTGAAGAATTAAGTTACGACAAGCTTTAATGATCAGTTAATTTGACGAAAATCTAATTGAAATCAAATTTACAATCGGCCGAAAGATTGATGGGATTTTGGAAAAAAAGAAAAGTTTGAAAAGAGATGGCAAGTTAAAGGAGGAGCAAAAAGATTTTAAAATACGATGTTATAAATCTGTTTCTTTATAAGTCAAGAGACACAAGTGCGACGCTCAGATTTTCTTTAAATTTTGCACACACTTGGGGGATAGACCTGTACTTTTACCGCAAATTTTGTATCACAAAAACTAGACATGCCAGAGAGTCGGGGGTGGTTCGGATGGATTGGTATCATTATTCTGAGCTAGTTAACTTCATAATTAAATCTGCCAAGGGTTTTCGAGTCTCTCGCAAACCTTGTTTTAATTTCCAGGCGCAGCCGAGGTATTCCACGATCTTTGCGGCGAAGCGAGTACGCGAAATGGGAGAGCGGTCAGAGAAAAAAACACTTTTTGACTATATCTTTGCCAGTTTCGCGCGGAAAACATCGATTTTTTAATGGAGAAATTACCATCTACAGTAGACATAGGCATGAAACTTTTCAGGCCAAGATTCCATTATTTTGCGAATCATGAAATGAAAAGTTTCGAGCCTATTTCTGCTGTAGAGGGTAATTTTTCCATAAAAAAATAATTTTTCCGCGCGAAACTGGCAATAGTCAAAAGTGCTTTTCTCTTTGGCCGCTCTCCGCATTCGCGTGCTCTTTCGGACGCAATGATCGTCGAATATCTCAGAAAGCGTCAACAACAAAAAGTTCGAGTTATAATTAGAGCACTAAACTTGTTTAGCGATGGCCAAGCTTTTTGGACAATGATTGATTGAGAGGCGCGAAAAATCCGCGGTATTTTCAAAGAATTTCGGGACAAATCAGCGGGAAAATGAGGTCGGAAAGGTGACAGGAAACGTCCGTTTTAATTTGCAAAGAGAAAAAATAATATTCCAATTAGGCCTGTTGAAAAAATAATGTTCAAAAATATCGCCATAAACAAAAATTTTATTTTTTAAAAAATTTGTGAATTCCGTGTTATCCAAGGTGTAGGTGTAAGTTTTCGATTCTCTTAAAATTTTGCGCAGATTTTCTGTATACGTTATATGCAAAACCCTGAAAATTTTAGCTCGCTAGTTTTAGAGGCAGCGGAAATATTCAACAATCTTTTTTTTGAGAGAGTGTGCAAAATGAGGAGTCGGTCAGACAAAAAAAAAGAATTTTCAGCTATAACTTGCTGTGTTTTCTTTTAAAAAAATTGATTTTTTTTACAAAAATATTACTCATCTTGTCTAATCTAATCTGCAATTTTCAGGCCAGAAATCGCAAAATAAAATTTTTTTTTTATTAATTTCAATTTAAAAATATCGGTTGTTTCAGCAACGCAAAAGCCAAAAATCTCTTTTTTTTGTCTTGGAAAATTTTACTCTAAATTTGCGCAAAATTTCATCCAAACATAATCTTCGAATTTTTACTCCTCAATTCCTACTGTAGAAAAAACGAAAATCTCGGCAAAAAGATGAGAAATTTCGGCCGCCGCCCGAAACAGGAAATCTCGAATGACCGCAGAAAGAAAAGGTTTTTAAATGCCCAAGGTCAAACAAACCGCCGGGCTCAGCGCGGGATCTCGAGTTGGCACTTAATCGCCGCAGGGAATGGGAAAAATTGCGTGCAAATTAATTTGAAATCATCTCAAGTTTCCATTTTGCTTGCAAATTGAAAATTTTCGAATGCTTTTAATGGATTTTATGGAAGAAGTGCACGACTGCACAGTGCAATAAAAAATTTTAAAACATTTTTTGATTGCACTGTGCAAGAAATTTTATTTTTGATTTTATGTTACACATGTTGTAAAATACTTCTGAATTTTCTATAATTGAAAAAATTTCGGTGCTACTTATCACATGACGTTACTTTAGATCCATAAGAATCTCACTGCACAGTGCAATCAAAAAATATTTTTTGACCGCACTGTGCGGGAAAATTTTTCTCGCATTTTTTAAAAAACGGGGACGTAAAATACGTCAAATATACCTCTAAGATGCTTTACAAAGCGTAATAAACAATACTAGCTATAAAATGCAAAAAAATAATTTGATTGCACAGTGCAGTCAAAAAATATTTTTTGACCGCACCGTGCGGGAAAACATTTTTCACATTTTTTAGAAACTGCGAATGTAAAATACGTTAAATACACCTCTAGGGTGCTCTACAGAGCGCAATAAACAATACTAGCTATACAATGCAAAAAAATAATTTGATTGCACAGTGCAGTCAAGAAATATTTTTTGACCGCACTGTGCAGCCGATTTCTTCATCATTTCTACAGTTCTTAAAGCTATTTTTTAAAAATCTGATACCGCAATAAGACATACGAAATATATGAGTCCAATAACCCCGCAAAACCGAAAACAAAATTCAAATTTGATATCTGGAATTGCCTAGTGCAATATAACTGATATCTCAAAACATCCGAAAAACTATCTCATCCCCTTACTACGCCCATCCCAGCCAAAGATATGCCGAAACAGCCGTTTATAAGGTCTAAATGTTTTTTCGCGGCCCCACTTTAGAGGGCCCGATACCTACTTGAAGATGTACAAAATTGGCAAAAAAAAATTGAAATTGAGCGGAGCAAATTGGATTTCGGGCAAGTTTCGGGCCCAATTTCCAAATTTCAATTTCATTTCGATATAAAAGTGAAAAAAAATTGGAAATAAAAAATTTTGGTTAAAAAATATCAAAAATTTTGATAAATACCCGTTAATGAGGTAAAAATTTGCGGTGGAATGGAGTGACAAGAGAGCCAATTGATTAGTGAAAAAGAAATTTTTGGTGTATAAAAAATATACAGGGTAAAAGTAACAAAAAGTAGACAAAATTAGTAGGTAGAGAGACAGAAAAGCGTGGGCAGAGGATTTTTTTGGGATTTTTGGGGATAAATTGGGTTGTAATAGTATTTTCGGGCCAGACATGATTAAACAAGCACATTTATAGGCTAAAATATATTCGTCATGACGAAAAAGCTGGTATTTCAGCGCAAAATCAGATATTTTCGCGATTTTCATCCCCAATTTGCCTCAAAAATTGGAAAGGAGTAAAGAATAATTGTTTTTATTACATAAAAACAATGTTTTCGGCAATTAATAATACTAAAAACCTCCAAAAATGCAAAAAAAAGTACAAAGGCCATCAGCACAGTGCGAAAAAACGATTTCCCTTCAAAAGGAAGCGCGGTTCGAACCGAGCCTCCTTAGCTCAGCGGTAGAGCGTTGGACTTTTAATCCAACGGTCAGGGGTTCGATCCCCCTAGGTGGCTTGAAGCTTTTTTGGGATTTTTATTCAAAATATTGATCACCCATGTAAAGAATTCGTATTTTACAATTGACATCGAGTCTAAAGCTTCGATTTTAATGCGAAAAAGGTGCAAATTCAAAAATTCTTTTCGCACAGTGCAATCGCCAAACTTCTCAGAGCCCCCGTTATTGCCCTCAAGGCATAAAGAATGAAGGGCAAACCCGCGCGAGATATGAAAAATGCCGTCAAAAACTTTTTCCAGGTCTTTTTCCGGAGGGCATGACACGCCGAAACGCGTCAAAATACCCATCCAGCCATACAAAATATAACATCCGAAAACGGGGCGCTATAAAAATAGAAGAAAAAGCCGGGCGGTTCCGAGGCCGGGGGGCCGGAGGTATGAACTTTCTTCTTATGTTTTGCTACGGAAATCGGTAAAAAATTTGGGCGAGGGGAGAATTTTTGATAAACACGGAGAAAATACTGCCAAATAGGCGGGGGAAATACTGTGAATTTTGAGACGAAAAATAAAAGTAATGGCCGTTATTTTGGGGAGGGATTTCGAAATGATCGAGAAAATGTTGCGAGTTTTTGAATTTTTGGGATTTTTAAGAAAAATTTTTTGTGTCGTGTTCTCATAAAACTTGAAGCAAATTAAGATTACAGTTTTCTAGGACTTATGTGAGATTTTTAGCGTATGCTTTGCACAAATAAACGAGATTTTTAGGTCAAAAGTTGACAAAAAAATAGAGAATTTTGGCAACTTTTGATCTAAAAATCTCGGTTATTTCTGCAAGGCATACGCTAAAAGTCTCAGATAAGTCTTAAAAAACTGTAATCTTAATTTCCCCCAAGTTTCATCAAAATAGGACAAAAAAAATTTTGCTAAAAAAATCCCAAAAAATTTTTTTTTTTCAATTTTTTTATGTCTAAATTACAATATCATTACTCATAGCGCCCTCCCAAAACGACATCGCCTTCTATGGCCATTCCCGAAAATAAAAAACGAAAAAAGTTTTTCGCGGAGAGCGAAAAAAGAGAAATCGGCACCAAGTGGAATATAAATTGAACAAGTAACGAGATTATTATAGCGGAAGAAGAAGAAGACCCCACTCGCACATGCAAATTACATGCTTATGAATAATCAGTGGATGCAAGTTTGCTTTTCCCACTCCGAAAAAATAAAAAATTTTTGGATCGCACAGTGCGGAAAATAATAATTATATTTTGACACTGTGCAGATGGAAACAATGGGCTTAATTGAGATAAAAACTATCCTATGTTGTCTATATATTAATAATTTATAAAAAAATTAGCGATTTTTTACTGCACGGTGCAACAAAAATCTTTTAAAATTTTTGCACTGTGCGGTTGGAAAAAATTGTAAAAACTTGAACTGTGACAACGGAATAACTCAGAAAAACTACGAGTCGTAAGAAAAAGGTTCGTATTTAACAACAACTACGAAAAAATTTGATTTTTTTTATCGCACAGTGCAACAATCGGGCTTTAAAAATCTGCATTGTGCAAAGAAAAAAAAAACCTTGAAAACTATTTTGCAAAAACGGAAAAGGCCTTGGAATTCAAAATAAGTTGATTATACTTCGTATTTTACCATTTAATAAAAAAATTTTCAAACTATCTCTTTGCACCGTGCAAGAAAACTTCTTTCCAAAATTTCGCACTGTGCAGTCAAAAATTGTTCTTATTTTGCAAAAAAAAGTTAAATACTCTAAACAAAAGATAATAATTTTTGTTTAAAGTAAAATACGATCTTCCGCATATGCCATAAAAAATTTCGAAAGTCAAATTTCCCGAAAAAATCTAATATCTAAAATAATATCGGATGTTCTCGCAAAAATGACCAGTCCAAAGACTCCCGCTTCCGGCCGGAAGCACTTTATTTGAAATAAAGTTGCGCTTTATAAAAGATTTTTGGGCATTCCGTTCCCTTCTCACTTCTAATTCCCCGTTCGGAGACGTTTTTTGGGCGCACTGTGCAGTGGTTTTATTTTTTTTATTTTCTTTCAAAACTCGAGGAAAACTGCATTCAAAAGATTTTAATGGACATTTTTGACCTTGTAATGGCCTGATTTACATATTGCTTTCTTTTTTTTGCTTTTTTTCCAAAAATGTAATTTCGTATTTTAGGTAAGAAATTTGCCAAAAAATTGTCTAGTGGTCCTTTAAGGGTCATATTTTTATTTTTTAACACTTTTTAAATATATTTTAGGGCTTGCAACAGAATGCCAAGAATATAAAAATTTGGCGGGAATTCAAAAATTTTCCAATTTTTTGATAAAAAAAGATAAAATACGGCTTCACAGCCAATAACGGCTGGATTTTTGGTCAAAATAACAAGTTTTTTGATCCAAATCTCCCTTATTTTGCTGAAAATCTATATTTTTTGGTAAAAAGATCCAATTTTTCCTCAAAAAATCGCATAAAATTCGACAATATTGGCCTACAAGAAAACTGAAAATAAATTGACTATTTCCCTGATGGCACAACGAAGAGAAATGAATGCAAATTGCGTGTCAGCGGGCAACTGAAACCCGCGGAAAGAGCATAAATGGAGGTCCAGATTATGTTTCACAAATGAGTGTAATGTAAAAAAAAATAAAGGAACTTGGTCGAAAAACTTATAAAGAGACTTTTCTACGAACATGGCGTCAAAAAACTTTAGTTGCAATTGGAAATTTTTGAGATTTTTACAAAGGAAAAAGGGGTATTCAAAATAAAAAAAATGTAAAAATAGTGGTCACAAAAAATTATTTTGCATAAAATACGATAACTACTCTTCATTTGGGAATGTCTCTACTCAAATCCGGCAAAAATTCGGTTGAAATTTCAAATTTTTGAATCTGCCGCCATTTTTGGCATTCCGTCTTAAGGGCTGAAAACGGCTCAGAACTGCTTGACTAGAGTTGTAGTACAATTTAAAATACGGTAAATTCAATTTAATCTGATTTTTCCTTCATTTCAAGCCATTTTTTATATTATCCATGACAATTTTGAACATCAAAAATATTTTCAATTTTTTCCAAGAGAATCTCGGCTACTTACTAAACATTTTCTTGGGGTATTTGTAGACCATGTCCTCTTTTCGCACATGTGAGGATCTCACAAATTCTCGACGCAAATCCTCTTCCAGCTCGGCTTCGACCTGCGCCCTGCCCTCGATCGTATATGGATCCAAGGGGTTTTGCAGACGCTTGGATATCGTCAAACAAGGCAGCAGCATCACTATCGTCCATCTTAAACACCAATTCACCGGGAGGTAGAGAGATTTCGGGCTAATCACCGGGTCGCTACAGTAACCGTTTTTGTTACAGTAATCTCGTGTAGAAGGTCGAAAACACTTTTTGCCTTGCCGGCTTTGATATGACGAGTGGTTGAGTAGATTGGCATCGTTTTTGGTCGCTGAAGTTGTGGGCTCCATTGGAAACGCATCGATTTTCTCTCACTGCACAGTGCAGAGAAAAATCACCTGAGAATTCGGCAGAAATGGTCCATAATTAGAGTAAGAAGTGGGTTGAGGACTGAATAGTGGTGAGTTTAGATATTAAAAGAGGCGATAAAAATTCGCGGGATTAAAAAATTTGAAAAAAAAATTTTTGGAAATAAAATTTTTTTTGTAAAATACGACGGTGTATGGATACATTATGTCATAAAGTAGTGTTAGAACAGCTCACAAAACTTTATGAGACAAGTCCTAGAAATTTTAAAACCACAGTTAGTGCTTTTCAAAAAAAAATAAATAAAAATTTTTCGCACTGTGCGGAAATAAAATTATTTTTTTTGCACTGTGCGATCTCAAAAATTTTTTGATAAGTTCTCCTAGCTACATGGAGGTTTCACTGTCTCAAAAAAATCCAAAAAAAAAGTAAAAAATCTCCAAAAAAATAAATATCCGAAACTCGCCGAGAGTCGGCAAACATTGGCCGAGTTATAAAAGGTTACTCCTCTTCTTTCTTATATAGTAGTTGTTTTCTTTTTTCCCCCCGAAACCCGTCTAAACGCTCTTTCTGCATAAAAATCCCGCGGATTCGATTATAAAAACATAAAAAAGAGTCCCGGTGAGTCAAAGATGATGAAAAATTCGAATGTTTCGGCAAGTTACAGTGGCGGACCTGATCCAGTGGCAAAACACGTGCCATTTTGCATCCGAGAAGTATCAAAAAATGTGGCAAAATACCTCCCTCTCCAAGTGAAAAAACTCCGATTTCAAAGGCGCGCCCTTCAAAACGAGGTTTTTTCACTTGGAGAGGGAGGCATTTTGCCACATTTTTGATACTTCCTGGATGCAAAATGAGACGTTTTTTGCCAATGCATCAGGTCCATCACTGTAAAATGATAGAGAAAAAAATTTTTGATCGGTTTTCCGCACTGTGCAACAAAACAAAAATTTTTTCGAACTGCACAGTGCAAACCGAATTTCAGTTTGATTGCACAGTGAAGTTTATAAAGGAGAAAAAGACTCCAAAAATGGGCTCTAATAAGATAATTGAATGTAAAATACGTACACTTGAAGAGAGAGAGATTTTTGAAAAATTCCGCACAGTGCAGCCCAAATTTAAACTTCAGACTGCACAGTGCGAACAGAATCTATTTTTATCGCACAGTGCGGCCCTAAAAGGGCCTAGACAAAAAAAAATTTGTTGCAAATGACAGATTGGCGTCTACACTACATCCCTAAATCCAAAAATATACTTTTCATTCAAGGCATCGCACAGTGCAGCCAAAGTTTAAATTTTTGACCGCACAGTGCAAACTAAATTTATTTCCTACTGCACAGTGCGGTCTGCAAAAAGGCTAGAAAAATAATTTTTGTTGCCAATGACAGACTTGGGTCTACACTACACTTAAAAAACAAAAAAACTTTTTTAAATGAAACTCTCGCACAGTGCGATCAAAATTTAATTTTTCAACCGCACAGTGCTAAACTCAAAACTCCAAACACAAAAATACTACCAAAAATAGCCCGGAATAGACTTAAAACGTAGGAAACTTATCGAATTCTCCCCTCCGGCGCCTCCAATTTTGGGCAATTTCAATGAAAAAATAACTTTTGTGCCCCGAGGGGGTTTTATTATTATTCTCGAAAGAATTATTTCTTTCTGCGTAAACCTTTAGCACCGGTCTCCCACTGATTTCCGCTTGAATGCCGGCCCCTTTTTCCCGGAGATTGTCCCAAGCCCTGAAGGTATTTAGCAAGTTTTTCGCTAAATACCCTCGGGGCGCGGAACAATGGGCACATTTTCGGAATGACCACTCAGGTATTTTTTGGAGAGTAAAATGTGGTAGTAGAGCAGTAGCATATTGGAAATAATGTTTGATTTTAAAAAAAGACGCAACAAAATTTTTGCACAGTGCAATAAAAATAATTTTTCAATCAAAAAAAATTCAATTCAAAAAAACCGACTTTGCACCTCTTTTTAATGTTCAAAACTTTCAAAAATGCAACAAAATGTTCTAAAAATCATCTGCACAGTGAGGGAAAACGATTTCCCTTCGAAAGGAAGCGCATTTCGAACCGAGCCTCCTTAGCTCAGCGGTAGAGCGTTGGACTTTTAATCCAACGGTCAGGGGTTCGATCCCCCTAGGTGGCTTGAGACTTTTTTGGGATTTTTATACAAATTATCGAATACCCAGTTACACACTGCGTATTTAAAAATTTTTTGAGCTGATAGGATCACGTTTTTTGAACGAAGATTTCTGAAAATATCAAAAAATCTGTTTGCACTGTGCAAAATTCTTATTGGACGAATTTTTCAGCACAGCGCGTCAAAATTTAACGATTTTATTTTTTTGTAATAAGAAAAGAGATACCCAAGAAGTGTACTCGTATTTTACAAGGAGATTTTTATTCTTCGGTCGCACTTTTTTGCTATTTTTTAAAAAAATTACCAAAAATTAACAAAACTAAAAGTTACAGTAAGAAACCCCCTTGAAAAGTGGGAGATCAAGGGTCGTCCACAATAAAGACGCCGTCATGCCCTCAGGCAGCCACAAATCATTAATTTCAGGGAATGTTAAACTTACTCCCCATCCGTTTTAATGCGAGAAAATGTCAGCCATGAAGGGTGAACCTGTCATTCACAGGTTCATAACACGTTTAAGTGGTCGCCGATTGCAAAAGAAGAGCGGGCAGAATTTCGGCCGAAAAGAGGTTTTGCTTCAGACGGGAATACTAATTGATAATTAGGAGGTTGAAAAATTTTGAAAAGCCGGGGAAAATACAACCGCAGAATAAAAAAATCTCTTCGTAAAATACGAATATACTTCCAGTTATCCCTTTTCTTTTCACAAAAAATAAAATCGTAAAACTCTGGCGCACTGAGCGAAAAAAATCTATAAAATAAGAATTTTGCACAGTGCAAACAGATTTTTTGGAATTTTCAGAAATCTTGGTTCAGAAAATGCCATCCTATAAGCTCAAAAGAAATTTAAAATACGCAGTTTATAAGTGGGAGTTCAATAATTTGTATAAAAATCCCAAAAAAAAGACTCAAGCCACCTAGGGGGATCGAACCCCTGACCGTTGGATTAAAAGTCCAACGCTCTACCGCTGAGCTAAGGAGGCTCGGTTCGAAAGGTGCTTCCTTTCGAAGGGAAATCGTTTTCCCGCACAGTGCTGATGATTTTTAGGACATTTGTTGCATTTTTCATTGTTTTAGACATTGAAAAGCCGGGTAAATAGATTTTTTTCGATAGAAATAGGAATTTGTGATGATTTGGCAAAATTTTTGAAGATTTTTTCGAAAAAAAACTTTTTGTAATTCAACTTTTTTATTTAAAATTACTGTAAAATCAAAACTTATAAAACGCAGAAATTACGATTACTGTCACTAAAACGTAGCAACTCAAATATAAACGCCCTAAAATCCTTCTTTTTACATTTTCTTTATTATACATGAAGCCTTACAGATCTCTCTCGAAAGTCCTTGAAAATGTGTTCAAGAACATGCCCTTAGGCCCGCGAAATGAGAGGAAATGAAACCCCGCCAAAAGTAAGACGTTTAAAATCCCCGAAAGAAGTCCGTGGATATCGCTTTTGGCCATATTGAGTAAAAAAAAAGATCTCATCGTTTTTGGCGGAAATTCCCTGCGGGCAAATCGGGAAGCTAAGCGGTTTCGGGATTTGCTGTTAAATACTACTCGAGTCGAATATGGAGTTCTGGAGTGATATTGGACATAAAAACATCACTAAATTTTTTGAAATTAGGTTAAATTTTTGAAAAGATTTTGATGTATACGGAAGAAAAATTAATTGCCGAAAGCGTCTTCTGTATTTTACCCAAAAATTCCTTGAAAAATACAGAAAAAAACTGCATTTTTTATTTTTTTATTGCACTGTGCAGACAAAAAAACCACAAAATTCGTTAAAGATCCCCAAAAAATAAAAAAATCGACCGGTCGATAATAAAATCGATGTTTTTCTCACCTACAGTGGCGGTCAAAAAAAACGGCCACCTCAAGATGATGCGCTCTAACGCAGAAGAGAGTGGTCGTAGGAGGATAAATATGGTATCATTGTAAAGCTTACGGAATACTAAGACGTGTGACTATACGCTTGTGGTACTGTAGTACTGACCTAGCACGTACTGGAGCAAGATGTTGTTTTGGCCTGGTCAAAAAAAATGGCCACCCATAATTATTTTGCTTTAAACGCGGTGTATGTTAGAAATTGCCGCCATATGGGACTGGACTAGGATAGCTATATCAATACACACCAATTCCAGTATTTTTTACTTTGTATATATGCCCTCAGGCATCAGTCAAGGTTGATGACCTTGTTCATGGTTAAGGCCCGGCCAAATTTTTTTTTGGGTTTGTGCCGTTGTTTTGATAATCCAAAGCAATACTGTAGACGGTATTGATCGTATTCGTGTGTAAGACTGCCCACTTTTGCCAAAATTGCGCCTCTTTTGATAAGAAAACTCAAAAAATGAAATATTTTGACCTAATTTTCTCCAAAAATCCGTTTTGGAGGCTGCTAAACAATGAATGTAGAACCTTAAACAAGTTTTATTTGTACAAGAACATCATGGACATTTGTTTTAACACGGCACCGATTAAAGGAAACGACCGCCCGAAACGACAGATACCGTTTTGTTACAGTTTTCGACTTCAGGAAATAGTCATAAACTTTGTCAAGGTCTGCAACCCGAATTTTCGCTTTAGGGGCTCATATTTATCGTTAAATGATTAAGTGGTATCTCAACTACACCAAAAATTCTATACTATATTCTAATTTCTATTCAACGAGGTTTCGGAACCGGACAAAATTCATGATTACTTCATGAAGTCGAAAGCTGTAACAAAACGGTATCTGTCGTTTCGGGCGGTCGTTTCCTTTAATCGGTGCCGTGTTAAAACAAATGTCCATGATGTTCTTGTACAAATAAAACTTGTTTAAGGTTCTACATTCATTGTTTAGCAGCCTCCAAAACGGATTTTTGGAGAAAATTAGGTCAAAATATTTCATTTTTTGAGTTTTCTTATCAAAAGAGGCGCAATTTTGGCAAAAGTGGGCAGTCTTACACACGAATACGATCAATACCGTCTACAGTATTGCTTTGGATTATCAAAACAACGGCACAAACCCAAAAAAAAATTTGGCCGGGCCTTAATCATGAACAAGGTCATCAACCTTGACTGATGCCTGAGGGCATATATACAAAGTAAAAAATACTGGAATTGGTGTGTATTGATATAGCTATCCTAGTCCAGTCCCATATGGCGGCAATTTCTAACATACACCGCGTTTAAAGCAAAATAATTATGGGTGGCCATTTTTTTTGACCAGGCCAAAACAACATCTTGCTCCAGTACGTGCTAGGCCAGTACTACAGTACCACAAGCGTATAGTCGCACGTCTTAGTATTCCGTAAGCTTTACAATGATACCATATTTATCTTCCTACGACCACTCTCTTCTGCGTTAGAGCGCATCATCTTGGGGTGGCCGTTTTTTTTGACCGCCACTGTAAAATGCCCTCCGACCATTCCCCAGCCCCTGCGCCAAAGATCACCCCGAGTTCCGAATGCCTTTCCGGCCGTGGGGGTATAGCTCAGGGGTAGAGCGCTCGCTTAGCATGCGAGAGGGCTGGGGTTCAATTCCCCATACCTCCAGAAGACTTTTTGGAGGGTTTTATGCCGAAAATCGGACTTTTTAGTAAAGGAAATCATTTGTAAATTGTAGTAGAGACTTCAATACATTGTTTTGGTCAAGTTTTCACATCAGGTTTTGGTAAAAAAAATGGTGAAAATCGAACTTTTTTGGAACTTTTTTTCAATCTCAAAGCCTTTTCAATGCCTAAATTTTGTAAATAGTACTTTGACCGGAATCTTGTTTCCATTTTCCCTCACCCTTTCTATTTTCTCCTCAAAAAATTCTAACAATCCCAAAAAAATCCCAACTTTTACTTCCTTCTTTTAAAAATTCAAAAGATGCGATAAAGTATGCAAATTCACTCTCTTTGACAGTCTCATTTCCATCTTGTGATGATGCCAATGGCTGCGGCAAAAAACTGTCATTCCAAGTTTTCTGGTCGGCAATTCCCCTGGGGGTATTTTGGAGAAGCTTATCTTGTTTTTTCCGACTATAAATATCCGAGAGAAAAGAGGAGGGCGGTAAATCATGAAATGCAATTTTTCCCAAACTTTCCGAATTGGGTCAACGTTTGGACTTTAATTTAGGGTCGGAAAAAAATGGCTGGATTCGGCCGAAAATCGTGAAAAAATTAGATTTTTTCACTATTTTTGAGGGGAAAAAATTGTTTTCTATATAAAATACGATCTTAAAACAATTTTTTTGATATTTCAAAAATTTGCATAATTAAAAAAAAATTTTTTTAATAAAAAAAATTCTAAAAGTAAAAAAAAATCCTGTGTCAAAAAAATTAAAAATCAGCCAGAATGAGCCTTACAAGCCAATGTTAAAGACCTTATTGCGTGCAAAGATATGAAAATAATCCCCGCCGGATATTATGGGCGATAAAGCCCGGAGGGTGCAAAGTTTCACACGCCACCGGAATTGGTCATTTTTAGAAACATTGGGCGCGGAATGAAACTTTAATGAGTCGGGGAGGGGATCTTGTCCTCCTCGCCCACAAAGTCCAATTATCGAAATTTCGGGGGTAAATAAATTGATAAAAACAAAAACAACATTTTTGCCATAGGAAATGGGGTTTGTAGACGGCTCATTTACAACGAAAAAAATGTAAATATTCACCTCTTTCGTATTTTACCATCAAATCCCCAAAAAATTCAAAATTCAGAGACAAGTCAGGGCGCAGTTCGCCAACTGCATATTCGTAAAATACAACAAATAAATCACTTTTTACATCTTCACATTTATTTTTCGAGGCTTTTTTGAGACTCTACTTAATTATTTTACCAATTTTACATTAAATTCCAGCAATTCGAAGAAAGCCTGGGCGCGACTCGCCACTTCAGATGAAGTCTCAATTTTGATTTCGAATAATTTTTTAGGCATTTATTTACGCTCAAGCAGCTTATTCTTCATTTTTTATTTCAATCCTACAAATTTTCAAGTTGAAGCCAGGGCGCAGCCTGCCGATTCGAAAAACCGTTAAATCTTGGGACAAAATGAAATTTCATGCAATCATTGGTGTCGTAGTAAGCTACAAGCCTTCTTTTTAACAATAACTTTATAAAAAATAACAAGGTTGGATATTTGACAAAGTTCGGGCGCAGCCTGCCACTTTTAAATTTATAAGTTTTTTAAAACATTTAGATATAAAGAAGAATTGTTCATAACGTATTTTAAACACCAGTAAACATAAATTTAAACTCACCGTCTTTCGTCAAATTGACCACGGCATGGTTGGCCATCAACAAGATCTTGGTCATCTTCACGAAGAGATCTCCATTGTTCATCATCGCCATCTCGGATGTTCTGATGAATTTCGGCTTGATTCAAGGTTTCTATGCATAACTTTATGGACTCATTTTTGGGTTGAAAGGCTAAAATTGAATCAAAGTAAGAGGCATTCAAACGTATTCTACAAAAAAATATTGCAGTAATGACGCATTTGCAACAAAAAAATCGACTGGTCGATAATAAAATCCATGTTTTTTTTCCGAAGTACCCTCCAGCCATTCCCCAGCCCCTGCGCCAAAGATCACCCCGAGTTCCGGATGCCTTCCCGGCCGTGGGGGTATAGCTCAGGGGTAGAGCGCTCGCTTAGCATGCGAGAGGGCTGGGGTTCAATTCCCCATACCTCCAGAAAGCTTTTTGGAGGGCTTTGTGCCGAAAATCGGAATTTTTACTATCGGAAATGATTCGTAAATTGTAGTAGAGACATCTGACTGTTGCTTTAGATTTTGTCTACACCAATAATTGCAAAAGTGAAATAATCTTTAGCCAAAAAAAACATAAAGAGAATTATAAATTTTTAAAATTTTTGATTTGTTCATTCACGAAGAAAAATCAATACCGCAAAAGGACAAAAACTCACCCTTGGCGCAAATTCATTCGTGTTTGAGGTTATTTTTGCCCTCGACAAGCTTGTTTTAGATATCGGATTACATTATTTTGCATACATAATTTCGCTTGTTTCAAAAACCACACATCTTGCAAAGATAATCAGAGCTTTCATTCACACAAAACATACTAATACATCGTATTTTACAATTCTTAATCAGCCAAATAATTACAAAGGTTAAAAGACAAAAAAAAATCGGGGAGATTTTCTGCAGTAGGCTTGGAAATGTTGATCCATAAGCTATTCAAAATATCCATATGACGTCATTGCTACAATTCACGAATCATTTTCAATACTAAAAAGTCCAATTTTCGGAATAAAAACCTCCAAAAAGTTTTCTGGAGGTATGGGGAATTGAACCCCAGCCCTCTCGCATGCTAAGCGAGCGCTCTACCCCTGAGCTATACCCCCACGGCCGGAAAGGCATTCGGAACTCGGGGTGATCTTTGGTGCAGGGGCTGGGGAATGGCCGGAGGGCACTTCAGAAAAGAAAAACATGGATTTTATTATCGACCGGTCGATTTTTGAGTTATCAGTGGGATCTTTGACAAATTTTGGGGATGATTTTTTTTTATTTTTTGGTCTGCACAGTGCAATAAAAAAAAATAAACAATTTCTGGAGGTATGGGGAATTGAACCCCAGCCCTCTCGCATGCTAAGCGAGCGCTCTACCCCTGAGCTATACCCCCACGGCCGGGAAGGTATTCGGAACTCGGGGTGATCTTTGGCGCAGGGGCTGGGGAATGGCCGGAGGGCATTTTATGAGAGAAAAACATCGATTTTATTATCGACCGGTCGATTTTTGAATTTCAGGAGAACTTTTGACAAATTTTGGGGATGATTTTTTTTGGTCGGCTCAGAGCAATAATAAAGTAAAAAACAACTTTTATTAGATAAAATACGAAAAAACTGGGATTTCATTTTCGACCAGTCGATTTTTTATTTTCACGTAAATTTTCGACAAATTTTGGGGATGATTTTTTTATTTTTTGGTCGGCACAGTGAAATAATAACGTCAAAAAAATCTAAAAATAGGCTTATATTATCGACCGGTCAATTTCCAACTCCTCAAAACTAAAAATCACAGCCAAAAAACCACCCTCATCCGCTCTTTATCCCAAAAAAGTTTCTTTTAGATATATTTTTTCTGTCCTCCCGTTCCTTTCAAGACTTGTTGAGCTCCGAAAAAAATTGAAAAAATGTCAAAAAAATGGATTATCAAGATATTCCCCATCAAAAAAAAGATGAGGGATTTCCCCAAAAATGACTACAAAGAGAGGAAAATAATGGTTTATGCACCTCTTGGCAACCGAATATTCAAAAAATATTCAAATGAGCACCCCGCTGCGCCCATTAAAATGATGATTTATGCACGGTGCGGATTTTTGAAGGGATTTTAATGGGGATTAAATATTGTGGAATAGCAATAACCGGTTTTTAGGGGCATTTTTGGTCATTTTTCACTATTTTAATGACATAATTTTGACAAATATATCAAAAAATTTCATTTTGAAAAAAAAATTTTTTTGAAAAATATCAAAAAATGTGTGAAAATTACAAAAACGATGTTTTACAGGCCATTTTAACAGCTGTTAATTTCAAATTTAATTAAAAAATCAAAAAATTTCATTTTGAAAAAAAAAATTTTTTTTGAAAAACCTCAAAAAAGGTGTAAAAATTATAAAGACTGTGGTTTTACATTTTTTACTGGCCATTTTAACATCTCATAATTTCAAATTTAATAAAAAAAATCAAAAAATTTCATTTTGAAAAAAAAAATTTTTTTTTCAAAACCCAAAAATTTAACCTTCCATTCCACTTTTTACCTCATAAAACCTACACTAATCAATTTCTCATCTCCTCAGTACATTTCAAAATCTTTTTATAGCAACAAATATTGTTTTAGATCATCAGAGATGGTCCGTTTAATCTGCTCATTGATGGATGGGTGTTCCACATAGGGCTGGATGAGATCGGCGAGGGCCGAGAGCTGTTCTTGGGGTATTATCTTCTCCACTCTTGATATTATAGAGACGGTTAATCGAGGGGGGAGGAGCGATGTTATTTGGGGTATTCTCAGGTAGGATTCGAGGAGATTCAGGGCGATTTGTGGGTCCGGTGGAGCTGCTGATGGGAAGGATTCGAGCTGAAAATATCGCCAGTCTAATTTACGATGCCTTCAAAATATTTCAAGCCTGCCCTTAGGGAATTTACAACAAAAAACAACAAAAATTTTTAAATTTTTCCAAAAAATTTTGACTTTTTTCTCAAAAAACCTCAAAATGTCTCAATTTTCCCATAAAAATCGAAATTTCAGGCAATAAAACAAACTTTCAGGGCTTCCAAAGAAATTTCGAATATTCCCTGAGGGCATTTAGCCCTGAATTTTTACTTTTCCAAAACTTTTTCATCTTGTTAAAAGCCCTCAAAAAGTCTCAATTTTTCCGTCAAAAAATCGGTTCGACCGGTCGATAAAGTCGCCTCAAAAAACCCCAAGCCCTTGAAAATAACCTCCTTACAATTTTCACGGCAAAATCGACCATTGCGTAGATCGGAATCGAAGATAATCCCATTGGTTTTTGCTCCAATTTCTTGGCCAAAATGTGGCCAATCTCGGCCATAAGAAGTCCAAAAATCCGCAGGAGATTACTGTTGACGTCCGATTTTTGTCGCTGGATTTTCATTATTTGTTGGACAAACTGAATGGGCCAAATCTCGTCGATTCTTTTTTCGGCCCAAGCCGGCTGCTGGTCATGGATAAGATGTAATGCCTAAAAAATTTTTTGGATTTTTACTCTGTACAGTCGGCATAGTAAATATAAGTGGCAAATTCCTAAAAATTCTTGCTTTTTTACCACCAAACTTCAACAAAATCGCAAAAAAATACAAAAAACTTGAAAAATTTTCAAATTTCCCTCAAAAAATCGTCGAAAAACTAAACATCAAAATTTGAAATAGTATCCTTAGATACCACTACTCCTTCAGAAATAATATTACATATGAAACACCGAAAATTTACCAACGTATTTTTCTCAAAAATAAAAAAAATCTCCAAAAATCTCAAAAAAAATATCAAATTTCTCTCGAAAAATCGTTATAAAAATCAATCTCACCTTGAGAATCTTGTGAAATGCATCAAATTCGACCCCAATCCCCTCAATCTCCCTGATATTCACTCCAAATCTGGCTGAAAATTGGCCAAAATACTCGACGATCATCTCATCCAATTCTGAAAAAAAAAATCTCAAAATTTTTCAAATTATTGTCAAAATTTTAGCCAAAAATTACTCTCATGCTCTGTACTGTCTAAAAAACACAATTTCACTCACCTTGATCGCTTTTATTCTCCATTATCACCAAAAAATACGATTTTATGAGCTGCGATTTGGGGATTTGATCGATAATATTATTTCGCTTCATCTCATCGAATTCAAACTTTAATATGCGTGTAGTGTGTGTCATTGGGTAGATTCTGATGCCGTTTGTGGCTTCGTTCAGGAGCTGGTCCAGCTTTCTTGTGCGGATCGCCGGATTTTGCTCATTTTTTATCTAAAAATCAAGAAATTTTTGATGAATCAATGTAAAAAAGCGTTGAAAATCTCTGTCGAAGCGATTAGCCATCGTGAAATATTAAAATAAAGCAAAAATAAACTACCAAAAACACTTTAACCGAAAGATCCTTCAAATCACAAAAAATTGGGGAAAAAATCAAAACATTTTCATTTTACCACTCAAAATCAAATGTAAAAATAATCTAAAACAATTTTCTGATGTTCCTACTACAATTTTCGAATCATTTCCAACACAAAAAATCCCAATTTCCCCGCTAAAAACCGCAAAAAGTTTTCTGGAGGTATGGGGAATTGAACCCCAGCCCTCTCGCATGCTAAGCGAGCGCTCTACCCCTGAGCTATACCCCCACGGCCGGAAAGGCATTCGGAACTCGGGGTGATCTTTGATGCAGGGGCTGGGGAATGGGCGTAGGGAATTTCAGTACACAAAAAACAGGATTTTATTATCGACCGGTCGATTTTTAAATTTCACAAGTCACGCTGCAAATTTTTTATGGCGATACTAGCAGATCGCCGGAGGCAAAATGGAAAAAAAATTTCGTCAAATTATCGACCAGTCGATAATTTTATTAATTTTTTCAACGCTCAAAACAATTTACCTGAGTCAGCATAAATTCCAATGAAACTTCAGCGCGTTCCCCGCTCGGAGTCCATCGTTTTTTGACTTCATTTATCAGGAAATTCGGGCATTTACTCGCGTTTTTCAGTTTCTCGATCAGCTTTTCGATATCCGAATCCGTGAAAAATTTCGCGTTCTGATCGGCCATTTGGAAGATTTCCCGACCGTTTTGGTCGTTCAAATCGGTGGCGGCGTGGACGAGGAGGTCCATGAGGGCGGCGCGGAACGTGGGGCGGGATTGGACGGAGGTTTTGAGTACTGGAATTGAATTTTTCGAGGAAAAAATGGAAAAAATTCGGAAAAACGTTGAAAAAACTAAAAAAAAAAAATCGGAAAGTTGAGATTTTTGGGGGAAAAATCGATAAAATTCATATCAAAAAAAAAAAAAAAAGTTTTTTGCCAAACAATTGTAAACACCTCTGAATACAACATAGGATCTATAAAATTTAATTTAAATCCCATTTGCCATCACTTTTTGGTCGAAAATCAGAAAAAATCTTCAAAAATCAAGATTTTCGCCAAAATTTCCCCAAAAATAGGTCCAAAATCAAACTTATGCCTCTTACAATCCAAAACCTTTCGCAGTGTCCGATTTGCCATCTCTTTTCCTTGTTCCTGGCCAAGGATGAACAGATAGATCAACGAATTCAGGTAGAGTTGCTGCTTGTGAGCTGAGCCATGGGTGGCCATTTGATCCGCCTTTTGTACAAACTGCGAGACAAATTCGTAATCTGAAAATGGTTTGTATTCACTTTTCACTAATCTATCTTTCATTTTATACCATAATTTGTCAGATACAATCAAAGTTTTTGGGACGAAATGGGACCTTATTTTAGGTCGAATCGACCAATTTTAAACGGTTATAAGTCATTTCTGCTGTACAAAATCAATTTTAAAATACGCTATAGGGACATTTTATTCATGCAATTAGCTTACTACATCAAAACTTCGGACTTCCACGTAAATTTTTCGGGTCAAAAACTGACCTTATTTTAGGTCGAATAGACCAATTTTAAACTGCTATAGGTCATTTCTGCTGTAAAAAAATCAATTTTAAAATACGTTATACGGACGGTGTATTCATTCAGTTAGCTTACAACATCAAAACTTTGGACTTCCACATAAATTCTTGGGGTCAAAAACGACCTTATTTTAGGTCGAATAGACCAATTTTAAACTGTTATAAGTCATTTCTGCCGTAAAAAGTCAATTTTAAAATACGCTATACGGACGGTGTATTTATTCAATTACCTTAATACATCAAAACTTTGGACTTTCAATTAGACGTTTTGGGTCAAAAATTGACCTTATTTTAGGTCAAACAACTACTTTTAAATGATTCATAAGTCATTTCTGGCCTAAAAAATCAATTTTAAAATACGCTATAGGGACACTTTATTCATTCAGTTGTCTCATTGCATTAAAACTTCGGGCTTGCGCCGTATATTTTTGGGTCAAAAATTGACCTTATTTTAGGTCGTATAGACCAATTTTAAACCGGCTATAACTCATTGCTACTCTAAAAAAATCAATTTTAAAATACGCTATAGGGACATTTTACTCATTCAGTTACCTTACTGTATCACAACTTTGGACTTTCATATAAATTTTTAAGGTCAAAAATTGACCTTATTTTAGGTCGAATAGACCAATTTTAAACGGTTATAACTCATTTCTACTTCAAAAAGTCAATTTCAAAATACGTCTTGAGAATATCTTATTGATTGAGTTGTCTTACAGCATCAAAATTTTGGACTTTCGACTAGAATTTTCGAGTCAAAAATTGACCTTATTTTAGGTCAAACAACTACTTTTAAATGACTCATAACTAATTTCTACTCTGAAAAAATCAATTTTAAAATACGTCCATAATTTATTATACCTCTAGTCACCATGCCACACAAAAAATATTCACTTCTTCTTCAAGTTTTAACTAAAAAAAATCGACCTTATTTTAGGTCATCCGAGGATTTTCAAATTGTTTATAACTTCCTTCTACCTTCCCCAATACGTTCCAAACTTCTCTACAGCCCTTCTCCACACTTACCAGTGCATTTCGCATGACATAGCCAGAGGGAAAACATCCTTGACGCGCTGACGTCATCGATTTTCCGGGTCAAATACAGTGGTGTAAACTTATGAAAAATAAAAGATTGCGAGTCCGTCCACACCATTGAATCTAAAAATTGGTAAAAATCGTTCAGAATCACGTATGAGAATAAAAAAAATCGAAATTAAACTCACTTTTGAACAAAATAATCGAGATTTTTACGAAAATTTGCCATTTATATCGAACGAAATTGTCGTGTATGCTATAGGTGTATGATAAATTATTGAAATACTCCGGGAATTCCAAAAAACTGCTGGGGATGGGGTCCTAAAATGATTTTAGGTAGAAAAAAATCAAAAAAAAAAGAAAAATTTTTTTTGAAAAAATGTCTAAATTAATATGGAATTAGTGTTAAAAAGCCCTTACAGCATGCAAAACCACAAAGCATTTCCTATTTTTCCCTAAAACTCTTTTATTTCAGAGAGAAACACAAAAAATCAACAAATTTCAAAAATTTTAAAAATCTCACCACATCCATAACAATGGCATCAGTGCCCATATCATGCGTTAACTCGTTGAATAATGCTTCAAGGATGACATGAGCATCAATTTTAAATTCATCTTCAGAATATTGAGTTAGCATTCGATGCCACGAAAACAAAGCCCATCCGATGAACAATTCGGTCGATTCAAAGTCTTCGTTTGTCTCGTTCTTCTTCTTGATCATTTCAATAAGATGGGAGAAGGCCTGGAAATCAATATAATGTGAAAAAAATTATGAAATCATAATTTAAAAATTTCAAAAATAATCAAAAAGTTTCAAAACAAGTCATTTTCGACTTATTTAACGACAAACTAAATGTAAAAAGAACCTAAAACAACATTCTGGTATCCCTACTAAAGTTTCCGAACCATTTCCAATCCAAAAAATCCAAATTTCCCGCCAAAAACCCCCAAAAAGTTTTCTGGAGGTATGGGGAATTGAACCCCAGCCCTCTCGCATGCTAAGCGAGCGCTCTACCCCTGAGCTATACCCCCACGGCCGGGAAGGCATTCGGAACTCGGGGTGATCTTTGGTGCAGGGGCTGGGGAACAGCCGAAGGGCATTTTAGGTGAGAAAAAACGGGATTTTATTATCGACCGGTCGATTTTTGAGTTATCAGTGGGATCTTTGACAAATTTTGGGGATGATTTTTTTCGATTGTTTGGTCTGCACAGTGCAATAAAAAAAAATAAAAAATTTTTTTTGAAAATTTTTGGGTAAAATACGGAGTACATTACCATGCTTGTCAATTTTAACCGTTCACAGTGGAATTTTCGATCCATTTATTTGGGTAAAAATTTTTAATTTTTTCTGTAAAATGAAATAAAATTTCAAAAAATAAATAAATAAAATACCCGTATTTTAGCCTCAACCCATCGTCAAATTCATTTCCCAACCTCTTTCTCACCTTTACAAACAGTCGCACTCTCTGTTCCACCGGCACATTCGGATCGTAGGCCGTAAAATATTCCTTGGGCACAACTTCGCAGATAACCGCGGTCAATGTCCTCGACACAATCTCGCTTTTCGTATCCAAAAAGCTCTGAACCATGGGCAAATCCAGGCTTTGGGGGAAACACATCTCGCCCGAATAGGAATCCATCAAGTCGAGGAGAAGATCGTCGATGAACAAGTGGTCGTTCAGATTGGCCAGTCTACTCCACGCTTTTCGAGTGCATTCGCAGGGAAATGAAGCCTTCTAAAAGTCGAAAAACAATGGAAATTCCAAAAAAACTTACACCATGAGAAGGGGCGAACTGTGCCAAAAATGCGGCGAAAAGCCCGCTTAGCGCATGAAATGGAGCTCGATGATCGATCTGACAGACCTTCTCGATCTCATCGTCGGATCCAAATGCCCCAAAAATCTGAATCACCTCGATAATTAGCATCCAAACCCGCAAAAGCACGTGATATTTGATCTGAAAGGTAAAATAAAGTAAAATTTTATCTAAAACAATATAAAATGCAACCAAAAATACTCACCGCGCTCCCGTAACTCCCTAAACTCTTCAACGGAGCTTTTGTCCAACAATAATCGGCCAAGAAGTCCGCCAATTTCCTCATGTAGATGCTAATGTGAAGGAGAAGATAGCTCCGATCGGCTGCCTCCTTGATTAAAACGCATCGTATTGTCTCGATCGCAGAGCAAAAGTCATTATACGCCTTGAAAAGAAAGACTTTGTAGTCAGGGAGTCGCTGAATTTCAGCTGTCGACTTTAGGATCAGATCACATAGGTGCTCATGGAAGATGGACAAATATCGGGTAACTTCTTGGCAAAACTGGGAGATTAGCTGGAAAATAATATTCAGAAGACTGTATTCTCCATTTCACTACCATATTTTACAATTTGAAAGAGATCTGACATTTATTTTGGAAATTTTTCCGAGACCCATCAAAAAAGGTGTCTAAGATAAGGAAATCGTTCAAAATCCCGACAAGCCTTCAAAAACAAACCTAGAAACCCTTCGTATAAGCAAGAGGGAGTTCTATTCGATATATTTTATCCAAAAACAGCAAGAGAATTTCCTATTTCCGGTGGCTTTCATCAAAACCTTCTCCTTCATCAAGTGGTCTAAAAATCAAGAACAAAAATGATCAAAATCTCACCTGCTCAGCGTCCAATTCCTCCCCAAAGAACTTCAGTTCACTGGGAATGTCAAGATCATGTAGTCTTTGGCCAAACCCACCCAAATTCTCCTTCAACAACTCGCAAAAATCCATTTTTCGCGAGAGATATCCGGAAATTTTCGAGAAAAAGAGAAATTATTTTTTCGAAAATCTTTTTCGCGGAATGGCGACAAGTTATACCATGGAAATTGGAGATAAAACTTCGACTGACCATAAATTATCATTTATTTCGGTAAAATACGAATGTAAATGGGTTAAATTAGGAAAATCAGGGCCATGATCAGGGCGAAAATGGCAAAAACAAAGAAAACCGCTCGCCGCAGCGTGTACAGCTCCTCTTCCAGGTGGCCTTTCGACCTCTTCCCCTCACTCGCCTGCGACACACTGCCTCCGGGGATGTCGATGTAGGAGGCGCGGTTGTCCACCGATTCTGTCTCGGCCAAACTGTAGGTGGGCGTGGAGTTCGAGGAGCTGGTTGGGGCCGGCTGATCGATGGGGTCCATCTCGAACAACGCATTCTCGATTCCGTTGGGGTTCAGGACTTCGTTTTCCACCAAGTTTTCGGTTGTGATGCTCTCGGAACGTTGTGAATTTTCGCCGTACAGAAGGAATCTGAAATTAATATCAAAAATCAAAAAAAAAATTTTTTTTTAATTTTTTTTGTTTATGCAAATTTAAATAAGAATTTTCTAAGACATTTACAAAATTTTTAGTTCCCTTTTTGCAGAAATAATCGAGATTTCAAAAAAAAAAAAAAAAAAAAAATTTTTAAAAATCCCGAATTTTTTTTTGAAATTTTCAAAATGACAAATTGGCATTCTGATGCAAATGTATGACAAATTTTTCTCACATAAAACCAATTTTTTTGCTCGCAACTGGCAAAGATACGGCCAAAAAAAGATTTTTCTCTGACCGTTCTCCTCATTTCCCATACTCTCTCGTAAAAATTTAATATTTTTTTGCGGATTTTGTTATGAAAAAATTATTCATGCTTATTTCTATCACAGAGTGTAATGCTTCCACAAAAAAATATTTTTTTTGCGAGCAACTGGCAAAGATACGACCAAAAAAAAGATTTTTCTCTGACCACCCTCCTCATTTTCTGTACTCTCTCGTCGAGAAAAATCGTTCAATATCTCGGCTGTGCCTGCAAAACGCGAGCTAAAATTTTCAGGACTTGATATATGACCTATACCCAATGTATGTGCAAAATTTGAAGAAAATCCGAGCTTCGTATCTTGAGCATTTCGTATTTAGAAAAATGGATTTCTTACGTTTGCGGATCGAAAGAAAATCCCTCGGCATTGAAGGCCTTCCATTGCCTCAAATATTCGCTCCAGTTGGTCACCTTAAACGGGAATTCAATGTCTTCGGGAAGCACTTCTTGTAGATACGAGAGCGTTGCGTGGAAGAAGAAGACAAACGCGTTCCAGAAGAACATCACTGCGTAGAATACTACTGAAAAATAAATGGAAATTACAGGGTGTCCCAAAAGAATAGAAAAATTTTTCCATGGGTCCTGCCGCGAAAACCGTCAAGTGTAGCCAAATAATTTCTTCACCTAAAAATTCCCCGTGCTTTTCTGCCCTAGGTGGTTTATTTTCATGCCCATATCGCTTGGTTAACATATCGTTTTTGTTTTTTGATGTTTTTATCCAAATTTAATAGATTGATGAAAAACATTGTTCCAAAAAGCAAATATCCGTAGGTTTGCCTTGATATTATTGCTGTAATACACGTAAAATACCCCAAAATACGTGATAAACTGCCCTAATGCAGCATCAAGTACGTTGCGGCAGAACTCTCCGCCTTTTCTGAATTCTCCCCCAATCTGAACTCTCCTCCTTTTTGAACACTCCCCCTCACTTTGAAAATTGAAAAAATGAGGTGTGACATCTTGTGCAATGGAAACTTTTTTCAAATTGAAAAAAATTAGGTGTGACATCTTAATTTGAAAAAAATTTGCATCGTATAAGACGTCACACCTCGTTTTTTCAAATTGAAAAAAAATTTTCACCGTATAACATGTCACACCTATTTTTTTCAATTTGAAAAAAAATTTTCATCGTATAACATGTCACACCTATTTTTTTCAAATTGTAAAAAATTTTCATCGTATAACATGTCACACCTCATTTTTTCAATTTGAAAAAAATTTTCGTCATACAACATGTTACATCCCATTTTTCTCAATTTAAAAATTTCATCGTATAACATGTCACACCTCTTTTTTCTCAATTTGAAAAAAATTTTCATCGTATAACATGTCACACCTCGTTTTCTCAATTTGAAAAAATTTTTTGTCGTATAACATATTACACCTCGTTTTTTTCATTTTTCAAAATGAGGGAGTGTTCAAAAAAGGTGAGAGTTCAGATTTTTTGGTGAAAATCAAAAAAGGGGGAGAGTTCCGCCTTTTTTGGGGGCGAGTTGAAAAAGGGGGAGAGTTCAGATTGGGGGAGAGTTCAGGCTCAACCCATCAAGTATCCTCGAAAAGTCGTAGCGAAGATTTGTTGAACAGAGGTCCAAAAACTTACAAATATCGGGCATGGTCCCATTTCCAGGCGGGATCTGCTTGACCATCGACCATCCCGCAAAGCAGTGGATGAAGAGGGAGAAGAGCGAGATCAACGCCGCCTGGGAGAGGTCTTCGATCCAGAAAACGACTAGCGAAAGGAACACCGAGGTCAGCTGAAAATTTTTACGTTGATCTACACAGATATCTGTGCACAGATTGTTATTGTAAAGTACGTCTTTTTACACCCCTGTTTTTATTTTCCTGGAGTGTTAACAGAAGATTTATTCTCCCGATAATAGCTAATTGACTTTTGCTCCAAAATTTCCGGCAATTTTCTGTGTTTTACGCTTCCGTTTTTGGGCAATTTACTGTGAGGAGGGCTGAATTTCCCATGAGCATCCGTTTGTGCGTTTACGTGCGAAATGTTTGGATAAAAGTGGAGAGAAGAAAAAGTTAATTGGGGCTTTCATTACAAATTCCGGATCAAGAGATCGAAAGGGCTGCTCGAGAAATTCTTAGCATAAGAAATTGGCGAAGAGAGCTTCAAATTATGGGTATAACTTGTACTACAGTGACGGACCTGATCCAGTGGCAAAAAGCGTACCATTTTGCATACGGGAAGCATCAAAAATGTGGCAAAATGCTTCCCTCTCCAAGTGAAAAAACATCGTTTTGAAGGGCTCCCTCACAAAAAGAGCGGGCCGCTTTTGAAACCGGAGTTTTTTCACTTGGAGAGGGAAGCATTTTGCCACATTTTTGATACTTCCCGGATGCAAAATGGCACGTTTTTTGCCACTGGATCAAGTCCCCATTTAGACCAATTTCTGAAAATTTTAGATTTTGCGTTGAAAATCCCCAGCTGACAGGCAAACTTGGCACACATTTGGAATAGTTTTTCTAGCAAGAAAATATATTCTAGCCTCCCAGCTCGCGTTTTGCAGAAACCGCCGACATTTTTAGATCGAAAGTTGGAAAAAATGTGACACTATTTCAAGAATATTTCCACTGTAGAGGGTAATGTTTCCACAAAAAATCAATTTTTTTTGAGCAACACTGGCAAAGATACGGCCAAAAAGTTTCTTTCTCTCTGACCGCTCCCCTTGTTTTCCGTACTCTCTCGGCCGCAAAGATCGTTCAAATATCTCGGCGCTCCCTGCAAATCGCAACCTGAAATTTTCAAGAATTGACACGTGGCCTATGTCCAACGTATGTGCAAAATTTAAGGCAAATCTGAGCTTCTTACTTGAAGGTATTATACTTAACTTGTAATATCATCAAACCCTAAAAATTTTTTTTTTCTACTTTTTTGTTCCGTATTTTACATTTTGAAATCAATGTTTTTCCTCTTCTCAAAACATTACAAATTTACCAGGAACTCTATTTTTTTTATCATGCGCCAGTCACATTTTGATTGTCAACATTCGACTGGAGCCCGCTTTTCGCCGTCTATTCGAATAATTAATACCTTATAAAACATTCATTTCAACGCCTAAGCGGGTATTTTCAGCAGTCTTTTGTTGACTACCATAAGACCGAGTTACTTTTGGAGACGGAATTCTTTAGAAGCGAATTTTAAATCAGCATGAACCGAGGAATAAAGTGTCAAAAAATGTTGGATAGCTTGAAGCGCGACGTACAGATTTTCTTCAAATTTTGGACACACTTTGGAAGTAGATATCACATCAATTCCTGAAAATATTAGCTCGCAATTGGCAGCGACAGCCGAGATATTCAACGATCTTTACGGCCGAGTACGCAAAACGAGGAGAGCGGCCAGAAAGAAAGACATTTTTTGACCGTATCTTTGCCAGTTTCGTGGAGAAAAAATTGATTTTTTGTGGAAACATTACTCTCTACGGTAGAAATAGGCATGAAAATTTCCGTTGCGGCACAACTCTCCCTTTTTTCTGAACTCTCCCCCTTTTTGAACACTCCCTCTTGAATGAACCCTCCCCTTTTTGAACACTTCCCCTCATTTTGAAAATTGAAAAAATGGGGTGTGACATGTTATACGATGGAAATTTTTTTTAAATTGAGAAAAATGAGATGTGACATGTCATACGATATAAATTTCTTTCAAATTGATAAAAATGAGGTGTGACATGTTATACGATGGATTTTTTTTTCAAATTGAGAAAAATGAGGTGTGACATTCTTAATTTGAAAAAAATCCATCGTATAACATGTCAAACTTCATTTTTTTTTAATTTGAAAAAAACTTTTCATCGTATAACATGTCAAACTTCATTTTTTTCAATTTGACTAAAAATTTTAATCGTATAACATGTCACACCTCATTTTTCTCAATTTGAAAAAAAATTTCATCGTATAACATGTCACACCTCGTTTTTCCTGTTTTCAAAATGGGGGAGTGTTCAAAAAAGTGGAGAGTTCAGATTTTTTGGTGAAAATCAAAAAAGGGGGAGAGTTCCGCATTTTTGGGGCAGAGTTGAAAAAGGGGAGAGTTCAGAAAAGGGGGAGAGCTCAGGCTCAACCGAAAATTTCCATGTTAAAATTTGCAAAAAAGAGTGACATTTTTCCCACTTTTCGACCTCAAAATCTCGGTCGGCAATCTCATAGCTCTATTTCCACTAACATGTACAACTTTTCCCCCATAAAACTCCTCTTTTTGGACCTGAAATTGGCAGAGAAAGGCCAGAAAAGGGGTTTTTCTCTGCCCGCTCTCCGGATTTTGCCTACTCTCTTGTCAAACCTTAAAAATTCTGCTCTTTGATAGTCAAGTTGGTGAATTTAATGGTAACACAATCTCCTGACAGTGTTTTCTCAATTTGTTTACTCATTTTTCTACCGATTTCTTGTTGTATTCGAATTAAAATTTCAGTTTTTGTTGTTTGACACACGCAGACATGTGAGCGGATAAAAAATTCTACGTTCCGACACGAAATGACACCCGAAATGTCGAATGCCGATTGCGAAATGACATTGTGCTCTTCTTGGAACTCAATTTTTTTGTCACGAAATTTTTTGGTTTTAAAAAATTTTGAAATTAAAAAAAAATTTTTTTGCGAAAAAATCTCAATTTCGTAAAATCTTTGCGTGAAAAACGTGCTCAAACCTATGTATTCTACGTCGATATTGCGTAAAATGTAATCTAAACCGCGTGTTAAAATTGTAATTTTACAGCAAAAACTTTGGAATTTAATTGATTTTAATTTATAAACTGATTTCCGGAGGAACGACACGCAAAACGCGTTGTAATCGAGCAGAGATTAATATAGCGGTATTCAGTCTGTCGGGAAAATAATGAGCATTCTGTCGGATCGAAAATTGCACATTATTTTTCCGACAGACTGATATAGTGACAGATCTGATCCAGTGGCAAAAATAGTACCATTTTGGATCCGGGAAGTGTCAAAAATGTGGCAAAATGCCTCCCTCTCCAAGTGAAGAAACTCCGTTTTTTCAAAAGCGCTCTCGCTCTTCTTGTGAGAGAAATTTGAAGGCGCCCTTCAAAACGGAGCTTTTTCATTTGGAGAAGGAGACATTTTGCCACATTTTTGATGCTTCCCGGATGCAAAAATCTCAAAAGCGCACCCGCTCTTTTTGTGACGGACCCTTCAAAACGGAGTGTTTTTCACGTGGAGAGGGAGGCATTTTGCCACATTTTTTGATACTTCCCGGATGCAGAATGGTACATTTTTTGCCATTGGATCAGGTCCGTCTCTGGACCTTTAAAAAATACATCTAAACTCGGACCAGGTTTCATCATAATCTCAGGGAAAGTGGAAAAACTTCGTAAGCCCGTAAGCTTGTCTGGGTGATGTTTTGTCCACCTCTCCTCTGATTTTTTTCATTTTTTTTTGTTTTTTAGAGGTCCTGAGACGGACCTGATCCAGTGGCAAAAAATGTACCATTCTGCATCCGGGAAGTATCAAAAAATGTAGCAAAATGCCTCCCTCTCCACGCGAAAAACACTCCGTTTTGAAGGGTCCCTCAAAAAAAGAGCGGGCACCCTTTAGAAATCGGAGTGTTTTTCACCTGGAGAGGGAGGTATTTTGCCACATTTTTGGATACTTCCCGGATGCAAAATGGCACATTTTTTTCCTCTGGATCAAGTCGTCACTGTACCTACGAAATTTGAAGAAGATCAAATTTTGTAGATACATTACATCTCACGCCATTTTCGACTCCTATTAATGTGTCTAATTAGTACTATATCACTCTTTGCTTCCCTTCGCTTCCTATGACATCATGTTTAAAAGCTCACGTACATCCACCCTCATTTAGTTCCAGTGTTAGCACTGACTTTTAATCCTCCGAAAACATCGCCCAGACGGCTTAGCTTTGCCATTACTATTACACTATGATAAAATCTTTGATAATAGTCGCAAAGACAAAAGATAATCTTGTTTTGTCGATGCTCTTTCATACAGTGGTCACTTCCTATTGTTTTTTTTATTTATTGCGTGTGAGTTTTAATGCCAAGATGGTGTCCATGAATGAGTAACTTTTTTGGGATGATTTGAAATTCAAAGAAAATTTTTGAATTTCCACGGAATGTATTCCAAATTCGGCGCTCAGATTATGATGAAACTCTGCACAAATTTAGAGTAATCTTTTTGCAGTGACGGACCTGATCCAGTGGCAAAAAACATACCATTTCGCATCCGGAAAGTATCAAAAAATGTAGCAATATGCCTCCCTCTCCAGCTCAGAAAACCTCCACATCTTTTGAAACTTCCCAGATGCAAATGGTAGGTTTTTTGCCACTGGATCAGGTCCGCCACTATGTATGTCAAATTATTGTAAATTTGTGTCAAGTTTCATCAAAATCTATGCGTCGCACTTGCGGTACTTCCCCTGTAATAATTTGGAGAGGGAGGTATTTGGCCACATTTTTGATACCTCCCGGATGCAAAATGGTACGTTTTTTGTCGCTAGATCAGGCCACTGTTTGTGGGGTTTTCGGGTGTCGCTCGCACCCTCACTTTTCTTGCACACTTGTCAGCATTCGTAAAAGCTGTCAAAAGTGCAAGAGGTAACGGTGAAAACAGCCTCGAAATTAATGAGTCTGATTATTTTCGGCTTCGTTTTTCCCGCACCACTTATTGTTTAATACCCAAAAGGATAATCGAGTATTCCAGACTGTGTAGAAATATAGAGTTCAAAGACCCGGCGTGCGAAAATAATAGCAAGTGGGCTGGACAAAGCGACCGTAAAAGTAAAGTGCCAACTATATACATAATAAGTGAAGTCTTTGCCGGTTAAAAAAAATTTTTGTGCAAACATCAGCCACTGTGGTAGAAATGTTAATATCACCTTGTCGGGAAAGTAATGAGCATTTTGTTGAAACAAAAATCGCATCGCCGCGGGAACATGAATTGTGTCGCGGCAAAATAAAATTGCTTTTTCACTTCAGCGATTAGGTCGCCGCAGCGACATTATGCTCATTATTTTCCCGACAGACTGATATGCTGATTTGGTGGATAAAGATTTTTTCTGACCGCTCTCCTCATTTTCCGCGCTCTCTCGCAAGGATTGTTAAATACTCGGCTGAAGTTGCAAATTTTTCCTTTCACCGTCTCCTCTCCAGTTTCGGTCTGTTGGGAAAATAATGTGGATTTGTCGTAGAAAAAATTCTCGCCTCACCGCAGTCGCACAGTAACAAATTTATCGAAAAAATACAAACAAGACAGCTCGCTTTTATTGTGATATTTTGATGTAGTCTACTTTTTTTTCTTGTAGACGCATTTTTGTTGTTTTAGGCGCAGGGAATGAAAAAGAAATTGCCATGTTTTAATATCGCAACCTTCATAAGCGCTGTGTAAACAATGACTTCACTTATACATATATTCGAAAATTTTATAGTTTATTGCTGCTCGTATTGTGGGCTTGATCTATGGCCGCTTTGAGTGAGAGCAAAGGATCAAAAAAGCCCATTGCATGTGAAAAATGAAGCTCTGTTTGCACTGTCCAATGTGAACTTTGGTTTTTTTATATGTCGCCAAAATCACTCTAGCGACTTTGCGAACGGTGAATATCGTAATATTAGCCGACATTTGTTTTACTTCTTTTTTTTTTGATAGATACAGATAGTTCTACCTGTAAATCGATCAATTTTTGACACTTCGCGATAAGTAGTTTGTGCTTGACGCGATATGAGTTTGTCGGGAAAATAATGTGAATTCAAGGCGCGTTGAAATCGCCCTTCATCTAGCCTGGAGATTTCATATGCGACCGCGAGCAGATGCGACATTTTTCTGCTCAAAATCCACATTATTTCCCCGAGACACTCTCAAATCTCTTTATGCACTTTCTATAGGTGTAAAATCCAGAGCTTCCGTTAACGTTATTCTTTAGTGAAATCAGTATTTCTTTAAGCCACCTTCTGATGTCTAAATCAATATAAAATCTTTTATAGAAACTTAATTTTTCCTAACTGTTGGCGCTAAGCCCCAAATTTGCATAAGTTCGCCAATTCACTATAAAAGACACGTTTTACTAACAATGCTCGAGATTTTGCTCCCATATGTTATCAGTCTGTAGGGAGAGTAATGTGGATTTCTCACGCCTTGGAATCGCCTATCATGGCTTTGCGACGGCTAGTCGCGGAGATTTCATGCACGACCTCGAGGAGGCGAGAAATTTTGCTGCGACAAATCCACATTATTTTCCCGACAGACTAAAATTATTATGTAATTCTCCAGACATCCTGTTGTTATATGTTTGGAAGTTCTATTTTAATCCTTGGCTTTTGTTTATCACCAATTTTCCAATTACAATGTTTACCCTCCCAATTAGTTATGGAGGGCATGACTAATTACAGCGGTTGCGTCAAATGCTTTTAAATAATTATTTCATAAGTTGCTTCAGGGAGATTAGCCGCCTTCCCCCCGACGAGCTGTCTCATCGTTATAACCGGTTCAGGGATTTGGCTAAGACGGTGTTAGTCGCAGGAATATTTACAACCAATACAAGGAATATATACACCGTATATACAGGGGGAAAACAAAACACTTCTGCGAATATAGGATTTAGAAAAGACAATACTATATAGTCCGTTCGTAATGTCGCTGGCGTGGTTTTTGGCCTTTGCACTGCGCAAAAAAAGTCAATTGAGCTACAGCCAAAAAAAAGGCTATCGAGCTGGCCCGAAGCTGAATCAACTGTGAGGTAAGAATCTAGCCCGATGACTGTAGTAGAGGACCTGATTCAGTGGCTAAACATGTACCATTTTGCACCCGGGAAGTATCAAAAATGTGGCAAAATGCTTCCCTCTCCAAGTAAAAAACTCCGGTTTGAAAAGCGCTTTTGAAAACGGAGTTTCTTCACTTGGAGAGGGAGGTATTTTGCTACATTTTTTGATACCCGTCGGATACAAAATGGTACGTTTTTTGCCACTGGATCAGGTCCGCCATTGTAACTTGCCGAAGCGTTCGAATTTCTCATCTTTGACTCACCGGGAACTCCTTTTTTATGTTTTTATAATCGAATCCGCCGGATTTTTATGCAGATAAAGCGTTCAGACGGGTTTCGGAGGAAAAAAGACCTGATCCAGTGGCAAAAAACGTGCCATTTTGTATCCGGGATGTATCAAAAATGTGGCAAAATACCTCCCTCTTCAACTAAAAAACTCGGTTTTGAAGGGGTCCCTCACAAAAAGAGCGGGTGCGCTTTTGAAATCGGAGTTTTTTCACTTGAAAAGGGACGTATTCTGCCACATTTTTGATACTTCCCGGATGCAAAATGGTACGTTTTTTGCCACTGGACCAGGTCTCCCATTGTATTTTTTGCCAACTTTTGATCGTCATTTCTGCAAAGCGTAGGCTAGAAATCGCTCATATGTCCTGGAAAAAATTATTCTGAATTTCAGTCAATCATAATCTGACCGCCGCATTTGGAGTACATTCCGTGTAAATTCAAAAATTTTCTTTGAATTTCAAATCATCCCAAAAAAGTTCCTCGTTCATGGACACCATCTTGGCATTAAAACTCACACGCAATAAATAAAAAAACAATAGGAAATGACTACTGTATGAAAGATCATGGACAAAACAAGATTATCTTTTGTCTTTGCGACTATTATCAAAGATTTTATCATAGTGTATAGTAATGGCAAAGTTAAGCCCGTCTGGGTGATGTTTTCGGAGGATTAAAAGTCAGTTCTAACACTGGAACTAAATGAGGGTGGATGTACGTGAGCTTTTAAACATGATGTCATAGGAAGTGAAGGGAAGCAAAGAGTGATATAGTACTAATTAGACACATTAATAGGAGTCGAAAATGGCATGAGATGTGATGTATCTATTAATACAAAATTTGATCTTCTTCAAATTTCGTAGATACAGTGAAGGACCTGATCCAGAGGCAAAAAATGTGCCATTTTGTATCCGGGAAGTATCAAAAAATGTGGCAAAATGCCTCCTTCTCCAAGTGAAAAAGCTCCGATATCAAAAGCGCTCCTGCTCTTCTTGTGAGAGAAATTTGAAGGCGCCCTTCAAAACGGAGTGTTTTTCACGTGGAGAGGGAAGCATTTTGCCACATTTTTTGATACTTCCCGGATGCAGAATGGCGCATTTTTTGCCATTGGATCAGGTCCGTCTCTGGACCTTTAAAAAATACATCTAAACTCGGACCAGGTTTCATCATAATCTCAGGGAAAGTGGAAAAAATTCGAAAGCCCATAAGCTCGTCTGGGTGGTGTTTTTTTTCACTTCTCCTGTGATTTTTTTATATTTTTTTTGTTAAAAAATCCCGGCATTTTTATCTATTTTTCCTCTATTTTTTCAATATTTTTCCTTTTTTTATCTTCTATTTTGCCTCAGGCTATTATATTTATTTCCATATCGTCATCTCCCTCAATAAGACCAATATTTTTTTGGCTTTCTCGAGGTCAATTTTCGTCCTATTGAGGAGGTTCCATTATAGCGAAATTACGGTAGCTGCTTACGCACTTTCTCAGATAAGTAAGGCTAATTTAAAATTAACTATTATATGTTTGTATGCACATAAAATACGATACGTCGCGTCCTCCGCAAAAATATCGAGATTTTGTTTGGTTTTTTTTATTTTTTGTTTTATTTCGTTATATTTTTTTTAATTTTTGTTTTATTTCGCTAGTTTTTTAACAATAAAATTAATTTCCCAGTGGCCCGAAAATGGCTTAAATTTGGACCTTGTTCCGCCAATTTGCCGGAGGCATTGTCCCTGTTTCTGATGCAATTTCGCGTTTACAAGTTTAAAGAACAGAGTAATCCAATTTGCAGAAACAGAAAAACAAAAACTTTTTTTTGGGCCGTGATTAGAGAGCCATATCATGGCGGATATTCAATTAATGCCCGGAGGGGGGAGTTTGCAAGTTCGGCTGCGATTTTTCGAAATTTTTGTTATAAAGGGGCAGGTTGGGGATTACTGTATTTTTTGATAGAAAAAATTTTCTTTTTTACAGGGTACTCCAAGTGCGACGCTCAGATTTCGATGAAACTTGGCACAAATTTTGAATAATTTTTTTCTAAGATATATGCGAGAATCCTACCTCGCGCTTTGCAGAAACAACCGAGATTTTTAGATCGAAAGTCGGCCAAAATATAGGACTTCTTGCCGAACTTTGGCACGAAAAGTTTCATGCCTATTTCTACCGTAAAGGATAATGTTTCTACAAAAAATCGAATTTTTCCGCTCTAAACTGCCAAAGTTATGGCCAAAAAGCGCTTTTCTCTCTGACCGCTCTCCACGTTTAGCGTGCCCTCTCGGCGGCAAAAACTGTTCTATATCGCGCCGGCGCCCGCAAAGCGCGAGCTAAACCTTTCAGGAATTGATATTTAGTCCATACCCGACGTGTGTGCAAAATTTAAAGAAAATCTGAGCGTCGCACTTGGAGTACTTCCCTTGTTAGGATTTTTTGCTATAAATCTATACGTTAGACCTTACTTTCTTTTTTATGATAAAAAATCTTGATGAATAGTCTATTTTTCATGCCCGGAGGGCCAAATTTGAAATTCGGCCGCGATTTTTGGGATTTTTTTCCAAATCGACAGTTCAATTGGCCGAAATTTCGAACGCGATTTTTTGGAAACCTCCCAAAAAAAGCGCGTCTCGGAGTACTTGAGCTTATTGGATATCTTTTTAGATAGAAAAAATTACCCAAGAATTTGAGTCAAAGTGCCGAGTTATACGATGATACGAATTTCCCGGTTCTCTTCATATTTCCCAATTTTTAGCCTTTTGTTTCCGCCAAAAAAGGAAGTTCAAATTGCTGGGGGCGAAGAATTGGGCCGAGGTTTGTCCTCAAAATTCTGATTATCACAGAATTTCAAAAAATATGTCATGTGTCAAGACCTTGATATAGGTCAAGTAATAAGGGCCCCTAATCTAGTTCTACCTAAGATCTCAAGCCAATACAACGACAATTCAAACAAGCGACAATACAACTAACTATGCCCTAGGCAACAACTTCACAAATGAACTCACAATGCTTGACTCCACCAACACAAGAGACCATAGACAAATCAATAGACAAATAGAAAATACCGTAGACTTTATTGGACACCAACCGCATAAGCGGGAAAAGACAAAACACAAAATAATACCATCATAATTGTCGATTTCTCTTCCTTTTATACCAATTTGTCGGTCATTCCGTGGGAATATGCAAATTCGCACGCGAAGTCGTGACACATGATGACAAAACTTGAAGAACGATTTTTGTCTTTTTTTTTAAATTCAAGCCCTGCGGCAATGTCTCGAGGATTATCGCTGAAGCCGAAAAAAGTGCTCTTACATGTACTGATGTCTGCACAAATCTTGAGTGTTTTTTGCGGAAGTAAAATTAATTTTGGAACTAATCTGAAGCCCACAATTGCAGATTAGTTCCAAAATCTATTTTAATTCCCAACAAGACATTCAAAATTTGTGCAGACATCAGTAAAAGCGCTTTTTTCGGCTTCAACGATAATCCTCGAGACACTGCCGCAGGGCTTGAATTTTAAAAAAAGACAAAAATCGTTCTTTAAGCGTTGTCATCATGAAATATTTTTTAAATTCTGTGATAATCAGAATTTTGAGAACAAAAACTTGGCCCAATTCTTTGCCCCAAGCAATTTGAACTTCCTTTTTTTTATTTTTTAAGTTTTGTCATCATGACAGTTTTTTTTTGGGAAATCAGTGATAATCATCAAAAAAGCGCATTTGAGAAATAAAATAAAATTCGGAGAACAAAACGTAGCCCAATTCTTCGCCCCCAGCAATTTGGATTTCCTTTTTTTGGCGGAAACAAAAGGCTAAAAATTGGAACATATAAGGAGAACCGGGACATCCGTATCATCGTATGACTCGGCACTTTGACTCAAATTCTTGGGTAATTTTTTCTATCTAAAAAGATATCCAATAAGCTAAAGTACTCCGAGACACTTTTTTTTGGGGGGTTCCTAAAAAAATCGCGTTAGAAATTTCGGCCTATTAAACTGTCGATTTGGAAAAAAATCCCAAAAATCGCGGCCTAAACCGGCCGAATTTCAAATTTGGCCCTCCGGGCATTAAAAAATAGACTTTGATCAAGATTTTCTATCATAACATCCGTATCATCGTATAACTTGCCGTACGCGGAGGGACTCCGGAAGATCAGAAGATAAAATTTTTTTTTATTTTTTCTATCATAAAGTGAAGTAAACCGAAACCTAACTTTTGAAATTCGTGGATCGGAATCGGAAAATTCTAAAATTCCCGGCCGGAATCGTCCGAAATTTTTCATAGTAACTATACAATAGCCACGGATCTTTGTTTTTTGCCGCAAATTTTGGTCTGTTATACGTTACAATAACTCAGAGTAAAGAAAACTAACGTTAGTAGTATGTAGCTAAAATTAGTAAAAATGGACATATTGCAAGTCTCCGCCGAGTCTTCGCCGACCATCCCGCGGCTTTGCCAGTTCTCGCAGGCACTTTTTACAACCAGAGATTGCCACGGCTCCGGAGCCGGCTCTTGGTTGCCGGGAGCCAAAGCCGGAAATTTTGGGTGCGGCTCCGGCTCCTGAGCCCAAAGTCGGAGCCAGGCTTCTCAGCGTTCAGAAAAGTAAAAAATTTCGTGATCTTGTTAAATCAATTTGCTTGAAAAATACTGGGAAGGATGTGTTGCGTACGACTTGGCTGCAAAAACGTTGGCTGTTTGACCACTAATAACTTTTATTTTCGAAAAAAAATTTTGCATAGGAGCCGGGGTTCGGAGCCGAAGACCTTTTTAAATTTTGCAGGGAGCTGGGAGCCGGAGCCGGGGCTGCAAGTTTGACCTTGGCTCCGGCTCTGGGAGCTAAGAGCCGGAGCTGGAGCCAAAATTTTGACCGTGGCAATCTCTGGTCTCCAGTATCGATCAGTTTTCTGTTGCCCCCGAACTGTCATTGACCCGAAAATTTGGGACGCGAACCCTTCGATCCTTCAAGTACATATTCCCTGTTTTTGCTCACTGAACTTGCACCTAATTTCCTACTCAATTAATTATACTTTACTATGGAGCTTAACCCTCTCTTCCTTAGTCATCACCGTTCTTAAGACCCTCAGGCATTATCGCGGCCGTCTTGTTCGTATGATGTAATTTTAATTCTTTTTTATGGCTTCATCGTTGTTGACTGGATTATTTTTTCGCCTTGCAGACGGTGATTTACCCGATTCTAAGATCCGCCAAAGATTATTCGCTTCAACGGATGTGGGGGTACGGTCGGAAATGGAAGGATGAGACTGGTGACAAGCCGGATGGATCAATTATAAGATCAGCTTAGAGAGATTTCAAAGAAAAGTTGGAATGGAAGAGGAAGTGAAAAAATGCGACGCGCAGATTTGAATATCAATATGTCGGGAAAATAATGAACACTCTGTCGCAGAGGAAATCACATCACCGCTGGGAAAATGAATTGTCTCGCGACAAAATCAAATTGCTTTTCACTTCAGCGACGCGATCGGCGCAACGATATTAGGTTCATTATTTTCCCGACAGACTGATAAAACTTGTCAAAAATTTACGTTAGATTAATGGCTTCGAAGATATATGCGAGAACCGAGATTTTTTTGTCCGAAAGTTGGCTATACTTTTTTTGGCTTGACAAATAATATCATAGCTATTTCTACTGTATTTTCATTGTTTCCACAAAAAAATGAGTTTTGTCCATGCGAAACTGGCAAAGATTTGGCCAAAAAGTTTCTCTTTCCTCCACGTTTTTCGCCTGCCCTCTTGACCGCTGAGATCGTTGAATATCTCGGCTCTCCCTGCAAAGCGCGAGATAAAAATTTGAGGAATTGATATGGAGTCTGTGCCCGAAATGTGTGTAAAATTCAAAGGAAATCTTAGCATTGCGACAGGCTTTGGGTTCGGACTAGACATGGGCCCGAAGGGTTCGGACTAGACATGGCTCCCGGGCCGGGCCGGCCTGGGCCGGGCCGTGGGCCGGGCCGAAATTTCGGCCCGTCGGCCCGATTTCAGATCGGCCGGGCCGGCCGGACCATTTCCGGCCCGTCGACCGGCCGGCGTTTCGGCCCGGCCCGAAATATTTAAAATCCAGAATCTCGAAGCGAAAATTGGGTTTGATAACGAAAATAAACGAAATGTCAAGACACAATTGGTTTTTTAAAGGGCTTTTTGTTTTTAGATAGCTATGGAACACAGTATTCCTTATGACCAAAAAAATTTGGTCGTAAGGAGTTAGACTTGGGGAGACTTTCGTTTCAATGGCCCGGGCCGGCCCGAGCCGGGCCGAAGCAAATTTAAAACGGGCCGGGCCGACGGAAAATTTGAAACGGGCCGGGCCGGCCGGAACCCTTCAGGCCGACGGGCCGGGCCGAGATTTTCGGCCCGGGCCGGCCGACGAGCCATGTCTAGTTCGGACCGGCCTCGGCCCCCTTTAAGTTCGCTCGGCACAGCCATTGAGGGCCGATTTGGGGCCCTGCCGAGGCCCAGTTGGAGGCCAGAGAAGAAAGGCCCGGCCTCGGATCGTTTCCAACTCGCTGGACCCGGCTCCAGAGGCCTTGCGAGCCACGTCTAGACTTGGGACCCTTGTGAATTTTTGCCAAATCATTTTTCTTTCCATTTTTTTCTCGTTGAACAAAAATAGTGTAGAACTTTTTAACTTTCTATTAAATCGATGCTACAGTATGCCAACATTGACGATTTCCATTCCCAAAATTGTTTATCCATTTTGACAAACAATTTCTTATTAAAAATTAATCCAATTACGTCCCTCACCCCTTTCCTTTGACGTTTCCATATCTTCTTGGTATTCAAATTTCATCCACTAATTAGTCATTAGCAAACAATCTTATTGTCTTGTCACTCGTGATTTGACTCGTCGCAAAATAAAATTTTTTTTGATTTTCCAAAAATTTTTAATCCAAAAATTGATGCAGTATAAAAAAAATTTTTTCCTCAAAAATTTTCTTTCTTTATGTCACAAAGGAAAATGTAATTTTACATTTTTTGTTTCCAATTTCTCCGGATTATCGACCGGATTTGCACTGGATTTGGGCTCAAAAAAAGTGTAGGTGGAAATGGATGTAAATCTACATCTGATATCCGATTAATCCGAATAGATCCTTTTTCGGGGATGTGGTGGATGTAAAATTACATTTTTAGATGTAAAAATGTAAAATTTTAAAAGAAATTAAAAAATTTTTTTCGATAATTTTTTTTTCAAATCTAGTATATATGTTCTGTATACATTACAAATTAATCCTAGAAAATTTCATCCATCAATTTACAGCGGCAGCCGAGATATGAGGCAATATTTTTTCGGAGAGAGCACGAGAAATGGGGAGAGCGGCCAGACAAAGGGCATTTTTTGCCGATATCTTTGCGAGTTTTGCTGGGAAAAATTGATTTTTTTGTGGAAATACTATACTCACCATTAGAAATATACCACGACTTTTTTATTCCAAAAATCGCAAAAAAATTTTATTTTTTTGCCAATTTTTGATCAAAAAATTCAATTTTTTGCTAATTTTTGACCAAAGAGTCTCAAAAGCCTTAAAAAAGCCTGCTAGAAAGCCCGTGTATCCCTTAAAAATTCAAGTCTAACCTTGTCTGTTCTTTTTAACAAAATTAAATAAAATAAAAAATTTAAAAAAATTGAACTTACCATAGGCATGGTGACGGTGACAAAAAAGTACGGAGCATGCCGTTTGATGGTGATTCCGAACTCGAGAAGCGACCAGTAGTTGTCCAGTTGGTACATGGTGTAGACCGGTCCGTCCGGATACAATTTTTCGCAGCCGTTCGGGCCATAGTTGCACTGGGACTGCCAGGAGCCAACAATTTCCCAACCTGGAAGAGGAATAAATTAATGACAGTGAAAAAGAAAAAAAAAATTTTTTGAAAATTAATAAAATTCAAAAGATTTTTTAATTTGAGTATTTTTGACAAATTTAGATTAGGGCGCAGCTCGAAAAAAAATCAAACCTAGGGCGCAGCTGGGAAAGAAAAATCGTTGAAAGCCAGGGCGCAGCTTGCCGTAAGATATACAAAATTAAAAAAAAAACTCGAAGAGAACATCAAATTTGGACATCTAAAATTTCAAAACCCAGGGCACAGCTCAAAAAATATCCAAGCCTAGGGCGCAGCTCGAAAAGAAAGATACTTGCAAAACAGGGCGCAGCTTGCCGTAAGAGGCTTAAAATCTAAAAAAATCAAAGTGCACGTCAAATTTGGACATTTAAAAGTTTCAAAACCTAGGGCGCAGCTCAAAACAAAAGTTCTTGAAGCTAGGGCGCAGCTTGCGGGCAAAATTTCAGGTTATGGATTCACCGTGTTTTTGATGACTTTTTGCTTTTATGTAGAGTGTAAAACGACCATTTAATTTACGGAAATCTTAAAAGTTTTTTCTACATGGTATTTTATATTCAAATAAATTTTGTTTTGCATTAAAAATTTCTAGTTTTGAAGTGTTTTTTTGGCGTCATAAATATTATACTGTAAGTATTTTTTAAGTGTTATGATGTATCCTACACATACTTCTTTTATTATTATTTTTTCACTACATACGTGAGATTTTTTGCTCCCAAAACGTTGCGTGGTCCCCTTTCCGCAGTCTTTATAATAATGTAGAGTCCAGCTCGAAACATTTTGCAGTATTAAAAACGGAGTGCCGGGTTACTCTCTATTTTTAATTGCGATTTCCAAATGAGGGCTCAAACATTATTTTTGGAGGGCAATAAAGGGATTTCTCCAATGAATCGGCTATTTTTGGATGGGAATTCGGTATTTTTAGAGCGAAAGAGATGAATTCACATCTTTGGAACGTGATTTTCATGCTTTCAGAGAGATTTTGAGCGTGGAAAAATTGAAAAAAATTTTTTTTCGAAAAAAAAAAATTTTATTTTTTTTTTGTTTTTTGCACTGTGCAAATGCTTTTTTAAGCTATAGTAAGCCAGAGGCTCAAATTTGAAAACCAAAAATCGCAAAAAAATCAATTTTTTTGACTCTTTTAATCAAAAAAATCTCGTTTCGGAAAGCTTTCTTATTTTATTTGCCCTTATGAGAAGATGGCCATAAACAATGTGTCAAAAAAAATTGTTTACGGTACCATCACCGTGAAATGATGAAGACTTCTTTCCCCCAAGGAATGTTGACAAAGTACAGAGGCCCTTTTTACTTTTCGCGACTGTTACTTTTTATGAGATGGGGTATTACGGTAGCTTGTAAAAAGTTGAAAATGACCGTGATGTCATGGAGAATGTTTTGGTGAATTTCTCAAAAACCAAAGCTCTAAATCTGATAAAATTTGAAACAAATTTTGGCTATGGCATTTTAAAACAACTACCAGATTTTAAGGCCGTATTTTCGAAAAAAAAATTTGAGATTTTTAGGTCGAAAAATCGGGAAAATTCAAAAATTTTTTTGCGATTTTCAAAATCAAAAATTGGCATTCTGTTTCAATTACATAGTTAAATATTTCTACAAGAAATCAATTTTTTCCCAGCGACATTGCCAAAGATATGGGCAAAAAACGTTTTTTTCTCTGACCGCTCTCTTCATTTTGTGCACTCTCTCGTAAAGATTGTTGAATATCTCGGCTGCCCTTGCAAATTTCGAGCTAAAATTTTCAGGAATTGATATGTGGCCTAAATAGGATATATGGGCAAAATTTGAGGGATGCCTGATCATTTTGCCTCGGGCAATAAACGATTTTTAAAAATAAATTTTTTTTAGATTTTTTTTATTTACTGCTTTTTAAAAGTGATAAAAATCGCTGGGCAACACTTTATTCTACTGTAACACTATTTATGTTTACCATATACACTTTTTATAAGTGCGAACAATTTTTATATTTTTTTCGAAAGACATTATAGTACATAATCTTGCACGCTTGATGGGATCTTTCCCAGGAGGGTTTGTGTGTGAAAAAAACGGAAAGATCCCTTTATTCGAATAAAGTGATAATCGGTTACCTGTCACGTGAACCTTCAAGTATTTTACGCGCAATTTAGTAAATAAAATTTAGTAATAAACGGCTTAATTTTTTATCAAAAAAATCAAATTCCAAATTTTTAATTTTTTAAATTCCTCGAGGCACAATGCTTAAATTTTCTTCAAACTTTCAACATATGTTTTGTTAGAGCTACATATCAATTGCTGAAAATTTTAGCCCTTAGTTTGCAAGCGCAGTCGAGATATTCAACGGTCTTTTCCGACGAGAGAGTAGGGAAAATGAGGAGACCGGTTAGAGAATTTTTTTTGTTTTAGCTGTATCTTTGTGATTTTAGAGGGGAAAAAATTAATTTTTTGAGGGAATATTATACTCTATGTGTGAAAGAGAATGTAATTTTTTGGCTTTGAAAATTTCGAAAAAAATTTTGAATTTTTGCCAATTTTTGAAGGAAAAATCTAGATTTTTTTGTAAAATACAAAGGAAAATCTTGGAGTTTTCTTAGAAAAATTTATTTTTAATTGAATTGAGAACCAAAAATTAAAATTTTTTATTTTTCCAAAAAATTTTTTTTTCAAAAATTTAATTTTTTTTTTTTATTTTTATAAATTTTTGAAGCTTTTACCCTCAAAAAATGTTTTTTTTTCAACTTTGTCTTTCTTTGTTCCACGATAATAATAGCTCCGTCGGGCCGCGGAAACTCCCGATTCCACCCTCACATTTCCATTGATATCATTTTCGGAGGGTCATAAATTAAAAAATAGTGGGATGCTCGTAAAACTGACAGTACTTTTTGACATTTTTTGGCCAAAAAATTGGCCAATTCTTCATCGCCGAACATGTTTCGATAATCTTTCATTTTTTTACTTTTCGTGACTATTACTTTTTATGGGATGGGGAGGGGATTACGGTAGCTTAGGGAAGATGAAAATGACCCTGATGTCATGGAGAATATTTTGGTGAATTTTTCAAAAATTAAAGCTCTAAATTTGAAGAAATTTGAAACAAATTTCGACTATGGCATTCTAAAACAACTACCAGATTTTCAGCCCAGGGTTTCGAAAAAAAAATTTGAGATTTTTAGCAAAAAATTGGCAAAAATTCGAATTTTTTTTTGCGGTTTTCAAAATAAAAAATTGGCGATCTGTTTCTAATGCAAATTGTAACAATTCTACAAAAAATCAATTTTTTCCCAGCGAGATTCGCAAAGATACGGCTAAAAAACAATTTTCCTCTGACTACTCTCCGCATTTTCCATACTCTCTCGTAAAGATCGCTGAATATCTGGGCTGCGCCTGGAAAACACGAGGTGAAATTTTCAGCAAATGATATGTGGCCTTGACAAAAGATATGTGCAAAATTTGCCAAAAAAGTGGACTGAAACACAATGCCAAGAAAGTCAAAAATTTGGCGGGAAAATGGGCATTGAAATAAAAATACTGGATGAAAAGTATCAAATGGTTTTAAAAATATGTTTGTGTAAGTTTGCGCGTGGATTTTTTGCGATTTTTTGCCAAAAAAGTGAACTGAAACACAATGCCAAAGAATTTTTAATTTGGCGGGAAAATGAAAATTCAAATAAAACTGCTAGATCAAAGGTATTTAATGGTTTTTAAAATACGCGAATCTTAGTGAGACATAGATTTTTTGCGATTTTTTGCCAAAAAAGTGAACTGAAACACAATGCCAAAGAATTTTTAATTTGGCGGGAAAATGAAAATTCAAATAAAACTGCTAGATCAAAGGTATTTAATGGTTTTTAAAATACGCGAATCTTAGTGAGACATAGATTTTTTGCGATTTTTTGCCAAAAAAGTGAACTGAAACACAATGCCAAAGAATTTTTTATTTGGCGGGAAAATGAGAATTCAAATAATAATACTGGATGAAAAGTATCAAATGGTTTTTAAAATACGTTTGTGTAAGTTTGCGCGTGGATTTTTTGCCATTTTTTACCAAAAAAGTGGACTGAAACACAATGCCAAAGAATTTTTAATTTGGCTGGAAAATGAAAATTCAAAAATTTATTGAACCTACAAATCACGTATGACTAGATTAAACTATTCAATGAATCATAGTCCTCCTCCAAACTCTGAAAATAGGTCTCAATGGCAAAAAATTTTTATTTGTTTGTTGTTGCAAAATTGCACGTATTAATGTCCTGAGGTACATGACTTTGTTTTTTCTACAAAATTTTTGAAAAATTTGCTCTTTTTCGTCAAAACAAATTTTGATGACAAATTTCACTTCCAAACTTTGTTATCAGTTCTCAAAAATCTGTCATTTCCACGCGTCGTTCCCTCGAAAAACCATACATTTGTGTTATTGGTGGCCTTTACATAATTATATAAACATGTCGAATATGCATTAATTCCGGGAAAAGACACTTCCTCCATTATTCGTCTTTCTTTGTTGTGTCTGCAAGAAACAAAACCACCGTGCGCAAAAATATATAATCGTCATAATTTGCGGAATACTTGCGTAGTATTATTATTATTGGGGTGTCTGGAAAATGATGTGGACTTGTTGCAGCAAGATTTCTGGCCGTTGAAAATCGCAGCCGGAAGGATTCAACGGTCTTTGCAGACGAGAGAGTACGGAGAATGAGGAGGGTGAGCAGAGAAAAATTGGTTTCTGGCTATATCTTTGCGAATTTCGCGGTGAAAAACTTGACTGTTTGTAAAAAAAGAAAAAAGAAAATTTTGCTCCACATTTAAAACAGAATGCCAATTTTTTCACAGGGGAAGTACTCCAAGTGCGACGCTCAGATTTCCTTTAAATTTTGCACACACGTCGGGCATGGACTAAAT